GGAAGCCAGGAAGGTCGTTGGAAGCCAGGAAGGTCGTTGGAAGCCAGGAAGGTCGTTGGAAGCCAGGAAGGTCGTTGGAAGCCAGGAAGGTCGTTGGAAGCCAGGAAGTCGTTGGAAGCCAGGAAGTCGTTGGTAGTCCGGAGGTCGTTGGAGTTGAGGAAGACAAGCACGGTATTTGAACGTTCCTGCTCACGCAGATTTTTGATTTTTCTTTTGACTTTTGATTAAAAATTTTATGTTGATGTGTGCAAGGCCAAGCAGGCTGCCACAGGTCCTCAACTCACATCTCCCGTGGATTTGAAAGGGAGCTGGCTAGCTACTTGTTGCAAAGAACCCAGGGTTGTGGGGAAATGTCGTGGATGCCTCCCTTCAAGGCGCAAACCACGAGATGCAAAACTATAAATTATCTCACATTTGCTGACAAGGTTGCGTGTTGGCGATTGACTTGAACATAGTCTGGAAATTGCTCCGTACAACGACCCTTTTCTTTGATTCACATCTGGCTGTGCGATAGTGGAGGCAGACATGACTGAATACTTTGTCACCATCAAGGTTTTCCGCAGGGTTTTTCTCTTCAACAACCGCTTCCACTCTCGAGGACCTGCAAGTATATCATCGATTGGTGCATGTGCTGTAGCCTGCTGAAGCCAGGGTGTAACACTCAAGGCTGAACTCAGCTGCCACGTCCTATGAGCATCGTATGCGGAGTATGTGGAGATCGGGAACGATGAGATGCTCGATATAGGTTGAGGATATGACAGGTATACGTCCCTAGCGTGTCTTATTATAGTATCAACCCATACTTTTACAAGCAAAGTTTGGCGTGCTCCATCGACTGAAACTCCTTGCAAAGGATCAAGGAGAGCCAACACATCTCCAGAGGAGTCACTACGCCCTCTTCCCTTGCCGCCAGCTCGGGCACGCGACATACTTGTCGTCTGTTGGGGCTATTGTAGGACCGCTAATCTCCACTTCAGAGATCATGATTCGCCATAAAGCTTTCAAGTCTGGATTTTGTCTTGCCCACCGTCAAAAGGACACTCAAATCCTCACTCCCGATGGCTTGCGTTATTAAGGTTGAAGTTACAGGCTGAGATGTTTAATAGTCCGGCTATACATTATTGAAATGAAAATAGTCTATAGAGGCTAACTATGTCCTATGAGTATCCCCGGTTACTCGATGTATATTCCAATACTCTGCTGTGTATGAAGGTGCCAAGCCATACCCCCTTTAGCCTCGCAGCCTTATGGGGTGGGTGAGTGAATCCAACTAAATCAGGTAGAAACGAGAGTATTTAGCTCACAAATTCAACGGATCCGGGATTCCTGACCTCGCAAAAAAAAACACCAAAGTTCATTGACTCATCATTACCGCACCACAGCCAGCTAACAGCTTCCGGTGTCAACTTCCCGTGTTCGTACTCGGACTAGGCTGTCGCTCCCGTCCTTGTATTCTGTGATGGCCTTTTCGAGGAGACCTTGATCGACCAGCGGCTCGGATTCCTTGAGGCTGTCCTGACACATCGTCCTATTCGAAAGAAATTCCTCTATCATACCCCGGTAATCCCTAGGTCGGTATGGCACAAGCCATTCTTTCGCCATACAGCCGGGCTGCTCCCACCACTTTGCTCCTTTCCGCTTTCTCCATTTTGCAAGGCCGAGATCTCTACTGAGCTCATCAAAATAGCCTTGTGCTTCGTAGACAAATTCGGGACCTCTCCACTCGCGAAAGCCATAGCGGGTCCGTGTCCACGCGTTGAGCAAAGATACGTTTTCCTGCATTGAATGGAGATCCGGGGTGGCCTTTTTCGCGAGTAGGTCTTCCATCCACGCGACTGCCCACAGAGAGACCAATTCGAATGCCACGCTTGTTTGAGGGGTGGCCACGAATCCGACAAAGGCAATGCTGCGATCTTGCTGTGCGATGAGTTCCGGCGACAAGACTTGACGGTACATCCGGAACTGAGTATACCTGGGCTCGCGTGGCCTAGTCGGCCGGCTTTGTAGCTGCGGAAACATGGAAAGGATTTCTTGTTCGCGGTCCAGTCGGCTGTCTAGTTCTTCCAGGACTTCATCGGGGGCGAAGTCTTCGCAATCCTCAAGAGCGATAGGAATACCGAGCCGGGCAGACTCTTCAGGATCGAAAAAGTCGAGGCTCGATTGCCAACCAGTGCACCAAACCACAGCATCGGCCTTGATTGTCACTTCGTGGCCATCCTCGTTCATAACCATATCTCGTCCTTCTAAGCGCAGTGGCGTAGCTCGGTACACCTGAAGACGGTCCAGGTCGTCATCCTGTAGCCATTTTAGGAACGGGTTGCCTTTATAGATTATGCTAGTATATGCTGACTCCCAAAATGCGTCCGAAATTTCGGGCTGTAACCTGCGACTATTCTGGCTCTGATATGCCGCCTGTGTGTGGACAGCAGAAGTGAGAGATTTCCAAAAACGGTTCATTATCCTTGTCCCGACTCGGTGGTGCCCTGAGTGTAAGAATTTGTAGCATAGTCCGGAACGGTCAAATACTGAGGGAGCAAAAGTGCTGAAAAGACGCACATTCGCGACAGCAATGATATTTGGCTTTTGATTGGGATCGAAAAGTCCAAAGCGGACGCCAAATGGGCTTGGACGGACAACCCATGACACCTTCTTACCCGCAGCTCGGAAGATGGCGCAGGCGTCCATAGCTGACTTACAGCCGCCGACAATGACGACCTCCTTGACAGTTGAATCTGCTATTAGTCTCTCGCAATTAGAGCCAATATCTTTTGAGTGTATCGAGTGACCGGTGTAGGTTCGCTGAGGTATAGAGGGCACCTTAGGTTTTGTTTGAAGGCCCGTGGCCACGATGAGTTTGTCGCATTGTAGATTCTGGCCGGTGGATGTAAGAATAGCCCATCCGCCCGCACTCAGACGACGAGCCTTGATAACCTTGACACCGAACTGCATGTATCGACGAAGATTGAACTTCCTTGAGTAGGCATCGAGATACCAGGAGACCCGTTTAGCAGGTATCCGTTCATATGCTGGGTGCTCGTCCTAAAGACTTGTTAGATTGCAAGTCGACTTAACGCTATGTGTATCGCGGGAACAGTATACTTGCCTCAACCATGGAATAGTCACTATATTCAAAGAAACCATTCGGAGTTTCGGCCACCAAACCTGGATAGATACGCTCGGGGGACCAAACTCCACCCGGGCTTTGACCTTCGTCAAGAATGATCAGTTCAAGAGGACGATTGAGAGACTGTGCGATTTGCAGGTAGGTTTTGGCGGCGACCAGCCCAGCCCAGCCGGCGCCAATAACAACAACTCGAGTGGGAGTAATCATGGTCGGGGCAATGGTTTAGAGGCTACTGAAGACAAAACGTTGAAGCAGAAGGGAACCGGACAACTAAGTATCGTCGTGGTACTATGAGTGGGAGGCTGGACAAAGCCATCTACTTGATACATAAAAAGAGGAAGCGTTAAATCAAAGTGCGGTGTAGAATATGTATGGAGCTCTTCGTTTCCTAAAGCTCAGCTGCAGAAGCCCAGGCTACTTGGAGTGGTGAAAGGGTTCTCCTTGACTACTTGCCTAGCTAACATTAGAAATGCCCCTGATACAAAAAGTCAACTTCAGCTTCTTTACGAGAAGCGGGTAGATTAGCCGCTGCCTCAGAGACAGCGCCAACTGTTGAAAGGATCAAATTGCAGTACTCGGACCATCAACAGGTGTTTAAGGCTCCGGACGTGTGCAATGGCGTTCTGCAACAGTTTCCTAAATAGGCTCAGTGGATGCGGCTGGGCGGCGGCACGACGGCTCAGCTTGAAGCCTCGTCGAGATAGAGTCGGGCAATCCGAGATTTCCTCGTATTCGGGCTGCACAGTGTCTGGGCTCGCAAAATGTTTGGGTTAGCCAAGGTTCTAGGTCCTTATTTCTTTCATCTGGCAGCACTTGCATAAATTCAGCAGCGCCAGCAAACTCTGGATCCGTCTGTTATACTCAGCCCAGCCGCTGGACCCACCATGAATTAAACTACTTCACCGTGTTCGTGCGCAAGCCACAAAACGGCGCGGCACCAAACACCATGTGAGAGATGGCCATACCGTCCCAGCCTACATCCATTCAGCCAATTCTAAACTAGGATCAAGAGCGGTTGATAATGACGCGACAGCTTCAGCGAACCGGGATAAGCTTTGATTGACTTCTTGGAGGCCAACTTTCGCCTCGAGACCCAACGAGACTCCAGCAGCTCAAACAAACAACAAGAAGCTTGATTGCTTTTCTGTTTATGGAATTCACCGACTCATCAGAGCCGAACTACAGAAGGCCTACATTTGGTTCCCAGCGCAGTCTGCCGACCTTCCTCGCCCTTCGACACGATCAAGTAAACCTCAACATATCCATCGACTTCGATCGAGAGGTTAAACCAAACACTATGGGCAAACAAAGCATTTCTCATGAGCGGGATTTACGAAATCAATGCTTGGGTGCATCGTCCAGATCACCATCAACGTCCGTGGAACTCTTAGCCAACTTCCAGAATGAACTCTCTGGTTATCAGACAGTTGACGTTCGAGTTCGCCATCTCTCCGTCACAGTAGAAGCAGTTGCCCCATCTCCCTTATCATCACTGGATGCCCTCAGAGCCAGAATAAATGGCTCGAAAAAGACGCCTACATCAATCAAGAAAATCCTCGACGATGTCTCTGCTGATTTTCCAAGTCGAAGTCTTACAGCCATCGTTGGCGCCAGCGGCAGTGGGAAGACCATGCTGCTGAATGTAATTTCTGGTCGTATGAAAGCTCACAAGTTCCGACAATCTGGAACTGTTACCTACAAGAGCTCGACCAACAACTGCTGCGGAAAAGTTGATGCGGCCTATGTGCTCCAACAAGATGTACTTCTGCCGACTTTGACCGTGCGCGAAACACTTCAGTTGGCTGCTGATCTACGATTGTCGACGACCAAGACCAAAGCCGAAAGATGTACCATGGTGGAGACTGTCATAGCCGAGCTTGGGTTACAAACATGCGCCAACACGAAAATAGGGGATCCTGCTCACAATAAGGGTTGCTCTGGAGGGGAAAGACGAAGAACCAGCATTGGGATCCAGCTTTTAGCAGATCAACCTATTCTAATCCTAGATGAACCAACGACCGGCCTTGATGCTGCATCTGCCATCCAAGTGGTACAAACACTCAGCCGTCTTGCTCGAAAGGGGAAGACCATTATCATGACAAGTAGGTTCTCTTGCTTCACGGTAAAAAAATCCTAACAACAAACCTAGTTCATCAGCCTCGTTCGGAGATATGGAGACTTGTCGATAACATTGTTCTCCTATCACGAGGGTCGCCTGTTTATTCCGGCTCAGTAAAGCAATGCCTACCTCATTTCGAGCGAATGGGTTATAAGTTACCCTCCTTCTTCAATCCTTTCGACTTTATCGTCGACCTTGCTGCGATCGACATCCAATCAGTGGAACTTGAGAAGAATTCTTCTATACGAGTTGATCAACTATTAAAAGCGTGGGCATCCGAATCAGCCAGCTACCATGAGAAGATCTCGCAATCCTTTACCAACAAATCGCTACATAGTAATCGTGCCACAAGTTACAGAGATCTTTTCGATGAACTGGCCCATGAAACAATGGTGCTCACTCGGAGAACATTCATTGTCACTTACCGTGATCGACTTGGACTATTCGCTAGCATAATCGAGGCTACGTCCATGGGCATGATAAGTGGTTGGGTGTTTTACCATTTAGGTGGCGACCTTTCCGGGATCAAGTCTCGACAAGGAGCCCTGTACACAGCATCCGCAGTACAAAGCTACCTTGTTCTAGTCTTCGAGACTTACCGATTGTCGGTCGATATCGAAATCTACGACCGAGAGCGTATCGAAGGGACATCGAGACCTGTCACCTTTGTCCTAAGTAGGAGACTAAGTCGAATTTTAGTCGAGGATATTCCAGTGCCTATATTGTTCTCTTTGATCTTCTACTTTATGGCTGGATTTCGACCTCAGGCGAGACAGTTCTTCACCTTCCTTGTGATTCAAACGATCACACACCTCGCGTCTATCAATCTGGCATCTATTTGCGTTGCAATCAATCGGCAGTTCATGGTGGCATCTCTACTTGCGAATCTGAGTTTCACTCTTCAAACCTTCGCCTGTGGCTACTTTATCAATACGCATTCTCTCGCCGTATGGCTACGCTGGACAAAGTGGATCTCCTACATCTTCTACGCATTTAGCGCTCTTTGTACGAATGAGTTTAGGGGTCATATGTACGATTGCCCCTACTCTGGAGAAGCCTCGAATCAAGCATGCAAGGAGTACTGGGGCGAGTACATTTTGGAGGCTCTAAACGTGCCTTCTGACTGGCTGTGGCGACCAATTGTCGTGTTGGTAGGCTTCACTGCCCTGTTTTTCGGTCTCTCTATTCTCTTACTGCAATTAATTACAATTGAGGTCAAGTTAGCAAGATCACGCCAGAGCGAAGTAAGCTGTGGCGAAGACCATGAACGATCTACACGCACGACCGACGCACCTACTTCTATCAACATCACCTTGGATGGTTTCGGTATAGATCTTGAGACGAGGAGGCTCTTTAAGGCTATGTCACGGAAGCAAATCTGCGCACCTATTACGACAAACTTTGAATCTGGCTCATTAAACGTGATTATGGGTCCCAGCGGCTCTGGGAAATCAACATGCTTGAATACAATAGCCCAAAGACCACAGAGCTCTCCTGTCTCAAGATATTTGTCGTGCGGAACAATACGACTTAATGGCGCCATCGCGACCGACTCCGTTTTGAGGTCGATCTGTTCTTACGTACCCCAGGACGACACCGGACTTTTACCTTCCTTAACCGTCAGAGAGACACTATACTTCGCTGCTCAACTTCGTTTGCCGCATTTTGTTAGTCACGAGCAAAAGCTACAACGTGCGGAATCTATTCTTCTGCGACTCGGACTCAAGGAATGCGCAGATACGCTTGTTGGCAATGAATTTATGAAAGGTGTTAGTGGAGGGGAGAAGCGACGTGTCTCGATTGGGATACAGATACTTACTGATCCAAAGGTTCTATTGTTAGACGAGCCAACGTCTGGCCTTGATGCATTTACAGCGGATTCGATAATTAAGGTGCTCCAAAGTCTTGCTGATGAAGGCAGAACCGTTATACTGTCCATACACCAACCTCGATCAGACACTTTCAGACAATTTGGAAAGCTCCTCCTTCTCACACACAGCGGCGATGTTGCTTACGCTGGAGGTGTTCCGAACATTCTCCCGCATTTCAGCGAGATCGGTTACACTTGCCCCGACGCAACCAATCCAGCCGACTTCATTATGGACCTGGTGTCTGACGAGAGCTTCTGTTGTCATCAGCAGCAAGAGGGGATTCTTCTTTCATCGATCAAAGCAGACGAGAGGCCTCTCGCCACCTCTAGAGTGACTGAGAGTCCATCGGGACCGACTACATTCTCTAGAGAAGGTCGTCTCTCCCTACCAGCCGAAATAGGAGCCTATAAGCGGAGTCAGCTCCCTTTCTCTCGCGCCTTTCCGATCCTCCTTCGACGTGGAATGATTAATCTCAAAAGGCAGCCGGAGCTATTGATCGGTCGAGTCACACAGATAATGGGTCTCGGTATCGTTCTCGCCGCGTTCGTCGCACCACTCCAAAATGACTATTACGCAGTCCAGAGTCGAGTCGGCTACATCCTAACCATGTCTTCTATGATGTTCGTGGGTATGCTTAACTCAATAGCAATGTACCCGACCGAGCGTGATATTTATTACCATGAAGACCGAGACAACACATATACTGTGGAGGCTTTTTTCTGCTACTACTCGTTCGTGGAGTTCCTTTTTGAGCTGCTTGGATCTCTACTATATGCCGTTCTCACTGTGTTTGCAGTGGGCTTACCTCGTACAGCGAGCCAATTCTTCCTCATGACCTACTCGGCCTTGTGCGTTGTGTCGTGCGGCGAGAGTTTTGGGATTCTGTTTCTCACTATGTTCTCGCATACAGGCTTGGCTGTTTCGGTCATGACGGTGATGATGGCCATCTCTGTCTCTTTGGCCGGTGTGCTGAGTATATCACTGGACAGATTCCTGACTGTCGTGAGTTATGTCTCACCGGTCAAGTGGCAGGTGGGCGCATTGCTAAGCTATACTTTGCGCGGGACTACTTTCACTTGTTCTGATCAGCAAAGACTGGGGAATGGCACTTGTCCAATCCAGACGGGAGATCAGGTGCTACAGCTGTATAAATTGGACGTGAGTACGCTGCAATATGCACTTATTTTGGGAGCAATAGCAATAGGGTACAGATTGCTTGCTTACCTAGGGTTGAAAACCCGGAGAGTTGACTGGACTCGCTGCATGAGGATGGAATTACCTGGGAGGAAGAACGTGAAATAAGGGAAGGACAAGTGAAAATAACAGTGCTTGCGAAAGTTGTGTGACTGGTGCTGTTGCGCTCCGAATGACCAAGTCATCAGTTCGCACCACGAAGCTGCCTCAATTCATGTCATCACGTGATTCTTAACGGCGTCTTTACATATCTTGGCACGTACAGTGTGTCCCGTGGCTGACACGCGTTGTGCACGTGATCGGTGTGGGGGAAGGCCCACTAGGCTGGCCATGCCCCGAACTTCGACCACATTCGTCGGATGTGGGAAGTCGAAAGACTTGAATTCCCTTTTGTGAGAAGGACTCTTCCTCGCAGTAGTTCTACGCCTTCACAGAGGACGTCGATCAGGTCAACATGTCGACGACAGGCACAGCGGAGAGACTTGATGCCGCCATCGCCGAGTTCTTTTCTACTTGGGATGGTTACACGACGCTCCTGGTCGTGGTGGTGGCCGCCCTTCTGATCTATCCTCTGCTGACGAGTCGAGAGCCGGACACTCATCCGTTCCTTCTCGCGCGACAATCGCAGATAGCACCGATTCGCCACCCTGGCGAGTCGGCCGTTTACAGAGCCATTGACATTCCACATGGCTACCCGCTCCGAGCTGGCCTAGGTGTGAAGGATCCGGGAGCACCGAGATGGAGTTCAGGCAGGCCCGGAGATCTTCGCGACGTCTGGAGAACTGCTGCCCGTGGTGTGGCCCAGGAAGATGGCACTCCAACGGGCGAAAAGGGCAAGATCTTGACCGTGCTGGGCCGTGAGAAGGTCATTCAGCATCAATTCGACGAGCTGACCCTCGGGATCAATGTCATCGGTCAGTATGTCAAGCGAAACAATGGTCAAAATGTCGCTGTGTGCCTTTCGAACTCGGCAGAAATGCTCTCTGCCATCTTTGGTGAGTTGGTGATTCGGAACTTTCAGCTGCAGGAAGGCTAACAAGATGCTCAAGCTGGATCTTTCTACGGCTTCTCGACCATCTTGCTTCCCTACGGTCTCCCGCCAGACAAGCTCAACTCTCTTCTGGCCAAGACCTCAGCAGACCATGTGATCGCAGAAGCCGGTACACTCGATCTCAACAGCCTACATTCAGCAAACAAAGCCCTTACGAATGTTATCTGGGTTGCGAAAGCAGGTAACGAGCACATGGCGTGGTCCGATGATACCCCAAGTGGCTTCACCGTGAATTCGTGGCACGATTTGGTCGAGAAGAACAAGCGCACCGCCACGTCGGAAGTTTTACCCCTGGACAAAGACTCTCAGGTCCCACCGGTGTCTATCTTCTGCCCAGGAGCTAATGGGACTTATGATTTGGTGAAGTATACCTCCGAGGTAAGCTGTCTGTCCAACAGAGACCTGCGCGTTCCCTCCTGACATATCCCTGCAGAATCTGATCTCGGGAACTGCCGCGCTTCAGGCGACACTCGTGCGAGCCTACAAGTTGACGCCAAGTGATACCCTCCTTCCAACTACAAGCCTCACCGACAGTTACACGCTATGCTGGACTTTTGCGGCACTCTATTCCAATGCTTCAGTGGCCTTGAATTCTGTCGCCGGCGAATCTGTCGATCTGCTCAACGCCACAGCAATCAGCCAGCCCACCGTGGTGATTGCCGGTCCGACCACCATTCAAAAGTATCTCTCAAGTCCTGGCACGAATCTTCCCTCAGGCTTGTCGAAGTGGGTATCGACTAGAAGCCTCCAAGCAGGAACCATGCCATCAGATCCCAGCGGGCCCCTTACCCTGTCGAAACTGAGAGTCTTGTTGATTCCACAATCCGCTTCGTCACCACCGAAGACGCGTCTAACTTCATCGGCACTGCATACGTTGCGCACGCATCTGCACGCTCGAGTTGGCTACGCATTGACCGCGCCCTTCGTGGCTGGGGCCATCGCGCAGACAAACATCCTCGACTATCGCGACAAGGGCAAGCAGGTCTGCGTAGGCGCCCCATTGAGCTCAGTCGAGTTCAGCCTCGCCGGAGATGAGGACGTGATGGGAAGTCATACTCCGAAGGGAATGGTACGTTATGCCTCAGTCAATCCCCCCTGTCCTCCTTTCTCGCCGAAGGCACATTGCAGCACTGACACGGCGTTTCTAGCTCAATATTAGGGGACCCGCGGTCGTGGGCGGAAAGATCAGCCTCGATATCATGGGCCAAATAGACGATGACCACACATTACTGCTGCTATGAGACTTTGGCCCTGTATCGCAGAGTCCACTTTGACACTTTCACAAAAGCAAAATCCGTGTACTCGGGTCGTGGACCCGTAACGGCGATAGATAAATAGTATACACAACTGTCATTCCTCCCGGTTCTCACCTGCGTCTATTTTCCACCTTGACTGTCTTTCCCGTCCAGCGGACCTTAGAGACTCGGGACGTGTACAAAAACCGTGCTAGAGATGGGACCAGCGCCTTGGATTCCGCCGCAGTGCGCGAAACCATGAGGATTTCTTGCTTGGTGAGAAACGGTCTACGACCATACCGAGAACCATTTCGCTAAAAAACATATGTTGATGAGTGTGTACAACCGAGTTTTGTTCTGTCATCTGTTTCCCTTCTTCCCACGAGGGCCAGTGTGCTGCTGCCGTGTCGTCTTTCCCCCGCCACTCAACATAGCCCTCTGCCTCACGTACTGATCAACAATCTTCTGTACACTACCAGGATCATGCTCCGGCTTCCGCAAGTAGTATAACCTGGCACGTCTCTTCCTCTTGGGCGCCCGTTGGGCGATTTCCATGCTCTGCACCAACGGACTGTGTACCTTGACAAGCACCTCCACCCCAATGCCCGTCAGCTGATTTCTCAGCAGTACCGATATGTGAGGACCGGATCCCTTGATGGAGAGTATCGTCCCGGAAACGGGTTCGCCGGTCTTGAACGTGACCAGCAGGATGTCACCGACTTGCGCTCGGTCCTTGTTCGTCTTGTCGAAGAGCCGCGCTCGTGCGCCCGTGGGGTCTAGCAGGGCGAGTTGTCGCTGGTCGATGAGAGAGACCGGATCTTTGCAGAGGGCAGCTTCGGAGACGGGTGATTCGTGGACTGTGATATCTCGTTTATCTGCTCCTCGGGAAAAAACATCAGTAATCTTGAGACTCGCTTTGGGCCTGTGAAGGAGCGATTCTAAAATACCTCTGCCAGGTCTGAGTCGTGGGGGGATCTGAGACCGAAACTGTGGTGGGAGAGACTCTGGAATTGCGAGTTTTTCGACGGGACCTCGCTGCAGGGTGACTAGAGACCTGGACCACTGACGTTGAGGTTGGATCTCTGCAAAAAGCGACCGCCAGCAGCATGCCGACACCCGCGGCACCAATATCTGCGACATCTTGTACCGCTCTTGTTGAACCAGGATGCGTGTAGACCAAGAGCTTCGCCGAAGATACTTGCGTGCAATGCCAGGCTCAACGACAGCCAGATCCGGCAGCTTTGCCGCGTCGCTTCAGTCCCTTGTAAATGGTCTTCTTCCGCAGAACCGCAGACGACTCCTTCAAATTGGAAGCAGTGTCGAGTCCCCCTTACTTGGAAGACAGTATGTCTGTCAGCTAACATCGACTTGTCTCAGCCCTCTTCCTAATGAGTTCATCGTACTCTCTAGTCTCCGCTCTCTTTGCAGTGCGCTAGTGCAGCCTTGTCACGTGACCAGCTAGCTTTGGAAAATGAAGAATGCCTCTTTAACTTTGTAGGACGCTTGAGAAAGACCTCCAGAGAGAGGGCAATTTGTGACCACCCAGTAGCTAGGCACCATGGCCCAAGCTACCCAGCCTCTGCTCTACATCTGTAGAAGCTGTCGACAGAGTTTACAGAATGGATCATTATTTTCTCGCTCATTCAGCACAACTCGAGTGCAGCAGAAAGGTATTCCGACACAATTCTGCCCTGGCTGAGCCACTTGGAAACTAAATCTTGTAGTTATACCCTCGTTTCAACCTACCGGCCACGGCGAACTCGATCAGCTGCTCCTGTCATTCCGCGAGAAAGTCTTCACTCCCGCGGCACTAGAGCCTCAGCACCGCAAACTACTATATAAGCCTTCGAAACATGAGGCCCTCGTGGCAGAGCCTGGTGTTACGGTCACAATGTCCGACGGCGAAGAAATTAGACTGCGGCCAATGGATCCTTTTGACAGACCCTCCGTCAAACAATCTGTCCGGACAATTGCAAAAGTATTCAGTGAAGAGAAGGCCGACGTTGTATGGAATAATTTGGCTCCATGGCTGAACGGCATGAGGATGTCCAGAATGCCGCTACCAGGCTTTTTTTGGGCGAAAATCACTCGCAAGGCGTGTGAGATTGGCAAAGAACGATTCATTCTCTCATGCATCGACAGATCCGAAGACACCAATTTCACCTTGAGGAAACAAGGCGTGACCTACGAGCTGATGCTGGGCTTCCACAAGCGTGCTGCGGACCATGGGTTTGCGGGACCAGAACTCGCGAGCGCCTGGAATAGAGCTCAAAAAGTCGTCCGAATGCTGGATGACGAGCTCTCCGGAGGTTACAAACTAAAGCCAGACGAGGTCGATCCAAGAAAAGATCCTTTGGTTCTGAGTGTCTTGACAGAATTGGCAGCCGCGACAGCCCTGGAGTCTGGTGGCGATCCTGCCACGGTCGTAGATTATGCACGCAAGATGCTTTTCCTCGCACAGCAGGAAAAGCCCTCCATTCCGGGCCTGGAGCAGCACCGAGAAGACGTCAGAGCAAGAGCCGAGAGCAATCATATCCTCGAAAATCTCTTGCCATTGCAGAACGCAATCTCCCTAGCTTTGCAGATTGATGCGATCAAAGCATCTGAACTGGGACAGCAATTGGAATCACATCTCCGCGTGGTGGAGCCGAAAGTCAAAGAGACTGTGCAGAAGCTGCGTGAAGTCTCCGATGGACAGAAAAGGCGTGGGGAGTTGATGTATGAACAGCTTGCTGGACAAGAAGGAGGTGAGGCCTCAGAGGAAAGCTGAGACTTTCCTCAGCCAATGTACGACTATGGACACGAAAGGTCCAGTGCGCCGAGTAAGCATACCTATGTACAATACCTCACAACAGGAAATTGCGCATTGCAATCTCTGGTCTGATGGCCGTCATTTTGCTTGCGACTATTCTGTTCGTGCTGTGCTGTAGAGAAATTGGCATTGGCCTACCCTGCGTATGTGCCCTGAGGTGCATGTACCTGTACGTATGTAGCCTTGCGTCCCTGTGTCAGCCTCGGCACCCTGAATGGAGTGGATGACGCAGGTGCGCCTGTAAACACACGTTGGCGTCTCTTGCAAATCGCCGATTTTCCACACGAATAGAATAGCATAGCTACATACCCGATAAGCTGCGAGAGTTCTTTAATGCTTTTATACGACTACCTGATGGCATGGATGTGACAGCAAAACCTCCAGAGAAAGAACTACATCATGGCTTATCCTCAACCAGAGGACCCCTTCCTTGAAGTCCAAACGTACCACGGCCTCCCTTCAACCTCTGTTCCCATACTGTAGGCGACGGCTAACATGGGTATGATGTTTTAGAGACGTCCAATCAACACTCCAAACCACCCGTCACCTGTTCTCGTCATATTTGCGCATTCGAACGCTTACAACATCGGCCACCTCGCCTGAACTGCAACAATCCCGCGCAGAGCTGCGTTCGAATCTCGAGACCCTTTCCACTGACCTTGCGGACCTGCTCGAGTCAGTGTCCGCCGTGGAATCCGACCCGTATCGATTCGGTCTTGACGTCGCCGAAGTCCAACGTCGGCGACAATTCGTCAAAGATGTTGGGGACGAGGTGGAGGGTATGCGCCATGAGCTGGAAGGCGTGACTGCGGATACTCATGTTGCGGGCCATGGTGCTTCCCGGAACCCGAGGCTGCCTAGGCCATCAGATTTTGAGGATGACAACCACGACGACGACGATCCCTATGAAGAATTCGAGGCGCAGCAGCAAGCAACGATGATGGCCGAGCAAGACGAGCAGCTGGACGGCGTGTTTCAAACAGTCGGAGTGCTCCGAGGCCAGGCAGAGGACATGGGTCGCGAACTGGAAGAGCAAGGGCATATGCTTGACGAAGTTGACAGGCTTGCCGATCGAGTCGGGGGGAAACTCACCGTCGGCGTCAAGAAGGTGGGCGAGGTAATCCGGAAAAATGAGGACAGCATGAGTAGCTGTTGCATAGCTGTCTTGATCTTTGTCTTACTCATACTGTTGATCCTGCTTATTGTCCTATGATGGGCCAGTTGGGTAAGGACACAGAAAAAGAAAGCGGAGGAACGCAAGAAGAGTCCTGGAGCAAGAAACGAGCCAGGACCGAGAACATACGTACCCAGAGAGCGAGAAGCTCTGTCTGCCCAGTGCAAAGCTAGGGGAGACTATGTGGTGAAGGATCAATTGAACACAAACGACAGGTGCAACATTATGGTATCTCTGGATCAGAATTTCTACGGGAATTTACAAACGAATTCAAACGCCAGATGATGGTGGTACATGTTGGGGCAAACAAATCCGGGAAGCTCGTCGAAGACATTGCTCAGTCCTTGCGCTGTCTCTTGGATGGTCTGGCATCTTCAGCAGGAATGAGGTCTGGTACGTCGTCGTCGTCCTCCTCATCATCCTCGTCATCTTCCATATCAAGGTCTTCACCATCAGGCAAGTCGTCTTGGGCAGACACTAGTGTTCCCGTCAGCCAGCAATTTCACAAAAAACACAATCGCAATACTCACTGAAGTAGTCCATGGCATCTGACCAAACCTCCTCAGCCAAGGCAATGGCGATTTCCTCCCCTGCGGGAAAAATCTCAACCTCGAGCATCTCTTCGACATCGTCGTCACTGTCTTCGGCACCGTTGCCAGCACCGTTCTCCCCCTCTTTCTTGGGAGCAGACGAGTCAATTGCGCCCCGGAATCCAAACCAGTTGAAGAAACTTGGTTGATCCTCATCAGTTTCATCGAGTTTGACCATTTTATCCCGGAGTTTCTCGTGCTGCCAGAGTGCTTCACGATCCACCACCTCGACAGATTTGACCTTTATCGCTTCTTCGGCTGCGTAGAGTTCGACAGCAGCGTCCAGGAGACCCTTTGTAAGGTCCTGCTTGTTGCCCTTCCACTTGATTGGGACCGGCTTTGAGATCAAGCTGCCTGGACCGTCCTCTCGTCGCTTGTATTCGAACTCTTTCACCAGCTGCTTGTCTTCGATGAAATCGTTTTCGGCAAAGTCGAATGTAAATCTGAGGCTTCGAGGCTCGCCTTTTGTCTCGGATTCGATTTGGTATCGTTCAACGGTGAAGGATTTAATGCAGGAAATGAGCGCTAGATCTTCCGCTGAGAAGAACTGCTGGACTTCTTCGGGGCCATTGCCAAACACCGTGGGCCAAAAGTCGGGAAGTTTGTCAAGTAAAGTCTGGCGCTTTACATAGAGGGGTTTCAGTGAGAACTCCTTTCGTCGAACTAGAGTCAAATGTCAGCGTTTGCGCCATTGACTTCATTGCGCTTGTGAATAGCCGCATACGAGCATCGAGTTCTACTTCCGCAAAGTTCCTTTCGAGGTCGCCGAGCTCCTCGAAAACAGCACCGACATCTTCCACTGACAAGGACATCGTGTATGTTGACAAGGAATTTTCAGGTAGTGGCTAGGACGTGGTATGATGTTGTGGTAATCGCATGGAATCTCGATTCTGCGCTCCAAAAAATTATAAAATTCTGCCGAGCAAAAAAAGTGTAGGCGGTGACGGCACCCAGACGGGCGGTGAGCGGCCAATTTTGCCTCGGACTTGGAGTCCTTCTAGGCACTCGACTCACCACTACGGCATGTTCGGCCCAGGAGATGCCCAACGATCAAGCCATTTTGGTCTGAAACTGCTTTACATGAGGCAGCTGATACACGTGTAGAGCTCGCAGAACATAGGCGCCTTCGAAAGTCTCTGTTTCGTCCACGAGAGGGCCTTCTCGTAGGTCACAGAGTCCTGGAACGCCCAAACCATCGCCTACCGCTTGAATCCTCAATACTCAGCATCAAGACCAGCATACATGACCATAGGGGAGTCAATGCATCCATCCTCCGTACCGCGTTTTCACTAGAATGCCAGCGATGCTCGATGGACTCTAAAAGAACGTCGAAGTGGTGAGATCCTCGGTCTTTGGCTCTGCCTTCGCTTGGACAATATTGCAGGAGGCCACTTCACTGCAACGTCGACTCCAGCACTTTGCATGTCACCTTTGCAGCAACAGTAAATATCCTTGCTCTTCACACGGCGACAGCACCTGTTATTTGCCGCTTTCCAGGTTGTTAGGACGCTGGCGCACGACTAGTGTGGCTCTTCTCCTCAGGTTGAGGATGAACCCTTGCTCATTGCACCAGTCGCAACCACAGCAACACATGCCTCTCCTTTACGTCGACCCCAAGTGGCACATCGATTGCTTATTGAAAAGCGTAAGGAGTTTAGCCTTCTGCCGGTGATCACTGTCTGTTGACATGTATCTGTGGATTCTAATATGGCTCAGATCGAGTGATCAGTCCACAGCTCTGCCCATGACAAGCTCAAGGACCTTGTCGAGACTTATCCGGTTATATTGTAGGAGCGACCTCTACTCCGTACTTTGAACCGGGGAGGTCGTTCAGGCGTGCCGTAGCGCAGACAATCCCGGCATCTTTTGGCTTCGGCTTTCAGGAAACGGGCCTTTCAGGCTGATCCGCGCCCCATACGGAGCTGTGTGACTGGCGGAGGCCGGTGCCAAACGGTGCCACATCCCTGATGACAGGGTTATATCACACCTCAGAACCCTCAGAACAGTTCTCGCGCAAAGGGGTTGCCTCTCACGCTTGACAAAACCAATTTAGTTGCGATAAACCATGTTCACTCATGCCAGCACAATACCACCTACCTTACACCATGCGCGAGGCATGCAGATGCACAGGATGCACTTCGCTCCTGCCTTCCTCAGCTAGCTTCGGCGACATGGGGTTTCGCCATGTCGCGCCATATTGGATGCAGGATGCAGCTCACCGTCTCTGTCGCACACATATCAACCGACCGGTACCCTAGCTTCCTGTTTTCTGCATGTGAGCTTCTCTAATTTATTCTTTGGTCTCTAAACCCTCACCTTTTCATCTGGAGAGCAAGGTTTATTGTATGAATTTTGATCGCCCACAATGACTGCTTATAGCTCGGATACTGCTGCTTTGGAGGCTGCAGGGAAGAAGGAGGTGTTGAAGGTACATCAAGTCTGAGGGTTTATGTCCAGACAGCTAATGTGACATCAATAGCGAGAATGGAACTTCTGGGCCCTTTTGGGAATGTCGGCATGCACTCTCTGCACCTGGGAAGCAACAAGTGCGCTTTTTGCAGGCGCATATCTGAATGGAGGACCCGCCTCGGTCGTGTACGGGTTCATTGTCTCCGTTTTTGGCACGTTGGCAATCACCACATCGATGGCCGAGATGGCGTCTATGTAGGTGATCACGCTGGTGGTCCAGTAGTTGTGAAAAGACCGCTGATGATATCCTCATAGTTCACCAATTGCAGGAGCTCAGTATCACTGGACTGCTGAACACGCACCTGTCAGATGGCGCGCGATCATCAGCTATATTCAGGGTTGGGTCACGATCACTGGATGGGTTGCCGGCGTAGCCTCTGTCTGTTTCTTGATCGCAACTATGATCCAGGGTGTTGCGGTGCTCAATTACTCTGGATATGATGCGAAGCGTTGGCATGCAACATTGATGATGATTGCAGCCGCAGGTATCGCAGCCATCGGTACGACTATCGGGAAAAAGCTTTTACCTCTATGGGAAACCTTGGGAGGTGGACTTCACGTTTTGTTCTTCTTCCTTGTCACGATCGGGATTCTTGCAACAAGCGATAAAACTGATAACCATGATGTCTGGGGCACCCTCATCAATGGAGGCGGATGGCCTAGTGATGGAGTGAGTTTCTGCTTAGGCTTCTTGACGCCGGCATTCGCTCTGGCCGGTGTCGATGCTGTTGTACATGTAAGTGCTGGCTCATTCCATTTGTGCTGCGCCCTTGATCCAAGGCTGTCATCATGATTGCAGTCACTTAATGGCAGACAGATGTCCGAAGAAGCATACAATGCCCCTCTCAACGTCCCTCGTGCCATGTTGTGGTCGGTAATCATTAACGGTACAGCTGGATTCCTGTATATTCTCACCGTACTGTACTCAATCACCGATGCTGATGCGGTTTTGAACAACGCCACGGGCTTTCCCATCATTGGCGTTTTCTTGCAAGCCACCAACAACCAGAAAGCGGCAACTGCGATGATGACTGCTGTTATTGTTGTCTTCACCATGAACCTCTTTGGCTGCATGGCATCGGTGTCTCGATTAATATGGGCCTTTGCAAGAGACAAAGGGCTGCCCTTCTCCGGATTCTTTTCCCATATAACACCTCACAGCAAGTCTCCGACAAATGCTGTCGTTGCAATTTTCGTTTCGGTATCGCTGCTTTCTCTGATAAACATTGGCTCAACAACTGCCTTTAACGCGCTCATATCGCTCACGACTCTGGGTTTCTACTTCTCATACGCCATCCCAACACTCATGTTCGCCATACGCCGCTTCAGCTCCAGCAACCCTATCAGATTCGGCCCGTGGACGCTGGGTAGATTTGGCTTGACGGTCAATATCATTGCGATTATATTCTGTATTTTCCTCATCATCTTTCTACCCTTCCCACCAATGTTGCCGGTTACGAGTCAGAACATGAATTATGCATCTCCGGTATTTGTGGGAGTCATGGTTTTGGCATTTCTCAATTATCATATACGAGCTCGGCACCGCTTTACCGGACCTATCAAGGAAATCAACAGCGAGACGAGCAGTGAAGATATTTCAGAAGAGTCAGTCACTCCTGAGAAGCTACCGGCCGAGACGCACTGATCTGAGATTTGGAAATTGCACGGCAAGCTTTTCTCGGGCCGGCCGCAGATGTAAAGTGCAACAATGGATTTATCATCGAAGCCTTGAAATTTGTAATCTGCTATACCCTTGGACGGCCTGCAAGTTAGCTCAGCGGACATGTCGAGCGTGACAGACGACAATAGCTGTAGTATCTCATCTGACGCAGATCAAGGACTGCGATATGGTGTGCACTACTAATAAAATCCAAAACAAAGCCATTTTTAAAGTGTCTTTCTTTCCACTGACACCAAAGCTAGACCGATCTTGCATGGATCTTGCTGAGCGAAAAATTTCCTCGAGCCTGTGATTCTCGACGCATTCGAGGTGTCTTGTTTGACGCATTGCATTTTGCAAAAGCCAATCGACTCGGTTATCTTCGAAGATCTGGCTAACATCCTGATCGACATGATCATCGGTTCCACACGAATCTTTGGATTGTTAGTAAACAAAAGTTAAAACAGATTATACAATAATATTATTATTACTATTGTGTCTAAGATTTAATGGAGACTGTTTACATCATTCAAATAGTACATGTCGACATCAAAGGTTGCAGACCCCCAGCAAAGGAGGTGCCGACACAAATTTGGTATGGACCAGTAACCGGTTTGTAAAATGGAGCGGCCTCAACTTTGTATCAGTGTTTCATTCGAGACAGGTCTCATGCATTTAGCTCTCAGCGTGTCCTCCGTACTGTATGATCTATATTCAAACAGAGCATCCATGGAAGAGGGACAAAACCTCGCCTGCACGGGTGAAAGATATGGATCCGTTCAAGTGCCTTGGTCCTACTCGTACTCCGTACTCCGTACACAGAAGCAAGATTTCGTCACCACACAATAATAACAACAACAGCAAATTTGAATTAATATGGGCCGCGATCTTGGCCACTCGTAGCCATCAGCGTCGCGACTTGCAAGGCGGATGAAACGTTACAGTTCGAAGTGTGAGAGCCTCCAGGCAAGCTCCTCCTTAGGAACCGACTCTTTTTACGTCCTAAGTTAGTGAGCAATTTCCCCAGTGTTTTCCATGGTCCTCAGTGTTCACCGCTTCGGTCGACGTTGGCGCCATAACCAGCCATCCCAACTGTCCGGTCGGTGGCTTGAACAAGAGTAGCCACAAGGGTTAAGCATACCAGCACCGACGTACTCGGCTTCGGCACCGTTGAAGACTGATCCGTGGTCTGACACTGTGCCATCTTGAGTCCGAGCCCTTTGAGCCTGGGCGCGCTGCCGCGAATCCCCTGATCCCTGGATGGATGAGATGGAGTTTGAGTTAGAGTAGCGCGAACAGTTGCCCCTGATGTTATCACGCTAGTCCCAATATGGAATAGATGCTTTGCCCCTGGAGTCAAGTTGTTTTTCTCCATCAAATCGCCTTCTCTACATCGCGTCGCCTGGACCCGACTCAACCTCGTCCCGAGATTTGACTGTTGCGCAGTTCGCGTGGCTAGGTCAAATCTTCACCGGTCAGCGACCAAGCTTTTCTGCCACACGCTAGGTCATTCGCCTCGTTCGGCGCCATCATCGTATTCGCGCTCCGTAACGTCAGAGTGCCTTTCATGGCGCGACATCTCTAGCCTCTCTGGAGAGGGGCGTTCCCGAAAAGGTCGTCCTCCACTACTCTGCCGCCGAGGGAGGCCTGACGCTTTGGTCCCTCAGGGTGAAGAAACTATTCTCGTGACTCTGCTTCAGCCTGTAGGGTTGCAACACTGGTGCTCCGTCAAAGGGTACCTGCGTTAGCTGCACGGCATCCTGGCGGGTCAGTTGTCCTATTTGCCGAACCTGCTGGGCATCCAGTATACGGGGCAGAGAGATGAATTGTTCCAGATTGATGGCGGAGAGCGGAAATGTGGTCATTGCTGCGAGGTAGGTGGTGGTGGCAGGACTCTGACAAACCATGGCGTTCGCCAAACTCGACTACATGATATGGCCTCCTTGTGCCTTGTGCGCCCTGTTCTCCCCTCGTTTTTTTGCCTTCCACTCTTTTTTCCACGTCCACGGTCCTTAACATTGCGCTGCAAGCCTCGTGCTGGCGTCCAGTCCTTCAACAACGGGCATCTTGTAGCCCAGACACTCTTTTACTTTGGTTTTCTATAGTTTCGTCGTTTTTTCCACTCATTTCTGGCTCACCATTGTCAACATGCATACAAGCGTATCAGCCGCCAGCTTGCTGGCTATAACCACTTTCGTTTCAACAGCACTTGCTTCACCGATAGTCGGAACCCCCTCTACTCCTGCAAAACGGGCCAATGGGCTGGAATTGGCTGTCTACTGGGTAAATTCGGATTGGATGCGTTGTGGATGGACGACAAGGCTGACGTTACACAGGGACAAGGGCCAAGCCAGAATCGCCTGGCAGATTTCTGCCAGGACAGTGCCTTTGATGTCATTCCTATTGGGTTTGTTAATACCTTCCCCGACCAGGCGGGCAACAATGGATTCCCTGGCACCAACTACGGCAATGCTTGTGGTAGTCCATATTGGAAGGCTCCCGATGGCACGCAGACGAAGATGTTCACGAGCTGTTGGCAAATCGCAGAAGACATACCTGTGTGTCAAGCGGCAGGCAAGAAGATCCTCGTGTCAATAGGAGGTGATAGTCCCGGCAACTTCATCGCCTCGCAAGCTTCCGCGCAAGCATTTGCAGATTTTCTCTGGGGCGCATATGGTCCAGCACAAGATACCACCGAGACAGCGTTCCCCAGGCCCTTCGGAACCGATATTATCGTTGACGGATTCGATCTGGATATTGAATCTGGAGGTGATGCTTTCTACTCTGATTTGGTCAACGAGCTGAGGGCCAAGTTCGCAACCTACACGGCTAAGAGATTTTACATCGCTGGTGCGCCGCAGTGCGTTGTACCGGACGCGCATTTGGATAGCGCCATTACGAACTCTGACTTTGACTATGTGTATGAAGAAACCCAATTCCCGGGTGAGGGCAGGTGAAGGATGCTAACAGATTCTTGTTTAGATTCGTACAGTACTACAATACCGACAGCTGCTCGGCTGCTTCGTTGTTCTCATCTGGCTCCTTGAGCACGACTACTGATCTCTCATACGGCTGGGTCAACTGGCTCCAACAGAACTCAAAGAACAAGAACGTGAAATTGTTTGTCGGTCTTCCAGCCTCCTCTTCGGCAGCTCATGCTCAAGACTATCTTGATCTCAACAAGGCGCAGGCCCTGATCACAGCGTATGCCTGCGGAGCGCAGTATTCGTCAATATTTGGAGGTGTGATGGTTTGGGAGGCGACTTTCTCAAACAACAACCAGATCAATGGTCAGAGCTATGCTCAAAATATCAAGAATATCATCAATGGTATTTCGTGCCCTGGTCAGACTACAACTACAACGACGACAACGACGTCAATTACCACCACGACCACCACCACATCTACCACGACCTCGACCACAACGTCAACTACTACTACGACTACCACCACCACCGTGCCCACGACAACAACAACTACCGCCACCGCCACCACCACCACTGTGCCCACGACGACGACCACATCCACCACCACCACCGTGCCTACGACGACCACATCCACCACCACCACTGTGCCCGTGACAACGACTACTACAACCACCACCACTGTGCCCGTGACAACGACTACTACAACCACCACCACTGTGTCTACGACGACATCTACCACTACTACTGTGCCTGCGACATCCACGACGACGACGACGACGACGACGACTGCCGCTGCTGTTCCAACGACGACCTCGACCACCACAAGCACTGTCCAGACAACCACTACAACCTCGAACTCTCAAATTGGACCAATTGGTGGCTCGACAACTAGCAGTACCAGTACTTGGGTTTGGCCGACAACATCTAGCAGTGTGAGCACCACGACCTCGGGCTCTGAAGTTGGCCCGATCGGCAGCACCACCACAACTGCATCGACCTGGACGTGGACGAATTCCACCACCTCGTCCTCCGCTGTCGGTCCTGTAAGCCAGAGCACCACGACCTCGAGCTCGATTTCCGCGCCATGGGAAGACTGGACCACCACCGTAGCCACCACGACCTCCGCCGTAGTCAGCCCGATCAGTCAGACCACGACGACGTCTAACAGTGCACCATGGGAGGACTGGACCACCACCACCACAGCAGTCACCACGCCTGCATCGACGACTGTTGCTCCAGATTCCACAGTCACCGTCATCACGACAAAGTACATCGATGTCTGCCCGACCGGCTTGATCACGAAGACCATCACCCTGACAACGACGATTCCTGTTCAGGCAACGTCTACATCGTTTGTGTGGCCTACCGGACCAAATGGATGGCCGTCTGGTTTTACCACCACTGTCGCCGCTTGCACGGCGTGCGGCCCATCAACTATCACAGTCACCCTGACGATCCCGATACCGACAGCCACTGCTGCCATCACGGAGACGGTTGTCCCTGTCGCATCCACCCCCGCTGGCTTTGCAGAGATCAGCCCACCAGGGACGTTGTTCACCGTTACCGGACCGATTGTCACTGATACACGTCCTGCCCCGTCCACCATCCCCGTGGTGTCTACACCCGTGGCGCCCGTCGCCCCGGTAGTCCCAACCTCGTCGTCGACTGTGTCACAGGTCGTGGCTCCTGTCGCCACATCCCAGGGCGGCAACAGCGCCTGGCTGGGTGTCTCGGGCCCTGCATCCCCTACCTCGACCGGCTCGAACTCAAGCCCGGTCTCCCCCGCCGTTGCAACGTTCACTGGTGGCGCCACTTCACAGCAATTGCCCGGCGCGACAATGAGCGTTGCATTCGGAGCGCTCGTCGCCATTGTGGGTCTGATGTTTTAAACCAAAAATGTCGATCTACCTTTATTGAAGCATCACACCCTCTGAATCTTCGACTCTGACATTACCGGGGTGGTTGATCACTTGGGGCACAAAGGAAAAAGAAAGGCATGTGACGGTAAAATAAGAAGAGGCATAGTCATTCATGGAGCGTGCATAGTTTCTTTTTTGTTTGTCTATAGCTGTGTTTCCCTGCACCCTGTCAGTTCCTTTGAACAATATTTATATTTCTTTTCTTATCAACTCACTGATCGTTGACCAACTGATCATTGACAACCCTTCTTGTGACCTATGTGAGATGTAGCCAACATTCCCATACTTATGAACGTATGGCTCGGATTTCTCTGTACATACATCTTTACATTGTATTTCCTCGGAATTGATCAGTGACGGCCTCTGTGTTATTGCGTATATATGCCTGTACTTACCTATGAGTTCCTTCGAAAAGACTGTCTATCGTCCAAGGGTCCGATACAATGTCCCAGTCACTGTTCATAAATTGAACAGTTGAAGTGAGCGAGGCGACGGGAGAGGGTACATCCACCATTGTTAGCAGGCGGCTTTTAAAGCGGCATCTCCCCGCCTGAGCATTGAGCTGCCAAGCCTCGACCAGCTTTGTTTCCAATGCCTCGCCGCTTTGTGTTCGCGTTTGTTACCGGCGCGTTCACCTTGGGAAATTTACTACGGCCCTTCCAAAGCTGCAGTAGATTCAGTACATCACTTGGACTTCCCTCCCAGAGAATCCAGGAAGTGTTCAGTACCCATGATATGATCTTGTGAAAGGCCGGCGACGCGCTTCTTCCTACGTCCTTACCCCCTTCCAGCAACGCAGGCTGGCCCGCCCCAGACCGTGATCTCAAAATGAGCATCTTCGGTGCTTCCACCGCACAGCCCGCAAAGCCAGGCTTGTTCAGCTTCAACAACCCTACATCTACCCAGCCGGCTGCGCAAACCTCACTGTTCGGACAATCTCAGACACAACAGAACAATGCTCCTAGCTTCAGCTTCGGCACTTCACAGCCACAGCCCCAGCAAAGTGGTGGCTTGTTCGGTACGTCAACACAACCACAACAAGGCGGAGGTTTGTTTGGTGCATCGCAGCCTCAACAACAGTCCGGAGGGGGCTTTTTTGGTGCGTCAAAACCTCAAACTGGGGGCCTTTTCGGTAGTTCCATGCAACAGCAACAAACGCAGCAGCAGCAGCAGCAGCAGCAGCAGCAACAGACTGGAGGATTGTTTGGGACTTCGACACAGACCCAGACCCAGACGCAGCAACAGCCACAACAAGCACCGTCACGTCCACTTGACCAGACGTTGAGATTCGGCCAGTCTCAACAAGGGCAGATGGAGTCGCAGTCAATGTGGGAAGAAGGTCGCGGGTTGAACGTTTACAGATCAATACCGGCTCAGATGACCATTGTCAAAAACAAATGGGATCCGACGAGTTTGTCATCTCCCCTGCGGACGTACCTGTATCAACACGTTGAGACCGAAACAGAAGCTCTCAAGTATAGGCCAGGGCCGGGGGAGGACGAAGACAAGTGGGAGGAAGCGGTTTCCAAACGGCCTGGGCCTGAATGGGTGCCTCTTCTCATCCAAGGTTTTTTCCAGCTTGGTCGAAAGGCCCAAATCCAGATGGAAGCAATCCAAAGATGTAACATGATGCTTCAAGAAATCAATACCTCGCTTGATGTGCAACTCGACAAACATCGCCAGAACGTGGCCACGAGACTGGAGGAGAGCAAGAGGAGGCAACTGGCGACAGCGCGGCGCATCCTCTCGCTGGCTGTGAAAGTGCAAATCCTACGAAACCGTGGCTATGTCATGGATAATTCCGAAGAAGAGTTGAAGACCAAGTTGGAGAAGCTGCAACGAGTAGTATTCGATCCAAGCCTCGATGCAAGAGAGCAAGAAGTTTGGGCACGCATGTTGAGTATCCGGGAACGAGCGAAAAGACTCAAGATGGAGATGGAAAAGCTCAAACCTGTTGCAAAGGACGAGGACAGCGTCTTGGATGAAGAAACGGTCAAAGCCGCAAAAAGAGTACGTTATTTCCAGCCCGGTCAAGGACTAGACCCTAGCTAACTGTCTTTTCAGACACTCGAAGCGCAAGATGTACAGTTGCGACACTTGCACAAAGAATTAGAGCTTGTTCAGCAAGGATTTGAAGATTGGGAGAAAATCTCCAAAGAGAGGGATAGTGAAGCTCCGCGACGCAGATGAGACGTGCCCTTGATCAGACTACGAGCGGCTTCCACGCTGCCATGATGTGCTTCTGTTTCACGCTTGAGATGGTGAACGGATACGGATAGGTGAAAACAAGAGATTTCTTTGCATAGCGATGCTGCGATTTGGAACTGTCGATAAACGGAGATTATTTTGAGGCTCTATCAATGGAGTACAGGCCATTTTTTTGCCAGCGTGTATCGCCACACGCTGAATATCCTGCTGATAATGTACAACATCATAATGTACAACGGAGACTTGGTTCCTTTCCCTGATCAGTTGACTAGGTGTGACTGATATCTCCGCTGAGAAATTGTCACCTCTTGACTTCTGCGTCAGGTTGACAACTAGGCATCGACACCCCTAGAACAACTTTCGAGCCCATTCAATCACATGAGGTGCTGTCGTGGTGTTAGTTTGTGGTTTTTTTTCTTTCCTTCCATCTTTTGGACCCGGTCTGAGACTGTTTGGACGACAAAAGCATCGATGGGATCGGCAACAACGTACAGAACCATAATGCTATGCATGCAGCGGTGAAAGTCTGCACCCCAACCGCAGCTTTGGCTTCACCTTCGCGGATTTCCTTTTCGGAGAGATGTTCTTGGGCTAGAGGTTGTCATTAGCACGGGTTGTTGAGCATCGGGGTGAAACTTTGTTGCAATACTCACGTCCGGCGAACATTGTGAGAAGGCTATGACGAGCTTGGAGCGATTGCTGAAAGATTGCTAGGTTTGCGACTCAGGGCGTCTGATACTGTGACTTGATGGGCATCGAGACTGCGCTTTTGCGCAAATATTGGGATTGGGCTCGGCAAGCCTTCCTTTGTAGCGTCCCACAACTGCTCCTCTTCAGACGCCCCATTTATCGTACTAACTATTGGCCCGGAGATGAAGTACTGCAATACTGTACGTCTTCATCGAGTCCGTGATCATCTAACGAAATCCACCGCTATGTACAGAATATCAGCGGTACAGCATCGGAAAGCACGTATCTACCAGGATCTGCCACCTCTTTGTCACTTCGGCCTATGGTAGCCGTCAATCCAAAGCTCCGGGCCATGTTTCCGTACGCTGACGACGCTTGCAAGATCACGATCATTCCACGCTAGCACGGAACGCCAACGTGATGGACGACGACGGGCACTTTGAAATGGAAAGCGGAAAATCCCAGACCCAACCACCGAGTATTCACCTTAGGCTTCTTCCGGTGGCTGAAAATGCGTGACGAAGCACAGATCGTATACCTCAAGCCCAGTGACACCCAGCTGGCTGCTTATTGGTGTGACAGAGACCCCTAGCACGGGCTTCGCCCAAAGAATGCCCTAGAGCTCGTCTTCCTCTGCACCTGTCATGATTCGAATCGGCTCAGCCACTGATGGTCCTACGGCAAGACTTTGCATGTCGCTCTGATTGCAACAGAGCCTCCGCAAGCCCATGCCAGACCGCTCTTCGGACTTGTAACCCTCCACCTGGCTTTGGGGTGCCGCCCCCGTTTATAGCAGTTGACGCCTTTCTCCGTAAGAATGAGCAAAGCTGTTCTTCCTTCTCCTTCATCTCTTTCCTTGCATCCAATCATCGCTTTCGCTTTACTAATACGCCGCTCCGCCATTACTTGTTGCCAATTTGATATGCACCAGCCTACCTCTTTCACTGGAGAGACTCATGGCTTCGACAACGGACCCTACAGCTCAGACGGCTCAGAGAGCTAAACAGGAACGCCTCCGAGAGAATCAAAGACGCAGTCGAGCTCGCCGGCAAGAATACCTTGTCGAATTGGAGAAGAGGCTGGAAGACTGCCGCGTCACATGCCGCGAAGCAAACTATCTTCGAGAAAGCTTTCAAGAGCTTCAGGCAGAGAATCAGCATCTTCGTGAACTTTTGAACCATGCGGGTATTGGTCCAGCTCCCTTAAATTCGTTTTTACGCCGGCTTTCTCAACAAGAATCTTCCCATCCAGACAATAGTGTTCCAGCGAGCACAAACCTACGGCTACTCAAACCGAAGCTCAGTCCTCTCGATCTGGCCGCAGACGAACATCAACCTCATCATCCGAGCAGTCACGAAAGACAGGTTACTTCGAGTGTTGTTCAGCCCAATGGATCAAATGATCAAGCTGCCGTGTTTTTGCCATCCTCATGCTGCCCTCCAAGATCCCAGACTTCTACATCCTCAAGCTGTCCTCCAGGATCCCAAACTTCTACATCCTCATGCTGTCCTCCAAGATCACAAGCTTCTACTCCTTTGGAGTCGGCACCTGGCGCGCTCGACGGATTAGGTGTTCAGGACCAACCTGGTCTGGCAGCAGCATCTATTGACAATATCGAGCACATTCCGTCTCTATCATCAGGGGATCCTCTAGCGCTTGATTGGCTTTTTAATCTCTCAGATTCTTCTTGGGAGAATTTTGCAGGACATTCTGTAGAACTCTTGCTCAAGGAAAAAATGGAACCGAGCGAGTCAAATATCTAAGCCAAAAATTATTTCTGGTGAGTAAAGGAAGAGAAAAAAACACTAAAATCAGCGCGGAATCCCAACTTGGTTCTTATCACGGTGTCAACCGGAGGTTGCTCGGCGAGGAATATGGTGGAAAATTGTCAGAACAATTTTGGTCGAATTTTCTTTCTATATATCGCAACAGTTTCTAAGCGGCTCCTTGTATTCGACCGAGTGTGTAGCTACTGAAATAAACTGTCTGGCATTTATTTGGGGCGGCCAATCTAATGACGCCAGTGGCAGCCACACTGACTACTTATGTTGAATGCGCTTGGTAGGTTATGCAGCCTTCTCCCTCTGTGATGTCTTGATAGCTCACATTTTTCAGGTCCAAGGTGGTTTTGGCATGTCGACATCGAGCATCGACATCCTTGTGCGAATTTCGAGGCAACTCTTGGACAAGAACGTATAGGGGATAACGCCTCGGCTCCTAACTCCCAGCAGGGTCCCCATGGACAGTCAGGGGCAGGTCTGTCGTACTTGAGGCGATTGACTTTGCAAGAAGACGTCGACGGTTCCAGAATAGAACGGCTTCCATCCCTGCCACTACAACAACCGAGACAACAGCTGCACCGGCTGCCATTGCCGTGGAACCGTCAAGCAAGAAACCCCTAGCGCACGATCAGAAGATGAGAAGACGCCTTTCCGAACCCCTAGGGCGGAAATGGAGCGGACTTACAATACAAGGTTGACCATGCCGAGCCAAATAACTCCCCTTCCAAGTGCGATGTGCATATACGATACAGAAGTTCTCTTCCCTAACTTCTTGTACTGCATATGATGCCAGTAGCCAAGCTGCCCTTGAGCGAGCGCTAGGACTATAACAACGATACCGATGATCTGATGAGCTGCGGAAAAATGCCGCCATTCGATGCCGAGGATACTGAGGGCGATTGCAACGCCAAAGCCAACGCTTGATGCAGTTAAACTGATGAGTTGCACAATCCAGTGCGTTGTGAAGGATCGAAACGCTCTCAGAGTAAGGGTGCCCAATGGGAAGGCTATCACGAAAGCCAATCCCAGCAAAACAGCATGCAGAATGACGAGGTCGTTGATATAGCCCGGCTGGGCTGTGGCGTGGATATTGGACGTGCCGGAAATCGACGGTATATTGGAACTCATTGTGACACTTTTGGTCATATCAGTGAAGAAGACACCTGTACGCGCACAGCTTAGCGTTCGCCCTTGCGGCAGCATACGTCAATTTGGCCTTTTTTTCGTACCATCGTGGGAATGCTGCTTTATGTCGGCGTCCTGAGAGCTAGATCTCACAGGATCACCAGGGCCTATAGCCCAGATCCACGGCTGTGCCGAAGACGCAATATCGACCGAGTTTCTCGAATATCTCGTACAGTTCAGACACTTGATGTCTGCGGTCAGGGTTACACCGTCATTCGAGGCGTTGACGATATTGTAGCTGAGTTTGCTGGATGGTTCTGGGGTATCGTGGCCTCTTTTCTAATTCTCAGAAACGTGCTGAATGAAGGAAGGGAGAAGGGAGTCGGCCATACTTTCCGGTTCGAACACTTACTGTTGCATCTATCGCTGGTCAGTCACAGCGGAACAGAACAGTGTCGGCCCAGACTAGCTTTGGAATGGGAAAGTTACCTCCTGGATTGTCAGAGGCGTAGAGGATGAACATGAGCGATCCGTCCATTTTGTCACCTGTACCGACAGCACCCCAGCCAGCCTCGGAAGGTACACGCAGTTGGAAGAGTAATTCGTCCGGAGAACCATTGTGTTCGCGGAGCGTGGATAGGGCGAATCCGAGTCGTGACGATTTCTCATAGAATTGGACGAAACTGCAAGCTGATGCTTGGATGAGCACTGGAAAGCCCTATGTCAGCGGGCTTGCAATGGCTGGAAGGGGGGTTTCCCCCCGGGTGGTAGACAGGCACGGATCCGAGTATATCGCAGAGATACTTACGCCAGATGACATGCCATCGCAGATCGATGCAGTATAATAACATCGAGATGGCTTGGGTCCAACAGTCCGGAAGAAGAGACAACAGCTGCCACGAGGAGTGGACTTACTGGCGACGACGGCGAGAAAATGTATAGGTTTGCGATGAGAATGGTCGATGCTTTATTTATGGGCAGGCTGGACTTGTATCCGGGGCAAGACCGCGTTTTGTAATGTATATAAAAGTCGCAACATTGTGCACTAAGAAAGTTTTGACCATTGCCTGCGCATGGTTCAATCCCACCCAGGAGGCACCATGTCGAGGTCTATCCATTCACGTCGGTCGAGAGTGTCACTCTCGGCCTTACAACACATCGTTACATGGTCTGATATCGGGGAGAGGACATAACAGTGGCCCAGTGGTTGGTTCATTTGAGCGATGCCTGCATTCCACTGGGTCGGGACAGGGGAGGACATCGAGCACAACACGCAACACTGTGGTGGCAGTGCTGTCTGGAACGTCAGTAAACTCCACTAGTGACCATGTCGAGAGGTTCTTCTAAGCAGGGAGGCAAGGGAGAAGAAGTCAGTCGACGTGTGAGTCTCAGAGGCGAGGCAGCGAAAGGAAAAGTGTGGTTGCAAATACACTCGTGGTGATTGGGTAGGCGAATATGGTTGTGAAAAAAGTGGTGGTTGTATCGGTCCCTCAAATTCGTTCACGAAATTAAAACCCGATACCAAAAGCGATGCTAGTATCGGATTAGCGCTGTTGAAATAGATTTTGCATGCTCGGACTGTGAGTGTAATGAGTACGGACACTACTACGTACTCCCACGCCGCTCTGTACAAGGTGACTGAGCCGATGAATTATGCAGTTCGCGGGCCCCGGAGATGTGTCTGCCGTAAATGAGGCTTCTCACTTGAAAAATCCACGCCAGCCGGTGCAGCTGTAGTGCCCATTCTAGATCACGATGGTGGTGGTGGCAGACCAGAGAGAGTTTCTGATTATCTAGGAGCAAAGTTGGGTCGAGACAGAGTTGGAATTGTCAGTTTACCCATCTCCGCAAGCGACCGTTGTGGCCTCAATGGCATTGTGCACTGATAATATGGTCAATTTGTGGCGATGAGGGCTCATTTTAAAGCCTTTCAAGCGCTGCGCATTTTACTTCGAGGATCTCAGATGACAAAGTTCGACGTCTTAAAGTTACTTCACAAAAAGATCGCTAGATTCTTGTGCAAAGCCTATCTACTGTGTTGTACTGTATGTGCTCCGTAGAGCCTTGTCAAGGGGGCGGAACAAGGCTGCGACCCCGAGTCAGACAGCCGCGAATCACGTGCATGAATGAATCGAATGTCCTTTGACTTGGCAGGTGAACCGGATGTCAATGTGTCTGCAAGTCGTCGTTACTTGCTTTGTTCTTCTCGTAAACGCCTCCTCAACTTCTCTCCAGCGCCATTTCCCTTTCGATTTAAGATAAGCACTCCACGGTAATCTCCTCGTTGACCTTCTTACATCAAAATGTCGGAATCTCCATCCGAGAGACCTCCTTCAGATGCCGAAGGACTGGACAGACCCTCAGAGAACGAAGACCAACTCGACGATCTGAATGATGAATTCGACGATCCTTCCCGAGCAGACGCAGAAGATCCGGACTCTGACGATGAATCTCTCCTCTCTGAAGTCGACGAGGCGCAATTCGCAGATTTTGATCCAACTGCAGTTCAAGTCGCCCCCGATTTCGACACACTTAACAGAACGCTCAAAGTAAAGAAGCGAAAGAGAGCCGAGGGAGAGGAAGACGCGCCCAAGAAGAAGAAGGAGAGAACAAGAGAGAAGGCTAGAACCAACCAGAAAAAGCAAGATAGTGACGATGGCTTTTCTGGCGGGGAACAGATCGAAGGCAAGCGACGTGGAGGCAGAAAGGGCGGTGATGGCGAAAGAAGACCTAAGCCCAGGGTCGAAATCGACGAAGAATCGTTGACCCCGGAGGAACGGAGACGGCGTGCGCTGGATCGGGCCATGGACGCAGCGGTCAAGAAATCATCCGGCAAGAGACTACGGAAGGGTGACATTGTAAGTTGACCTTTTTAGCATGTGCAAGTGATTTCTCTAACTGGTGGAAAAAGGACCTAGAGCAAGCTGCCGACCAAGAAATCGAAGAGATGCGCAACCGAATGATCGCGGCGGCAGAGGCTGACGGAGACCTGGTTCGACAAGGCCTCCCTGCGTCTCAAAAACTCAAGATGCTCCCAGAAGTTGTCAGCTTGTTAAACCGCAACACCCTGGTACAGTCGATTTTGGATCCGGAGATGAACCTTTTGGAAGCCGTACGATTCTTCTTGGAACCACTCAGTGACGGCAGTCTTCCGGCCTACAACATCCAGAGGGAGTTGTTCGCAGCTCTGTCGAAGCTTCCAATGAACAAGGAGACGTTGATATCTTCGGGTATCGGCAAGGTCATGCTGTTCTACCGCAAGTCCAAGAGAGCAGAGCCCACGATCAAACGACAGGCGACGAAGTTGATGGAGGAATGGTCCAGGCCTATTCTACAGAGAAGTGACGATTATACCAAGAAGACGTGGGCCAAGGCAACTTACGATCCGTACAAGAGGAGAGACGATCTTGGTCAACCTGCGGTCGTGCCCAAGGCCACCGGTAGAGTGGCTCCTGGTCAGAAACAGAGCAATAGGGCGAGATTGTTACCAGGTGCTACGAGCTACACTATTGTACCCGAAGTGTCTACGATAGTGAGGCGGTGAAGAAAGAAAGCACATGTTGACGGTCATGGGGTTACTGAAGTGGGATGGCAGATGGTGAAGTCATCCTAGCTGTTGAATTGGTTTAAGAGCATTGCTCTGTGCTTGCGGCAGGCTGGCTTCTGAATAGGCATCGTCGAGTTGTGATATCTTTCACCAAAAGGTACAAAAACAATCACTGTTTTTGAGCGAAGTTTGGTCATTCATCCGCATGCCCCATAGCACTGCTGCGCCCGCGTTCTCTCCTGGGTGTTTTCTTTTGGGATATTGAATGGGCATGCGTTAACAAGAGGAATAAGACACGGTCCCAATTCTTCGCTGCCTCTTTCATGTCAGTCATGGCCGTCTTCCAATGATGCCTTTCTTTCCAGGCAACGAAACACTTTCACCTTCTCATCTTCCTCTTCTTGGACATTCGCTTCACGCACTGGGAGCGTTTCATTTGTTCACAGAAGACTGTTCCCCAGAACTAGGACGTACTGCTAAGCAATAAGTTCCAAGTTCAACAATCAAACCTCTTCCGTCTTCCCGCCTCATTGGGAACACAACAGCCCACCATCTCTCACTGAGTGGCAAGCTCTGTCACTCGTGATCTCTCGTCTTTGGGGGCTAGGGATCCGCAAGGGGGTCCAGTGGGAAGAGGAGCAGAGAAAGGGCTCCATGATGGTGATGACGATGGATAATGACACGGCGCAGTCAACCAATGATCCTACATCTCGAGATGGTGATGGTGATCGAAGTCCAGATCCAGAGCCAAGCCAGTATCCATCTCCAGATCAAGATTCACATCCACTCCTGACATCCCTACCACTGGAAGATTCAGAGGACCTAGGTTCAGACGCCTTTATATTCGCTCCTGAACTGTTTCTCCAACCTCCTCCGGACCAAGAATCCGGTGGTCCGTCTTCGTCGTCATCATCACCGTCACCGTCTCAGACAGTGCTGATAGGGGAGACGGTGACGACGACGACGACGACGAGGATATCAGACCATCATGGGCACGAATGCGGCCATGCACGTCAATCAGACACAAACGTTGCGGCGGAGGAGTCTTCTTCACCCAGAGGAGAGCCGAGACTCGAGGAGACGGCATCGTCACGGGCGGAGAATATCAGCGTCGGAGACGAAGTGTTCATCCTGGACGCGCGCGGAAACAGCATCGTGTCCACGGACGCCGTTGACCCGGCGCAACTGCTGCGTGTGTGTCGTCAGCAGAATGACATGGCTGGTCTCGCTGATTGTGCGGCTCACCCTCGCTCTCGCCAGGGTTATACTTGTGGTCAAGGCAATGGCAATGGAAATGGCACCTCGGCGTCCATCTACATGATGACCGGCACGCTGGAGATACAAGGGGTGGGACTGGCATACCATTTCGTGCCGACGGGGGCGGTCGGGGGACGAGCTCGGGCGGCCTGGCGTCGAGAGGCGATTGTCAAGGTCAGGTTTCGAGCTGGACAACACGTCAGATACACCGAGGACGGGACCGAATGGGCGGCACTGGTCGAGAGCGCCGAGGTCGTCGACCATAGGCGCTGCTATAACCTGTTTCTGCCGGCGTCGGGATCTGGCCGAGTCTTGGTCACCGATGAATTTTTGAGAGAGGTGTAGGTTGGTTATTAGATGAGAGTGTGTGTGATTCAGTCAGCGCATACGCGGGTACGTGCCGGGTACCAAGTAGTTCAGAGAACAATGAGACCATGAGAAAGTTGGACAGTCAGAGGGTGGGAGACAGTCTGTATTCATTTTGGAAGAGGTCTTGGTCGTATTAGTTCTGCGGCGACCATATTGCGTGCGTGGCCGTCAGACTCAGTCATGAAATAGGTACCTAGTAGAACCGCCCAGGTAGGCGTGCGTATGGTGTATAGTGTCTCCGCCCACTCCGAGGCCAGAGAGTGGTAACGCTACAAATCATTGATAACGTCGTGAGATGTGGAGTAGTAGTTGGAGTAGTAGTATTGTTCGTAGAGCGAGATGAGTGTACAATACTTAGGTATGATCGTGGTCGTTTCTCGTTGTAAGACCTTCACAAGGCTGGCTGTGTTCCAGTACAAGGTTGCGGCACATGGGCGGGTCTACCTTACCTACTGTAGGTAGTTCAGCAGTTAGCCACTCAACTCACTTAGGTGCCTATGCAGCAGCGAGACAACAACAACAACAATAGTCACTTCTGGACAAGTTTTAGTCAGTGACTGACTGTTCAGCGTACATTTTTGTTCAGGCCTGGTGAAACACAAGGCCACTGTTGATTACCACGAGGCCTTTTTTTTGGTCTTGTGGTTATTACCGAAGACTCCCGTACTTCTTACGAGAGTGAGAAGAGCAGACGCCGCGGGCTTTGGCAAGGAGTGGAATCGCCGACTGTTTACAAACAACAATAGCAAAAAAGTCACACCATCAATACAGCCATGACCGAGAAACATCACCTGTTTCAACTTTCAAGTAGCCAATTTTTTCTTGGGTCGTCGTAAAGATAATCCTTTTTGTGTGTATGGGTTTGGTTGCCCGTGGGAGGGACGAAGAATGAATTACCCTACACAACTGATGTAAGCAGCATCACAGTACTCCGAAGATTCGCCTTCTCGTCGACGTTTGTCAGGTCAACTACCTATTTGGCAGGTATAGATTGCTGTCCGCGGAAAATGACCAACGCTGACTACGAGTACGACCGGCGAAGCGAGAGCAAGAGGGAGAAGAGACGTGGGTGATTGAAGGCGGCAAAACGTTTTACAGGCCGTCGGTGGTTTCCCGGGGGGGTGAGTGGTTTAACCAATTGTGAAGGTGTTTAGGGGGCGTTTCTAGGTATTGTAATCCCTAATCCTCGCCTGAGCTTTTGGCACCTACAAGGCTACCCAGGTAGGTAGTCGCCAAAGTATCCGTACCTACAATACCAGTGAGTGATGACCTAATGGCGCATCTGTAACCGCAGCTGCACAGTCAGTAGCGAGCACAGTAAGCAGACACGAGTCCCCTGTATCCGTACGGAGTTATCTACTGTACTACCCGTACGAGTAGAGTCGCCGTACTGGTAACTGACGGGGATTGATGTTAGGCGGGTGCCAGGCAATACATACAGCCACTTCAGTTCCCGAGACGAGACTTTTTTTCACCTCAACCCCCCAGTGAACCTGATGTCATTCGGGTGCAGACGAAAAGAGCACATCACAATCAATATATATAAAAACTTCGGATATCGTAGTGTCTCTTCTCTTTACTGTCTATCCACACAAGAAAACCACACCCCCCAGTATCCCCTCCCCTGTCTACTGCTGCATCCCTGTACAGCAAAACTCGTACGAGGCTTTCAAACCAGCTTAGTCACTGCTTTGATATCGACTCTCTCCATGCGCCTGTGGAGAAAGCTCCAATCCAAATCAAACCAGGTCTCGCATAAAACACCCGGGACGAGTACGAAGCACACTCGGGCATTTGATGACGAGGTGGAGAGCTGAGCGCATCATTAAATAACTACATTAATACCGACAACAACTCATCCTCATCCATCCTCATACAAATCCTTCCCAAGACCACCTTCTCAAAACCCCACCCGACACATATTCTCGTCGTCATGAAGCTCCTCACGAAAGAACAAGAACGGGAACACTACCGGCAGACGCTCAAGGGCGGCGCCATCGGCGGCACGCTCGGTCTGGCCGTGGGCACGGCGGGCGTGCTCCTCGCGCAGCGGCGGTACCACTTCTTCCGCAACCTCACGCTCCCGCTCAAGGCGTTCCTGGTCACGTCGGCGGGCACGTTCGCGGGCATCGTCAACGCCGACTCGTACAGCCGGGCGTACGAGATCCAGTCGAACCCGATCGACGTCGAGTTCCACGCGCGGCAGGCCGAGCGGGAGAAGGCCGAGCGGGCCAACAAGACCTTCACCGAGCGCGCCATGGACTTTGGCCGGCGGGAGCGCTACAAGATCGTGGCCGGCTCGTGGATCGCCAGCATGGGCATCGCCTTCGCCATGGTCAACCGCAACAAGTACCTGACGGGCGCGCAGAAGATCGTGCAGGCGCGAGTCTACGCCCAGTTCCTGACGCTGGGCGTGCTGGTCGCCACCGCCGCCTTCGAGATCAGCGACAGCCGCAACTCCCAGGGCCGCTGGGAGACGGTGCGCTACATCGACCCCTCGGACCCCGAGCACAAGCGCATGCTCGAGAAGCAGGTCGAGCGCGACGCCCCCAGCCAGGGCGGCGTCGGAAACCCCAACGACGACCTGTGGAAGGAGATGGTCGCCGCCGAGGAGGAGAGGATCAAGGAGCGGGAGGCCCGGCACAAGGAGCACGCCGCCCGCGAACATCACAAAAAGAAGAACGGCCACGAAGAAAACAAGGAGGAGAAGTAAAAGAGAGAAGGAAAAAAACAACTTCATCGTCGAATTCTGAACGACCGCGAACCAACAAAAAACAACACAAAACGGACACAACGGTGTTGGCCGGCTTCAAAGCAAAGTTTCAAACCCACATGATCCCATACGTACTCCTTTTCACCTTTACTCGCTTGTTGTTGCTTGGTTTTTGGCGTCTCAAAAAGTTGAGATCTGGACAAGGCTACCTGCCCCTTTTTTAAGGACCTTGCCTTGCCTTGCCTTGCCTCGCCAGATACAACGTTTCAGCTTTTCTAAATTCCCTTCCGGGGGCGACCACTTCCCACACTCACAGACCTGCCTACTACACCCCTACCATCACTCACTTCACGACCTTCACACGTCGACAGCCAAGAACCCAGACCGCGGTCCGGGAGGTCAACGGCAAACAAATACCTCAAATTGTACAAAAATTCCCCCCACGAAAGCAATCACAAGGTCACACAGTCCATCATCTATCGACCGATCAACCTTGTCGTCGTAAAGACCTCTTTTTCCCTCTCTCTCTCTCTCTCTCTCTTCACCTGATGTGACCAAGTCTCGACAAGGGACAAATTGACGATTTGTCAAATATGGGTGTTTCTAGAGCACCTCGTTTTTTTCTCTTGTCGTCTCTTTGGTCTTTGGAGGCTCGTATTGTCTCTGGGACCCCGGGTGACTGTGGGTCTCCATGCAGCATTGGACTATTGGCACGAACGTATTCTGAAGGATCTCTAATGATGGCGGATCATGAGAACATACATAGTGTTATTCTTGATAGAATGAAAAAACATTATACATCACATTATTTGCTCTTTCTAACGTAGCCCGATGCCAGATCTAGTCTAATCCAATCGAATCCCCACCTCCAAGGTGGTCAGTTGTACAGTGCTCGCCGAGTACAATGCGTTCCAAAGAACGCCCCGAAACAAAAGGCAAGTCCAGGCTTGGTTCGTAAACCAACAAGAGCGGGTAGAATTCTACCTACGCCTATAGGTAGTCCCCCCGCTCTACATTGAATCATCCCCGTCGATTCCAGACACGACGGCGGCCAGACCGCACTCGCTATCCGCGGCTCGCTTCGTCCAAAAGATTCTTGTCCAGCGCCAGCCAGTTGGCCGCAACGCGCAGGCCGCGGATCCTCTCCATTTCGATCCGGTGCCAATCCCATTCTCCAGCATGGTCAACCTTGGTCAATGGCATCAGCGGCTCACTTGCGGGAAGAAGTTCGTCCGACACCTTCTGGGCAGCCTTTTCGAGTTTATCCACGACGGTGGAGGTGGCTTCCACGACCGGAGTAGCGGGCACCGGTGCGGGTAGCAGACCTTGAGGCACAGGGGTGGCCATCTCAGACGGATCTTCTTGAAGGGTCGCAGCGGCCGAATGCGAGTCTGACACCACCGTAGTTGTAGGCGTGTCTGAGGACGACCCTCCTGAGCTCTCTACCGACTGGCCCGCGCCAGACTGGTACGTCTCCGGCTTTTCTGGCAACCAGCCCGCCGTCATCAGGCAACGTTCCGGCGACACGGTGAACCTCCCCTTCTTGACGACGTACTTGCTCAGAGCGGACGCAAGCACCACTTCCTGTTTGCCTTTCGTTGCAGGCCGGACAAAGTAACTGGCGATGACGAACCATTTCTTGTCCCACCCCAGAACCCGCGACCGCACCTCGTAGCGTTCGTACGGTTTGATCTCTCGGTGGAAAGAGGTATGGACGCTGCCCAGGATCACCGCCGACCGGCCCTTGTGTTCTTGTTCTTCGAGGGCCTTGATCCCCTTGTCGCGGTTTGGCATCAGAATCCTCGCCATCAGCGCCATCCTGCTCTCGTCGAGGTCGGTAAAGTACGTGCTGTTGCTCTTGTGGAGGTTGTAGTCTGTCTCTAGCAGCGGCGCCCGGGAAAAGATGGACACGTACCCGAACAGCGGGTAGATCTTGTCGGAGTCGGCTGACGCCTTGATGGCACGCTGCACCTTGGCTGGCGTGAAGGAATTACGGACGAAGCGGTACGCGAGCCGTAGGTGCCATGCTAGAGGAAGACATTTGAGGTTGATCAGGGCCAAAACGATTGCGAGGGTACGCCATGAGGCGAGCGAAGAGACCGAAGGGGCCATGTCTGCGAGCATTGATCGGTCGGATGCAGTCAAAGAAAGAGCACTCGAAGTGGGATCGACGAGTCTATGCGACGAGTAGCGGGAAAAACGCAAAGGAATGCAAAAGGAGAAAAAGATTCGGTCAATAATACCCTTGGCTATGCGTAAATGGTGCGCATCTCTTCGCCCACCTGCTAATCCATGGCCAGATTGAAAGTCGATGGGAATGGAAGTTTGGAGTCCAGTATTTAGAAATCGAAAAAGTGACGGTCGCAGGTGCCTCGGCCGATTCCCCTGATTACTTTAACCCACCCTTTCCTAATAAGTCATGTAATGTATGTACTGTACCAGGCATGCAAAGTAATCCCAACGTAGTCACTACTGCAGAAACACAAGCAGCAAACATGCAAGATTCGTTGAATGCCGGAACTGATCCAGTAACTGTGGCCATTTTTTGAGCTATTCCTGGCTCCAGTCAGGCCAAAACTGAGAAGCAACCATCACTATATACACATGTATCATCGAATCATTCAATTGCGTGGAAAATACACCAAATCAAGCTCCTCTTCGATTGTTCGTAGACATCAGCGTGATCTTCTTCTTCTTAGCTCTCTTGCCCGTTGTTCCTACAGCCTTGCTTCCATCGTTGAGACTTGCCTCGACCATAGCTACCGCATCGTGCTCATCCAACAGGTCTTTCTCCCAGCCCTGAAGCCATCCATCATCGTGCGTAGGTTCATGGGCGGCAGTCAGCGGAGGCGATGTCGCCATCACAGCTGCCGTGCCCCATACCGTTCTAGGAGCATCGGGGCTGGTTCCGGGAGTGGTCAGGGCAGCAAAGGACGAGTGGGTCCTTGTGTTCCACGGTGGTGTCGTGGCAAGTCCAGATTCCCCAGGCGAAGAGCTGGGATGAGTGTTGGTGTCAATCAGAGGTCGAAAATCTGACTCGCTGAAGCTCCTAGGCGCAGAGCTCTCCCTCCTTTGCCTTCTGACGGGGGCCCATCGCTTATCGTCCTCTTCTTTCTCTGCACGGATTCGATCCCTCTCTTCTCGTGCCTCTCTCTCTGAATGACGCTTTCGTCTTCTCACGATGTCATCTTGGAACTGCTCTAGAACGGAGGGCGGGATGATATCGGTCCAGTCGCATTCAAGGAAACTAACCTCGAAGCCGTAGGGCAAGTGTGCCATATATTTAGCTCGTTTCCTCAGCTCATCGTCCACGATATGTCCTGTCGAGATGTGTTCTACTCGTGGTAGAATCGTCATTGGAAAAGTCGAGAAATCGCCGTAAGCTGTCTTGAGAATGCGAATGTCTAGAGGTGAAAGAAAGAAATTCGGTAATGCGTGGTAGAAGTAGAAAGCATGCGACTGAGAACGCATCGTGCCGGTATTGGGTTGTAGCGTATTCGAGGGTGAGGTGGAAATGGAAGAGCTCTCTCCCACCGTCAAGGACCTCATGGCGCTGGCCAAAGCGGATGGTAGTGGCTGATCGGCCGTCTCCCATGATTCTGGGATTTCATCATCCTTTTTGACCGTGGTAGATGTCGGGGGAGGATTACCAAGACCTGCCAGTTTCTGTTGGGCATCCTCGATAGCAAGCACAGCCTTCCGCGTCCAGGTATTCTCGTCGCCGAACATTAACTCGTCTTCCCTCTCTTGAGCATCAAGAGCCACAATTTCTTGGTCGTATTGGGACCTCATGTACTCTTCACCACCTTTCATAAACCGGGCATACTCCATGACTGCAGCAACATGAAACCAAGGAATGTCATCCGCACGTCCATAGCCACTTGCAGTCTCGCTAGGAAGAGCAAGAGTCTTTCCAGGTTCACGCTTGAGCAGTTTGAGGAGTACGTCTCCACCTTCTCTTAACATGCTTGCATCCTGACCGGCCATCCATCGTACTGGCCTGGCCTCGGATATATAGATACTGTCCTCGCAGATGGGGCATTTCTTCCACCTTGCTCTCTTTTCAGGAACCGGATTCGCCTCGTCAGTCGCATGCATAAAGCGGATCAGGCAAGGCAGACAGAAGATATGACCACATTTGGCCATGCGTGGAGCCACAGGCGTGGACAGGCATATGGGACAGCTCGCCGCTTGTGTCTCCGCCGACGCCAACACTTGCAAGACAGCATCCCAGCTCACGTAGACATCCGCATCTGACGTCTGAGCATGGTACTCCCGATCCGGCCGCACAATAAACCTGTAGTTTGCATGGACGTAACGAGCTTTGTCCACAGCATGATAACCAGACCCCAGACCCCAAGTAGGGTTCCGCCTCGGATGACGGTGGTTGAAGTGGTGCTGATAATGATTCTGCGGCCGTGGCGGAAGAGAAAAGTTCATAAGGTGAGTAATAGAGGTTTGGCCTTTACGACTGTTGATTGATCTCATGGCTGCGGTCTCAGCAATGGCATCTTCATCCAACAACAGTCTTGGTTTCCTCTGCTGCCCCTTGTGTTGCTTCCGGAGTGCCTGGTTCGCGCGCGCCTGTGAAGTATGACGCGTAGACGAACCAGCACCAAAACTTCCTGAACTGTTACTTCGTTTGGAGGAGAGATCGACGCCGGCGGAGGACGGAGCCTGGGAGTAATTGGATGAATTCGAGGGAAACGGGAGTTTGCTTGAGGCCGGGCTTGAGGTGGCGCTGGATGACATCGCTGCGTGAATTGGGGATGGTCCTCAAACGGACGGGGGTGGTGTCTCGTCGAGTCAGCAACCAAGCAGACCAGAGTCCTCGACAGGGAATGAATGAAGGAACAGGAGGCTGGAAGGATGAGAGAGATTGGGAACAAAGATACTTGGGTTTGCCACGATCGCCGGGGCGAAGGGGATGATGGGCGGATGGGTGTAGACGGAGATGCAAGACGCGGGAGAAGATTGAGTACCTGACGCAGTACGAGGGACCCAGAGAGTGTGCATGGAGGGGAAAACAGCATGACAGAGAGTCGGAGTCATGGCCGCAGCTTACATAAGGAGAGGACAAGGAGGAGCCAGTGGCACTGTAGTAAGTAAAAGTGCAAGGTGGTTAGCCTGGCGGCCTAGTGCCAATAGTCAGTAGATACTCCGTACTGTGGTAGCTCCCTAAGGTGCCTTAGAGACGCTAGCAACTTAGAGACTCTGACAGACACTTGGAGACTCGTACAGAAATTAAACTCGTGCTCAGAAAAGCGCCAGCACCACCACCACACGGCAACCCAGACCAATTGCGCCCATACGTACAGTACACTTCGCCATTCATCATTGTTCTACCATTTTGTCTGCGCCCTCATTCAACAGTCGCCGACACCTCATTCACCATCGATCTGTCGCGACGACTTTTTCCCGCGACGGCTTCCTCGCCTCCTCCCCTCACTTCTTGCCTGTTACTCAACCTGGCCGATAATTTTAATCTCCTTCTGCGTCCGTCTCCTCGGTTCGACGACGCAACAGTCACTTCCCGCCGAGAGACACTGCTCTAGCTCTTTGATCCGAAGGACCTGAACATGGGCAGTGTCTAAGAGCCCGCGTGAGAGGACACAGGAAGACACGACGCGCATCCTCTGCAGCGAGCACAATGTACTGGCGAACAAAGTCATAACGCGATCTCAATCATGCAACAGAACCACCATCCGTACGGGCAACACCCCATGCCCATGCAGCCTCCTCAGAGGCGGCATGAAGGCTCATACCCGTCTCCCATAAGACCTCATCCAGGCTATCAGCCCTTCTATCCTCAGCAGCTGGGTCCTATGATGCCTCAATATCCCCAGCATTACGCGCCAAATTGGTACGGATATCAACAGCACCATATGCATCCCATGCATGGTCAGCGGCCGCCATATTACCCTCAGCAACCTATGCCGCCACCGCAGTATGCTCCTCACCACGGACCGATAATTGTACCCTCGCAGCCTCATGCACTTGCTTCGCCGCGTTTGCCCCAGGGTCCGTCGTCTATTGTTCCTCCTCCCCAAGCTTCCAGTTCAGCTTCGACTACGTCTACCACTCTCGTCCAGACGCCCCCTTCCCCACCTCTGAGCACTTCAAGCACTGTGAATACCAAAAAAGACGGCGTGTCGCCCTCAATATCCCCGGCTCCTCAACAAACAGTACAAAGTCCCTTGGTAGAGGTCCCCCAAGAACCATTTGAACCGCCAGTGAGTATAGTCTTGTAACACTTGTCCAAACTCAGTACTGAGCTTCTACAGATTCCGTGGTTATCAGTCCAAGATCAAGCGTTTCCCCCCCGTGCTCCTCGTCAAAGACGTCGCATTCTTCGATCCAAGCTAGGAACCTCGCCGGTGGTTTATCCTGCCCCAGAGCCCGTCGTAACAGCGCCCACCGCAGATACTGTGCCAGCGCAAGAGGAGGAACCCGCTGAAATACCGTCAACAGAGCACGCGGCGTCAGATGCATCAACAACCCTACCATCAGGTGCACCCTCCGATGCTCCCTCCGATGCTCTCTCCGATGCTGTCTCCACGCAGCCCAGTTCACTTTCGCCCGCGGTGGACGTGGCGTCTGCAAAATCACAACAGACACCCACACAACCAAAAGCCCGATTGGCAGGACCAGTTCTGCCTGCGGTACCAATCCTCCCTCCCAGTCCAACTGCTACACGGAGACCACACAGAGATTCGGCTGTATCGACCCAGACAAAGCTCTCAGAACCAGCACCCTCAGCAGCAGAGAAGGATGAAGTAGCGGCGGGAGTTGAGAGTTCAGATGACAAGCAGGGCCTTACAGAGGAGGCCTCTCCTGTCACCTCTGCCCCCGCGCCTCCCAAATCATGGGCGAACCTCTTCCGATCTAACAGCACACAGGCTGGATCTTTCGCATCGGCTGTCTCTCACCCTGCATCAGTTGCCTCCGGAACCGGGAGAAGCGAGGCTTTGTCTGACGTCCTTAACGATATGAATTCTGGTTTCGAACCTCCAACCAAGATTTCTTTTCTGAAACCACGTGGGCTTGTTAATACAGGCAACATGTGCTACATGAATTCTGTAAGTCGGCTGGCTTTCTTTCTGTCCTTGAAAGTTACCGCTAATCTTGTTAGGTTTTGCAAGTGCTCGTCTTTTCGCTGCCCTTCTACGACTTCTTGGCCAAGGTAGCTCAGAGAGCCCGCCATGCCTTCAAAAGCGATACACCCTTAATTGATGCCATTGTCATGTTTGTCCAAGAGTATCCTATAATTTGTTCCGCCAAAAACGTCGAGCAGCTCCGTCTTCAGCTGAAACCGGAGGATTATGAAAATTATGGCGATTCCTTTATTCCAGAATACGTCTACTCGGCAATAAAAGATCTGCCGCGCTTCCGAGAGATGCGAAGAGGTCATCAACAAGACGCCCAAGAGTTTCTTGGATTTCTGTTGGAAGAGTTGCACGAAGAGTGTGCGCGAGCCATGAAGACCGGCCCTGGCTCCAATTCAGGAAGAACAACCCCAGCCGGAAGCGTTTCCAACTTTTCTGAACAACCTGATGCAGAGGCCGGCTGGATGGAAGTCGGCCACAAGCAGAAACCATCCGTGACCCGATCGTCTGGTGCAGTGTCAACAGAGTCGCCTATCAACAATATCTTTGGCGGTAAACTGAGGTCAGAGCTCAAAATCTCGGGAAACAAACTGTCGGTGACTTTGGAGCCTTATTCACCTCTGCAACTCGACATTGGCTCGCCGCAGGTGCACAATATCATCGATGCTTTGAAAGGCCTAACACGACCTGAAAGTATGCAGGGTGACTTCTTCACCACACGAGGACAGAAAGCCACTGCAACTAAACAGGTCTTCATCGATACTCTACCTCCCTTGTTGATTCTTCACCTCAAGAGATTCCACTATGATAATACTACAAAGCGCGCCGAGAAGATTTGGAAGAAGGTCGGCTATCCTCTCGAGCTCGAAATTCCGAAGGAGGTTTTCCCCATGCAAGCTCGAAACAAGTACATCGCACATGGAGGATTACCCAAATATCAGTTGACCGGAGTCATCTACCACCACGGAAAGAACGCTAATGGCGGTCACTATACGGTTGATATTCGTCGTCAAGATGGCCGTGAATGGATTCGCATGGACGATACGTTACTGCGACGTATCAGAGCGGAAGATGTCGCAGAGGGTGGAAGTGAAGAGGATCCCAAGGTCTTGGCCGCTGCACTAGAGCGACACAAAACCAGCGGTAACAGATTCGAGCAGATTGATCAAGAAGAAGATGAAGAGGATGGCTCTGACAAAGTCTGGAGCCAAGTCAACGGGCACTCGAGGTCGAAATCGACGATGAGCAGTGTCGTGAATGGCACAGCAACGCCAGTAAAGAATTCTTCGGGAAAGCAGACCCCCAACCCGAAGCAAGGGATCAAGGACAACAAGGTCGCTTATCTCTTGTTCTACCAACGCATTGGCAATTAGTTTTTTGGGGTTGTAAGCCGTTATTGGCGGCTTGAAAAGCCATGCTGCATACTTTTTCCTTACACACCACTCATGCCCCCTGCTTCCCAGTTTGCAAGAGTCTTCTAGACTTCCGGGGGGGGGCAATGGTTCCAAATTTCAACTTTTCTGCCTCGTCCGAGAGGCCCGTTACCTTTGTTCGTTCCCTGTTTGGAAGGGTGACACCATGGGTTTTTTTGCTTCTTTTGTTTGTAGATTAACAAAAACAAAAGCGCAAACATTGGCGAAGGTGTATACTCCCAAAAGTCCCTGTTAAAAAAGTTGACGACGTGGAGTATGGGGAGATGGGGAGATGGAGAAGTGAGAGAGCATGGGGGTAGGTAGGTGGGTAGTGAGGATGAGGGCGATGTTGTTGTTGTTGTTTATTATGATGATGATGGGGCTACTGATGGTGGTGATGATAATACGGGGGAGGTGTGATATGGAGGAGATGAGATGTAAATGCGACAAAAGGAGAGAGATTGGGGGGCTGGAAGAAGAAGATATGGCGGCAATGTAGGCAGGCTATGTTGTATTGTGGAGAAAATATAGTGAAGAGAGGTGAGGTGAAATAGTAACCAACGACCATAACATTACAGTACATTAACTAGGTGGTGTTACTTGGGTGACGTTGATTTTTGGGTCTCCTTTCTGGAGAACGTCTGTCTCGGGGTCAGCGTTTGTACGTTGTCGTTGTCGTTGTCGTTGTCGTTCATGATGGACGACATAGAGATATCGTTTACCTATGTACGGATAGACAGGATGGATACCTGGTTGGTAGGTTGGTAGGTAGGTCTATATAGGGAGGGGAGAGGGGTGTTCCATACTCAAATGAGAGATATATATGCACTGAACAAAGAAAGACTACAGACGACGGGCGAGCGAAAAGGGGCCAAAAAAAAAAGCCCCATTGGAGGGAGGGCGTTGGGAACATTGGTTGGATTGCAAAAAAGTCATGGATTGTCTCTCATTGCACACATCATCATCATCATCATCATTGATTGTCTCTGGTGTCTTCTTGATACACGAAAAAACAAAAAAGAGAGACACGCCGCCCACGCATTGCAACGGCAACTAAATAGAGTGACGGACACCCACGGGACGTTCCACAAGACCGAACGCTTCGCTTGCATCTCCGAAGGATAGGATGCTCCAGTACTCGTCGCACTGGGGATTGATGTCGTCTCCGAAACGGGCCCAGCGTTCAATTTCCTCTGGAGACATTATGGTTGACGGCGCGGCGACGGCGGGAGGGAAAGAAGGAGAAGAAGCAGAAGCAGAAGCAGAAGAAGAACCACCACCACCACCACCACCACCACCACCGGCAGCCGTGTCTCTGACCACAGACGCAGAGGCAAACATAGACACAGAGTCAGATGTGGACGCAACCGCAGACGCAGACGCAGACGCAGGCGCAGGTGCAGGTGCAGGTGAAGGAGGTGGAAGCGGAGACGGAGAAGGGGACGGAGGAATGGCCATTAGACCACTGCTTGTCCTTCTGTGCCCGAGCCAGAGATGAGGACGCGTGCGCCGGCGGTTGAGGGCCCGGGGAGGGCTCGGTGCATCAACCGGCGTGCTTTGAAGTGTTGGCGAAGGCGCAGCTGGTGAGGGTGACCCCAGAGATGCCGTCATGGCAGTCGAGTTGTGGTGATGGTGGTGGTGGTGGTGGTCAAGATTGATTGTGTCAGTGTAGTCATCTCCCTTCTCGTCATGTTGACGATGTATTGGTTGCGGTGGTGGTGTTGTTGTTGTTGTTGCGGCGGCGGCGAATTCGTCTCGACGACGGTCTTTTTGATGTTGTTGATGACGCAGAACAAGTAGGATGACGACGCAGAAGATGAACCATGATGCTCCGAGACTGGCAAAGATGGTCGACACGATGAATCCTGTGGAGAGACGTTGATTACCGCTTTCGTTTTGGCTGTCGCTGCCACTGGTGCTGGTATGAGGCGAACCGGGAGGTAGAGAGGACGGCGACGGCGATGGCGAAGGCGACACGGTCGAGAGAAGTGTCGATGTGACCACCACTGTTACCGTGGTTGCATTGTCTGTCAAGATTACCGTGACAGGAGGAATCGGAATCGGTACTGGGACTTCCAAAATGGTGATGGTTTCGAGGGTCGTGGGAAGTGGTGAGCCGGTGGGGAGAGTGGTGAGCGCCGTTGGAACGACGATTGGGTCGACAGTTGATTTGAGAGTAACAGAGGACGAGGCACTAGATGCCGGTGCTGTAGTCGTGGCGACGGCGGTGGAAGAGGACGACGAAGTAGTATTTATCGCAACAATAGCCTCGAGTGCCCAGGCAGCTGAAGAAGAACCTGGAGCGACGAGACCAAGACCCAGAGGAAGACCGACACCGATACCGATACCGACACCGAAACAGGTTGGAAACACTGCCATGGCCGCCGCAGCCACCACGAACACGACGAGGTTATTCATGTTGTTTTATGAGAAAAATCCACAGGTCTGGTCAAGGTGTTTTTCACCACGGGATTGTCTGCTCGAGCGCAGTGAAGTGTGTCGAGGTGCGTGAGGTATGAACCCTGACAAATCCCACAACATTAGTCGATACGAACCGTATCACTCGTAGAGAGGCGCATAGATGAAGTAGTGCCAGTAGAACCCGTCTCGGTTGGGAAATATTCTGACTCGCCTCGCTCGAGGCTCACGGTGTTGAGGGCGAGACTTCATGAAAAGCTCATTCAAGGTCCCGAAGATACCGATATGGAGGACATTGGTGCGGTGGAGTGGCAAGACTCACAGCTCGGATCCGACTCTCGCTCCAGCTCTTGGTTATCGCAGAATATCGACTTTCCTTTTCCAAAGGAGTGTTGTTCTGGCAGATATCCAAATTTCGTGAAGTGACAAGAGGAGGAGGGAGAAGAAGAGAGTCATTCATGGTGCGTGAGAGGTGAAGGATAGTCCGAGACCACCGCTGCAGAGCGTTCATCATCATGTGGCAGAACGACCGCTGTGAAGCGTTTAGAATGATATGGCAATTCTGGATGGAAAGATGTCGTGGGTTTGATAACAGGTTGTATAGCAAAGGCATGTCAATTGCCAAGGCCCATTTCACAGGCTCAGCCTTGTCCGGCCCCCTTTTTTTATTGCTGGTAGAACAAGCGATGGATGCCTTGCTTGTCGTGAGTCTTTTGTGCACTACACATCTCAACAGGTGAAAGCAGGTCTCTTCCACTGTAGCAAGAGATATTCGTATCATGCAGCATTGTCGTTGACGTACAAAAGGACTGCCACTGTTGCTACCGCAGGTTCCGTACCACCTAGGGAGACGCACCTTAGCGTTCCCTGTGCCTTCGACAGCCTCATGGTACTCGCCCTATTGGTATTTTTCGTTCCAACAGATTTTAATCTTGTCTCATAACAACAGAACCCCTCTTCATTCCTGTCTCTTCATCACGCAATACTGACACGACGCCGACAACCAATATCCATTTCAGCGTTCTTGATCATTGTGCATAACAACAGGGTTCTGTGAATTATTAAATAAAGACCCTCTGAGTGCTAATATACGTAGGGAATAAAGAGATATGGAACTTGTCTCTCATACTCCTCCCATGCTTTGCCATACTTCTTCCGGCAACGTTCAATATCCCGAATGGCTCGATGGATAATCATGCAGGTGAAAAACACCGGGTAGAACCATGGGAATGGCGAATGAAATCCTGTGATGGCTCCCCAAGATAGAGCGAAGAACAGATCACAGGTGTAGTGAATTTTACGGGCGTAGCCATCTGGAGATTAACGTCAGCAAAGATAAAATGAAAGTTCGACTGCATTACTTACACCACCCATCTGCGAGAAGGACGCTACCATCCTCGGCCTTGATGACTTTCGGGTTTTCGATACTCTGCCAAGGGAGTTGAGGGAAAGCCTTCCGAGTAATAGCACCACCGGATTCTTTCGCTCTGAAACGATTCTTCTGACTGTTCGTCGTGTCCCAGACCCAGTAAACAAACAGGTAGGCTGCGTACAAAGCAACCAATGCGTACTTGTTCCAGGCATAAGTGCTGGGGTGGTGATTGGCAAGGTAGATGGTGCAATGACAATACGTCAAGGGGACACCGGCAAGATTCCAGAAGATGAGCATGAATCCCCATTTCTCATAGTACATGTCCCAGGTGGGAACGATGCACTCTTCACCCTTGGCACAGGCGTTGGCGTACAGAAAGTGAGCCAAGAGAAGCAATCCCACTTCTCCAGACACGTAGCCATATAGCTCGTGCTGGCGTGCGGCCGTGCCCACTGTTAGGAGGAACAAGATGAACCAAGGGATGCGGACTTCGAAGAACATCTTGAAATCGAGGATACCAAACATGCGGGGGTTGAGTTCAGCACCCATGAAGAAGTCGTACAAAGTATAGCCCGTCATCCTGTGCTGTTTGCCTCTGTAGAGGGCCGACGTGTACGCGACGATGGACACTAAGAAGCCGGAGATGATGGCCACCGACATGAGGGGCCCAAACTCGTCGATGATTTGGTAGAGTTTGAAGAGTCCAGAAAAGTGAAGAACAAGGGCAATAATGATTGTGGTCCACCACGACCACATTCCCGAGCAATAGTAGTCCAGTCGCTTGCCATTTTCATGGGGTAACGGCTTGCCTTTGGTCCAAATGCCTGGCATGACACAGTACAATGCCGCTTCGAAGATGAAAAAGGTCCAGTACATGACCCAAGCTTTCGCCGAAGGCCATGCTCCGTAGTAGACCATGCGGCCCAAGCCACGGAAGAAGTCTGTCATAGTTTCGTCGGATCTAGGTAAAGGAAACTTTCCGTCGTAATAAGTTGCACCGATCCACATATAGTACATGAGCAATGGGAAACCGATCATCATCGCTGTGACGCCCACGGGACCTCCAAATTCGAAATGGCCGCTGGTATCGACCTTCGGATCCATACCTGGTCGCCAACCGTCGACAGTTTTCAGGGAAGAAATGGCATGTCCATTGGCCTCCTTTTTGACCGTTCCATTTTCCTGGGGCTTGACCGTCCCGTTCGCATGGCCATTTGATAGGCCGTGTGTCGTCTCGCCGTCAGTCGAGTCTTGTGCACCATCACTCGTTCTCGACGAGCGAGGTGGCTTTCGTGCGCTTCTCGTAACGCGTTTCGTGGTTGGGATATCGTCCTCGAGCCCGGTGGAGGAATCCTGCGCATCCGAGTCCCCAAGCGCGGCCGTGGATTTACGGGTCCGAGGTTTTCTAAAGGTGCCAGGAGTCTCGACGTACCCGGGATGAGCTGTTTTTCTGCAACAGGTCAATCAAGGGCACGAAGAGCGGGAGACCGCGCAGCGGAAATTACCTGGGTGTTTTACCCGCTTGGGTGCGAGTGACTGTCATCGTAGTAACACGATAATGGGGAACGAAAAACCTCGACTAGTGCATATGCAAAAAGAATGTGAGAAGATTAAAAGAGTGACACCGTCTATGACGAGTGCAGAGAATGAGAGACACGCAGAGAAGAAAACGAGAACGAGGCGACGCAGGTTGGGAAAAGAGAAGAAAAGTGGATGGAGTAAACACGCGAGGCGGAAATGTTGATGTTTCTTCCCGGCGCCGAATGGGATCATAAAGCATCAAGACTCTGACCTCGACAACCATCATCAGTGACCATGAGATCCAGGAAATGTCTCTATCTCCCACGTACCTAATTTTGGTTTCTCTCCATCAATAAGTACTACTTGCTGCAGATGATGGCCATGCCAAATTTCTTTGTCGTGGTCGTCTGGCGTCTTGGGAAATATGGGACAACTTGACACCAACGTTCCATTACCACATGGCAACGTCTTCAATGTCAAACTTGATGCGAAACACTCAGTCCTATGAGCTCTTAACGATTACTCCTGCGCTCTCTCGTACGGTTTGTGTAAACACTCATGCAAAATTCTGGCGAATCCATTCTTCCACCCCCATCAACTCCCACCCTCGTTGAGCATTCCAAGTCTTCTCCTTCGGCCAACTCAGACCTCGGCCCTCTGCAAAGACAACCCTGTACCTCTTCAGCTTGTCTGCTGGATCCTTCCGACTCTCGGCCCGCAGGTATTCCAACGGCCACACCTGTCTAACGACTTCTCTGTTCAGTGCACGTCCCACAGCATCTGCAAATTGCCCGTAGGTCAAGGTATCTCCAGCAATGTACACCGGCTTGTTGACGGGCGCAGCGGCGCTGAAGATCAACTCGGCCGTGCACCGCGCGATATCTTCTGCCCGCGTCGTCGTGATAACATCTTCCCAGGAGTTCAATGCCGTGACCTGGACCTTGTCCCCGGGCAGCTTCTTGACGACGCCCCAGAAGTCCTCAAAGAGGAAACTCGTGAAGACCCCGCAGCTGAGCACAACCCATGCTGTCGAACTTTGTGCTCGGAGAAGATCCCGCACATCGATCTGCTCGGAAAACATGCCCTGTCCGCCTTGTCGGCCGATCACGTCGTAGTCGACGCCATGTTGCCATGGGACGTAATACTGAACCCCGGCGGCGAGGATGGCACGCGTGAGTTTGACCAGGGACCCAGCGGGTAACGACATGCCGCCTGCATGGAGGACTGATGTGTACGGTTGGAACAAGGCTGTAAGGTCATCTTGCGACACCTCAATATCTCCCGGGACCAGCTTAACGCCCAGTTCTCGAAACTCGGCTTGCTGTTTGGCCTTCTCAGGTGATGGGTTGGACAATGTGGATGGTCGTACCAGGAGGCTTATGCTGCTCACCGCAGCGTTGTAGAGGGAGTGGGAAAGAAGAGCTTGGAGAATCGCTGAGCCGAGTTCGCCGGAGCCGATGACAAGAATTGATTTCGTCCACGGCGGAAGTTGGGAAGTCATGGTGATATTGAGGATATGGCTGAGATGGAGCGGAGTTTCAGCAGTGATCCAAGAATCTAGTGTTGTCTTTGAAGGTGTGCTTGGTGATGGCCCTAGCGCGTTGGACTTGGGTTCATAGCAGATTCCACGTGGAATCCTTCATACTCTGAGGTATATATTCTTCTCCAGTCCTCTGGGGGAGCGTCAATCGGTTTGCGATACCCCCAAAGGGTTAGTAAAGGGGTTTCTCTTTCGTCAGGATGCAAGGTTGCTTAAGCCCGACGACACACTGGATCTGGACCGGAGGGAGACCGTTATTGGGTGTGAGTCGAAGCATCTGACCCAGTTGAGCGGTTCTCTCTGCTGACCTTGTCGGATTTAGAACCTGGTAAAGAAACAGTGGATACTGCGCTGTTGGTAATTCATCTCTGCACAAAAGTTGTCCTCGCTATTGGTAAGCAATCTATGCTCATTGTATCAGGCGACTGGAATGCTCCGAGGAATCGATGCTCATGCTCGCTTGTCTCGCTTATGGAACTCCACTCTTGTATGCATGTCCAACGCAAATTTGGCTTCTTTGAGCAGGTTACTCACGCACATAACTCGCGGTTCTTCCAGCGCCGAGAGCTATCATGCGGACGGACGAAAAGCCAGCTTGTGCGGTAGAAGGAGAGCTCGTACACCCCCCCTGCCACGGTCATACCATTCATTGGGAGGCACAGAAAGTGTTCCGGAGTCTGTCCGGAACGAAAAGATGGGGTTAACACTCACAAATCGTCCCCTGCTTCAATTCAAAATGATACTGCGAGTACGAGTACAAATGCAAATGCACAGAGACTTTTAGACTTTTACAGTACTATGCATAGAGATTACACCTCGGAAACCGAGAACCACAACACAGTCAGTGGCCATCCATAGCCTCGTCTAACGTTCACGGAAAACCCATACCAACCCGACAAAAGCCACTCCTTCCACGCCCAATAATACTCGTACCAATGGCCTCCAGTTTTGACAAATAACATTAATGACAACAACGATGTGGTGGTATTACAGGGCCTTTCTTCCGTATACAGTATGGCTGGGTAGGTCAGCCTTTGATCCTCACGTGGCAAGAGGTAAAGACGGCGCACAACCGCAACATCGGCAATGGTGACAAGGAAACAAGGGTTAACTTACAACTGAGTATATAAATGATACCTTGTGTTTCGGAGGTCATTCCGCACTCCGGCCATCAGTACTTCGACTTCTTCCTTCTCCCAGCCGAGAACCCTGGTGAAGAGGGCCAGACTGTAAGCTGGAGCGGCCTCGGAGAGATTCAGGTTCATGTACATGGCCAATTCCTTGAGACGTTGATCCCTGGGCCACGGTGACAACGGACACTACGCAGGTGTTAAGTTACAATGCCATCCAATTGTGTTCTTGACAAAACCCCCCCACCAGATAAGAAATTAAAGCTTACCTTGTAAATATCCTCGTGAACTCCTTCGAACCCAGCGTTTAAAACCATATCTTTGATCAAAGGCGCCACGTTCATGATACGGCCAGTTCGGTAAGATGCGTTGTTGAGCTCGTGTTGCCATCGGTTGTACGAGCTGTTGACTGGTAGGGTGTCGTCGTCTGTCGATCCCCAGGCCTCAAAATCCAGAACTTCGATCCAGCCACCGGGTTTGAGAAAGGCCATGCACTGCCGGAAAAGGCGAGGCCAGTCAGCAATAGAGCCTCCCATGTTCGCGATCCGGATCCAGTCGAATTGCTGGTCGAAATTCCAGTCCGACTCGCAATCATCCACCTATCCTTTCAGTCAGCTTGAGGCGGCCCGAGAGACGCGCGATCCGCATTGTCGGACGGACAAGACCTCACCTGGAATTGTACATTGGGAGGAACCCAGGTGGGTTGAATCGGAGAGAGATCGGTGGCGATGACTTGGGCTTGAGGGAACTTGTCTGCGATCTCGATGGCCCTGGGAGAGTAATCGTCAGTGGGATGGACTGCGAGGGTGTCGCGCAAGGACGGTATCAGTACCATAGACCAGTGCCAGTTCCTATGTCGAGAATACTTTCGGGGACGGGAGCGTTGGCGCGTTCTCCGATTGGAATCGTCCAAAGCTCCCCTCCTAAAATCATGGACACAACGTGATGGAGAAGATCGAGTCGGTCTTGCTCCTGTTCATCGTTGGGAGCAAAGTATTTCCCAGCATTGTAGGAGTGGTAGCGGCGACCATTTTCGTACTGATAGTTGAACACGCTCTCATGTAACGAGGTTGTTTCGGTGAATAGACTCTCGCCATATGCCGAGTCGCCATCCGCAGCTGCCATGGTCAAAGACCGGCCACAGAGGGACTTTTTCTTTATCTCGTTCGTAAACTACCGCCGAGAAGAACCAAAATCCATCGCGCCTCGAGGAACGAGAATACGTATATAGATCCTAAAGCGGAGGCGAAGACCAACAAACGAGGCGACGAGAAGAGGAACGGGAACAGAAACAACGCGATAATATTGGCGCGGAACCAAAGCATTGGCCCCAGAGACGACAAGACGTCGCTGGGGATCAACAGTGTTCGCATGATTGACAAAGTCGTGGCGTCTAGGCTCTCATCCGACCGTGCATCCACCGCCCCAAGGAGGCTATACTGGTGGTGTCCCGGGTTGTGCCGTATGACACGGTGGTACTCGTATGTGACAAATTTCTTGTTGCGAATGATCGATAGCTCCGGGGGTCCAGGGTGGAAGTGGGCAACTAGGTGAACGTGCGTTTGAGTTCGAAGCGAGAAGATGGTCCCTGCAACCACGAGGCGTGGATTCCCCCGCCCATCTCACCAAGATCTCTGCTGACAGCTGGCCAGACGTGCTAGTTAGCTTAGCCTAGGGACTTCCCTGGGTACCCAAGGGACTTAGGTTTTACCTAATGTTAGCTGTCCTGGCGGGGCCGTCGTGGAGGACCTTGATGATGATGAGGCGGAGGAGGAGGAGGAGGAAGAGGAGGAAAAGGAAAGGGACAGAAGTCAACCTTAGGTATAGACCGTATGTGGCTTATGTGTATCCCGTGTAACTGGCACGACAACTGGCTGTCCTGTACAGTGCCTCTTCGTTCCCAAGGGTTTCTCTACATACAGTACTATTCACCACCCGTTGGGTAGTGAGGCTCACTAGTCTAACTTTGGTGTCAATCGCGCAATTACAACCATGTGGCATGCAGCCCCTGGTCTGGTCTTATCGGCTCTCGTTTGTTCGTCTAATAAGATGAAGAACCTCGCGCTGTCTACCCCATCCTGTTCCCTACTGATTGAGTGATTCCACTAGTCGCCTCGCCTAATCGACTGGCACTGCGACGCAGCTACTTGCAAGTCGGAAGCTGCTGTTGTTGGCAACATCTGCCCCAGGTGCTTTTCGCCAACAAAATGCTGGCGAACTGACAGCTCGCGATTGGCGATGACAGCGTTCATTGGGTCATTGTCGCTGATCGTTTCTGACGGCGAATTGTGAATCCTTCCTGAATTCTCTGCTGTCACCTCATACCTTGATCTTTACGAAAACCAAGCCATTGTGGTTCTTCGCCCTTCCCAACTACCTCGGTGCTCAGGGCGGCCGACAGGCGCTGTTGGCATCAACCATGGCCTCCCCGTCGTATGCGAATGTGCCAGTGCTATTTTGTTTGACTGTCCTCGGGGGTGTTTTATCGGTGGCCATCTATCGCCTGTTCTTCCACCCTCTCGCCAAAGTCCCCGGACCCAGACTAGCCGCGCTGTCGCGACTGTACGATTTCTACCATGATTGTATCTTGGGCGGCAAATTCAGTTTCAAGATCGAAGAGCTCCACGACAGATATGGTAAGTGCAAGCACTGGATAAACCCTATCCATCGTGCTCTGCGGGCTAAAACAATGTGCTTGCAGGGCCTATCGTCCGAATTGGCCCAAACGAGGTGCATGTTCGAGATCCCGATTTCTTCGACGAATTCTACAATGTTACCAGCCGGCTTGATAAAGACTCGTGGTATTATGCCTTTGTAGCTTCACAAGATGCCGGGTTCGGCACCGCCAATGTCGACCTGCACAAAGCACGAAGGAAGGCCATGAGTCGATTCTTCGCTTCGTCGGCCATTTCTAATCTCGAATTGTCGTCGAGGGAAAAGGTGGCGAAGCTATGCAAACGATTGAACGACATGCGCGACGAAGGTAAACCTGTCAACATGTCCAATGCGTACCGTTGTCTGGCAGCCGATTCTGTCACCGACTACTGCCTACCCAAAGGTTTCAATTTACTCGACTCCATCGACTTCGCCGACGACTACAACAAGCAGTCTCGGACCATCTCGTACATCGCCGTATGGCATCGTCACATCCCCATCATCATCCCGCTCTTCATGCGAGTGCCTAAATGGTTCGTGGAGGCGACTTCCACGGAGGGCGGGAAGATGGCCTTTGAGTTCCAGGCTGTAAGCTTGATCATACGTGTGACATTTACAGGACACGGCTAATGTCCACAGGATTTGGCCCGTCAAGCAGGAGACATTGTGCACAGCGAGAAGAGAAGCGACAAATCGGTGCTTGACGGTATCGTGAACTCTGACGCGATCCCGGAGAGCGACAAAACCGTTGACCGTATCACTCAAGAAGCGCGAACCCTCGTTGGGGCGGGCACCGAGACCACGGGCATCTCCCTCGAGACCATCACTTTTCACGTTCTTGCAAATCCTGGGGTGCTTGCAAAGCTGAAGCAAGAATTGGCCGCAGCAGCAAGGTCATCTGCGCCAGGGTCCGAGGACCCATTGACCACCTACAGCGTGGTTCATCGCCTACCATATCTAACTGCGGTTATCAACGAGGGCCTGCGTCTCGGTAATGGTGTCTCTGGACGACTCGCACGGGTCAACCCTCGCCACACATATACTTATCAGTCGTACGTTCTACCGCCAGGAACAGTCATCAGCATGTCAATCAGGGATAATCATATGTCGGAAGATATCTTTCCAGACGCTCTGACATTCAATCCCGACCGTTGGTTGGTCAAGGGAGAAGAGCAGAAAAGGCTGGAGAAATATTTTGTGCCCTTTGGTCGAGGCGGAAGAAGTTGCATCGGCAAAGAGCTCGCATTGATGAATCTGTATCTCACCATTGCAAGCTTCTTCCACAAATTCGACGCAGAGATCTTTGAGACGAGAAGAAAAGATGTGGAAATTGAGCATGACTTCTTCTCCCCCTTCCCTGTGGCGGAATCAAAAGGGCTAAGGGTGATGCTCAAGTGAGACATGATTTTTTGGGTACCACTGTCGCATTTTACGGGCACGGTTGACAAGTAGGCGGAGCGTATGTAACATACTGCACAAGTGCGAGAATTATAAGGACCAATGGAGTCGAAACGCCAGCCTGTAGATACCCACGAGATGCCTAAGTATAGGTTCCTTAGCTAGACCTCGTTTTGGGGGGCGGGGGGTTCGGTAGGCGTCATCTCTACCCGCACCGCGGCCCGTAAAGTCTCACCAGTCCCTATCGGCATGGGCGGATATAGGCGTTGCTAGCCTGCAAAACACCTCGTTTCGTGCCCTGGGAGCTTAACGAAAAACGAAATACGAAGGGCTTATGCACCGCTCATCAGGCACCGTTGTTAACGACCAATCGTGGCTGGTGCAAACTGCATGACCGTTGACCAGCCATCAAGTTACGAGTTCGACGAGAATCGACAGCGATACGAGAGAACTGCGTATCTGCAACATACCTCTCAAAATTCCATTTGCCGTTCTCGAAGCTTTGGGCAAAACGTGGGTGACACCGCGACCAGTTCCATCCACAGCCACCGGCTTTTCTTTCTGCCTGAGAGCTCGACGAATTTAAATAACCTCCAAAACCACTCGTTGTCCTGGGGAGGTGTGTAGGGAGTCACTGTCCAGAATACTCAAGGCCGAAGACAAGCAAGACTCTCTCCCCAGCTTCATCACAGTGAAGAAGGCTCCTCCAGAGTTCCATCATGGGCGTCGAACGAAACTTTGCTGGAGATCCTCATGCTCTACATGGACATTGGGGACCGCCATCGAGCGTGGCCAAGTCTGTCCTCCCGGCCGTTGAGAGTGACGACTACCTTGCTAATTAGTTGGGTCCTGATAGTTTCTGCGAAGAAGACTACGCCGTCACCTACTATATAGGCGAATTCGTCAACACCTTTACCAACCTCGCATATGGTCAGTCCAAGTGTTCACTCGCCTCCACACAGGCACACACAAAAGGTCATCATCTCGGCTCCGTCGGCCAGCTAACCCTTGTTTCACCTTCGTGGCTCTCTAGTGTACTGGGCGATTCATGAACTCGGGCCAGGAGAAAGTCTGCTGTCGACCACGGCATTCCCCAACCTGGCTTTATTCTTCGTGGGGGTGACCTCGTTCATCTTCCACCTGACGCTGAAGTACGCGACGCAACTCGGCGACGACCTTTCCATGTTCTGGGTCTGCGCCGCCATCATCTACGAACTGTATACCGTCGATCGACCCACCAAGGTGAAAGTGGCGGTCGGATCTGCACTCACCGCAGTCCTGGGCACCATCAGCGCGATCCACTGCACTTTGTACCAACTCTGGCTTCACAATTGGACGTTTGTCATCCTGGTGACGGCCATCTGGCCACGAGTCTTGTATCTGATCAACCGGAAGTTCCAGGGCGCGGACAAGAGATACTGGCTTCACAAGTTCCGCGTCGGGGGAATTTGCTTCCTCGCGGGATTTGTGGTGTGGCTGATCGATGGAGCTGCATGTGGCTGGCTTCGGGACACGAGGAAGATTCTCGGCATCCCATGGGCCTTTGTGTTGGAGTTACATGGATGGTGGCATATTCTGACTGCTGTGGGTGCCGGGTATTGCGTCCGGGTTACTAAGAAACTGACGAGAACATCATCGTGAGAGAGCGTACGAACACAAAGTACGTATGAGCTGACTTGAGTCATGGTGGGAAAGGGAGGAGACGTGTTATGTACGAGACGTTTGGGGGCCCAGACACCAGGCCGGGATGTTCCAGCTCTTGTTATGATGCAATGCTTTGTATCGTCCTTGATACGGACGGAATGAGATTACCTCCATTTCGTACCTGTGCTCAAGGATGCTCTGGGGGAGAGAGCAGTGCAGTACCCCAATGTCATATAGGTACCTACATACCTAGGTGGGTTAAACAAAATTCGGTGCTCGTACTCGTAAAAGAGTGTGAATATCCAAGAACCCTACAATTGCCCGTCGATTGTAACTGTGGCTGTAGCTACCACTAACTACGAGGTACTGATCTCCTATACGAATCTCCAATAGGCGCCTCGGATCTCGTCGCCGAAGCCTTGTGATAAGCAGGACGTTGCCGTGCATCCAACGTGGATCATACACTGGATCCCGTTGACGTCGTTTCCATCACATCTTAAAAAGCTTTCGACAGCCACGCCAGGTTTTGTTGTGCATCTTCCATGGGATCTTCAGGACTGCAGAATGATCCGTCCATGATTGTACCTTCGTAAAGGTCATGCATCCATGTCAATGTCCCACCTGGAGGACTGTTCCGTGCTCCACCCGTACGAGTAGAGAGACTCGAGAGGCCCCCTCTGCCATTCAATCCGTGCCAATTGCTACAACGTCACAAGGCCTTCGCAATGTCCAAACTTGGGCTTCTTGTCCGGCCAACCACATCTCAAGATCTGGTCGCCGGGTAATGGTATATACATGCCTGCCCAGGCTGACGAACTCTATACATACTCCAGTTCCAAACCTGGCACTGGGTTCTTTACTACTGCCGTTCTTTGTTCAAATATCAACGATTCCCTTTCTCGTCTTGCCCTAACTCTGCGCCATACCCAACATTGTTCCTCCTAGGTTCTTCGCCATGGTTGTAGCTGCTTCGAGGCTGAGTGCCGGCCTCTCGCGCAGTGTCGTGCCCGCCGCTCGCTCAGCGTCCAGAACATGCAACAACCCACGGACGAGAGTAGCGGTACCGCTGAAACCACTTCAGATTCGATCACTGGCATTTGCGAGCGAACACAAGACATCCTCCAACAACAAGGGGCTTCCGCCGTCACCGTCACCGCCACCGTCACCGACACCGGATCGCGAGAGACCAAAGGCCGCGCCATCCATAAAAGAGAAACTACCCGACCCAGAGCAGACGCCCTCTCGATTCCGCGAATTCGATCTGCACGATAAAGTCTTTGTCGTGACAGGTGGCGGTCAAGGGCTGGGTCTGGCACTGGCCGAAGCGCTGGTAGAAGCGGGCGGGAAAGGTAATGTTTTTTTTTCTTTTCCTTCGACTCCCTTCCTGATTTTTGTTTGTTTTTAGTTGTTTTGAGTTACGTGGACTGACCGACGACTGATTCTCACAGTATACTGCCTGGACAGACGCGCCGAGCCAGAAGAGGAATTTCGGGTGGTCCAGGAGCGCCTGGGGCCGAAGTACGGAGGCGGACTGTTCTATGACCAGGTCGACGTGCGGGAAGCCGGCAACCTGGACCGGGTGATTGCTGAGATCGCCGACCGGCACCACCGCATGGACGGGCTGATCGCCAACGCGGCGATCCAGAACGTGACCCCGGCGCTGGAATACACGCCCGAGAAGATCATGGACATGCTCGACGTCAACTACAAGGGCGTGTACCGCTCCGCCGTTAGCACCGCGAAACAAATGATAAAGTACAACTGCAGCGGCTCGATCCTGCTCGTCGCCAGCATGAGCGGCCTCGTGGCGAACAAGGACTTTACCTCGTCCGTGTACAACTCGTCCAAGGCCGCCGTGTGTCAACTTGCGCGCAGTCTGGCCATGGAATGGGGCAAAGTCGTCAATGGCCGACCGATTCGAGTGAATGCTTTGTCTCCAGGTATGTTTTTGTGTTTTTCAACCGGAGCGATTTTTCCTCTTTTTACTTTCTTATCAATGCTGTTACACGTGGTGGAACGGACAGTCCTTTTTTTTGGTTTGATGTCGATCGCATCACTGAGTCAACGAGTACTGAACTGACGTCTGTTTGTCCCTCGTCGATCAAGGTAACATAATCACGCCCATGGTCTTGAAGAATTTCGAGGATCAGCCTGGCCTAAGGGAGAAATGGGAGAGTCAGAACCTGGTAAGACTTCAGTCCAGCCTTTTTTCGAGATGAATCCCGAGATAAGAAAGTTCCGAACCCCTTTTTACTGACTCTCTCTTCCTCTGTTGTTTGCTCGGTGATCAAAACAGCTAGGTCGACTTTCTGAACCAAAAGAATACAGAGGCGCTGCATTATTTTGTCTCAGCGATGCTAGTTCCTTCATGACCGGAACGAATGTAGGTTTGAGCTACCCTGAACTACTTCCCTCCCTCTGCCCGTTTACTTCACTCTTTGCCCTCAGCTTTTTTCGTTTGCTGAATAATTGACATTAATTACACTAGCTCGTCATCGACGGAGGATACACTGCGTGTTAAGGGGGTCATGTCTGAATCACGACCTGTCAGACCCAAACTCCTACTCCAGCCTAGTCGACCATTGATTCGTTGCCGAGCACTTCGAATGCAATACCGTGGGACCTCTTGAGCCGTTCTGCCGCAATGGATATTCACGAATCATGACCACGATGACGAAGGAGAGGGGCGAAGAAGAAGAACGGGAAAATGAAGAGGAAGAGGAAGAAAAGAGGAAACTAAGACGGACCTACTTTGTTCTTCTTCGACTGTCCAAGATCATCCTCAACGAGGCCACGGCTCGAATGGGTTCTTCTTGATCCGATCCAACGACAACTCATTCGCAGACAGTGACTCTGGCTGCGTCTCACAATGGGTTATTGGGTCTGTGTTTTTGGGATAGGCGCCATTGTCGCGTACTGTGGTATGGTCGTTGACCGACGACCGTGCCCGTGCTGAAAAGGGGGGGGGGGGAGGAGGATTGAAATGCTACGACATCCGTTGCCACGACACTATGTATGTGTCAGTATTACACATACGGAAGAGAGAAGGATGAATGAATCAACAAGGATCGCAGAAAAGGGTGGGGGAGGTTCGGGTTCAGATTTGTATCGGAATCTATCGATATCACGATATCCGTATGAGGGTGGGTGGGATATCATGACGAGCCTCATGGCCTTATTCTTGTTGCCCTCGCAAGAGGAGAAGAGGAGAAAAGGGGACTTCCTATTGTCCCTCAGGTACCCCTGACCTTGGTGCCTAGGAGGCATAAAAGGTGCCCATGTACAATACATACCTTTTTTGAATATCACCGATAAGGGAAACGTTGCTTTGGACGGCTACAATTACTGCCCACTTACCGCTCCCACCTTTACACATACCTACCTACCTACCTATGTCCCACCTTGGCTTTTTTGGGAAGTGTGCGAGTACCCAAGTTGATGAAGTTTGTATTCGAGCACATCACAGAAGACGGGAAGAGGAGAAAGACGGAAGTGGTCCGGTGAGTAGGTACTGTAAGTACCACGCAGACCGACAGACCGACACGGTAGAACTGATTAGCAGGGACCGGCCACGAGGTACGGAGAACCGAATGAATGAATAGCACATTCTCCGAATAACAGGTGTGCTCCCCTCACCCATACCAAGGTATACTAACTAATCATACACACGTATCATGAGTATTGGTGTGGAGAATCTTCATTTTCTTTTTCAAATTCAAACATTTGTCTCTAGGTACTCTAGTTGAGTATACCATACTGTCATAAGTACTCCGTATGAAGGTAGTCAACAAGAAGTCATCACCTGACCCTTGCTTGATCCCGGAATATCTCAAATGTATGTGGATGACAATGATTGATCCAATGCTGTACAAAAATCCTGGTGATACAAATTTTTCTGTTTTTTCTTCCTGGATAAAAGATTTCATTGGCCGTCTCGTTGTTTCGAGGTCGTCGAAGCTAATGGCGAGGCTGAATTCTTGTTGACCCGGACACTACCGGCGGCGGCATTCCTGTACAGTCTCTCCTGCTCGAGATCCAGCTTTCGTTGAGCCTCGTACTTGGCCGCGGCAGTCTTCCTCTGATCTACCTTGGCTTTCTCCTGTCGCTTCCGGGCTTCCTCTTTCCATGTTTCACTGATGCCACCGACAGTCTTGGTCCACGCCGCTTTGCCTGCGTCCACGCCCTTGTCGATGATGCTGCGGTCGCCTCCCGGCGCTGACTGTTCGGTTGAGAGACCTTTAGACGCCTGAGACGGGTTGGTTGCGGCAATGTTCATCTTGGAGAAAGGTCCAGAGAATTTGTCGTTGGTGGATGATGATGGCGAAGGAGGAGTAGATACCAAGGGCATCATGCCCTTCCATCGCCGGAAGGCAGGGTTGTTGATCGTCGAGATCTGAATCTGGGAGAAGAAGCCGTTGACCAAGAAGAAAACTTGGACTGCGGACGACTGGAAAGATAAAAAGATGAACGAGAGAGGCGGGGCGAAAGTTTGGAATAACTTGAAAAGAGGCGGTGGATTGGCTTGTTGTTTTGAGCTCGCCGTCATGTTGAAGTAGGTCAGGACGGCGGTACCCAAGGGTAGGAGATACATTGGGTCGGCCACCGAGATGTCTGTGATCCAGAGAAATTTCTCGCTTTCAAAAGCAGGGACTGGCACTGCCGCGGCGTCCCGCAGGAGCCGGAAGGCACAGAATTGTAGGGGCATCTGTAGAATGACGGGGAGGAAAGCCTTCCACATTGAGACACCGGCTTCTTTGTGAATTTCGCGGAGCTGCTGCTGCGCTTCCATTGCAACTGTTCTGTTGTTGTTCCTCAGAGCCTCTTGCATCCTTTCACGAAGTTCCATGGTGGCTGGCTGCACCATTTTGAGTCTTGAACCCTGGTCTGCTGCATTTACGGCGGGCAAGAAGACCGCGCCTCGGATCAGAAAAGCCAGAGCTATGATCGATGTGGTCCATGTTAGCCCTGCAGTGATATGGAGATGTTCCAGACAGAATTCCAGGATGGACGTCGGACCCCAGCCAAAGTCAAGTCCACACACCGTCTTCAGGTAGCCGATATCTTCAGGTATCGAGGACAGGTCTGGGACATCGGCTGCGACTTCGGGGGATGGGGTCGTGCCATGAGGCTTGAGGAGTTCGTTTTCGAGCTTGCGCAGAGCTTCGGGCTCAACACTGCTTACGGGATGAGGATGTGTGAATGTAGGATCGGGAGTGTCTGCCGTTGCCTGGGACGCTTTTACAGTCCGAGTAGGTTCGATTAGATTCTGCGCTGCATTGCCGGTTTCTTGCGACAGCGACGATGCCGCCGGGTCGCTAGAGGATTTGCTGGAACCCCAGCCGAACAGCGATATCGACCGAGACTGTTGAGCTAGGCATTGTCTGGTAGGTGCCGAGGTCCGACTGCTTCTTAGACGGGTAAGCGAGCTGTGGTAGGTGTTGAGAGAGTACTGTGATCATGATCAGCCTGCATCGAAGAGACGTCTGGGTGTGAGATGTCCTACATGGCGCACGCCTGCCGGGCGCAAACTTGCTAATCTTTGGGGACCATTACGAATCTGTCGACTTGACCACCCCAGACCCCGGGCTGCAGACATGACGAACGACCAAACAAACGTAATGTCTAGAAGATTGAGATGCAATCGAAACACCGCAGGAAAATGTATATCAAGCACAAATCGGGGAAGGTAAGCCGAAAGGAAGTAGAGCTTTACGCGGTGCGGAGAACATGTACATGGGCCGGTGGGAAGAGCCAGGTTAAGCATTGAACCATCCAGACATTCGGCACGAGTCCAGTTCCTGTGAAATTGTTGTTTTCTACCTAGTCTGTCATCTAGCCTTTTCGTCAAGCCCGTTGTCTAGAAATGCCTGTCGCAGTCTGCATGTCATCATGCTGCAAAATGCAGTCAAAGAGAGAGTGGCCGATGGCGCCGATCAAATGCTACACCTGCAGAGGCTTTCACAGGTACTTCTGTATCACAGCTCCTCCACGCTTGAAATCTGCAATGTCTCCAAGCTTCTTTGCTTTGTCCGTGAGTTCAGTGGTTGGGAATGTAGTCTGCAAAACAAATTCTCTGCCACCAGGTTCGGCGCGGCGGACAAAGTCGTACACATCGCCAATCGTCTGGGTCGTGTTGAACCGCGACGTCAATCTCGTGCCAGTTCCTAGGCTGATCCTCAAGGTGACCGTGGGCTTCGAGTCATCTACGTCGGTCGTAGGAGCCGGTGCAGCTGCGGGAGCGGCGGCTGGGGCGACTGGCTCTGAGCTGAACGCACCAGGCATCGACGGTGCTCCCGGTGTTGGGCTTCCCAGTCGATGTCCGGAACCTTCGAAAGGTCTGAACTTCTTCTTCGGTTTGACATATTTCTCCTCGTGTTGTTTGATCTCCACGTCCACTTCCTGACCGGGCTGAACGTTCATGATGTTCAATGGTGCTCGTCCTTGCCGAATCAGGTTCAAGATCTCTGCGTTCCGCGGGTCATCGATTCTGTACAGATCGCCATCATCTATGCTGAAACCATCTTGCCAGAAGTGTAGTACACGTTCAACACGCTCAGCCCGGGCTCTGGGTTGAGGCGCAGCCGGAATCTCTCGAGACGGAGCATCATCACCCCCAAGAGTGCGTGCCGATCCGGTGAAATAGGACTTTTTGGTGGGTGCATCTTTTGGAGGAGGACCACGTTTCTGTGCCTTTTCTAGAATTCTCTTCTTCAGGTCATCTGGATTCTGCACAGCCAGACCTGATTTCTCTCCACCAGCAAAAAGATCTTGGTTGTCATCATCGTCCGAATCGTGGCCAGCGGCGCCACCAGAGGCAACGTCACTCAGCGTAGCAAATTTCTTTTGCGCCGAGTTGTTCTTCTTAGATTGCGAGGGGCCGGACGTGGCAGCGACAGGAATAGGTTGAGGGTTGGACGGACCTTCACCTAACCTTCGACCGGCGCCAAATTGGGACTGAGGCTGATGTGAGGGTTCGGCTTCATCTTCATCCATGTAGTCTGAATCATCTGCGGCATCTTCAGTGTGATCTTCTTGAGCGGCGTAGTAGCTGGCGATTGCACTTTCGAGATTCCATCCGCTAGCAGCAAGGAACTGACGGGCCTGGGGTAAGTATTAGCACGTACTCGTGTAGTTGTGACATGCGGTTTTGTACCTGTCGAGACGAAGTTCCTGCAATTCCTGAGAATTGCGCAATCAGAGTGTCTTGTTCTGAGATGTCGGCCATTGTTGCAAGAACGTACAACTCAGGAAGTCTCCAGGGGTAGAACGCTCAAGAACAGATATTAGTGAGAGGCGTGGACGTGATGAAGAAGGCAAGGGAATATTAGGGATGACACTGCATAAAGAGTGCGCGAGATGAGGCGTGAATTGAATAAAGGATAAATAGAACCAACGGTACGTCACTGTCCGTGGCCTGCGCCGGCCTGGATGCTGTGGCCGTGATTCGCTGCCGGCAACAATTGCGATGCGGTGCCTGGACCTGATGCCGAGATGGTGGAATATTGAAGCTCCCATGATGCCCGTACATTTGACCTCTGTATATTTATTCATTCACACTTCACATCTCGTTCATCTATCAACTACGCCACTTCACCTTGCCAGTCTCTGCCACAGCATTCAGTTCCGTGCAGTCAGCACAGTCTGTCCAGCAAAATCTCCCTGCGTCCCTCCGTCCCTCCGTTTGCCGATCGAGAATGCATGGCTATAGACTGTCTTCCTGACCGAATCTCTCCATTCAACGTCCTATTTTCGACGCCCCTTCAGCGTCCTTGCTGGTGTCACCATGTCGTCAGCTTCTCCCCAGTCTCCTTCGCCGCCGCAGGATCTCTCGGGTTCGCAGTTAACAATTCCTTCGGACTCGGAGCCTTTTTCGTCACTCTCCCCTCCCTCTTCGTCACCGCCGCAGTCTTCAGACAACAATGGCTCACACCCAGTTGTGATATACCAACCTCCTACATTCTGGGGTATCTTGAGGGGGGCTGCTATCAATCTAATCTTACCCTTTGTCAATGGTATGATGCTGGGGTTCGGCGAATTGCTGGCCCACGAATTTGCTTTTCGCCTCGGCTGGAGTGGGACAAATGTAAGTCGAATGTAGTGTAAACTTGGTTTTTGCTGACAATCCTCGCCCAGGTATGGCCGCGCCATCGAAGTTCTCATCCAGTCGGGCCGGGAGTCGAGATGCGAGGAGATCCTCTGGAACGAAAAAGAAAAAATGGCATCTACGGTCCCGATGTGGCAGATGCTGCTGCTTTGGAATAGAGAAAGATGTTTCATTTCGCAAGGAAGACAAAATTCAAGCCCTGTACATAATTCACACAGCAAGAGCGAGGAGCTGAATGTGTTCACTCAGAAATCGAAGTTCTGGCAAGTGCTCTCATACATCGCCTCTTCCACAACATCCTTCGAGATTGGCATCTAATGCATTGCCTCTACAGAGTATCGCTTATTGATTAACACGTGGGCAGCGTTTTTCTGCACATCATTACTGCCCAGCACTCTTTTTGCCATCATGTCAGCCATGTTCGTCCCCGAGTCGCGAGCCCTAGACTCCGGACTCGACTACAAAATCATCCTAATAATCCTCGGTGGTGTCATTGCTTTTGCCGTAGCCGCCGCAGCCATTGGATTCTGCTCAGCTTACTATACCCGCAAGCGTACGCTGCCATCATCGAGCTCGGCACATAGTCAGCTGGCAACCCGTCGCCGGTCTTGCCCCATCCTGGCCCCAACTGACCTTGAGGCCCAAGTAAATGATATCATTGAGAGAAAAAACTCCAACATGGTGGCCAGCCGAGTCTTTCGACAGCAAGAGCTGGATATGTACAAAAGTCACCCTCCCCCGAGCTATCAGGAGCATTGACCTTGGGACGCCTCGATATTGCCTCCCTCTTTTGTTCAGACAATTGGCTCTCCTCCAACGAGAATGGACCACGATGCCACTTAGACTTGGCTTCTTGGGATTTGTGGCTCTGCAAGAAACATTGAGACGGGTGATGACGTCGAGACCATGAAAGCTGCTGTTGAAGGGTTGCCCCATTTCTCTAAAAGCCTGAAGTCAGATAACCAGATCGTTCTCGGCGACATTTCCTTTCTGACCCGAGTACGTGCATCAGTCATGGATATGCTCCTCTGCCGCGATCATCACTACCGCACGTACCGCCGACGAAGTAGGTAGAGTGACGATAAGGTTTGAAGAATTCGGCCAATCTTTGAGCGGCGTGTGTACAGGCGTTGCTCGCACCAATCCAACTCTTCCACTGGACAAGAAGCAGCGGGACAGGATGTTACGCTCTCTTGATGAAGCAAAGAAGCTGCAGAGCTATGTTGGGTAACTGGGTTTGATCATGGCTAGCGAAGCTAGTCCGGCAAGTTTGCCATCCAGATTTCAGCTCCGAGCCCTCCGAATACAGAGTCATTGATCCTCTCGAATTCGAGCGATGGCTGGACAACACGCCGACCCCACCAACACGTCTTCGATCGATACCGGCAGGCGTCGCCATTAAAATTTGCTACTGAGCTCTACGAATTATCATTCTACGGTTTGAAAGCTGGGGAGTTGCAACGCATCAATCGCACAGAAGAACACCGTCCACTGTTGGTGCTGTTGGTGCTGTTGTATGTGTTGGATACATATACAGGCCAAAAGAGAGAGCGTCAGCCTTGGTTCAGATTGTTTATGTCGACCGAGTAGTCTAAGTTATCGTCGTCGGAGTCAAGGGGCATGTGCAATCCCAAATACGTCGTCATCTGTACAGCAATGCCTGTATTAAAGTTAGCATCCGCATAGATGAAAACATCCACCGCTCTACTGTAGCCCTCACTGTCCGAGTCATTATCACAGGCGAGTGATTTTGCCGAGGCTTAACACTCCAAGAGCAGATTGCATCTTGTCCATAGGCAAAGGCAGCTGTCATCAGAAAGTAGAAACTACAACGACGCCGACTCTCGATCTTTCTTGCTACCGCTGAACTGGATTGATGATCTGTTTGATCCATCACAACTCCCTCAACCACGGCGATATGAATGATCCCGTATTGAGAAACACTGGTTGTCTGGCAGCAGCGCAACTTTTGTATCGGAGGGGACTATGCGTTCTGATTCGACATGGCTCAAACTTTGATCGGACTACTTCTACAACACGGCCCATGCGGTCTAGGTTGTCTGGCAACTGATAGCGTCCAGTTGTATCTCCTGATATGAAACAGGAACGAGGCAAATCGAAATTAATCTTGATGGTTTGCCTGGATCTGAGCACGACAATGTCTGTGTAAATTTTGAGCCGTCGTATCTCAGGGGGTGGCGTCCGAGTTTGGGGCAGAATTACTGAGGCCAACCGCATTAATGCATGTGACCTTTGGTGTAAAGGTCTCAAGTTGACTACCGAGTAGTGCTGGAGGTGCCATTTCATGAAAGTCTTGGAGTCGAGGACCGAGATCAAATGGTAGGTACCTAGGTAGGTTGTGGTGCCCTCCCTACCCATGGGCAGGTATGTAATCCGGTGCAGATGACATACTGTCCACTCTGCGGCAAATCCACCCCTTTCATAACCAGTGGACGATCCTGTACCTTCACACTACAGACAGGGCCTCTCGACACGATGACATCCTAGAATTTCTCTTCGGAAACAACAGGAGCCTTATCCTTCACAGCTTCGACTCCCTCAATGCCTCCAGCGAGATCATCATCCACGTCATCGTCGAAAAACCCGTCCCTTTTGCCTAGGTACTCAAATGTGGTCGGCGTGTCGGCATGGCCGTCTGGATAAATCCGGACTGGGAAGAAGTAGGCAAGGACGGCGAATATCACGCCGGCCACCGTGAAGGTCAAAAACCAACCCATGCGATACATGTTTTTTGCAGCCTCGTTCACGGCGTTGGGGTGAAATCGCCCAACCATCCCCGGGAGACCGAACAGGAAACCAGCAAGCCATGCAACGTATCCGCGCAGGTTGAAGCCTTTGGTGAAGTAGTAGATGTCTCCTTTGTTGCCCTTGTAGAGAGAGGGGGTGTGAAGATTGCCTCGTCTCACCCAGTAGTAATCGACAATCATCAACTGGTCGGTGTCAGTAAGGCAACTCGGAACTGCAAAAGTATACGTACTGCAGCCAATGGACCGAAGAAGATTGGCATTGAACCAAGGAAGGTCACAAACGCTTCGGCCGAAGCCAGGATTTTCCACGGAACCATGAGGATTCCGAGGACACAACAAAGGACCTGTCCTCGGACAATCGTCATGTATTTCGGAACGATGCCAGTAAGGTCGGCACCGAAGGCTATGGTATTCGTCCCGATGTTCGACCCGATTGCTGAGCAGTAAAAGGCAAAGGCCACCAGAAAGACGGCACATCTCGCACCTGCGGTCCAGTGGTGGTCCAGAATTGCGTCCAACAAATCCCAGATGTTCCAGTAAGCCTTTCCCCAGACTCCCTGGATGCTCGCAGTTGCCGCTAGACCAAGGAAGAACACCAGACATTTCGAGATGAAGACACACATGCCTTGGAGCCAACCCGCATCCGAGACTTTGCGGCAGTATCGCGAGAGGTCAGGTTGTGTGACTATCAAAGAGGCCAGAGATCCCATGATGGTATTGATGCCAGCAACGATAGCCCATCCAAGTGGCACGCCGTCGGCGGGTTTCGTCAGTTCGTTGTCGATGGTGCTGATTCCACTCCCTTCGGCCATGCACCATCCGAACAGCCCAAAGGTGGCAATTGGCATGATGATACCTTTGAAGGTGAAGAACCACTGAATCTTGGAAGGGTGGACAAAGAACTGGATGCATGTGAGGAGCGTCCCATTTTGCGTTCAACCTTGACTTACAAATGGCACCTGTAGAAGCCAGGCGATGATGAAACAAATCAGCTGCTTCGTTGAGATGTCTGCCGACTCTGGCAACGTGTTGCGAAGGTCCCTCCAGCGGTGTCCAAACATGCACAGCAGACAGGTAGATATTAGGTTCGCACCCGAGTAGGTCTGTATCCCAAACCTGCGAACCTTTAGCTGTGGACAGAACGCCGTCGTCCTGCAATACATACCAAAAGAGACCGGTCATTAAGCGCAGGAAGACGAACAGCCATGAGCCGTACATTCCCATGACTGAGCGAAGGAACACAGGGCTATGAGTCATGTTAACACACCATGTGCACCTGAACACTCTTGAATGTTGGACTCACTATCCTATATGGTACCGAGCACCAGAGCGAGCCAAAAGCGTAACAACAACACCCGCTATAGCACTTCCAATGAGAGCCGAAGCGAGAGCATATTTCCATTGCTATACTCCAATTAGATCTTGAAATGCCACTTCGAGTGATGATGCGTACGAGACCAACTGCGATCAGGGAGCTCGCAATGTTCCATCCTGTCGTGCCGAAAGCTAAGCCAGACCAGAATAGAGGAAGGTGGTACCATGTCCAGGTCCGTCGTTCTGATTGTCGTCGTCAGTGACTGATTGGCAGGGAGAATTTGGCATGTAATACTACTCACCTGGAGGAGTTGGTCGAAGATCATTGTTTATCCAACGATTGGAAGGCGAATCCGCCGCATCTGTCTGAACGAGTGCCTTGAAAGCTTCGCGAGACTTGAACGCTCTGGTGAAAGTCTTTGCTTGCTCCATGTCTGTGTCGGGTGCTGGTACAGCTAGACTTGATCTTTCAAAATTGTCGAAATGACTGGACAGGGGGTCCTGGCGAGGCAGATATAGTAGTCCTCGGGAGAGAGAATGGGGGACCCAACCGCGGAGTGTCTCTGGCCACCCGTATCAATGTCAGGCCCAGGCCCTTATCCTAACTCACGGCCTTAACTTAACAGGCCTCCGGCGAGCACCGTACCACGGCGCATGATCTTAGGCTCTACAGGACAGACCAAGTACTATACGGAAAGAGGGTCGTCTGATAGAACATTCATGCATGTACCCGGACATGATAAGGAATGTAGAATTCCGTTGCACGTGGGATTAATCTGCAGGTTACCAGAGGAGATACCACAGATTAACTCTTATCAGACATTCGAACCCAATGGAGAGTCATGAAAACTCGGCCTTGAAACAGTGGGCCCACGGGAAAGACTTGGACCGCACAGGCCCCTTTCGCAGACTAGCTGCCCTCAAGACGGGCTGGGCGAGACTCTTGCACTCAGCGGATGAGAATTCCGAGTCCTCCAAGCCACTGTGCACGAGACTGGACCTTTCAGCGGCGTCTGACGCTCACAAGAGCTGGTTTGACGGGCAAATCTGCAGGAGAACGCACAGCGGTAATTTACCCTCGATAAATCGAGGATATTTTCATGGTGACACACAAGTCATATTGTTGTACAGGCAGGTTTTTGTTCTAGATCATGGTGTAACCTCTGGTCCTTTGAACCCTCAAGTGGCAGCGAAATCTTCCAGACAGTACCCGTGGCTGTTGGTGAATAGTTCAAAACCGCCAACCACTTCGTCTAGCTCGTGACCAAAAGCAGATATGCTCAGGCGTTCTTGATCCTCCTCCTCCTCCTCCTCTGAGGACGATGTTTCGTTTTCTTGAAGGATACTCTCGACACGCTCGCGGTCTATAATCATGTTGGGGGGTATTTGCTGTTGTTGCTGACTGAAAAGATGGGCTAGCATTTTTACGCCTCGTTTAGCAACGCTGCAGGGCCGCTCAGACTGAGCCAGAATAGTCATGCACGAGTTCACTAGCGCCCTGTCCGCTGCTTCCATGGTTGATCTTTCCCATGATCCACTGATTCTGGTCGAATGCTGCGGGAACAGCAAGTGGATGCCGATAGTAAGACAGGCACAAACAACATGGGAAGTCATTGTCCACATTGCAGGGAGAGCTTGGTCTGCCTCAGCGAATATTTTGAGCAAGGTCCGAGCCGAGTCCAGACACGTTGCTTTCGAGTAGTAGAACCGTTTGTCCGTAAAAGCCCTACAGTAGAACGGCTGATGTATCTTCGATCTCATGTGTAGGAAGGCAATTTGAAATGTTTTTCGCTGGGAGTTCGCCATTCTAGAGCTCAAGGAAGGAAGGTTGGCATCAGGATCGTCACCGTTGCTTTGGTCTTGTTTTACCCACGAAGGAGCGAGCTCCATGAATTCCGTTAGCTGTTCATCAGCTTCCAGAACTCTTTGGTATAATCTGTCCAAACTGGGACGTTCTGTGGGAGCGGGACCTGTTCGGGAATGCAGAGTCCGGAAGACTCGTGAAAGATGATAGTGGAGGAGTATGTAGCTGTTTTGAGTTACAATCTCTAGCGGTATCACTTCCAGTCTTTCACTGGTCGACGTACTTGTAGGCTCTTCGATATGAGCGGGTAGGCTTGTCGTGCAATGCTCCAAGATAATATTATAGGTTTTTTTCGCCGCGATCAAGTACGTGTCTTGGATGACCAGAAAACACCAAATTCGCCTCTTGATTTCCTGCTGCAGAGTTTCATCCGTTGCGCTGATGACAGAAGACTTGTTGGCCGAGTCAATACGGTGGAGTTGCATACATTGGGCAATATTTGTAGCAGCAGACAGCAGTACCAGGGCACGCTTGTAATCACTAGGCGCTGCGTCAATACGAAGTCGTGCCCAACCATGTTTTGGCACCAACTTACCCGAAGCCATAGGCACACGGCAAGAAAGTACAGATGGCCTGGAGCGAGTATACTATTTGGTCAGTTTTCGCCATGATGCTCGTTTTGACCATGTTTCCCCCTTACCAGAATGCTCTGCCATGAAGTCGACGAGGTCGAGGATCATTACGGCTTTGCGATAGAGTTTCTCGCTTAATTTGAAGCCGGCTCGAATACCAATCTGTCCATGTTGATCTGAAGACATATAGTACAATCCAGTCTTCGTCCTTGTCAGCAAATGGTCAGTTCCAATTTGGGCTGGAGAGCTCACGGCCATCAATGCAAAGTACAAGGCATCCATGGCGGTCCATCGATCTCTTGGTTGCTGTCTCCTTTCTGCCCATTCAGCCATGAAAGTGGGCATGTGAATAACGTTGTGCATCCATGCAATCTCGTTCTTATGGAAGGCAAGTATTGCATCCTCCTGCTGAAGAGGGAGGAGATTTGGGCAGTCTTCACTGGTGCCATATCTCGCAGGACGTCTCGAATTCGTGGATTGAGGAGTGTTGCTATATCTTCCCCAAGCCAAGCTCTCGAGGACTCCAAAGGTTTCTGAACCTGGATCTCGACGGTGGTCTCTGGGGGAAGAGTGCGTTACAGCATCGGGGGAATCCGTCGAGGTAGGAGTAGAAACACGCTCAGCGGTGTTGAGGTGATTCGCTGTCACCGGCGAGGTCGGCCTATCATGGTAGAATTGTCTCTCATTACTGGCAGGATTGTTCAAGCGCTTTTGTTTGGTGAGAAGAACTGGTTCCCTGTGGCATTCAGAAGCTATGCCGCGCTTCATGCAGTTCGAGCAGGGGATCTCTTTCGAACAGCGCATCTTCCTTTGTGCACATTGGCGACAAGATCTCGGAGGCCTTTGGGAGACCCGTTGTGGCGCTGCCATCGTCGACTGCATCTTCGTATGATGCCTTGCCCTGCCTCTTCTTCCCACCTTGATTTTCGGAGAGACAGAACTAAATCGACACGGCCGCGATGATATCTCTTATCTCCAATATGGCCTAATCCGGTCTGGTCCCCGAACCCGGCCGTGTTTGAGGTGCTTGTGGGGCAAGAAGACACTATAGCACATCTGGCGTGAACGATTCGCCGCACCGCCTGTGATAAGCCAGCCCGTAGCCGGAGTAGCAGATGGATATGCTCTTAACATGAAAGAGTTTGTTATCTCGGCCGTGTTGGAGGGGCCCACCTGAAGTCCATACTGCCATCCTCGCTCCTGTGACAAGTCGGAAAATATTCTGACCGCTACAGACGCCATCCCAATGTAACCGGGTTCAACTTTTGCCAAGGTCGCATAAAAGCAACAACCCTTGTCTGAGGACTATTTCCGTCAAACGTCGTGGTAACCACACCAGTCCCTGCAGCTCAAGGCAAGCCTCTAAAGTTGCCCATATCAAACACGAGGCCGAGGCCAGAGACCTATCGAGACAGCCGTAGGACGTGTCCTCTGCTCACGTACAGATTTGTCTTTTTACAACATCATGTCTCCGTCAGCGACAATCACCAACGGAACGACCATAATTCCCAAACTTGACCGGCCACTGGCATTCTATGGCACCGTCATCCACTGTTTATCTCAATCCGAGGTCGAGATAGCAGAGTCGGCATTGCTCCTAGTTAACATCCACGGCAAGATCTCAAGCTTCCACAAAGATGTCAAGCAGGATCAAATCGAGCAGCTCCTGTCAGAACAAGGCTGGTCTACTGAGACCGTGTCACTCACCATTCTGGAGCGCGGCAAATTCATGGTCCCAGGATTCTTCGACACCCACAACCACGCTCCGCAATGGACTCAGCGAGGGACTGGTCGCGGCCATCTCATCATGGATTGGCTCAATAACACAACCTTCCCACACGAAGCTCGATTTGCCGACCCGGACTATGCACGCAAGACCTACGCGTCATGTGTTGACGGATTCCTCAAGCAGGGAGTCACGACAGCTTGTTACTACGGTTCACTGCACGGCGAGGCCACCAAGATCCTTGCCGAGATATGTATACAAAAGGGCCAACGCGCATATGTCGGCAAGTGTAACATGAACCGCGAAGCTCCCGACTACTACAGAGACGCCAGTGCCGAGGAATCAATATCAGTGACCAGAGACTTCATCGACCATGTGCGGAAGATCGATCCCAAGTTCGAGCTCGTCACTCCCATCCTGACCCCGCGATTTGCGGTCGCTTGCGATGCCGACGTCCTGTCGGGTCTCGGGAAGATCGCTGCAGAGGATCCAACCCTCCCGATCCAGACACATTTCAACGAGACGCCCCAGGAGATGGAGATCACCAAGAAACTGTATCCGGAGTTTGAGAACGAGTCAGACCTGTACGAACATTTCGGACTCCTGAACGAGCGCTCCGTCCTTGCGCACTGCATCTACATGGACGAATACGACATGTCCAGACTAGAGCATCTCAACTGTGGAATCGCGCACTGCCCCGTGTCGAACACCACCTCGGGGACCTTCGGGGTTGCTCCGGTTCGGGAATACCTGAGAAGGGGGATGAAGGTTGGCTTGGGAACAGACAGCGGGGGCGGGTTCTCGTCGTCCATCATGGACTGCATGAGACAGGCCTTTGTGGTTTCCAATGCGAAGAAACTCTCGACCGGTGGTGCTGACAAGTCGCTCTCGTTCTACGAAACCTTCTACCTTGCCACGCTGGGCGGAGCGCGGGTCTGCAATCTTGACGGCATAGTTGGTAATTTCCAGGTCGGCAAGGAATTCGACGCCCTGGAGATCCACACGGTTGGGAAAAATGCGGGAATTGTGACGTTGGTGGAAGATACTGACTCAACAGCAAAGATCTTTGAGAAGTTTATCATGAGCGGCGACGACAGGAACATTGCAAGGGTGTTTGTCAAAGGTCGCAGTGTCAAAGAATGCTAGATGACATACGAAGAGATAAGGCTGAAGCCCCTTAAAATGCTTATGTCATTTCAAATGTTCCAATGATGGTCGGGTTAAACTTTCGTCAGGCCACCACCATTGGGACAGTGACTGCTTCCTCTGTCGTCTACATATAAGAAGCCGCTCTGGAACGAAAGGTCCAGTACAATACCCAGTGTATATCGCAATCCGGGGTCGAAAGAGAGTCCTTCAAGGCATTCTCCGAACTCGTGGGAGCGAGTGTCTGCACATTTTCCACTCATGGGCAAGGCTTCTACACAAGACTTCCAAAAGTAGGACTTTGAATTGAATTACGAGCAGTCAATCCTACCCTCATCTCTTGTTCGGTCTGGAACAGTTGATATCGCTCTTTCAACCACTCGTCTCTCGACACACACCTCTCTTGCAGCCCTCGCAATGAGCGCTCTCATGGGGGAGACCCTTCTTTGGCCCATAGTGTGGGTGCTCCACCTCTACGCCTGCCCATCTTTTGATTCTGTATGCAACTCGTTCAACATATGATTCCTTGTCCAATATGAGCGTACCGAGCTTGTCGCAGAACTTGCATCGCTGGTTATAGACCTCTGCGTTGTATCCATTGTCGGGAAACCCCTTGATCACTATTGCGATCTTCTTGCTGGCCCAGCCACCCGAAGAACAGGCACTGTTTTTGCACTCGAATCTGCCCATGACGTGGGTCGAGTATTCCCGGTTGGGGGTCTGGTTGCTACCGCGGCCGTGGAACCGTGGCGACGCCATTTCACCAGAGACTGCCTTCACAACATCTTTATGGAGCCCTGGGAACCTGAAGAGCACTCTCGATTCACCACCGTTGTCTCTGCCGGATCTTCTCTTTGGCATTTCGGACGACGCGTTCGTTGGCTGTTTCTCGGGTTGCGGTTGCAGCAAAGGCGTTCGTTCTCTGCGCGAATTTTTGACTCCCCTTGTGAAGTCCCGACGCAGCAGGAGGAGGGCAAGGTACCAAGTCCTGTCGTGAAATGGCGATGGAGGGAAGTCCTGGCTCGAGGTGAATGAATGACCGCAGATAGGAGGATTTAATACGTGTATGTCAGTGTTGTCTTGAGATGACTCTTGATCAGGCTGAGGAGACGGTTTCTACTCACGCCTCACTCCGCCTCAGCCTCATATGCATCTCGCTTATTCTTGTTTCTTGGCTGCAGATATAGGTATTTCATGGTGTTGCAAATGCTGCTGGGCTTAGTCATAGTTCGTGGTGTCCAGGGGCAGTAGGCTTAACGAGAACAATAAGTGTCAGCCTCGTTCTGTCAGTCTGTCATGACTCTCTACGTGGTCTTCAAGACGGGGCAAAGGGGGCCGTCATCTCCCCAATGTACTGGATTGTATTTACTGCTCTGGGATGATTCCTCTACAGGCCGTGAATGGAAGGGGCACAGTACATAGATAGCTTCCAGTTGGATTTCCATCTACATATCTCGCTTCACCAGACCAAAGACGACGGTGATGGAAGTATTTTTCATTGTTTGACAGATTGACGGTGACATGTTCCCAACGAATTGCTGGTACAAGACAACAATATCGGTATTCGAGAACACCTTGAATAGGTATTCTTGCTTGAGTATAGTTGTGGCTATGAGTCGATGCCTCTGATTAACTCCAGAGTTGCATTGAGTTGATTTGTATTCTTCGGTGGAGTCACCCTGAACCTGGGTACCAATCCTTCTTTGAATGTAGTCGGTGTGGATAATCAATACACTTCAATAGATCATCTCAAACGGATGATTCTGCCTGACCGTAAGTCACATGCGGTAGAGTCACCGGTGGAACAGGTGTGGTCGTCAAGTCTCGAGAGTATTCAGACTCCTATAAATAGTCCTGCTCCCCCACGTCTGTGCAACCATCATATCATCGCACAGCAAACTTCAACTTTCTCTCCGGGAGAGCGAAACTTCTTCTCGTCTCCTTCCGATCCTCACATCTTCCTGAAATCTCGACGGGAGAGAGATATATATATACACATACACACATCCTGGCGGCCTTCGTCATCCAAGCTCAAGATCCAAGATCAAGGCTTCCATCCTTCCACGAATCCTGTCGACGTCATGGGTCTCGTCGTTTGAGGCCTCTGCGGAACCCTATGATAGCCTCAACACGAATCAATATAGGGGGGATGTTGGGTTCTCACTATCTCACAGACCTCAATCTCTGATGGTCTCCTAAAGACCTATCGCCTGATTCATCTCCTGCAACGACCTCCAAGAGGATGATCACTCCTCTCTCTGTCAAATCTGAATATCCGCAACTGCGTCACTCGGTCACAATGAGCGATAATACCGCTCTCTCACTCCAAGACGACCAAGCTCTCGCAGCTTCCGATGGATCGACTGCACTCGCCGCGGATTTCTCATGGGGGAAAATCACAGCGAAGAAAAGCAAGGTTATGCTCGCTCATGTTACTCTGCGCCACATCTCAAAATCACAATGGAGGAGTTGTAAAGCGTCGTTCGCCACCTGAATACTCCTGCACTCATGAGTGATAAGAAGAAGCGAGGTCATGAGTAGCTCAAACTAGGAGATCCTTATCCTCTAGCAAGAGCACGGGCTTGACACTTCTCACACCGCATACTCAAGAAGCCAAGGAGGAGCTCCATCAAGATGGTGTCAGATGGTGCGTCCAAATGGGGCCCGAACAATCCTCAGGATCGAGGAGCCGAGCACAATGGTGACACTGCTACCTCGCAGGAGGACCCGTCAACGTCTGTCCGGGCTACCAAGAGACGACAGCGGAGGGCAGCCATGACCCCTGCAGAGAGGACCACAGCGAATCGACTGTGAAAAGAACGAAAACAGGCAACTCGTCAAGCCGTGGCAAGCTCACCAACTGCGGCGACATAGACCGCCTCGAAAAAGCCATCAGACCCCAAAGATAGCTCGACTCGTGAACTCTGGAAGTAAGACTGTAGCCATGGCCATAGAAGGATCTGCGCAGGGCGGCGGTTGGGAGGGGTAACCGTGCCTCCCAACTTCTCCCACAACTCTAGCCAGAGCTCTTTCGCTCTCGACCATCAACATGTGTGAGAGACCCTCCGATGAGGACTATGCCTAACTGGGAGACGGTTGAAGACCTGATAGTCATATACTAAACGATTTAGCTCAGATCGTTCTCTGACCAAGAAAAGCCGCCCAAAGACGTATTCCTCGTCGATTTTGAGCCAGTACGTCGAACGCAAAAATCGGGCTGCCTCTCAAACTCTTGGAGGTGGCATTTTTTGATGGTAACGGTCGATTGATAATCGACTGTAATCGACGACCGCGGGATCACCAACAAAGTGTTCGAAAAGCATACGAAAACGTAGAGTACGGCGATATTCCGCATGTGGAATCACACACTCAATCGTATTCTTGAGGAACTGGGTCTACCAAACACGTCTACACCTAGCGCGAGGTGGGGAGAGACAACGAATTCACAGTACTACCACCTCTCAAAGCCGACCCCCCATCAGGCGCCCCTATTCGAGCGCGTCGGAGTCACCATGTACTGCTGTGAAGAGTCGGTCAAGCCAACCGTTAAATTCATGCCTGGCAAAAAACCTGACGGAAGTTGGCGAGCGATGACATCTGTAAGCTGGACGTGGGCCATCAACGGCGTAATATCATACTTCCTCACCGCACAAGGACCAGCAGAACTGGCCATACTGCACGATTTTCTTCGCTACTTGAATCTCGAAGCGTTCGTTCTCAACCTCGACCGGGAGAGTCTCCATTCACACACGGTCGAACTCCTCTCAAACGCCGTTGTACCACAGGCTGAACCAGGATATAGCCATGGCAAAACAACCCAAAAAACCCTCTGCGAGAGTTGATGGCCAAAGCATTAAATATTGAGGACAGGAAATCCGGTCACCAGGTTCATTTTGGGATAGGGGAAGCGTAAGCGAACCGGAACCGAGAAGGGCCCTTGCCAGCGTCGCCTCCACTACTTCCTGGAGATGGCTCAAGAGTTTCTTGGCTTGCCAGGCGACTTGCAGGCTGAGAGGGTAGGCAATTCGCTGCCAGTCGGAAGACGAGGAGTTCTACACTGACTATAATGCATCCGCTTCAGTTCAAGACTCAGAGTTAACGAAACCGTCAGAGCGGCCTACGAGTCCGTGCGCCATCATCTACTCAATCCGTTCCTGCTCTCGCTGTGACTCGTTACATTACAACGTCTTCAGAAAAGTTGGCGATGGCCGAACACTTCACGGAGAGGACGGCTTCAAGACACTCAACCCTCGAGGACCAACAGGATGCATTTTCCTCAGGCTATAAGTTGACCAGCCAGCTTCGTCCTGGTCAAAGGGTCCTCCGGGCAAAGGCAAATCCCACATCGCGCGGGAACTGATTTACCCGTTCTTGCTCTCACAGGCAGCAAATACACAGGTTTATACCGTGCGGCCTCGAATACATGTGTCGACCATATCACTGAGCGCATCCGAGGGTTTATCAACGAAATCACTGCCAGTCAAGAAGTTTGCAAGAAAATACAACGAACTCGCAGCAGAGAAGGGCCTGCCATACCCGACACAAGCCAGATACCGAACGTGCGACTCAATAATACGATATGGTTTCTATATAGTCATCCTCATTATCATTTTCAGAACCCTCTGCTCATCGCTTCTACAGCTTCCTTGTGCCCTCTTCATCCTCGTCGTCACAGACTCACAATATGGCGCCGCCTGGGCTTCTCCCAGGGGAGATTGAGGCTTCAGTCCTCAGGATCAGAGACATTGAAGTCAAGAATGAAAAACCAAAGACCTTCGACCCTACTGCCTTCTCAGCCTTCGCAGATGAATATCTTGAGGGCCTTAGACCCGGAACCTTTCTTCTCTGCACTGCAGAAGAAGAAGGCGAGCTTGCTCGTCACAGTCCCTCTCGCCGAAACGACAGCGTCGATTTCGACCACCTGTCGTCTTTTGAAACCCAAGGTAGAAGTAGTGACCATAATGAAGAAGACCTATTTTCTGATAGTATGTCTCTCAATGACGATCTCCACCAAGATGAAGACGAAATCCCGAAGGGAATTGAATTAGATCGGAAGATTCTGGTAGATGGAGAGATATATCACTTCGCCGATTATCTATGAAAAATCTTGGGTCGCAGAGATCGTATGTTGCTATTACTGTGTTGAGTCACATTATACAGTCTGAACTAACACGAATCAGATGTCACTCCATAATGTCAAGTTGATGACAACCTCGTCATTGAGTGTGAGGGTGCCTAGAGCAGGATTGAAAAGACATTTTGTCGATCTCCTCATGAAGAATGGTTACTCTCTTTCCCGATTAGCATCAGCAAAAAACAACAAAAAAGCGTTGGCTAAACAGATGGTATAGGAAGCTGCCGGAACCATGTCAGGAGGGAATACCTGCAAACCAGAGGAGCGGGCAGCCAGCCAGACAAGAGCAGAAACGTCGCAAACGAGCCGAGAGATCCAACCGAGCTGCAGCCTCAAACCGCAAACAGCAAACAGCATACTCCTAGAGTCAAGGCCAGGGGCGAAAAGAAGGAGGGTTTCCAAACACCTGAGGAGTGAGAAGCCCGCGAGAAGCAAGAACATGAAGCCAAGCTCAAAGAGATTGAGTCGTTCGACAGCCATATGGCCCCGTACAAAGAGCTGTCATGGCATGTTTGTTATGGGTCGTTTTGACAACATTGTGGCGGCCAGCAACGATATTTCCTATACCGCGAAGATCACACAGCATCTGGTGTGCGAGGACGACAGCGTCGTTGCCGCTCGACTTGCGGTACGTCGAGACTTTCAACTACCGCCGTCCAAGATATGGACGGTTCTGGTGCTAATATAGAATTTAAACCCTGGAACACGCCACTGGGCGACGCCATGCTACCTGGCGCAGGCCATCCAACTGATTGCCACCACCACTGTCACCACCACCACGACCAACAGCCACCAGTTCCTCTGTTATTGTCCTTCGATCTCTTCGATTTGCCAGCCACTCCGGTGGTCAAGATGCCCTCCTTGCTCTCAACTCCTCCAACGACTCTGGCGAGAGCCGCCCATCTCGACCACAAAAAGGTCTCTCTATGGAAACAGAGAAGTCTGGAGTGCAAGCAATTGGCCGTCCATAGACATATATCTCTGGCCACCTTTGTTTTGTTGACCTTCGTCTAAACACACATTAATGGTCCGCAAGAGTGCAACACTCCGCCGCCCAGACCAAGGCATGGGTCAAGAGCGTGTGCAATACATCTCGGTGTGTTGTGTCCTGGGCACCTACGATCAATGGGGATCTTTGAGAACGCCACGGCCAAACGATGCCCCGACCGCCTCCAAAGGCAGCAAATACTTCGTCTCATACTTTGTCGGCCTTTATCATCGTGCGGTGTGCGACGAGGCACACAAACTGTGTTTATATGCCCGCGAGGGAGCCCGGGAGGAAAGGTCTTCGCCGACTAGATAGGCTCTTAGGAATAGGTTCTAAAGGACTATAACTAACGTTCTTATGCGGGGGACCGGGTACCCAACTACCTCGACAGTAATTTATTGGAATTTAGAAACGGATCACTAGAATTGCCCAATATAGTCTAGTACCACTTAGTTGTCATTCACCAACTTCTTCTGGTCAGGCCAGGCTTACGTAGTTGTCAAGTAGTTAACTGACCTATCTCCTGAAGCTTGCAATACTGGAAAGGCTCTTGCCAAACGTACTGTACTCTGTTGAGTAATGTTGTCTATCCCCAAGGGGCGTTTCGAACGGTGCCAAAGGTGGGTGTATTGAGGAGACAGGGTTTTACGTTGAAGTCTGGAGGCGGTGGTGGCAAGGGGTATATAATACTCCCAGTCTCAAGACTGGATCGATCTCAAAGTCCTCAATAACTTGAGAGGCACTCTCACAGCCCATTGGGGCCCAAGCCATTCGATTTGTCTGGGTGATTAATCATCCACTCACTATATCACCAGTGTTAGTTAACACATTACACGGTGAGTGCCCCTTCAGGTGGATATCACACCTACCGGCCTGCCATGGTGAATACATATTTGTTGGACGTTCTAGAAATTCATTCACATCAGTATCAGACCACCAGGGAGGAGGGAGGGGGGCGCTAGGGATATAAATTAATTTATACCTGTTGGTTCACTACAAAATCGACATGAATCCTACCTAGTCCTCACCTCATTTTTTGTCCCGTTGAACAACACCGCCACGAAACGACCGCAGTTTCATTGTAGACTGCAGTCTCTTGAATGAGTTTCTCACTAATTCGTGCTGTGCTAGCTTTACAACGCGGGATTGACTACTGGTAATATCGATCAACTGTTTTACTTTTGACCCCCCCGTTTGCTAATCTCTTCAACATTCATTCATTCATGCACAGACTGCCGGGCGCTTTCCAGCCTTTGCACCCATCCATGAGCTTTGCAGTTCGACTTCGTCCTCCCACAGCTCAGGTGCCTCGTCCTTCCCAAGGCCAGAAACGGCCGCAGTCTCTCCCCAGACGACTCCACATTCGACTACATATTCTTCCCAGCATCTTAGCAGTTCCTGAAGTTTCTCTGGGTGGCTGACAGCAAGGTCACTTGTCTCTCCGGGATCTTCCACCACATTGAACAGTTCCCAGCCGTCGTCGCCTTCACCCGCGCCTCCCTCCCTTTTCGAAAAGTGGACAATTTTCCAGTCGCCTTTTCGTAGTGCCCCTCGAGCAAAGAGTTCCCAGCCGACAGGTTCCGCGGACGAGTGAATCGCCCACAACTCATCATCTTCGACTCTCTTCCCATGGCTGAAAAGCGGCACCCACGACTTTCCTCGTATGGAGTGGACGGCTTTTCCTCGAAAAGTGGTCATCTTGCGTAGTGCAGAGCTGTGGGGGAAGGTTTGCTGGGGTCTCTCAACTGTGCCAGGGAGGGATACGCCCGCAAGATCTAGAAAAGTTGGTGCGAAATCCATCACCGTCGTGAATGAGCGGTGGAACGACCCAGGGGTGAACGATGGGAGGAAAGTGTTAGCAGGCGGTTTGACAACGCAGGGCACAAGAATGCCACCCTGCGAAGGAAAACACTTGAATAATCTCGATGGCGCGGTCGAGGCTTGAGCCCACAGAGGTCCAAGCCTGCAGAAAAAGATCCCCGTCAGCAGCGTCTCGATGGGAGGAGGAATGTTGGGTTTACCAGGTGAACGAGTTCTAAGAACCGATATTGTCGTACGAATTGTCATAATACTGGTGGATGGCACGTTTGATGTTGTCTCCCATCACCGCTGTCCGAGGTCAGAGTGGTGTTTCTTTTAATTGTGGAATTACCACAGAGTACTCACGGACTGCCTCCATTCTGTGAAAGAGAGAGTTCAAAATCAGCATTAGTTAACTTCTCTTTTGTTGTTCACTCGGACGTTGAGACGGAAGAACTCACGCGGCACCCTCTGCCCCATTATCGCTCATGAAGACGATGAATGTATTGTCATACTCGCCGGTCTTCTTCAAGTAGTCCACAACCCTACCCACGTTGACATCGATCGAGTCAACCATGCCGGCATAGGCCTGCATAGCCCTGCTTGACAGCGTCTTTTCTTCTGGTGTGAGTTCGTGCCACTCACCGACGCCAACCGTAGTTGTTTCCACCTCGTGTGGAACGACAGATTCGTCAATGATGCCCATCTCCGCAAGCTTCTTCAGTCTACGTTCCCGTAAAGCATAAGGGCCATCCTCATACAAGCCTTCGTACCTGTTCGTAAATGTACAAGACATGTCAGCCTGGAACGCTCTGCGACCAACAATCGCATGCCATGTTCACCATACGACTAACATACTTGTCACGTTGTGCTTTCGAGCATTGCAAGGGCCAATGAGGAGCAGTGTACGGCAAGAAGGCAAAAAAGGGTTTTGATTTTTCTTTATCCGTGCGACCTTCGAAGTACTGAATGAGTTTGCTCGTGTAAGAATCGGTCGAGTAGAAACCCGCAGGATCTTCTGTCTTGTTGGGTTCACTGTAAATAGAGAGCATTCATTGTCAATGGAAAGGGTGTGAACCTGGATCAGCCTCAATTCAGACTTACATCTCGACCTTTCGACCATTTTCCGCATGAACGGGGCGGCCTCCAATGGGGAACCGTTCCTGGACTGGCTCCCAGCCGTAGTGATTGCAACAACCAGGAAGCATGGCAAAAGCCTTTTTGAAACCCCTCTTCCATGGCCCTTGATGGGCACGAAGACCCAGATGCCACTGCAGGATCGATCAGCAGCATACAATCACACCGACAACTAGCAAGCATGCTCTCAACAAGAACGAACAGTCCAAAATACGCAGGAATGATTAACATATCAGCCAACTCACCTTGCCAGACATGGCTGTGAAGTAGCCGTTGTCCTCCAGGATTTCCGGGATCGTAGCGACATCCTCGTTCAAGAAACCCTCATAACCCGCCTTGCCCGACCAGCGCCTGGCTCCCTTCTCGCTGTTCTTGTACTCGATAAGCACCCCCAGTCCCGCAAGATGCGCGTCTGTTCCACTAAGCAGCATCGCACGCGTAGGCGAACACGCCGCCGCAGCGTGCATGTTGAGCATTCGAATGCCCTCATCGGCCAAGCGATCAATGTTGGGTGTCTGGATTTCACTGCCGTAGCAGCCGATGTCAGAGAATCCCTGGACATCTAGAATCAGCAAGGGCCGACTCCCCAAGTGCAGAAGACCACCCACGAGATCGTCGGCGAGGATAAATAAGAAGTTGGGACGTTTCGTCGTAGCGCTAGACGCTTCTTCGCTCATGTCGCTGGACGTCTGAGATCACTGTTCGACTCAAAACGATTTGGAGAGGGAATGGAAAACGATGTAGTATCGACGATGCTTGGAAGGCATAACGGCCCTTGCTTGATCATTTAAATATCTTTTCCGCCTGCTCTTGTCCAGCACTTTGTAATTCCCTTTTTAGGGTTGTATAAACCTAAAGCTGCGGTCGGAACAACCAATAACCTGCGGGCTTGATTGCGACTACCTTGGATGGCGCAATCCAATCTTGTAGCCAACAGGACTCAGGGACTCTTCAGCCTCGTCAGCCTCGTCAGCCTCGTCATATAGCTTTAATTATGATGCTAGACTAACTAATCGATTACTATTCAGACAACCTTAAATTTCCATTGATTGCAGTGTCTTTGACTCTTCGTTCGATCAATTCGCAAGCATCCGCTTTGCTGTCTCCTCAAAGGACTCCGGAGCTCGCCCGAGTAACCTTTCGAGCTCGCCATTGACGACTGAAGTCTCGCCATTGCGTACTGCTTCAAACACTGTCGTCCAGTCTCTCGCTACACTGTTGCCTGGACCATGGGATCCGATTTTCTCCACGACCTTAGGGTTATGTGCGTGCTCGTCCGAAGAGACCTGTTCGATCGATGCACCCCCTCCGCCGAGCCTTCCGAGAACCTCGACGGTCTCTTTCAAAGACCAATCCCTGGGTCCTGTAAGGATGATGATCTTGTTGACATACCGGGGATCGCTGGGGTTGTCAATATATTCTTTGATCAGTCTTGCGGTTGCCTCTCCCAGGTCCCTAATGCAAGCCCATGCGATGCCAGGTCCAGTGCCGTCGTGAGGTAAGTAAGCCGTGCTGTTGTTGCCTGCTCTCGGATCGAAGAATGAAGTGTACATGGGCCACGTCTCAGAGTATATGCCCTCTCGGATGACTGTGAACGTGAAGCCATCACCTTCGCGGTTGGCAACTTCTCTCAGCCAGGCCTCTGTCCGCAGATGTGCTTGCATGACATATGCGGCTGAGGACGGTCTCCCGTCTCCCCCAAATCCCAGCGAGGTGTAAAAGGCGTGTTCGATGCCCGGGGTACTCTCAAGAGCCGCTGTCATGGCATTTTGATGAGCCTGGATAGCAAAAATCAGCGAGGACCATCTCCAAGGCGAGTTGACCCCAGTGATCTAAAACTCACTCGGAAGCGGTGCTCGATTTGGATACTCGGATATGAAACCAGCAACAGATATGAGATGCCGTCGAATACGTTCTTGAGCGTCTCGGGAGCATCGTAATCGGCCTTGCGAGTCTCGATTCCGGCCTTGATCAGATCTTCGGGGACCTTTTCTGGGTGTCGAGAGATAAGAACGAGCTGTTGTGGTGGAAGCAATTTGCTGAGTGTCTGGTATGTGGCCGAGCCCAGCTTGCCAGAGGCAGGAAAGACGGCGAGTTTTTTCATTTTTGATGGTAATTAGTTTTTATAACGATGGCCTAGTAGATATGGATGTAGCACTAGACTGCGAATTTAGTGTGCTCGTGTATGGACCATGATGACCATGACGTGGGATTTTCCTTTTTATCATCATCACCGAATCTTCACTTTGGTCCGCGTATTGCTAAGCCGCACCAACTGCGATAGTTGCGCACTTCTGATTCTCACAACGCTGCCGACCACCATGGTGCGTAGTCATGGTCTCATGGAGCAGACTCACCTAGCTCATGTTTCCAGTAGCGTCAATAAGCTCGAGAGAACTTCTTTATTGGTGATGGACGTTGACTTGCTTGTGTGCGTTGAGCCCAGCGTTTACTCCGCCGCAGTATTCTGCACTGCTGAGGCACATGATCCGCCCGACACTGCGACCATCGAGACCGCCATCTTCGTTCTTCTTGGTGTTTCTCCCTTTTCCGGCATCAGAAAACGCAACCACTGCCCCAAGACGCCCACGATGTGTATGTATCCAATTTCACCCTCTGAATCAGCTCCAGTAATTCCTTCCACCCTGATTCCAGCCCGCAGCTTAGCAACACCATTGCCGTGATTGGTTCGATTGATCTAGATAGCGATTCGTGAACAGCACCGCCATGGATGATGGCATCCGCAGCACTCAGCGTGCGCCGCTCTCGTGCGTTAGTTGTTACAAGAGGAAAGTCAAATGCGATAAGAAGATTCCCTGTGGACAGTGTATTCGTCGCGGCGCCGTCTCCACTTGTAGGCGAGAACAGGTCAAGGTCAAAGGCCAGCTGATACAGTGAGTTTTTATCCTAACTACCTAGGTAGAGACGAGGTCCTGACCAGTACGAGGGCAAAGAGCGATGGAAATAGTACTGGATGGACATACCAGGATCTCGTCCTCGAAAACCTCGCCTTGAAAGCACAAGTGCAAGCGACAACAACTGGCGTGGAGAAACATGTTCCCAGTGATGGTGACGAAGTCTTCGTCCTGGACGAGATGGCCGATGATCCATCGGCCCACCTGTTCGATTATATGATCCAAAAGCAACCCCCTCGGACAGTGTCAAATTACGAAGATATCGAATTTCCCACCCGAGAGCAAAGTGCGTATCTGATCCTGCAGGCCAGAGAGAGGATTGCGTGGATTCATTACGCACTGCATCACCCGACGTTTGAGGAGGAGCACGATGAGTTTTGGAAGAGAACGACGACTCGTGATGCCCGTCTGACCTATGATCCTGCATGGCTGGCGATATACTTCAGCACACTTAGTGTAAGTTGCTGACTTTCGGCGAGGAAACGGATTTCGCGTTGACCACCACAGGCTGTCCTAGTTTTTCTCCACGACGAGGATACGCCGTCCTCTCCTGCCTCAAGATACCCCCTTTCATCACGAATGCGAAAGTGGTACGATGCGGCAGTTTTCTTCTTGGAGAAGTCCGATTACCTACGCGTCCCGACGTTAATGACTGTGCAGACAATAGCAATCCTAGGCATTGTATTCAACAATGTCGGCGAGTTTAACTTCCACAGCAACCTGTGGTCTATTGCTGTGCGGACGGCGCAGACAATCAGAATAGACAACGAAAAGCACCTGGCTTCACGCCCTCCCATAGAACGGGAGGTCTGTCGAAGGTTATGGTGGACCTTAGTCATCTGCGACTGGTTTGTAATTCCTCTGGTTCGACAGCAACAGCACAAACTGACCGCAGTCTAGGTTGCCACCACCAAGGAGAGCTGCCACTCTTTTGGACCAGGATTTCAATGTCAATTTGCCTGCCATCAAAGACGATGATGAGCTGGCCGGGGCAAAACTTCGTCCGGCTAGCTACCCTCGCAAAATCCACTATCACATCATCATGATTCACATCTCGACAGTGTATTACAGGTACCGACTTGCACTGAGGCTGGGACGATGGACGAATTCGACAATTGTTGACCTGGTCACGAAAACTGACGAAAGACTCGCTCAGATCATTGCCGAACTGCCACCTTGGCTCCAGAACGAAGATGGTCGGCCCAAATTCCGAGACGTAGATTGCGCTTGGGCATCCTGGCAACGGACCAAACTGAGCTTGCTGTTGCACAACCTGAGAATCACCGTCAACAAATCGCTTCAAAATTTATGGCTGGATCAAGGTCTGGTATTCCAAAGGGTGAGGTCCATATGCCTTGACTCGTCAAACGCAATCATCTCCTTGGCTCTCGACGGTGGTGAGCCAGTCGAGAGACTGAATACTTGGTACGTGCCATTAGTGTTTCATACGGATACGGACTCTGGGTTTGACCGGTTTCGGTGCTAATTCAAGAACCACAGGGCCGTTGTGATGGAACTATTCTCTGCAGCAGTCACCATCGCCATCGAAGAAGAACTCCAAGGTGGTCGTGTCGACGATGATCCTTCTAGCCCAGTGCGGAGGTGCATGGCCTTTTTCGAGTCGGTCCAGGAGCACAATCAACTGGCAGTTGCGGCCGTGCAGATGCTTCGAGCCATAACCTCAAAATCAGGGTAATGAATCTCTTACCCAGATCATCATCTTTCTCCATCCCCCACTACCGTACCAGCCGACTACGACTCGTCCTCTTCAGTAACTCTTCACTCCTGCAAGCCGTAGCACAGTGTCCGTCTCCACGACATCATTAAGCGGTTTAACTCTTTCACACGCGTCCGGCTTGCCGAGGCGGAATCCGTCTCCGTCCGTGCTGCTAAAGATGTTCCTGTTTGGCCAGTGTGTCTGGAAAATCATGTCAGTGAAAGACGATTCTGGTGCGATGGAGAAAAGTCCTACCGTTCGCTTGCGCTCATGGAAAAGCTGTGCCTTCAACTTCAAGTCTTCCTCACTCGCAAATCTGACAGGCGCGTAACAAGCGTCTTAATCACAATTAGAGACGTCCACAATGTCATGTCACGCTGGGAAAATCTTACAAACGATCGATCGGACCTGCTGACTTTCCGGGAGCCGGTTGTAGTGGATTGTCCGCGAATCCCAGATGATCAAGTCTCCTGGGCCGGCGCAGACTTTGACAACCTCACAACCCTGCTCTTTGAACCAATCCACTTCCTCTTGGGTGAAGGTAAAATAATCCTCTGAACCCCATGTCCTTGACTCCGACGGGATGCCGAATTTCTTGAAGTACGGGTCAATGTGGTTATGAGAGCCTCGAACCACAACCAGACCACCGTCTTGTGGCCCGTTGGGGGCGAAGTTGATGATGCCCTGCGCACAGATGAGGCCCTTGCGCTTTGGCGCCTGGTCAATGTGAGGCCACGGCTTCATGTCGGGACGATCTGGCTGAGGAAGAGTGAAGTTTATCCCGTCGAAGGAGACGAGCAGTTCATCGGTGCCCCAGAGCTTGGCATATGCTTCCAGCACTCCTGGCTCGCTATGAGAGAATAGTTAGTGACTCGGTCGAAGAGCTGAACTGGCGAGACTGTGCGACGACTTACGTCCGCGCATCCCAAACGAAGTCCTCGTGCGGAGTTCCATAAGAATGATACATTCCGCGTCTACGGTATGTCAGCCAGCGGACTCGGCAAGATCATGGAGGGCGGATTTTGGTTTTACTTCATGTTCCTCGGAAGATGTTCTGGTCCCCATGTCGAAGGATCATTGCGGTCGAAATCGTAGGGGAAGGTCTCCAACCACTTGAACATTCTTTCGACGTAGGATGCTGCCCGTTCGGGGCTCATCACACCCTTGACAACGGCGAATCCGTCTCGAAAGAGATCATCGCGCCAATCTCCATGTTGGATGGTTGTGTCGATGACTGGCGAGATGTCTTCTTCAACTTTATGAGGCATGTTGGGGGATTTTCCAAGGCTCGGATTCCAATGTTTCGACGTGTGTGGGTGGGTGTTGTATATGTTTCTTGTCGGCGGTGCATTAACAGTGGTCTGCTAATTGTCGAGGTTGGGATATCAAGAAAGGAGGAGGGCTGACTTTGGGCGCCTCCAGCCTCTTTAACTGATCCATGGACAAGTCCGTACCTCAATTTCTCATCCGTCATTACGGAAAACAAACCAATCCCCCGCGGGAACTATCACTGGTACCAGGTTCATCGGAAGACGGTCGGACACGAGAGAGTGACAGCTGATAGAAGTAGAACTGCGAACAAGGTGGATCCTCGGCCGGGTTTCGGGCGAGATGCCGCTGACCAAGGAACTCGCCTAGGTAGGTACCTCGTACGTATGTACTCTCACTCATGATCGAGCGGAGTCTGCTGTACGGAGCAATAAGTAGGGATCGCGGATGTGGAATCTATCTGAAAGAAAAGAGGGCGGCACGATGGATACTTCCAAGTATGAGGGACGTGTGTTAGGGACCTATCCAACGTGCCGGGCGATCCCTTCGGATACCTGGTCAAACACGCTTACGAAGTCTGCTAGACTTTGTGTACGAGTAAAAGCGGTACAAGTTAGCTAGTTCTTAGCCGAGCATCACACTTAACCTGGGAGGTATGTACGCAATTCGAGAACTCTGGTCACTCCTTGATCGTCCATCGAGTGAAGTACGAGTAAGAGGTATTACTCTGCTCCCAAACCCCCCCGGCCCCCCGAGCTCTCTCTCTCTCTCTCTCTCTCCCCCCATAAGGTTGCTGCCTAGGTATGTATCCAACAATCTTAGCTCAGGGGGTCCCCTGAGGGGGTGTAAGTCGACTGTCAGTATCTTATCAATTCCGGTATCCCGTTTCTCCCCTATGCTCCCAGACTCGGAGACTGCATCCCACCAACCACCAAGTTATCATGCATGACTCGTATCCAATTGACCTGTCATGTAGCCAGGAGCATTCGTGGATAGATGCAGCATCATGACGAACTTCAGCTTTCTTTCTTTCCTGACGAGTTTCGTTCCCGTCCTCAACCCAAAAGGGCCCCCCTGCCTGAGCGGTTCCTGTTTCTGGGTTCCACTTTTGCTCGGCCAAAGGAGGTTCCACCCTGATATTATGTATGGCAGGGTGATGGCGTGGTATGCATGATGGTAAAAAAGGTAGAGGCTGATGGTGCGGTAGTATGACGCTGAGTTAGAGAATGACGGGTGCGGTGGTACTTTGTCGTACGTGTCCGTCCTCTCTCATCTCCTCACAGGGACCGCCTCGGCACTACTACGACCAGCCATGCCCGTTCTTCCTCGGATAACGTCTGCCGCACGCTCTGCGACCGCGTACGCCACGCTCTGCAGATGCGCGCCCGGCACGACAGGGTAGACACTCGTGTCGACGATGCGCAAACCCGCTGTCCCGTACACGCTGAGATCCGCATCGACCACTCCTCCCAGTCCGCGTGGCATCATCGCGCACGTGCCGGAGTAGTGATACTCTGTATTGATTCCCTGTCGAATGAACGCTTCCAGCTCCGGCCTCGTCGCGTTCGGGGACACCTGCGTGTACGACGGCTCCAGGGCTCGTATGGCGTCGGTGTCAAGGATGCGTTGGTTGAATCTCATCGCTGCGACCATGATTTCGAAGTCAAGCGGGTGGCTGAGCCAGTTTGGATCCACTGCCGGATCGACGGTCTCGTCCGGGCTGATGATGTGCGTGGTGCCTCGTGACAGAGGGCGCATGAGAGCTATGTCCAGACCGCCCGAGTTGTCGTTCAGGACCTCGTACGCCGGTGTGGATGCCGACATGAGGTTCTGTAGGAGGAGTGGGAACTGAGCTTGGTATCCCGCCTTGACGACCGGTATGCTGGTGCTGTCATGGCCAGAGGTGTGTGACAATGGGTAATACCCTAGAGAATCTTGCGTGGCTGAGAGAATGAGGCCCAGAGCGTACGTGGTGTTCGTGATTTGACTCAGAGACGGGAATGCGATGGCTGTACTGGGCTTTGCGGTCCACGGTCCAGTGCGAGAGGTCAAATATTCATGAGCAGAAGAGGAGTTGAATGTGGAATTTGTGAGGAGCCCTTGGGGGTTTGGGAATGCGGTATTCTGATAGGGGTACTTCACTCGGAGAAGCGCATGGTCTTGTAGGTTGGAACCTACACCGGGGAGATCAGCCACAACGGAGATGTTGAGAGCCGACAACAGTTGCCCGTCGCCGACACCGGAATGTTCGAGGACTTTGGGGGTGTGGATAGCCCCCGCGGCAAGAATGACTTCTCGACGGGCGACGAACCGACGTCCATCGAGGGTCTGTTGCTCCAGTTAGAGGACGGCACGTACTTGAAGATAAACGCAAACTTACCCGTACGCCAATGGCCCGTGGGATCGCCCCACGCCTGAACAAGATGCGCACTACCTGCGCGTCCGTCAGGACGTGGTAGTTGGACCGGTTGGCGGCCTTGTCGTGGTACGCACGACGGGCGTCGGAGCGAGTCTGGCTGGCTGGGTCGATGGACGAGGGGAGGAAGTAACTGCCAGCGGAGGTGCCCTCATTGGGGTCGACGCACGACGGGATATCAAGGGCATTGAGAGCGCCAAACCAATTGTCTGTCCTCTGTTTAGTACAACGGGTGTAGAACAGCGCGGAGTCAAGCGTCGGGGCAGGACTTCAAGATAGTTGCCAACGTACCTGTTTGCGGCCAGTAAAAGACCGGGTAGCTGACCTGTACGGGCCCGGAGGAGCCATGTACAGCCGGAACGAAGGTCACAGGCTGGCGGGTAAGGTTGGCGTAAGCACGAGGAGTGTAGGATTCGGATTTCATGAAGTAGGGAAGCAGACTGTTCCAGTCCCATCCCTGATTGCCCAGCGAAGCCCAAAGATCAAAGTCTTCTTGATTGCCGCGGTTCCAAATCATGCCATTGACGAGACTTCCTCCCCCAACACCTCTGCCCATAGGTAGGATGCGGGTATGGTTGTCGAGTTGGTTTTGTGGGATAGTCAGGAGGTTGTAGGCGTAAAAGTCTGCCGGCTGTTCACCAATGAACGCGGGAATTGCAACCATAGCTTCACGTTTGTCCCTATAGAAATCAGTATGACAAGCTGCAAGGTATACCGGCGGAAAAGTACAGTGAGCCAGCCTCGATACAGAGAACAGAAACGTTTGGATCTTCGCTCAGCCTGGTGGCCACGACCAAGCCAGAGATACCACAGCCAACGACGACATAATCAAATACGCCCTGTGTATCATTCCACGAAAGTTCGCGATGAGAAGGGTAAGGCAAGCAGAATGCAAGGCTCGCAAGCACGAGCATCAGCACAAAAAATCGACTGGAACTCATCTTGGAGAGAGCGTAGGGTATCTAGAGGATAACCGCTTGCTGAATCGATTTGTTTCGCTTTGCTTTTGTATTCTGTACTAGCGAACGGAATGCCGGAGGGAAAAACAAAATGAGAGAACATTGGAACGAGTGTCAACGCAAGAAGCAGGCCTAGAATCATCGCAATGCCAGTGAATACGTGTAAGACACGTAGGACTGTTCTGGAGACAAACTAGGCGAGTGGAAGATCAAAACGTTTGTCGATCGCCGCGGAAACAGTAGCAGGCAAACGCAGCAGCGTACCTTTGTATTGTGTGAATTTTGGTACAGCGACAATCAGTACAAAGGTAGGAAGTGCTCTCGTAGATCATTGAAGTATTGATTGATAAATTCTTTCTCGATGGACAGGAAACTGTCATGCCTCCGCGATGGCATATTATTTCTCGCGAAGATTAGTTCGTGCCAATCACAGTTGCATTGGTCTCGAACAACAATAGGTGCCATTGATGTCGTAGTTGCCATGTTATACGTCAAAACCGTATCCGCTGGGATAGGAGTACCGAAGATGAGCGGTGCATATGGAGCAAACCAGCAAAATGGTATCCAAGGGTGCAGGTGAGTGCCAGGATGCAAGAGGGATAGAATTCTCAGAGATGGAGGTTGTGAGATGTGATGGCGAAGTGGCTGATACCAAGTTTCAACACGATCGAAAGGTGAGGCAGCATAGTAGTCTACCTGTTGACCGACATCATATGGCTGTATTGCTGTAGACGACGCCGTTGTTGGACAAATGAAAGATTGGGACATCCCATGCATCTTTTGCTGTCCTGTGCTGGTACAACTAGGTAGACTGAATTGAAGTTGCCGTAGGCTCTCCATCTGCGAGAGTATATTCTTGAGAGACTCCCAAATAGATTGTAACAAATTCGTGCATCTTCCCAGTTTCCCTCGCAAACTCTTCCGACTCTTCCTTAAGTTTTTAACGATGTCTGGTGTCGACTGCTCCGACAAAGCTTTGGCAATTTTCCGTTCGACGTTTTGCAGTGCGTTGCTGAGCTGCTTGCTGCGACGTTGTTGATCGCCTAAAAATTGCTCCAGATAAAGGCGCTCTTGCTGCAACAATGAGTATTGGGACGCACAGAGTGTCGGCTTGGACACCGAACGTGACACCCCCAAGGACGACATTCCCCAAGAGCTTTCCTATGAATGAATGCTGTCCATGATGAGACTTTACAGACTTTTAAGTCCAGCACCGTTGTCTCTGGCATCTTGGTATAGCCAACTTCTTTTGTGTGTTATGTTCCTGGAGTGGCAGATTGAACAAACAAAGAGCGGAGGCGAACCGATGGTGACAGCCTGCTAGCCAGAAACAGGGACAAAGAAGCTGAGCTCACCCTGGGCGGCAGGACAACACTGACCCATCAATGCGAGCTGGTTGCAAGCATTGGAATTTGGGGACAGGCTCAGGATCATACATTCCATCCACCGTGCCTGGCAGGCTCGGCGAACCTCCAGAGGCCAGCCTCTCTCGCGGCCTTTTGCACAATGCCAATTTCATCCTTGTTGACATGTCGATTGATTTCAGAATATCGCTTCTCGTCTTTGTTGGTTTTAGCCCCCCTTCGCTCCTGGCCGACATGGGCCGTTGGGTAATACTGTTCCATGATATTGACAAAGACGTCCTTCCCTAGTGCTTCTGCCAACCACTGCATAATTCGCACGCCCTCTTCTTCCTTTCCAGGCATGACAAGATGTCTCACCAGGAGTCCCTTCTTTGCGATGCCGTCGCCAGTGAAACACAAATCGCCTACCTGTCGATACATCTCTTTGATGCTTTCTTTGGCTACATCCGCATATCCATCGGCTTTAAGCAGTCTCTTACTTGTCTCATTGTGCCACACCTTGAAGTCGGGTAAATATATATCGACCAGGCCATCCATGAGTTCTAGACTCTGGAGGCTGTCGAATGCACTGGTGTTGTAAACAATGGGCACCCTCAACCCCATTTCCCGCGCGGCCAGGATGGCTAGGGCGACCTGAGGCACGACATGCTCCGGAGTGACAAAGTTGATGTTGTGCACGTTGCCCACCTCTTGCAATTTGACCATCCACTCCGCCAGCTCGTCCGGCGTCAGGTCGAAGCCCACCTTCTGATGAGAGATATCATGGTTCTGACAGAAGACGCAGCGCATATTGCATCCGCTGAAGAACACAGACCCAGAGCCATGGTGTCCTTGCAAGCAAGGTTCTTCTCCAAAGTGTGGAGCAATAGTCCCGACTTTGACCTTCTCTGCACCGATCAGGCAATGGCCGGTGGTCTCGAACCGGTTGACGTCGCAGAGCCGAGGGCAGAGATTGCAGCGTCGGAGGTGTGCATACGCCGCGGAACGTTTCCTGGAGGCATCGACCGAGGAAATGAGATGGTAGCGAGGGATATAGTCCTCTAGGAGGAAGGGAGGTGCAAGATGGAGGTGCCGCCGGATGGGTATACTTGAAGGCAGAACGATGCTCGGCCGTAGGACTGTCGGCCTAGCGACGATTGATCTGAACATGATGGGCCTTTTGGACCATTTCAAGCATTTTTCATCCTGGCCCCTTGAAGACCCAGGCCATTGACTTACTGGTAGATGTCGAGGGGTAGAATATTGTATCCATGAACAATCAGGTAAACACGAATGCCACATCGTCCATTGGCCGAGATGCTCGTCATCAGCCTCGACCTCATCAAACTGCGGCCTCGGAAAGCGTGGGACCAAAGGCGCCCGAAATACTTGTTACTTACTAACATTCTTACCACAGCTCATATAATCCTCATGTAACAAGACACCATGGCCTTCATATGTCCTTGAGGCTGCTATTCTCCCAAGCTGTTCTGTCGCCTCGCGTCTGCGGTGTTCCAAACTGTTTCGCTGCCTCTGTCTACCAGAACAACATCGTCTGTACACTTCCTCGCACGTCTGCTGCCTGCGTTCCCTTCACAGGACATCCTTCAAGCCCTCATCCACGATGCGAGCAGTCATAGCGATTCCCTGTATCGTCGCTCTCCTTCTCCGTGCATACACCCGCCGCTCGCTCACGCCGTTGGGCCTGGTATCCGCCGGCCTGACTGCCTCCATCCACGCCCTCCACCCCTCCGCACTCCCCTTCACACTCCTGGGCACTTTCTTCCTCCTCGGAACCCAGGCGACCAAGGTCAAGCACGACGTTAAAGCGACCTTGACGCAGTCTTCGAGTGGGAGCTCAGGGGGAGAAGGTCCACGGACAAGCGTCCAAGTCTTCGCCAACAGTGGTGCCGCGACAGTTCTCGTCCTTCTTCACATCTACCTCTACGGCCTGTCCCCTGGAAGCGACGCCTGCTTTTCTGCGGCGGGCCCCTCGAAGTCGATTGTCCCAGATCTGATACTCCTGGGTATAGTATCAAACTATGCCGCCACGACGTCCGACACGCTCTCCTCCGAACTGGGCATCCTCTCGCGCAGCAAGCCCAGGCTGATAACAACCCTCCGCACCGTGCCGCCGGGCACCAACGGCGGCGTCTCGGTCGCAGGGCTGGCGGCGGGCGTCGCGGGATCCGTCGCGATTGCGTTGACGAGCCAGCTCTTTCTCACCTTCTGCTCTGACAGCTCGCTGACACGACCGGGCACGTTCGCGCTGATCACACTGCTCGGTACCACAGGGACCTTGGTGGACTCCCTCCTTGGAGCCATCTTGCAGGCATCAGTCGTTGATCGGAGAACGGGCAAAATCGTCGAAGGGCCCGGCGGCGTCAAGGTCCTCACCAAACCAAGACCGGGCCCCAACTCGTACCAGGGAGACAAGAAAGAGAAGGCAGGTCACGAAAGTAGGATCATCAATTCTGGCCACGACATCCTGGACAATAACCAGATTAATTTCCTGATGGCCGGCATACTGAGCGTCTCGGGCATGATCGCGGGACGATTCTTGATTCAGGCATAGCATGCATGCAGAATGATCGTGATAGAGATCCTCTTTTACTTATTAGTATTCTATATTCAGCCATGGGATTCATGCTATCAGACTGGAATTTTGGCCCAGTTTCCAACCTTCCGTCCCAGCTTGCACAAAACAAAGCATTGTCCCAAGTCCAACTCGAGACCCTTTACCATATCCAAGATCATGTGCTGCATTGCGTAGCCGGGTATCATATCAAAATCGTATCGAGGCAGGGATATCCCGCCAAAATGAGCGTCCATTATAACCCTCTTCGAATCCTAGATTGTGTTGTTGCAACCTAGGCCCATATGTCCTTACTCCTCCAACGCCATACATGCATAACTTCACAACTCAAACACCGAGATTAAACAATCAAACACAAAAAGAGGGCCAACGCATACCAACCGAAGATGACGTGCAGAGACTTGAACCTGGAAGATGCTGCACTCTCAGTGCCGGCGGACTCGCTTGCAGAAGCACTACTCGCCGAGGTAGCCGACGGCTCGCTGGTTTGCTGCGTCGAATGTGGAGCAGCAGACGGCAGGATCGTCGTTGACTTCAATCCAATCCCACCCGGCCCAAACGAGACACTGTCACTTGCGACTGTTCTCGTAACTTGAGGTGCATTTGAGCCGATGCGATATGTCGTACCACTGAAGACTGCATCACTCTCGTCCAAGGAGAACGTCAGTCCTTCTGCTGTGACCACCATAAACCGCGATCCACCAGGGAAAATTGTTGTTCTCGGGAGGCCTATGCCTTCCGACCCTATGGACACCTTCGTCCCGTGCACCGAGATCGTTGTTGCCGGAGCATTTGGGCCTATCCGATATGTGGTGCCCGAGATTATGGCGACAGTGGGACCAACTGTAATTGTCAGATCCCCGACAGCAGTGGTAAATGTGGTCGTTGCAGGGGAAACTGTTGCGGCGTTGTTTTGTGGGACGGGTGCTATGGTTATCGTAGCCGTCGGCGCGACAATGATGCTTGGCCGGACAGTAAAGGCCTCGCCACCGGCTTGTACGACTATTGACGAAGATCTGGGGACATTCACAGTCTGGGTTCCAATGATTACTCTAGACTCAGATACCACAATGGGGATGTTGTCAACGGTGGTCGTAGTGGGCAAGAATGCTGGTAGACCGGTAGGCGTGCGGGTTGCAAATGGTGAATAGATGATAGAGTAGATGATGTTGCCGATGCCAGTCCGTGTGGTTGACGGCACAACCAGCGTGCCGGCTGCAGTACCAGCAGTATTGGTCAAGGATGGGAAGGCTTCCGCTGGGGGTTTTGTTGTTGAGGATGTGCCAGATCCGCCAGGAGAGAGACCACCACCATTGTGGTCAGGCCCTCCATCATGACCGTTGTTGCCAGGAGTGCCATCACCATTGTCTCCACCCGTGATGGTATTGATTGAGGATGATTCCGACGTTGGCTTAGAACTGGGAGGAGTTGGATCGAAGTTGATGTCGGGTGAAGTGGTCGGTGGTGCGATTACTGGGACCGGAGTCTTCTTTGTTACGATAACGGTGCTGGTATAAGGAACGCTGGAGTAGACTGAAGATGCCGCCTGGGTAGCCGTCTCTTCTGTTTGCTGTGGGGATGGAGGTTTTGGGTTCTGAGTTGCGAAAGGAGAACTACCCGCCGACTTTGAAAAGCTCAGGGCCGGAGAGGCAGCTGCTGATGCAGAAAAGAAGGGTGAGCCGGGAACAGGGACGCCCTGGCTCGCTTTAGGCATGATGGTCTGTTTGCAGTATGGCAGAGGGGTGATCAGGGTAGGAGTGTCGGTAATCGATATATTGCTGGCCGTGACAGTCACATTGAAGCCTTCTGTGACTGTGATATAGACTGTTGGTGGAACGGAGCCATAATACGTGATTGACCCAGCGCATGTTGGAGTGTCGTCGTCCGTAGTAGTGGTAGTCTCTGGTAGTATGCTCGAGGTGTTGGTATATATGCCGATATTCGTAGGGGCCGTCGACGTTATGGGATGTGTAATGGTATCGTCTGAATACGGTGGCAACGAAAGAGTTTCTGAAGGTGAAGTTGTCATGGCCGTTGGTCGTGTTGTCGAGTTTGTGTAGTCTACCGCTCTTTTAGGCATGAACTTGAGCGGCGTTCTCGCATTCCTTCTGAGGTCCTCCGCATGGACCACAGCCACATACAGCGCAACGAAGTACCAAAAGCGACACATCTGATCGGTTGTACTAGTTCCCTCGAATCTTTTCGTATGTCCCAAAGCGAGTGTTTGATTCTTCTTGTAACGAGTGAACGTGCAAAATTTGCACCTTGCCCGGTGGCTCAACCCAGCATCACAGCTTTTCGAGATCCTAGGTCTGCGCGACCACTGTCTCCTCGAATTCACTCAACCAGAAGTTGCTCAATGTTGCCTGCCACGGCGCTCAAGCGAGAGACGAAGCGCATAAAGAGGTATCGGGGGACAGAAAGGCTGCATGCCGCGAAAACGTCGATATCTGCTGCAGGTCGAGGTAGAAGCGAAGGTGAGTGAGAGTCGAGGCTAGGAAAGACACCAGCAAAACAACGGAGAAGAGAGAGTTGAGCATGCCTTGAACCCTGGTCCCTCAGACCTCGCTAGCCATGACCCATGGGTGAAGGAGAGTGTCAGGACGGGGATCTCTGGCCAGGGCAGCACTAAGCAGGGGGGGGGGGGGGGGTCGAAGAAAATAGCGATTGCCAATTCGTGTTTGGTTACTAACTAGTAATTTAGTGGTGCTCAGCCTTAGGGAACATCGGTGTCCAGTGGCTGACAGCTGCCATGATTCTACTGTACAGTATGGTCTACCTATTACTCGTACAGAGGACTTCAATCGTCAATTTGGGTTGCGCACTCTTGAGTTGAGTGGGAACTTGGAAGGGCCTGCACAGTGGAAACATTTCCGGTGGCCGGTCGACCACCCACCCACCCACCACTTTGTCAGTTCTCCCGCAGCTTTCAGCCTCTCAGACCACCCAACTCGCCACACACAACCGCGTGCTTGATACCTCCGGCCTGCGACTCCGAGGAGAGAGTGTGCTCCGTGCTTCGTGCCCGGCGCCCTTGCCCAGCGCTCATTGCTTGGAAGGTATGAGTACCGTCCAGCCACGACACCGTTATCTGGGTCCTGAAGGTATGGTGGATACGTATACAATTGGCAACAGGAACAGGGGCACCACTGACGTGGCTCGGATTCCCTCTCTCCACCATTTACCTCATCTTCATCTCCTTGCTGACTTCAGGCTATCTCTTCGTCTCTCTGATACGTTATCGACATCTCGGTACACTGAGGCTAAGGATCCTAGATGTCCATCTCCCGCTGCACTCTACGGTTTTCTGCTGGGATCGCCCGCAGGCGGAATTTCACCATCAAACCAGTACCTGCGCAAGACTTCCCATGAACAACCTCTACCTGAGACGAGGGATTGAGTCTAGGTCAACCCGTCCTTCACCGTGCCCTAATACTATCCTGTATACGAGCCGTGGGTCGTGGCAGCAAGCATGCCCCTTTCTTCTCGCGCCTTGCAAGCTGCAAAGTGTACTGTACGGAGTGTGTTACACCGGTCTCGCTAAAATTCTGCACAATACTCCAGTCAGTTCACTGCGGCCGCTTGGCAGGCTCTAGGTCCCGTCCTTGGGGCAGCAAATATACTTCTAAGCTCTCGGTTGGCTTGAGGCCACTAGGCTCCCCAAACACCCAACATCCACAAGGTCCACCAGCTGGCAAGGCAGACTTGTCAGCGGGGGAAACCTGCTCAACTCGGCCTGGCGGCAACTGGTGATCACAGGCCGCCGAGAAAAGGTGAGTGAATTTCAATATCTGGGCCTCCCTGGCTATTATTGTATCGCTGTGATCATTCAGAAGATGTATAGGCATACAACATATGAGTTTCACACCCTTGGCCTTCTTGACTACCGACATTCGGGGCCCTATGTCCAAGGAGTTTCAAAAGGTAACCGCAGGAGCCAGATGCTGAGAATTTTCCTGTTGGTCATATGGTGAGAATCTCTCACGCAAGCAGTGCTTCTCTGTCCAGTAGGATCCTACTCAATCCGATACCATGTGTGATGCAGCTTGAATAGCCAACATTATTACTGCGTAAACGGGGTGCGTGGCAGCTGTTCCCAGGTTGACAAGTAAAATTTTGGAAGAAAAGTTTGTACCGTTGCAATGGGAAGATAGTCAAAGCGCGCAGACCATCTTCACGGCTCCTTCTGACCCGAGTCTTGGTATCTGCTCTGCCTGTTACAGGCACATCCATAACTACAATACTACTTGGTGAGCCCCTTCTGTGGAGCTTTCTGGGGGAGGCTGACCGAGTTCCCGGCCACAAATACACACAGGGCCCGGCAAGCCCCTAAATTTTAGGTACTTCCCAGGTACAGTACGGAGTCCATCAGGTAATACGAAATCCGAACTCAAATCCGAACAGCCCAGTCAGTTCACGCCAACCTCAATGGCTCCTTATTGAAAGCAATAAGTCCTTCGGCCCGAAGATTTGTTCCCTCTCACATCTCGCAATTATTGTTCACCAGACAAGTGTCTTGCGACTCACTCGTTCAGTTGGCTTTCTTACATAAATTCTCATCATCTACGCTCGCTGTTATACTATTGTCATTAGCAAAATACACTGGGCCGCTTTGGTACCTGAAGCATTGCACCCCCTCCACGGTTTCGCTTGGTCGCCAGCTCGTGTCGATGGACTTCACTGTTTTCGTACCTACAACGTGATGTGCTCTCTGTGGCTGACCCGGATCCTTGATTTCTCGAGCATCACATACGGTAGTCTTCTCCTCTATGCCCTCGTCCTTCCGCAACGATGCTCCGCTGCCCAAAAGCATCCCACGCCGATTGTCGCGACTACCACTACCGATTTTCTGGGATACGACGGCGCCTGGTCTGCAGTTAGCATCCGCGTCGGTACCCCAGAGCAATGGTTGAGCGTCTTCCCGAGTACACTGAGTCCAGAGACGTGGGTTGTCGGGCCTCTTGGATGTGATGGAACATCTACTTGCCAGAACAAAAGAGGAGGCCTTTTCTACGCGAATCAATCATCCACCTTCATTCCAAAGGGATACTTCGAGCTTAACGCGGATTCGCAGACAAGCCCTGATGATGTCGGATACTATGGTCTGGATACAATTGCACTCGACGATCTCGTATCAGTCCCTGACCAGATTGTCGCCCTCGTAAACTCGACCGAAGACTGGGTTGGGACGCTGGGTCTTGGTGTTAAAGAGACTCGCTTTACGGACTCGAACAATCTCCCATTTTTATCAAGCCTAGTGCAGAATGGAAGCTACATTCCTAGCCACAGCTATGGATACACCGCAGGCGCCTCATATCGTGAGTGCTATGGCTTCTGGCAAATTGAGGAGACACTAACATGGCTGTAGGGCTCAAAGGCGTCCCGTCTTCCCTCACCCTGGGTGGCGTTGATGCGAACCGATTTGTCTCTAATAATTTAACCTTTTCTTTGAATGCCGACTACGCCCCTGTGGTGGCCATAAACGCTATATCGGTCACTTCGTCACCCTCTGACAGCGCATCGTTACCGTCTAACTGGGATTCCAACCCGCAACAATTGTTCGATGGAAGCCAGGACGATTCGACCTTGTTCGTCATAGACACGTCGACGCCGTTCCTTTGGTTTCCGACAGCAGTATGCGATGCTTTCGCCGAGTCACTGAATTTGACCTATGACGATAACCTTCAACTGTACCTTTTCGCGGACGACACATCGCCAGATACACTTTCCAGTTGGAATCTTACGTTCACCTTTACTGTCACCAATCTGCCCGGATCATCCGATGAGATCAAGCTGACACTCCCCTATGATGCGTTTAATCTCCAATTGTCATACCCATTCCCGAACCTCGACGCCAATTTTTCATCGGCTCCCACCAATTACTTCCCACTACGGAGAGCAGCAAATTCAACTCAATACACGATAGGACGGGCCTTCCTACAGGAGACCTACCTAACAGTCGACTACGAGCGCAACCAGTTCTCCCTTTCACAAGCCGTCTTCGATTTGGACGCCGTCAGTAATGTAAACCTGCTGGCTATTACGCGACCTGCTGATAGTATTTTCCCGGGCCCCGAAGGAAATGGCCATTCAGGGCTTTCCACTGGTGCCGCTGCAGGCATTGGTGTAGGCTGTACTGCGGTTGTCATAACAGGAGCGGTGCTGATCTGGTTGTTCTGCTTCCGCAAGAGAACTTCGAAAGCTGTTGACTCCGCAGAGAAGCCAAAACGCCGGAGTATTTTCACTCGCCTACACAGGGCGCCAGAGTCCAAGAGTTCAGTCAACGAGCTTTTGGGGGACAAGCACCATCCGACCGAGGTCCCGGCCGACACATCAGCCACTAGATTTGAGCTGTCGGCCAACAACGCGGTTGAGATGCCAGCAGCCCCTGTGTCTCCGCAGTTCTACGCAAGCAACGCACACGAAGGCCACAGAAGATCTATGCTGTCCAGAAATGACCCCAGACGGCCCGCAGAACTGGAGCACCAAGGTTCAATGGCGAAGTCAGCGGAGGCAGCGGAGGCAGCTAGGACGGAACGATCTAGCTCGCCAGTTCCACCGTACTCACCCCCAGAAACCAACAATGACCGCCTTAGCAGCAGCATCAGTCCGAATAGCCTACGAAACAGCCGGGCATTTGGAACCGTTTCTTCTGGAGAGCAGGGAATTAGCCCAATTGGCGTAAGCAGCAACGGACACTCGAGACAATCCAGTAACAGCAACAACAGGTCACTCCCCAGTCCTGTATCACCAGAAACCACCTCTAGAGCTCCACAACAATCGTCAGGGAGCTCGAGTGACAGTCCTCTGACAGACACCGGTCGCTCCGGCCTGATGGTGCCGCAACTCAATGGCCGCCCGCCATCCCGCTCACCAAGCACTGGGAGTAGGTTCGTCGAAGAAGGGCTGAGCACTGTCACAGAAGAACGAGCATCAAGCCCCCAAGGAGGACGTCCTAGCCATAGATTCAGCTGGGAAGACTGATTCTTTTATGTACAGGTCGCAATTGTCTAGCATGGTTTAACGAGTTCATGACCGAAATGACTTGATGCCGCGGGAATTCAAAAGAAAAGCTTACGTAGCGATGGTCTTAAATTGTATACATAGGATGTTCTGGTGTACTCCATAATAGGTGGACAACCGGTTTGAATATGAATTGTCATGCTGCCGTTTCCAGTCCAGCCTACCGAATCTTTAACATTTATCCGGTGCAAATGGCTGCAGAGAGCCTGGAGAGTCACGTCTGAGGCCCAGGAAAGTTTCGTGCTTGTCTCCAGGCTGGCCGTGGCAGTGGTCACTACAACGCTGGCGGACTGTGTATTGTGGGCGAAGCCTCACCGGCGCGGCTACGGCGGAGTACTGTAGCTAGTTACCTATACCTAAGCTCTTGCCGATCGTAAACCCCAAACTGTACGTCACCCATCGTCAAACAATCAGTTACTCCTACACCAGCCTGCACACATCATGCACCACGATTCGGGAGAGCACGATGGGTTCTCATAGTCATTTCGAATCTCTGCCCAGGTAACAGCAATGGCGCTTTCTAGCTGGAAACATTTCCCATTCTTCAACGTATCTCAGGTCCCTGTGCCTGCGGATGAAGAAGGTTCATACATCTTCGAGGTATGTGTTATCGGCCAGCCCTTAGAAGTGTCCTCACTCACGGTCAGAATGACATTGTATCGATAGCTACTGGCTCTGAGTCGCTGTTCCTCGGCTCCTCCGACGGTTCTGTACGCATCCTTTCTCGAGCGCTAAAAGTTGTCCGAACGTTCCACGCATCGGACACGTTAGATGCTTCCATCACACACATTAGACAGATACCTGAGACACCTTTTCTGGTTACCATCTCCGAGAATCTATCGTCGGAGCCCCTGCTAAAGGTATGGGCACTGGACAAGACTGAGAAGAAGACGGGGGGACCTCGGTGCCTATGTACAATTGCGGTTCAGAACGGCAGAAGACAATTCCCTGTCTCGGCACTCGTCGTCCTGGATGACCTGAGCCAAGTGGCTGTTGGCTTTGCGAATGGCTCCGTGACTGTTATACGGGGAGACTTTGTTCACGATAGGGGAACCAAGCAGAGGACTGTATTCGAATCCGAAGATCCCATCACTGGTCTCGAAATTCGACAAAGCGCGACAAAAGTCCTATACATCGCAAACACTGCGAAAATTTGCAGCCTCATTATCTCCGGCAAAGGTCAGGGCCAGACTGCGCGTACCGTCGACAGTCGAGGGTGCAATGTAGGCTGTATGACACAAGACCGAGAAACTGGTGATATCGTGATTGCTCGGGAAGACGCCATCTACTACTATGGCCCAGGGGGGCGCGGACCCAGCTATGCCTTCGAAGGCCCCAAAAAGATAGTTAAGATGTACAAGGAATACGTCGGTGTGGTCTGCCCACCTCGAGTGGCGCAAGTGTCCAAATCCAAAGCCTTCAGGCAATTGGCAGGCGACGAGATTGACGAGCTATTCAGCAGTTCATCGTTCACTTTGCTCGACACTGATCTCAAATTCGTCGCCCATACCGAGTCGCTCCCAACGCAGGTCAAGGATGTTTTTGTGGAATGGGACGAGCTGTTTCTTTTGACTTCAGAGGGAAAGGTAAGGACATCGCAATCCAGGTATATTCTTCACTAACATAAACAGCTGTTCAGGTATCAAGAAAAAACACTACAGCAGAAGCTCGAGATCCTCTATCAGCGCCACCTGTATATTCACGCGATAAACCTTGCCCAGAAGGCCGGGGCCGACAAAGTCCAGCAGAACAGTATTTTCCGAAAGTATGGTGATTTTCTATATCAGAAAGGTGATTATGACACGGCCATGCAGCAATATCTGCGGGCGATAGACAATACGGAGCCATCACAGGTTATACGACGATTCCTGGACACTCAGAGGATACACAACCTCATCGACTACCTTGAGGAGTTACACGAACACGATAAAGCATCTCCTGACCATACAACACTACTCCTCAACTGCTATGCGAAATTGAAAGACACCGAGAAGCTCGACGCCTTTATCCGGGCTGCTGGCACAGCGAGGTTTGACATCGAGACGGCCATTGCAATGTGCCGTCAGGGAGGATATTATGAACAAGCAGCATACCTCGCCACGAAACATGGCGAAAATGAATTGGTGATTGACATTTTGATCGAGGACTCGAAGAAGTACGCCGAGGCCTTGCAGTATATCTGGCGACTTAGCCCAGAAGCAGCGTACCCAGTGTTGATGAAGTACGCCCGAAGTCTAATTGAGCACTGCCCAGAAGAGACAACAAAGCTATTTATTGAGTATTACACTGGGCGATACGCTCCGAAGCAAGACATACCTGCTGTGTCGGAAGTCCAGGCGCAAACTGGTGGAGGCGCATTCCAGACTCTGTCGGCTCTTTGGACGCTGCCCTTCATGAGCAGAGCATCCACCACCAATGGGATAGCAACAGGCGACGAACAGAAAAGCGTGGAGGAGGAAACCCCTACGGCGTCAGTTGTAAACGCTCCATTATACTCTGTTCCTCGGCCACGAAGTGCATTCTCTGCGTTCATTGCACGTCCCGCTGAGTTTGTTCAATTCCTCGAGGCGCTCGTCCTTCAGGAAAACCTGGCGAAAGAAGACAGGTCCGATTTATCGACCACGCTCTTCGAAATGTACCTTGAGGCAGCGAACAATTCTCGAGATATTGCTGAGAAGGATAAATGGCAGGCCAAGGCAACCAGCTTGATTGCGGACAATAACACAGAGTCGCTAGACGAATCCAAGATCGATACCTCCAACGTCCTCTTACTGTCTTCTTTGTCAAAATTCCCAACCGGCACCACCTTGGTACGAGAACGAGAAAACCTCTATGCAGATATTTTCCGATCCTTTACGGCAGCGAAAGACACCTCTGGCGCAATTTCGGCGTTGAGAAAGTACGGTGGAAAAGACCCTTCTCTGTATCCACTCGCATTGGGGTATTTTTCTTCGTCCGAAGGTATCCTCAAGGAGCCAGGGGTCAAGGATGAGTTACAGACCGTACTCAAGAAAATTGACCAAGAGAAACTCATGGCGCCACTTCAAGTGGTCAAGGTCCTGTCCCAAGGAGGGGCGGTGACTATGGGTATGGTCAAGGCATATCTCTCGGACAACATCCAACGGGAAAGGAAGGAAATTCAAACAAATCGCCGTTTGATAGATTCCTACCGAACAGAAACCGCGTCGAAGAAATCGGAACTGGCGGATCTTGAGACGAAGCCTGTCGTGTTTCAGGCACGTCGCTGCTCTTCTTGTGCCAGAAATCTGACATTACCTACGGTTCACTTTATGTGCAAGCACTCGTTTCATCAAGAATGTTTGAACAAGCCTGGTCTTGGCATGGATGACGACGATGACGACCAGATCGAGTGCCCCATATGCAAGCCGGGCAACGACACTATCCGAGCCATTCGTCGACAGCAGGTGGAGAGTACCGAGCAGCACGATCTCTTCAAGGCAGCTTTGGCCCGAAGCAACAGCCGATTTATGACGGTGAGCGAGTTCTTCGGGCGTGGTGTGATGGGCACAGTACCTTCCGGAGAATGATCAAGTCATCGGCCATACAAAGCTAGGATTTCAAATATCGCGATTGATCTAGAGCAATACTCGAGACACAAATAGTGCAACTGAACTGTCCACAAACCCACACACAGGTCCGGAGAACAAGCGCGGCCCTGCGCGCTTGTGGGGTGAACGGCTTGCCTCGCTCGTGTGTTGCACTTTTGTGCAATGAGCTTCAGGACCTGTCTGTCGTACTGCGTACAGCCCGGATCCCAACAGAAACTGAAACTCAGCCTCAACAGCCGCAGCGAATTGTAGTCGACAAGCATATTCGAGGGACGACGTGAGACTTGCCTGAGTCATTCGTGGGCCGTCTTCGAAGCATCTACTGATGTATCGTTGCAAGCGGACATCAACTTTGTCGGCAGTACGGAGTGCTGGTAGTGAGACTTTTTCTATTTGTAGGGCTGCGCCATACCCAACCCGACCAGGGTTCTCAAGCCTAAGTTCTGGCCAGTGGCCAGTGTAGCGGTGGAGTTTGGTGGCGTGTCGGGGAGCAGTAGAGCATCGGAGGTTACTGGGCCCTCATTGATACGCAGACCATGACAACAACGTGATGGGGTGAAAATCAGATGGTTCCCTGGCCCGTTGAGGACAGGACTGGGACACTTTCTGGTCTTGATGTATGATGGCCATGCGTATGGACCGAAGGCGACGATATATCATTATGTCTGAACCTTGAGGACTGACCTGTGAATACTCTTATATGCATGGCGCGTGCTGGGATCGAACTCGTAGAAGTGAGACAGAAGAATCGGCCGAGACTATTGGGCAATGCTATGTCCATTGGACGTTCTTTGTGCGTGTTCCAATTGCACAAGTTCTCGTTTTCGCCACTCGAGCTCTTCTGAGCGAACCCAGCGGTTGAAAGGACAGACGTGGTTTCCTTTGCCGGTAGGCCGTCACTGTCAGTCGAGGACAGAGCCGTAAGCCGCACATGCCTGTACCTGGGAAGAGCCCAGGGGTGTCGCCTGTACCCCATGTTCTGGCTTGGGGAGGGCGAGTGGGGGTCACCAGGTGCCTGCAAAGAGCCCGGTTAAGCATGATGAGGTGCCTATAAGGGGCCTCTAAGTGCCCGAAAGTGCCCGTGAGATGGTGTTGGTCTTGCTTGCTACAGGGTTTTTGGATATCCCCGTTGCACACAACCACCGATCATCGTCATCATCATACTGTAATTCGTTCGTCGTCCTCTCGGTTTCAGCCAAAACATCCCCCATCCACATTGGCATCCTCTACCTACGTACCATCTGCCTTGGGACTTTTCTCTTCCTCGCTGGCCTGCATCATCTTTAACTTCCGACTCCTTCGTGGACGGAATCAGCCAACTGCTTATTGTTAGCCCCAAGGGAATCTCGCAGTGGCACTCAGCCTCGAAGTAATCCTGTGGCGTTGCATTATTATCATATTACGGCATCCTAGAAAGCGCAACTTGGTGGACCGTGACTGACTGACTGGAACTTGGACCAGAGCGCCGCCACCACCACACCATTCTCCACGACCTACATCCTTTATTGCTCACCAAACACACACACACCAGAATCCTTGGATGCGTGGTATTGTACTTTCCCAGCCGCATTGTGCTCGGTCATCGAATCCTTCACCTCTGATGAGCCTCGCTTTCGCCTCGCCCTGACCCCGCCGCCTTTTTGGTCGTGCGAAAATACGCTCCCCTCCGATCTGCCTTAGTCAACAGATGTGGTGCCAGTCTTGCTACCGGTGCACACGACGTGATCGCATGAACTTTGCCTGCGGTTCCTAAACTCACCCTTCACGAAACTGTCTTTTCCCGAGATCTGCAATCATGGGGGACACAGAAAAAGCCATTGACGACATTTACAAAAAGATCGAGCGAGAAAAGACGCTGATCACAGCCGCGACGCACATGCGACAGTCGACAAACAATGCTGCAGTTCAGGCACGTGTCGATAGTACCATTCGCGACGGGAGAAGAAACATCACTTATCTAGAGGATAAATTGCAAGAGCTGCAACTGCGACAACGGGGGGCATACGATGATGGCGCCCCTCCCCCTCCAGCTCATGGCGGGAACGGCGGCGGCGGTGTTGGCGGTGGCTACCCACCATCTGATGGTCGTGGGCAGCGAGGATATCAAGCAGGTAACGCGCCTACGCCTCCTCCCAAAGATGCCCGAGGATACTTCGCCAACGAAAGAGGGGACTATGGCGATCCAGGCCCAGGTGGTTACAGCCAGGGAAATACTGGCATGATGCCACCGCGAGCCATCTATGGCGATCCCCGACCCTATAACACTCCGATCCCCAAAGCGCGTCCCAATTTCTCAAAGCTAGGTATGCTTAAGTCGTGATTGCTGAACCCCATATTTCTGACAAGATCATCAGACCTGATCAAATATGATACTCCATACCTCGGCCCCAAGATCCAGCTCATGCTATCGCAACTCGAGTTCAAGCTCTCGGTCGAAAAGCAGTACAAAGCTGGCATCGAGAAAATGGTTCGGCTATATCAAGATGAGGGCGATAGGAAGAGCCGATCGGACGCCGAAGGCCGTCGCATCGAAAGCACCCAAAAGATCCAGTTGTTAAAACAAGCCCTGAAAAGATACATGGATCTTCATGTCGACATCGAGACTTCTGATGCTGCTGATGGTAAGCATTCCAGCCCAGATTTGACCTTTTTTCTTTCTGGCTGACCGGACGTCAGATGACAGTCTGAACGCACCAAACATGCGGAAACCATTAACTGGTCATCTGGAGATGCGCATTCACGCGATCAAAGATGTCGATCACGCGGCATCCTCTCGATTCTCCAGAGGTCCCGAGACTTTTGTGATCATGAAGGTGGAGGATAACATTCGCGCAAAAACTCGAGCCACCCGAACAGACAAATGGACTGAAGAGATTCACAATGTCGACATCGACAAAGCAAACGAGATCGAATTGACCGTCTATGACAAAGCAGGTGACCGCCCAACCCCGATTGGATTCCTCTGGATTCGCATTTCGGATATTGCTGAAGAAATGCGGCGGAAGAAGATGGAAACGGAATTTCAGCAGAATGGATGGGTGTCTGCGGACAAGATGGCCAACGGTGGCAGTCCGGGAAAGCCTGGCACTGAGTTTCAACAGCAGCAGCCCCAACAATCACAGGGCACCCCATTCATGCCGCCAGGTAATGCTGCTGGTGCTGGATCTGCCGCCGGCTTTGCTCAAAATCCTCAGCAGGCTCAGCCTGTAATGATCGACTCCTGGTTCTCCTTGGAACCTGCAGGTCGTATCCATCTCACCATGAGTTTCCAGAAGCAGACAGGCGCTCGACGTCCGTTCGACATTGGTCTGAATCGTCAAGGTGCTGTCCGTCAGAAGAAGGAAGTCGTCCACGAAAAACAGGGCCACAAGTTCGTCAAGCAACAGTTTTACAATGTTATGCGATGTGCACTGTGCGGCGACTTCCTGAAGTACTCGGCCGGCATGCAATGTGCTGACTGCAAGTATACCTGTCACACCAAATGCTATCCAAAGGTTGTCACCAAGTGTATCAGCAAGGCGAACTATGAGACCGATCCGGACGAGGAGAAAATCAATCACCGTATACCCCATCGCTTCGACAATTTCTCGAATATCGGAGCCAACTGGTGCTGTCATTGCGGTTATTTACTTCCGTTGGGCAGACGAAACGCAAAGAAGTGTTCTGAATGTGGCCTCACATGTCATGCGCAATGCCAACATCTCGTACCGGATTTCTGCGGCATGTCGATGATCGTTGCCAACGAGATTCTGGAAACCATTCAGCGGACAAAGCACCACAACAAGTCTTCCTCGGTCAGCTCTGGCATGAGCAGCAGGACTTTGAGACCGAACTCTGGAAGGCCCGGCCCTCAATCACCAACTCAGAGCTATGTCTCTGACGGAAGTACATTGACACAGTCTGTATCCAACCAATCCTATGATCAACATCCAGAGCCTCCTAAGCCCTCTGCGGCGGCGGCTGCTGCCGCCCAGAATCTGATGTACAACCAGCCTCCACGTCCGCAATCTCCACAGCAACAGAGACCATTGCAACAGAGAGCCGTCTCGACGGCTGCTGTCCAGGCTGCAGCTGCAGCGACCAGCCGGCCATCCTCACAGAACTACAACCAAGGCTTCAGCGATTACAGTCCTCAAAAGGTCGCGTCCGACCGGTATGCAAACGCACGTCCACCGGTCCCAGAAGTGCAGCCTCCCCACGCATCTTATGATCCTCGTGCATATCAGCAGTATGACCGGCAACCGGTCCAGCAGCAAATGATGCAACACCAACAACCTCAGCAAGCCGTAGTACCGCAGCAGAGGCCGCCACCTCCTCCACAGACTCAACAAAGTTACTCTCCTGCTCCGATCAAGCCGGCGCCTCAACACCAACAGCAGCAAGTTGCGACGCCTCCGTCGGGACGAGGCTCCGGGCCACGGATTGGTCTCGACCATTTCAACTTCCTCGCAGTGCTGGGCAAAGGTAACTTTGGTAAGGTCATGCTTGCCGAGGCGAAAAGCTCCAAGAAGCTGTACGCAATCAAGGTTCTCAAAAAGGAGTTCATTATTGAGAACGACGAAGTTGAATCGACCAAATCTGAAAAGCGAGTGTTCTTGATCGCCAACAAGGAGAGGCATCCCTTCTTGCTTAGTCTGCATGCGTGTTTTCAGACCGAGACTAGGGTCTATTTTGTTATGGAGTACATCTCGGGCGGTGATTTGATGTTGCACATCCAACGCGGCCAATTCGGTCTAAAGCGAGCTCAGTTCTACGCCGCCGAAGTGTGCTTGGCTTTGAAATATTTCCACGAGAATGGTGTCATCTATCGGGATCTTAAACTGGACAACATCATGCTGACCTTGGATGGTCACATCAAGGTTGCCGACTATGGTCTGTGCAAAGAAGAGATGTGGTACGGATCGACCACGTCAACATTCTGTGGTACGCCTGAATTCATGGCCCCTGAGATTCTTCTGGACAAGAAGTACGGACGAGCGGTCGATTGGTGGGCGTTTGGTGTTCTTATCTATCAGATGCTCCTTCAGCAGTCACCCTTCAGAGGTGAGGACGAGGACGAGATTTATGACGCTATCCTTGCCGACGAACCCTTGTACCCTATTCATATGCCGCGCGACAGTGTCTCGATTCTTCAAAAACTCCTGACGAGGGAGCCAGAACTGCGTTTGGGTAGTGGGCCTGGGGACGCTCAGGAAGTTATGAGCCATGCCTTCTTCAAAGGCATAAACTGGGACGACATTTATCACAAGAGAGTACCAACCCCTTTCAAGCCCACCGTTAAGAACGAAAAAGATACCAGCAACTTTGACCAGGAGTTCACAAGTGTAACCCCCGTTTTGACTCCGGTGCAGAGTGGTAAGTGGAGAATCCAGAGGAATAATGTCTTCAAAACACTAACCTGTATTGCAGTCCTCTCTCCTGCGCACCAAGAAGAGTTCAGAGGCTTTTCGTATACAGCAGATTTCATCTAGGAGGAGAATCAGCGTGACGAGGCAACATCGAGAACGGCCTTCGTACCAAGCCTCGATGGAACGTATGCTTGGAGTGACTCTTATAGCGACGGTCCCACTTCGGATACCACGGTCGATCGCAATGGTATTTCTGAGGCATTGGCAAACAACAGCGATTCCACTGGATCATTGGAATACTTTGATGCCGAGTGGGAAATTGTCGGTAGAGCTGAAGACGGCAACAGGTCCGATCATGAGATATGAGTGAAGACAAAGATCCTGATCTCTTCAAGACAAGGTCGGTGTAAATCACCAAAATCGGCAGGAAGCATGGCGTCCGAACCTTTGCACACGGGGGGTGTATGTGCCTTATAGTGTTGCTTTGGGGAAGGTGGCAGCCACTGACCGGACGACAACGAGCGGATGCGATGCACACAGGAGAAACCCCGGGACTAGTATTTTTCTTGGGCCGTATGGTATGTATTTGAGATGATATGTTGCATATTCCAGGGGACGGTTGGGAAGCTTTTCGTAAAGTCACGCTTAGGGATATTTTGGATGACTGGGATGGGGACGAAGTCAGGTCATACGAAGAGAAAACAAGCAACGTAGAAAAAAGCTTCCAGCCAGCGACGTTGTCAACGATGGGGATTGAAGAGGTAGGAGGGAGAGAGATGGAGAGAGTGTGTGTATGTGTGTGTCTCGAGCGTATTTCTGAGGCGTAAGAGATCTCGGAGAGTGTTGCAGTAATATTGATTTGATTCTATGGCGTAATAAGGAATTGTCCAGGATTTTGTTCTTCTGATGCCCCAGCATAGACTATCTTCTACTTAGGAGGGGTATATATGTAGGGGGTACGAGAGAAGGGGGGTGTGGTGTGTGGTTCAGATGTATTCGTATATATTTGCGAGGTTGGGTTGGGTTGCATCAAGACCAAGGACGAGCTCTCTTGGGCAAATACTGCGTGAGTGAGGTACCTAGCTGGATACGTACCTAGAAACCTAATAGACAAGACAGACAGACAGACAAGAACCTGGGTACCTAGCTAGATACATCGATACCTGGTATCTGGGGTGTCATCATGCGTCACGCCCACCTACTAGCCATGCTCTGTCCTTACAAGCCCTCAGGTATTGTCCCAGGATCGCGAAGGGGGCCCCTCGTAGGGCAGTAGGCAGCGGTGCCTGGAACCATTCTATCTCTCGCTCTCCCCCCTCCGCTCTCCCTCACACACACACACCCTCTCACTCTCTCCTTGATTTTTTTTTTCGAAGTTCACTCCTCGTGTGTCAACGATCCTATCGCTCCGACAGAGGAAAGAAAAGAGTAGATACGAAGGCACGAAGACGAGAGCTACCGCGGTATCCTCCTCCCGGGCAGGACATTGCAACTTGGGATTTTCTCGTCACCTCCCAACATCGAGCCGGTGAAAAATGGTTCGTCGATGGGCGGTGATTTGTGGCCAGGGTCTCTCTGAACAGGCGGGTCATCTACTTGGACGGATGAAGGTGGATTGCACTCCATGGTCTGAGCGTGTGAGAGACTTATGCGTCTCTGGACATATCTCGTTGAAACTGAAGCTCGGTGCAGTGCCGCCAGGAGAGTGAGTGAGTGAGTGAGTGAGTGAGTGAGCACGGCCAGGACTGATTGATTTGGAGGATGTGCCGGGGTCAGAGAGACACCGCCATCTGCCGTGTTATCGCTCGCATATCGGTGGCGATCATGGGTGTACATCACAAGTGAAACGTATGAGGAAGGGTATTTTGGTCAAGTCCACGACGTATACCTCCCATGGCCGTGAAACAATGGATTTTGGTTTCTTCGGGACTGGCAACTGAACTCGGTTGAATGACCAGCAGATCAACCAAAGAGCCGAGAGTTGTCCAGAGCCGAAACCTTCCTCTTCATCCCTGGCTTGATTCCTAGACTCTTCTTCTTGATGGCGAGTTCCTCCGCACCTCCTTTCCTGCTTGCGTACCTTCCGGCTCTCTTCAGCCTCGTCTCGGCGCGTAGCTGGTTGGGGCTGACGAATTGCTTGTTCTCAAAGATGACGGGCCCGCCGAAACTTCCTTCCAGTATGACCACGGGCGTAAGGACGAAGCGGGGTCCGATCTCGACCAAGGAAACGTCTGCGCCTGCGCCTTTGCCGTGCTGTTCTGTGGGGTTTGCCTTGTCCGGTTCGGCTTCACGGATTTCGTAGATTCGGACCCAGATCTTGCCATCGAGGCCGTAGATGCCGATGATGCGATCGACGAACGGCTTCATGCCCCTGACGCCCTTTGGAGGCACGCAGAATACGCCTCGTAGCATCTCCCGGATCAAGGATCGGTGTTCCTGGCCCGCAATTTGTTCGTCGAAACTCTTGTCGAAAACCACCAGGCCTCTTCCCCCTTTCAGGCAGTTGCCTCCGAACCCGAGCTCCGCCATGGTGTGTACGTTCGTCACGCTGAATTTGATCGTGGGCCCGTTGGGAGCCCGCGCCAGCCACAAGTACAAATCTTGCCCGTGTTTCCGCGCCTCCAGGAAGAAGACGTAGTTGCAGGAATGGAGGTCGGCTAGACCGTTGAGGGCCGAGTTGTAGTTGTTGGACGATTTTGTGTCGAGTTTGGTGTCCTTGTAGGTATGTGGGAGGAGAGAATGTAAGTCGCTAAGAAGGTGACGGTGTCTATGATGATTCAGTCAGTCTTCGTAGGGGGAGGGTGCGTGCACTCTCAGACAGAGAAATCTCCTTACCGATACGAGACTCCTCGAGATGTGAGCATCAGAATGCGATTTCTGACCTCGGCTGGTACAGAAGAGAGACCATTGCGTTTTTCCTTTTGCTTCGAACTCGCTTGTTCATTTCCGTCCGATTCTGCTTCTACGGTGTTGCTGCTTTGTTCAGACGACACTGATTCGGAGTCCGAGTCGGACTCTGAGAGATGGCCAGAGCGCATGGCTGATTTGTATGCGGATGCCATGGTTGCTGGGTTCTGTAGGGGTTATTGTCCAAGTAATTCGCAAGTCTTCGTCAAGAAAGTATCTCTGCGCATAAGAATCCCTACACATTTGGTTCCCCAAGAAATTTTGCGATGTGAGTCGGAGTTCTAGCGAAGATTATCCGGCCGAATATCTGATTACTAATTTCTTAGGTAACGGTTCTCCTTCCGTGTCTAAGCGAGCCCTTTGTTTACCTTCTGGAACAGAGTCAAAGTACACAATACCAGCCTCGCGTATCTCAAGCACAAACGTCAAAATACATCCGCTCAGCAACCAAGACGCCGGTGAGGATTGACGCGCGATGGCGACCGGCAAGAAGAGCTATCCAAGAGCGACTTTACGCAAAATTGTCAAGGCGCACTCGAGGAAGAATGTTAGCAGGGGAGTGGATTCGCTGGTGTATTTGAACTACGTCTTGTTTATTGAAGAGTATGAGTTGATTGATGTTGCATCATCATAAAATACGAGTACTGAAATTGTTAGGTTAATGCAAAACGCGACTCGGAAAGCCCGCAACGACGGAGAAAAGCATATTGCAGCCAAAGACATCAGAAAGGTCACCATGGTGTGTTTACATTCCGTGCAATGGGGAACTTTTGCCAAATTGACGATTGTCTAGACTACCTTGCGGCGATTCAAGGGTTGAAGCTGCATAGGGGCCTCAAGCTCTTCGCCTACCTTTGATTAGAGAATGGCCACCGAGGCCAGCAGACAGAAGATGCGGCCGAGGAGACACTGTCGAATGAACCTTGCAGCATCCTCCCGATGGAACAGACAGCAAGTCAGACCACACAGCGACAGCAGCTGATTATTGGATCTTTGACTGTCGCACCGGCTTGGGGAACCAATCCCAGTGGCAGACAACATCAAGTCCGCTGTCTGGTGTCTTCGACTGCACTTTGCACGATTACCACAATTACAGTGATGCTGAAGCTAGTAGCGTCCTATGATACATATGCTGATGTCAGGAATCAACCAGGCTGCAGGTCGTCCAGATGTCCTTTTCCCTGAGTGAGAAGATGACAGGGTTTAACATAGACGGTAGAGACGTTTGGCGTCTAAGAGAACGCCGCAGTCAAGCTCTCACCACAAAAATGTCCTTGATGATGTATGTAACGCGCTCGGATAGATTTGTATGTAGCCATGTGGTCCAAGACTTGTCGAGCTCTGAAGCATTCAGCCTTGTGTTGACGAAAGATGCTTCTAGATCAAAATTCGGAGACGAACAAGGCTGAAGCTTGGCAGAACCTCATGGCGGTCGTACAACTATTTCCTGACAAAACACACGCGACCAGTTCTCACGACTCATAGACTCAATTACCTCTCACTTTAGCAACATCCAAAGCTGCAAAGCTGCTCATCACAGCCTCCGTTTCAGATACTCAAAAGACCAAATCCGCGTTGACGACCGGCCGTTACAAACCAGTCCTGCTACTCCAATTGTGTTCTGCGTTTCAATCCGATCGAAACAGCCTCAACTCACACCTCCAAAATGTCTTCTACCGCCCCCGCTCCAGTCGATAGCAAGTCTGCGAAGAAACGCAAGGCGAAGGTTGAGAAGCCGACTTCTGAGAGTGACGCACCTGCACCCTCGGTGGACGCAACCACTACCGAGGCGCAGCCTACTACCAACGGTGTCGATTCTCATGGTGACAGCAACTTCGTCAAAGATCTCCAGAGGTAAAAATATCCGGCCTGGAGGATGGTTTGAGACTGATTTGGGCACAGAAACATCCGCAACATCCACAAGAAACTCGCCGCTTCGCACAAAGCAGACGCCGTCATCGCAGAGAATCCTAATGTGTCACTCGATGACCTTGTGGCACAGAAGAAGCTCAACGCAGACCAGAAGGCCCAAATCCTCAAGAAGCCCGCCCTCCAAGCTCAAGTTGCACAACTCGAAGAACAACTGCAATCATTCAGAAGCTTCGCCCAGGACATTGAGGAGAAGTTTGCGAAGGAGAAGTCTGCACTGATCGAGTCACACGAGGCCGAGATTGCTAGCATCAAGCAGAAGGTCCTTCACGAGGCCGAAGAGGCCAAGTCAAAGGCGATCGAGGATGGCCTACGAGTCGTTACACATTTCCTTCACACTGCTGCCTCCAAGCGTCAGTCTGAAGATGCCGACTCTGAAGAAGGTCGAGCCTTCGAGGGCGCCTTGTTACTTGTGTATCAAGGAAACGAGACGTCCCTGATGACGCTCAAGAACTTGATCTACGGCACTGAAGACAAGGTTCTGGACGTCCAAGGGGAGGCTCTCGACTTCACATTTGCACAGGTCAAGCAGTCTGCTCTTCAGGAAGCCCAAGATTTAGTGCAGCCGACGCCCCAGGAGGTCGAGGCTGTCGAAGCATCTGCTGAGGAGGTTCAAGTTGACCTGACTGTGGCGAATGCCAGTCTCACCGAGCTCGGAGACACCGCCGCCGTTCCAGTTGCTGCCAATGACGCTGCCAAACCTCAAATTGTGCCAGTGGCCGAGCAAGCTACCACTGGTGACGACGCAGCTAATGCGGTGGCCGAATCTTCATGGGATCCTCAGGCTTCACAGATCACCGACACCAGCGCCACGAACGACGAATGGGTGCAGGTGCCACGTGACCCCGCCGAAACGGAAACCGGTGTAGCTGCGACTCCGGCCGCCGTGCACGGATCCAATAGCTGGGCTGAGGAGGTTGGTGCAGCAGCTGCGGTCGAGGAGAAGGCCAGTGCTGACAACGACGGGTTCGAGCAAGTTCGTCGCGAACGAGGTCGTGGTCGAGGTGCGCGAGGAAACCGCGGAGAGTTCAGAGGTCGTGGAAGAGGTGGCAACCGTGGAGATGGCTATCGCGGTGGTCGCGGCGGACAGAACAAAGGCCGAGGTGGTCAACGTGGTGGTGGTGGTCAAAGCTAGAAGGCTACCGCAAAGAGTCGGAGCAGATGGCGGCACGGCTCTCGCAAAGGAAAGATCTTCTTTTCTAATGCTTGGGTGATGGCGGCCACTACCTTCGCTTCACTTCGACCTGGGACGGAATTGTAACAGGAAAACTTGCTTTCTTGTTTCTTGGTTCTTCTGCATTGCATCAGGTCCACGGATTTGCTTTCTTTTTTCCCTTCAAAAAACAAAAGCGAGCAAGCAAGGCAAGCGAAAAGGAAAATCATTTATTTTCTTTCGGAACGAAGCAGGAAAAGTCGACATCACCATGGATTTTTTCTTCTGGAGCGAATGCAAGTTGTACAACAACTTACGGAAAAGGAGTTGACAAGCATGTCTCAATTGCAATCGGACAGTGTAATTTACGGACTTGCATGACAGGCGAGCGAAAAAAAGAAAACTAAAATGACATGAAGGCTCCTCCTGGACATGAAGATGATGGGCACTACTACTACTGTTCTGATAGCGAATCTCACATCTCACGTCTCGCGGAAGATGGAGAGAGTGAGAGTAAGTGACAGGTAATATTCAAAAATGAGAATACCAGTTGGCTATCAGGCATGCATTGACTATTTGAATGTGACCTAGAGGGTGGTCACCGAAGAGATTCGTGTTGTTTCGCGAAGATTTTGGGTTGACTTCATAGTCCCATTTCTACTCCTTTTCCATGTTTTGGCCTCGTCGCTAGCGGCGCAGACTGTTATACTGACTATGCTGGTCGGGTCTTGCCAAGGATCTCAGCAGGTCGTGGGAGGTAGGTACCTGAAGGTACGTCAGTCGGTCCCCGGTCACTCACTACCCCGGGTACTCTTTTCTCATTCCAGATCGTGAGCCAAGTCCTGCACTCTGACCATACCGCTGGCCCATCCCACGGCCGCCATCCCCGCGCAAGACTCGTTGGGGTTCCACTCCAGCACGGTGACGGCTTGCTCTTCCTCAAAGATGGTCTCTGCCGCCCAGGTGTCCTTGCTGGGCCCCTTTTTCTTCGTGTCGGGGACATACGCCAGATTGATCCTCTCCGGCTTGAAGCCCTCGTGAAAGCGCGACACGCCCGGTCTGACGTCGTGGCCGTGGAAGAGGTCAATCTCCTGCTCTGGTTTGTCCCGGGTGGCGTGCTGCCGGGCGTCGGCGTCGGCGGCGGCGGTTCGTGACTGTCGTTGTCGGTGGTGGAGGTGGTGGGTTTCGACGTCGGTGTCGTCGTCGTCGTCGTCGTCTCGTCGCCCGGTCTCCGCCGGCCGCCAGTCGTATTCACACAGCTTCTGCAGAAATGCCATCACCCGTTTCCCCGGCTCGGTGCGCCGGTACGGGAGGATCTTGCGCAGGTAGTTGGTCGCGTGGACCTGGCCTTTTGCGTTGCCCACCAAGATGCACGGGTGGTGCGGCGAGCCGGACAGCGCGGTCGCGGTGCCGCTGTGGTCCGGCAGCTTCGCGAGGCGGAGGCTCGAGTGGAACTGCCGGACGTGGTGGCACGCGAGGAACGCCGCCGAATGCGTGTCCATGCGCGTGCTGCCGACGCGGTCGAGGCCCGTGATGAAGCTGCGCGTGAAGGGCGCGAAGTAGATGTCGCGGCTCGGGAAGCAGGCCCGCGTGACTGTGACCTTGTCCTGGGTCGGGCTGCGGAGGTCGGTGAGAGCCATGTCGCCTGCTGACGAAGCCGTGGCGATGAAGGGCGTGAGGTGGACGGGAGAGGCGGCGCTCAGGGACGTGATGTAGGTGGAGTGGATTTGGGGGCTGGTGTAGCTGCGTGGGGGGTCGAGGCCAGTCGGGTCGGAGAGGTCGAAGAGGTGGACGGTGCCGTCTGCCGCGCCGATGACGAGGTCTGTCGAAGTCGCGAACGTGAGCGTGGTGAAGACTGTGCCTCCTGGCGGAGAGAAGGTCAACCCTGAGCGCTCGGCTTTCAGAGTGATGGGCGTGGGTAACTGTGATGGAATTGCGAGGACGTGTACGCTGCCATCAGTGCAAAGAATGGCCAGGATTCCGATGAAGGCTGCTCCTGTAGAGAACGTGGATGGAGGATTTTGTGTCGATGGACACCATTTCATGGCTCGAATGTTGCCGTACTCGGTGCCTATGACGGTACAGAGCTTCGGTTTGAGGTTCATCGCAATGGTTCGTAGGCCCGGGGCTGAAGTGGGCTTGGTAGGGAATGCCCAGATCTGAATCGAGGACGGGTATGGCGGCGACGGATGGAATGCTGGTCGCATGTTCTCGTTCCCTCCGGCAAGCTGTCTCTGGTGCGACGTGCATCTCGTGGCAACGGCCAAGTACTGAGCGTCTTGCTGTTGAGGAGCCCATGCCAGACAGTTGATTTTCTCGCCAGCATTGACAAGCCAGCCTTCGTGGTAACGTTGACTCGTCTGGGATGTCTGGTCTCGTCCAGCATCACTGACCTTTGGCCATGCCCAACCGAAATCCATGGGGAGATTGTAGTCCAAGGTATATAGCTGCTGACGGCCAAATGGGCCAAGGACAACAGAATGAGAAGGCTTATGACGGTGAAGATATCGCTCGTAAAGTTCGTCGGGTTCAATTGGCTTTAGGAGCTGCTGATTCAGTATCAGGTCAACGACGGACTCGGGTAGTCTCGGTGGATGGAGGTGTTGCTTTGGTTCCTTGGATGGATCGGACTGCTTGTCTCGCCTAGCTTGATCGGCTCGTTGAAATGTAACGGACAGGGTCTTACGACTCGGGAGCGTCACGTCGCGTCCTAATAACCAGGTGTCCCGAGCTGCAAGGACTTCTTCCAAGTCGTCTAACTCGGGTCCAAAAATATGGCGGTACACCAGGCCCTTTGCGCCCTTGGGTTCGAGGCGTGCAAGACCACGAGAATGGGTTGGTGTAGTGGTGCTGGCGCCTACTCCTCCCCTCCCGTCCCTCGTGCCAGATCGGCCACGGTTCGTTTGAAGACGCGGAGTTTCCATTGTCTGGTCGTCAGAGGCAAGGCTCATGTTATCTTCGTCTTCATTTGGGTCTTGAACATCGGAGAATTGGGACCGAACGTCAGACGCACTGGAAGCGCCTTCATCCTCCTCGAACGAGCCTTCATCATCTTGTTCCACGATTTCCGCGTTCTCGGACCCTTGGTCATCGTCTGGACTCGACCCTGATGACTCTGAAGAGGCGCGGAGAATGCGAAGAGTGTCCTTGTCCCACCCATCATTAGCATATCTTGGATTCACCTTGCGTTCACGACCTGATCGTCGCGTTCTGGCCGACATGGTGCCGCTTGTTGTCCTCAGACAGTGGCCGAAGAATCTTGCAGTTCTGGAGGATGAGAAAGCATCACCAGCACCTACCACAGTGCTCGGAATTGGACGTTTCTGTTGGGTAGTCGACCAGTACGTGTTCTGTGCATGATCACAAGTAGGCAAGCGGTTGTTAGAACCAGCAGATATTGTTTGATCGGCAGACCTAGACAAAGAGGCTCTGTGCAGTCAATGTGTTGTTTGGACTTCAGCTATTGTGTACGCCTGCGGTTAATGTTGCTAGGGCAGTCCAGTTCCGAGAATTGCGGGTTGAAGTCATGGTGAAGGATAGCCTCCCCATCACCCATCAAGATCTTCAGTATAATTGATTCTGTCAGACGTGGCCGCCTTAGCGACTCTCCGAAAATTTCAGCACTGAGCAGGTTATGGCTAGTGAGGTCCCATCGGGCTCGTTTGGTCAGACAGCAGATTAATTTTCGGACAAAGTCAGAGAGGTATAGGGCCTCATTGTCCGCGTTCTCGTGCACTGAATTGGACAGAGCGAATTCCTTTTGTATACGGAGTGATGCGGCGCTTCTTCCCTCGATTTAACACTCACCCTCCTGAGTAATGGTCAACCTTTCACTGACTGAACATGATGTGCCCAACAGTATACAGCATTACGAGTACTCGCCAACACGCTCTCCTGTCTGAGTGGCCGGAAGAGTGAGCAGGGACGCGTCGCATCTGTTGCCCAGGCCTGTACGGAGAGGTATCTCGAGTTGCGATCGAGGACTACACGATAAGATGCTAAGACTGCTATTGACGCTCATCCGACGTACGGTGCGTTGTCACTTGTCGCAGGAGCAGTGACACGCGAAAGGCTATGCTATATGCACCCAGCACCAGACGCGGAGGAGATCAAAAGGGTAGTTGAACCATGTCGGCGGATCGGGGGCCGGTCGCCGGCTGAGGACTCCCATTGGCGTAAAGGACAGTGTACATCGGGGGCCCCGGCCGGCCGGTGGCACAGCAGTACGTATCACCCAAGACTCTGCCGGGCGGGCGTCTATGTTGATTCGCCGGACTGATGCACCAGCCCATGTCCGGACTATTCTTGGGCGTGGCTTCTGATACCAAGGCATTGCCTACTTGGCCCCCCTCGACGATCAGCGGATATTTAGCATTGGTCCCTTCAATAGTCCGTAAAGCACATCATGTTTCAAAAGTCTTCTGCCGTCCCAGTCCATCATCGCCTCCTCTTCCTTCTCTTCTTCGACTGACTTTTCGCGCGGAATTGAGTTCAAGTACGCAGACTACGAGCACAAAGAAAAAAGCATTCCAAATCCCAAATGCGGTCTTGGGGTCAAAGCATGTCATTCACGAGGACTCTACTTTCCACAGCCTTGCTGTTGACCACCGCCAGAGCAGATTGGTCTGGGTTTGGAGGCCGAAATGGCAACGGCGGCTACCCGTGGTCCAACGGCGACGATGATGGTGGTGACGGTGGCTCCTCATCGTCCGGCAGCTCTACATTCGGTCAGGGCTCTGTCTTCAGCTCCGCGGGTCAATTCGACAGAGCCACACATATCCTCATCGCCCACGCGGTCCTGGCGTCGCTGGTCTGGGTACTCTTCATCCCGTCCCTCGCCATTCTCCTCCGGCTGAACATCAAGAACCCCATCGTGTTGCGGATCCACGCCGTCGGCCAGGTCCTCAGCTACGTGCTCTACATTGCTGCGGCTGGAATGGGCATCTGGCTCGCAGAGCAATTCAAGGACTTCGGCGTCTGGGACGACCCTCACCCTCGTATGGGGTTGGCGGTCCTTGCCCTTGCCTTCTTCCAGCCCGTCTTCGGCTACATCCACCACCGCATCTATAAGAAACGCGCCCTCAAAGTCGAAGCCGGCCAACCCACCAAAGCGCCCGGGAGGACACCGGCAGGCCGTGCCCATCTCTGGCTCGGCCGCATACTCATCGTGCTGGGAATCGTCACGGGTGGCCTCGGCATCAAGCTGGCATCCGAAAGTCCGCTCCAGACAGACTCGCAGAGCAGGACGGCCAAAATCGCATATGCGGTCGTTGCCGCCGTCATGTTTGCCTTGTACCTATTCTTTGTGGTCGCTTTCGAGATCCGTCGAGCGCGCCAAGTCGGTCAGGATCGACAGACCAGAGCAGACGCCGCGGCTAGGAAAGAGACGGGTGCCCTACCGACATACGACGAAAGTGAAGAGTCAGTTGGACGGTCGACTCGATACCGATAGATTAAAAGTATACTGAGGACGATCCCAAGAACGAAGGCAACGTGTGTACGGTGATGGCTTTGTTCGGCGTCGCGTAAAAAATGCGCCGTCGCCGGCGGGAATGTACTTATATCAGCGCATGAATGCCTCTGTACCCCTTGCTCGACAAGTACATGAGTGAGCGATGTGGCGGACAATGAGCCCAGGTCAAGAACCAAGGTGCCTTGCACGTTGATTCCGGACGTCTGGTAAATGAGCGTGGTGAAGAGGCGAAGAGGCGATTCTGCCATGGATTTGCTACACCCTCACTTTTTCCGAGCCATGCATCTCGACTAGGACAGGATCCAAGACTTCGACACCAAGAGTCGTGATTCTGCGAGGTGAAACTACCTTATGAAGTAAACGAATAATAAGAAATGAAAACATCACATCGACTACGTTTACGGCATTCCATTGTCTCGACGTTGGCGGGTTTCTCCGCCAGCCACTTGGACACAAGAGTTATTGTATCTGGGTCGTTGTGTTTAAATAATTATCGAATATCAATGTGGCGCTTTTCTTACACGTCTTCACATAAACGAACGGGTTGATCATTGATCCATTGGAATAGTAGCTAACAAAATGGACGAAGCCGCGTTTGATACCAGTCTTGGATTTGAAGGCTCACATGTGTTGGTGACTGGGTCAAGTGGCGCTATCGGATCGGTGGTCGTTCGAGCCTTCTTGTCCGCGGGAGCGTTCGTTACTGCATTTGACATTACAGAGACTAGAAATGGGGTTGCTCACGAGAGGTTGCATTTCCAGAAAGTAGACATTACGGACGAACTCGGGCTAGAACAAGCAATGGAGGAGGCAAGAAAGAAATTCGGAGTCATATCAACTTGCATTGCTGTCGCAGGGTTGGACCTGTCTTACCTGCCGCATGTTTCCCTCGTCGACATGCCGCTGGCAGACTGGAAAAGAATCATGAATGTCAACGTCGACGGGACATTTTTGACTTGTCGAGCATGGCTGCGAGCTCTCCGCGAACATGCCACTCCCGAAACAAAGAATATTTCTGCGGTCATATTTGGTTCCGAGGCAGGGAGATTCGGCGTTGCAGATTGTGCACCGTATGCAACCTCGAAGGCAGCGATCCAATATGGCCTGGTCAAGTCACTTGCTCGAGACGCCGTAAATATCAATTCCAAGTGTCGAATCAATGCTGTTGCACCAGGACCAGTAGACACTGCTCAATTCAGGAAAGAATGCGAGGAGAGTGAGAACTTGTTGTGGCGCGAGGCTGAGGCGACAGTCGCTCTCAGGAGGTCGGTGGCCATAGAAGCTGTTGCAAGGGCATGTCTCTTCCTGGCAAGCGATAACTATGCCGGCAACGTTACTGGACAGTTGTTGCCGGTGGATTGTGGGAAGAGTGGTGCTCTGTTCTGGCTTCCAGGTGGGAAAGAGGCCTGATCATGTCCTCATCATTTCTTTCCCGGTGCTAGAAGGGCACAATTTCGGGTATTCACTCCAGGAAATCTTATTGACCTGGATGTGCATTCAGATGGCTGATTATGTGAGACGGAGGTAGCTACTCGGTTATTCTTTGAAGGGAAGAAGTATCTCGGCCACTGGAACGGGGAGTCGTTACCTGCACAAGAGTTCGAATATTCTGGATGTGAGCCTCTCTCGAGGAGCGTGTCGGCCTCATATCACAAGGCAAAAGCCGACAGAGCTCCGAAGCGATACCGACCGTCCGAGGAGGAAAGTACATTAACCTGTCTCTAATGGAATCGCACTGTACTGTTGATTAGAGCCTTAGGTTGGATTCTCACGGACATCCCAGAGAAGGTGGTGTGAGCCTTGCTCGGAGACTTTTGAACAACACTGTTTCCTTTGTAAGCTTGCTTTCCGAAATTCGCCAGGAGAACTTCTAGCTACAATGTTCAGTATTGTTGATTGTGCCATAATGTAGTAGCGTAGGTGGCCAGATGGGGGCTAGCGACTGCAGTATTCGTTGTTGGGAATCGCTTCCGCTGCGGAAGGTCCATCAATGATATCGCGAGATGGTGTTAGGGTTGATAACACCAGTGGCGTGTTTAGCACACACGACGACGAAGTGACTTCCGAGGGATGTACTCAAGGAAGCCATGCGCTGTGCTGCTGTCGAGTGGGAAGGTCTGCAAGGTCATCGGAAACACCATCTTCTTCCTTGACCTGTATTGCGTCCTGACAATGGTATCTTGACCCCTTCAAAAGGTACGACTTCGAGTTTATGCAATACGACTGCAGAAGTCGACTTGAGCAGGTGGTATCTTGGGGTCTGAAGCGCCCAGTTTATAGCCGAGCAGGGTTACAATATCTTTCAGGAAAACGAGTTCTTCCGAGAGACCGGTGGCGTCGACAGGTGTGGTGGGCGAGGGTCTACCTGGCGTATCATCGACAAGGATCGTCCGAATCGGAGCGAATGGTTGCAAAAGGCGCAACTCTTCCTTTCTGGAGAGGAGGGGAGGTCGCCGGGATCTCCATGCATAAGACAATGGATGAGGAAACGGTGGCCATGAAGCTTATATCGAAGCCCTTATTGGTGGGTGCCCGAGATGAAGTCGGCTCCCATAAAAACCACGCTGGCCAGAGGAGAAATGACGAGGTGTGTGTTGATGATGATTAGTTTTTCTGTTCCGTATCTCGTACTGCGTACTCTCGTCGAGATGATACGCCTTGAGAATGAGAGGCACATACAAGGTCCGTGTCTATTGGGACCGGGAGGCGAAGTAGAAGTCCGGGGCGCGACAGGATCCAGGCTTCAGCTTGCCGCTAGGGCCCATTAAACTCTCTGCCTAAGACCAATGTAGAGGTTCTTATAGGCTTGGGCGGACGCCCGTGGGCTCAGCAGAGTCACTAGGCGTTTACCTGCAGCGCCCGCAGGGACAGCGACAGGCCTCCCAAGCGTCCCCTCTTACCTACAAACAGTTCAATCTACTCCGTAGTTGCTCGTACTGTCATCTCCTCAGTTCTGCCAATCTCTACTCCACACTTTCTTCTTCGCACTCTCTGGCCTCCCGTACTCGTAGCTACTAACGCACTCTGATTTGCCTGCCATTTGAACAGCATCTCTGCGACACACTTACTCACTCGTCTAATCTCGAATGCCACATCGCTTCCTCGTCTCTCAACGTTAGGGCTCTATCCCAGCTTGCTGCGAGTCCGACGATAATATTATTGCGCATATTTTGGCAAGAAACTTTGCGTTGAAAACCTTCACACCTCTCGGAGTCCCTTCGTCCAAAATAGGCTGCGCTGAGAATCTCACCAGCCACACACTGTACCAGACCTGTCCACGACTTCGAACCACAGCGACGCCCTTGACACTTTCCGATCACCTTCAATCGCTGTACGAGTCTCGTGTCTCACGGGCTCTGTCCTTAGCCTTTGTCGATCCTTTAATCTGATAAAAGTGGAGGCTTGGAAAAGAGATGGCGTGAAGGGCGGCGCGGATCCTTGACAGCTCACATCAGGTAGTCGGGCTTTCCAACAATGGCTTCGACGCAGGATGAAGATATGTATTTGTTTGGAGGAAGTCTGAGTCAAACCCCCGCTTTCGCGGGTCAAGAATTCGATACATTCTTGACCTCAACTCGACCTGAGGCCGATGACTCGACCATGATGACAGCTGGGTATCTCAACCCAAACGACTTGTCGATTAAACGCGAGTACAACGACTACAGTCCCATGCCAGATGGGAATTCTTTCTCGCGCTCGCCGCGAGGATCTGGCTCTGGGTCCAGCAGTTCATCCTCGGCGTCTCCGGTTGACCAGAAGCGCGATGCTTCTGCTCCCTCCACCGCTTCTCCTCCGGCGCACAACCCTGAGCAAGGAGGCTGGGGCAGTGGAATAAATGGATTTTCAATCTCCAACGAGCATGTTTTTGACGATGCGGCGATGGCGGGCATGGATCAAGACTACGAGGCCAGCAACCAACAAATGGCTTCCGATTTCGATTTCGACACCGCTGCAAGCACACCGAGCGGATTTGATGCGATAAATAACACCAAAGCTAAGAGCAGTGCCATGGCGCGGCCTATGAATCAGCCGGGAAATTTCGTGCCCTATGCGAAACAAAACTCAGGTGTCGCTTTCCCACCCTCAGGCCAGGCCCAATTCTTCTTTCCCGGATCTAGGGAAGCCTCGCCTTTGAACGCGATGCTTCCTTCCACCCAAGGCCAGTCTCCCTGGAGCAAGCACTCACCATCATCTGGCCTTGAGGAGACGTTCAACCATATCACCATGAATGGTGACTCCCCTGGTAATGCGATGTTCTCTCCGAACGTCCACTTTTCGGCCAACGGCTTCACATTCGACCCTGAGTCGACGGCGAGTCCCTCGACCTTCGCGAAGGATATCTCAACACCTCCTTCCACAGTCCACTCGGCCGACGGCAATCCAATACTTACCGTGCATCCTACGTCTCTCAAGTCTAGGGTTGAGACGCAGATACCTATCAAATTGACCTTGTCAGTGCTCCCCTCAGGCGCCAAAAAGTTGAGGCTACCTAGACACACTGTATCAAAGCCCAAATTCCTTTCCAAAAGTGAAATCAACCGATCACCGGAAATCCTGGAGCTTCATACGTCCTTGGTTTGTACGAGTGCGATGCAAGACCCCAGCAAATTGCAGCGAGCTCTTGCACGAGCTAGGGGTGAGGAATTGGCTCCTCTTACCAGGCCCAGTCCTGCTTCGTCCGATGACTCCTCTACGCTGAAGGACGATGACGAAAGACCACTTAACGGTGGCGAAGTCAAAATATGTCCGGGTTGCATACAGCGTGAAAGGAAACGGGCTTCGCGGAAGAAGCAAAAGAAGCCCGAGGAAGAAGAGATGTTCCAGAAGGACGAAGAAAGGAGGGTAGTGGTTTTTAATACAAACGAACTCAAGGAGTGGGTTGAAGTTCCTCAGGATGCCCAGCCCGAACACCCACGCAACCTCAATCCATCAACCGCGATGCAGGTTGAGCTCCCGATGCGAATTGCCTGTTATTGTCGCCATCAGAACGAGAAGATGGGTTTTCAGGTCATATTCACCATCAAGGATAGCAAGGACAAAGTGATAGCTCAGGCGTTGACCAACCCTATCATGATCACCGATGATCACAAAACCCACAATGCTCCTACCACGATCACGAACCCACCTGCTTCAGTCCCGACTAGTGCGCCTCAATTACCGGGCGCAGGAGTTTTCGCAGCCACGAGTACAGAAGCAGCCCAGACGTCTGCCGTTCATCCTAGGATCAGCAAGCAGTCATTTTCCACCACGGATCTACACGGTCTCCAGAACAATTTTAACCCGAAGTTCCCTATGGCCCCCGCATCAAATCCGTTTGCCATTCCTTCTGCCATGTCCCTCCAAACGCCCAATACACTCACACCCCGAAATCTTTCAAGACCTGCCTCGCCTAATGGAGTCCCTGGTCCGACAAACAAGAGAAGAAAACAAAGTGGTTCGGGAAAGGTACCGTCAGGCCTCACAATGACCCGCCTTGATACTGCTCAGCACTCCCATTCGTCTTCGACCGCGATGCCTAACAACACCGCACATTCGCCTTACCCCCAAAACATGGCCTCATACATGGCTCCCACTGAGCGCCAATTCGTGATGCCGTCATCCCGCTCAGGACCCTTTGGCACGAGTCCTCCCACCCCCAGTGGTAACGACACCACATTTAACTCCAGTCTCAATCGGTCTTTTAGCCTGGAAAACATCCCCCGTGGCACGCCGTTGATTTCTGCTCCACCATCGCGACAGCCTAGCCGTCCCGGTAGCCCCGGTTCAGCAAGGAATAGCTTTGGTGCATCAGATGCCGTACTTGGCCAGGCTGTCAGTAATCAGCTTATGGGTCAGCCAAATCGACGCCCGCCACATCCTTTGATACACAAGCTGGTTCCTGCTGAAGGTTCTGTGACGGGTGGCACGGAAGTGACTCTCCTTGGAAATGGGTTTTATCAAGGACTTGAAGTCATGTTCGGTGATACTGAGGCGACAACCACTACTTTTTGGGGCGAAAAGTGCCTCAACTGCATCGCGCCACCTGCCCTTCAAGCTGGGGTTGTCGCCGTTGTCTTCAAGCATGATCATCCCCGGTATTCTGCCTTGCAGCAGCAATCCCAGACGCGACCCTCACTCTTCACTTACGTTGATGATCGGGAGCTGGAAATGTTCCGCCTTGCTTTGAGAACTCTGGGCAAACAATTGCAACACCCTACCGATGATCCATACGCTGCGGCTCAACAGCTTCTACAAGGGCAGTCGCATTCAGTGTGGCCCTCACATGGAGGGTACGGTATGAATGGAGGCCATCAACGCAACGCTGGGTTTGGAAACGGAGTTCCCATGGACACGCTTGATCTTGAGGCACTTATGTTACGCGCTCTCGACCACATGGATGCACAAAACAACATCAGGGCTCCCAGATTCGATCTTCGCAGACCTTCCGGCCTCACGCTACTTCACTTCGCCTCGTCCTTGGGCCTCACTCGCTTTGTTGCCGGTCTTCTGGCAAGAGGTGCTGATCCTAATGTGTTCGACAACAACGGTTTCACACCCATGCACCATGCGTCGATGAACGGACACACACATGTGATACATCGACTACGACTAGTAGGTGCCAATCACAAGGCACGTAGCATCCGCAATTTCATTCCAGCAGACCTGGCCACCTCATTGTTAGCATATCAAGCTACTATGAACAGAATCGAACATTATCGCTCTCGCAGTGCCGGTGGCACCCCGATGCTCCTCCATAGTAGGAGTTCCTCCTCTCTTCGATCATTTTGGGAGCATGATTCAAGCCAATATCCTACCACTGACTCCGACGAGGACGACGATTCTAGCTTAGAAGATGATAATTCTACTGAAGGTGCGACAGAGGATTTGACGCTGCACCGGGCGATGAGTAGGCCCGGCATCAACAAAGCAATAGTGAGCATCCCAGGCACCAGAAGAAATAGTGCACATCACATTGTCGCTCCGGAGACGACCCAACCCAGGGTTAGCGACCCAGCTCCAAATGTGGCCCCATCGGCCTACATGATGGCATGGCGGGATCATCTGGTTGCCCAGTTGCACCAGTTTAACGAAAGCGCGCAGTCGCTAATGCCCAACCTTGAAGGGCATCTGGCCGCTCTCCAAGATTATCAAGCCTACCCAATGGTCCGTCGTGTTAGCTCACTCTTCCCGCAACGGCCCAGCTCAAGACAACAGAATGGCCCAAGAGAAGGCTGGTGGGAAACCCTGACAGGCACATCGTCGCCGGCACCATCGTCCCCCCCTGCATATGGCGACCTTTACCCCGACGATGGGGGCAGTGCCGAAGATTGGAGCCTCAAAAAATTGTCCGCTCTTCAAGCTGCCACTGATGCAGCAGCCGATCTGCACTTCGAGGGCCAATCGGCCAGTCACCACGTTCAGGCGTCAGGGTCTACTCTCAACCCTGCAACGCCCCTAAGAAAACCTGTAGAGAGAATTGAATTGAGCCGCGATCGGAAATTGTTCTTTTTCTGGGTGAGTCTAAGTTGTTGCATCCTCTCGGCGGTGATATCTAACAATTATTCACAGATACCTCTGCTTGCAATTGTATTGGCGCTGATGATCAGGAGCTCTGGCATGCTGAGTACTTTTGACTCTTCGGGAAATACTGAAACACCGGTTGGAAGGCAAGGCATCGAGGTTTTATGAGCGTCTACTTCGGATGTCATGCTTTGCAGTCAGCAGGGTGCTGGCCAGGATCTACGACATGAAATGACATGAATGGAGGCGCGAAAATCTCGTGCAATTCTTGTACGAGCACCATATATATTGTTACTCGTTTTTCACCTCACTAGAAGTGCTTTAATACAAGTTTTGATCAAGCCCGCCTTGTCAGTGTCGACCTCGTCAGCCCGGAACCGTCTTGTCCTCTGAGGCGGTGTCCTTGGCAAGGCTTCCCGGAACGGATTAATCCATCCCGAGATCCAGCAATTCCCCGCGTCTAGTTTTCGCCGATGTTCAGCCTTGATGTTAATTTTTTTTGCTTTGCACTGTTCCAGCGCATCTGCCCCGCCCCCAGTCGGTATATCGTACGGAAGACACAGCACTCTAGACACCTGGTACAAACCCGGTCTCTTTGTGCATTGGCCTTAGCAACCTTTCGTCATACCGGCCAATATCTGCTGAGGACCAACGCAAGATCACAGATCGACAAAGACAAGGTGGCGTCACCCCATGGCTGTTCAGACTGGTCAATTGGACTATGAAGACAAACACGTCCATCGGGTATATGAAGAGATCGCATCTCATTTCTCTGCCACACGCTACAAGGTTGCTCTGAAGTCCCTTCTGCTATCCCCTCTGCTAACCACCACTTACAGCCGTGGCCGGTGGTGGATTGGTTTCTCCGTGGTCTACCTGTTGGATCTGTCGGCCTAGATATCGGTTGCGGAAACGGGAAGTATCTGACCGTCAATAAAGATGTCTTTGTTATTGCTTCAGATAGGCATGCTCAGTCTCCCTTCAGCCGTGTGAAAGACATGTCTGACTGTTCCACTAGGTCAAAAGCACTCGTAGACATTGCAAGTCAGCACCAACCTCACAACGCCCTTGTGGCAGACACATTGAATCTGCCTCATCCAGACTCTCGATTTGACTTTGCCATCTCGATCGCAGTGATACACCACCTCTCCACGAAAGAGCGGAGAATCGAGGCGATCTCGAGAATTCTACAGACACTCAAGCCACCCTCGGAAAACGCTGACAGTGGCCAAGCGTTGATTTTCGTCTGGGCGCTGGAACAGAAAAGTAGTCGACGAGGGTGGGACAAAGGCGACAATCAGGATGTGTTGGTCCCGTGGGTTCTCAAGCCTGATCACGGCGCCGATTCTGAATCCCCGAAAACCTATCACCGCTACTATCACCTGTACCATGAAGGAGAACTTGAGGACGATGCAAAGACCGCTGGTGCCCGGATTGTCAAATCTGGCTATGACCGGGACAACTGGTGGGTCATTATTGGAAGGCAAGGTTGAAAAAAAAAGACAAGACGCTCGTTTCATTATTTGTCCAGCCTCCTCAAGGTATATTTCCTCCTTCCACTATATTACAGCCTCCTCTTGGTTATTGGTTGACTGGGGCATAGACACATGCTCAACTCGATGACCAGCGACTCGTGAAACCCGGAACCATATCCTTACGCCCGCCTGCTATTTATCCAATGATGCTCGCTCAAATCAAAAGCCACCAGAAACGTCACCTAAAGGGAGAATCCCGATCTCTAGATTTGTTGTACACGTGGTGGAAAGGGTCGGTTGTGTGATAGGGAGGAGGTGAGAATGCCGGCAGTCCTGCGGTGAGTTCGGCTAAGGATGGTAGTTGCTGAGGGCCTGCATATGAGATGTCAGGTGGCGGTATAGACTCTCGTCGTGAACGAGGTGGAGGTCCAATGTGCCGAAGACCTCCACGAGGAGGTAGAGGGATTGACTCGTATGTGCTGGCCGGGTTGCTGAGAGAGAAGGGCGTCACCCCAGCACGTTTTGCCATCTCATGCTCCCCCATCTGCCAATGCATCGCCTCGACGGCCCTCCATGGCATGGCCATTTCTTCCGCCACTCTCGACCACATTTCTGCACGGAACCTGGTTGGGCCAATGTCAGTTCACATTCTGGAATGCGTACATCGCGGCTGTCAGGTACGATGGCGAACTGGGTTTGACGATCTGGTACTACGTTTCTCGACATACCTCTCGTACAACCTTGCAAGCTTATTCTTGCGGTCTTCGTCCCACTCACTCCTGCGTTCCAGGTAGTTCTGATAGTGCAGTCTACAACTGATGGCACTACGACCCGGTAGGTGCTTGCTGATATCCTCCCACTTCATCCCATCCTGACGAAGTTGGATGATTTTCGTGTCTTCCTCGGGGGACCATTTGGACTGTTTCTTGGCTGGAGACTGGATGGGATTGTCCTGAGAGGAAGACAGCCGTTTCGCAGGCACCGCGGAGCGCGGCTGCGGTGGCAAGGGCGCCACACTGGTTGCTACGCTCGATGGGGCCGATTCTGAGCGAGACACGGAAGTAAGAGAGCTGACAGACTGGCTTTCGTCTTCCTCGTTCGACTTGAGTAGCGACGAGATATCCACGATGGGTGATATGATGGTGTATTGACCGAGCAAATATGAAGGCGAGGTCGTGGCGCACGGTGAGTGGTTGATGCCATACAAATGGGACAATTTTGAGAGCGAGAAGTTGCACAAGGTGGACGCAGACAAGTGTCCGGCTGGACAGGGCAGCCAGCAGGTACTAATGACGCAGACTCGGAGCAGACACTTCAATTCGGTGCTCAATGTCGATCCTCGTAGCGAAACCCAGGTACAGCGCCGGCGTTTCCACAAGAATGGTTCCAGATACACGCAGAAGGGCTGGCTGGTGGACGAGGGACACTTGTATGAGATTTAGTATGTCTTCACATAGGGTGTACACCTAGGTATGGAGAGAAGAACAGGTGCTGATGAGGTCGAGGGCTGGCACCACACAAACAGGCTTGCTTAAGAAGGGTCCTGGACGGTGAAGTTCCAAAAGTGCGGTCAGGGTGCGGGTCAGGCAGGTAGAAGGAGACAAATGGATCGGTCGTGCTCTGCATCCAGGCTCATACCTGTTGGCAGAAGGCAGACAACCCCGAGCCCACAGCCTGGCTCTTGCGTTGGCTATTGGCACTTGACACCAGCTGCGGCGCAAACAAGCTCGAGCGGAGCTGGGAGAATGTACTTCGCCTTCAGGTCCATTTTCATGCAGCTGGGCACGTCGGTCGCTGGCGCTCCAAGTACGAGGACACTATGCCCAACTGGTGTTCGTCGTCAAGCCTTGCTACAAACAACACACCCGGGGGAACACCTGATATCGTGGCTACGGAGGACTGCTGTACGGATCCCGCCTGAACACCCCCCTGGCAGCTCGCAAGAGAGCCACTAGTAGGACCCGTTTTCGATGCTCTTCAGACGAGACGCACACCACACCGATAGGAGAACTGCATTGGGGGCCCGAGATAGTCCACAGTGAAGGGATTCCCACTCAGGAGTGTACCGGGGTTCACTCTTTCTAAAGCATCCGCGTCGACTGTAGTCACGGGCGGAGCTCAGTGGCGCCGTCGAAGGCGAGTCCCATCAAGCGAATTAGGCTCTGACATTCTCGACAGGATGATGAGATAAAGTTCGCGAGATTCCATGATACTGTTCGTTACAGCCGTTGGGCATTAGCTACTTCGTAGTGCGTGCTAGCAAGGCACGCAGCTGGCCCTTTGTTGCGTACTACGGTACAAGACTTTTTTTGGCTGGTGTACTCGGTATAAAACAGCCATCTTTCCTGGAGAACCGCCGCACAAGTCGACCAGACCACGACTCTGCCGTCTTAGTTCCCAGAACGCGTTCGGGGGGGCACGACTGGCCTGTCCCCACTGCAATAGCGACTACAGAGGGAGCACTGGCCAGGAGCGACACAGTGACAGCTGAAGCCTCGTAAGCGAGCACATCAAAATTCATTGGGCGATCTGCGGTTTCCCCCTTTCTCCATGGACCATCCGTCACCGTCTTCTGGCTCCTTGAAGCGGAAACAGGCTGATCCAACAGAGAGTCCACTCGTCAGCCACCTAAATCTTGGTGAAGCGGATGGCCGTCGACACCGTCCCGCTCCTCTAGCCCAGCCGGGGAATGCGGGTGAAAGTTTGTTGGAAGCCGCCCAGAGAACACAAGGGGACATTTCCGGACGACCTGGCGGACAATGAGGGTCGCCTCAACAGCTGAGCGAGAGAACCATGGAAACGGCAGTCGACTCCGTGGCCCAGTTGAGTCATGCACTACGAGAATAGCCATTTTACTACGTGTTCACACCTCAAAGGATCTTCTTGCTGAGAACAGATATACAGAGTTTAGCAAAGTGAAGCGGATAGATCCTTTACTAACCACTAGGTCTGCGCCAGGATCCACCGTTCAACCCAGTGATCCACCAGCGATGCATGGTCAAGCACATAATGCTTGCCACGGCCCATGGACAGGCCATCGCGCGCAGGAACGGCGAAACGGGAGTTAGAGCCTGCCTCAGTTTCCAGGGATCCAGGCTTGCACGATTGCAGCTGGGCAGGGGCTATCTCTGCTGCGAAAGACGGCATCGGATGTCAAGGACATTGTTTCTATATTTCCAAGGTGACCAGCCGGAACCGAATGACTTGTAATGCAGAATTCCGCGTCATGGTAGGGAGTATACATATATGATATCTCAGAAGCAGCCCGCCGTGACTTGCGACCGATCTTATGACCTCGGCAGCCAATGTGGCTTGCCGCGCTTCGCCTCGAGTTCTGGTCGTCACAACCATCGTAATGCCTGCACATCCTGATTCACGGTGTCAGGAAGGTGAAAGGCTTTGTCAATTGTCAACACTTTCCCATGGCGGTGAGAAGCGGTGAACACACCGACAGTTGGAACAATGCCAGTGCGCAACCAGCACACAAACGTGGTTCCCCGGGATCAAGGAATAAGAGCACGACGCAGGTAATCAGATGGGATGAGAAACAATGGCTGCCTTGAGATCATGCAATGTCCTTGATGCAGACCATTTTGTTTTACCTGTCAAGGACCCTGCAGACCGCAGTACCGACATGATCAAACAATCATGTTGGGATGAAAGTGGCAACAGCGGGATCCGATGATTGACCGCTCGATCTGTGACACCGTCGACCGCCATCTCCCAGAGCTGCCGACATTGCTGGAGGGTGTGTGACATTGCAACAGATAAGCCATTGACACTTGAGGCTGGGTCTTGCGGGTGGTTCGCAGTCGGGATTGAGCGGACATGTTGATGGCTAGTTTCAACACCAGACTCTCCGAGTGCCCTAACTAGGCCCGGTGAGCGAACCGAGCCGTAAGACAACGACAACAATCGGTTCCATGGCTCCGACAGGTCCGTGAAACTCGTAAGCGAGGATGGTACGGGGACATTGTTGGGAATGAAACAACGATGATTAATGGCTGGCTGGCTTGGATGGCAGTTGCTAGATCACCATTGGCGTGATTTTTCGAATTCCCCTGGCCTTGTTCGGTCAATCAGCACAGGGGTTTTTTCGTCAACGGATTGAACGGAAAGGCGCTAGTGATTCATGGTGATGCGGCTTGCTGGCTCTTCACTTTCAGGCGGCCGCTCTCTCAAGGGGAGGGAGGGGGCCACCAGCAGTTGCTGTTGCTGCCCTGGGGTTGCTACAACCTCCAGCCTACAGACTATTTGCGCACGCGGCACCTCCAGCTGCGATGGGGCCGCAACTACATTATCCGTATAGGGGTCGATTCTCTCTCCTGCTGGGGCTTTTCTGACACTTTGAGAGCCACAGTGTGCACGGTCTTCCAGAACCTCTGCGGCTTAGCGCCTCCTTCGCCGGGCTGACGACCATGTTCCCCGGTGATTAGCGCTGCAACTTCGAACCCCAGAATAATGGCCGAAAGACTGAAGATTGAACAGAGAGAATCAGCAATGACACCAGCCAATGATTATGCCACCGTGGTCCAAGCCAGAGCCCAGAGGCTAGTGATAGACTATACTGTAGTCTCACAGATTACTTCACGGTGACATGATCCCCAGCACCCGGAAATGGGAACAAACCCAAAATCTAAGATGAGTCGATGACAAACTCAGTAACCTGGATTCTCTCGCTTATTCTCCTAGTCCCTCGCCTGGCTGAGGCCGAGGTTCGAGACTGGAACAGCAGCCTTGTCTTCATTAGACTTTGGCATCGGATCTCTCATGAGCACTTTTCAACTGGTTTGCAGCACTTCGAGGCTACCATTCCGAACTATCGTTCGCTATTACATTGTTTGTCCCGAATGTGATCCCCCGTGAATGAGCCTGGAATTTCCCACACCCATGATCCATGTCCACCCTTTTTTTTGGCCTTGTCTGAAAACGAACTCGGAGTTAGCCTCATTAGCCTCTACTCCCCTACCTACAGTACGGTGTGGGATTTTGCATCAATATCTCGGATGAGAACCAGAAATGTTCGGGAGTGTGAAATAATGACCTGGATCAATTATCCTCTTCATTCCCTCGCGTGCTGTGCTGTGCTGTCCGAGCATGCAAAAAAGGGACAGCGATTCTTCACCCGGCCGCAGAACCGGTCGGTAAATTGGACGAGTTCCATTTGATGCGAGCCATGCCGTACCTCCCGACGAGATTCTTTCTTCTGTGCCTCTGAGAACTGGGCTGGCGGCGAAGGAAGGGGCCGGGAAGGGTTCGTTTCACGCTGGAGGAAGGGGGCGTTTGACTGACCAGTCTATTATACTTTTCGCTTCGAGACCCGTCACACCCGCCCGCTAGACGCATACACCCGAGCAGATATACGAGCCACGGTTGCGCCATGTCGTTGAATTTCCCGGCCAGGGGTATAGCGTACAGACAGGTAGGTAGGTAGGTAGGTACCTGGTATGTGATGGCCCGGAGGCAGGCAGGCCGAACGAAGAACAGACACTTTTGAGGAGGGGAGGGGATGTTTGTGTGTGTGTGTGTGTGTGTGTGCTATCTTCAGCAAGTATCCCGTTTGCTTGTCGTCTGGTGGGAGGAGTCACACAAAAAGCCCACGACGATTGCCTGCATTTCCGTCTGCAGATTGACATGACATGACATGTTACACCAGTAAGTGTCCACCATCGAGATTCAATATGACAGCCCGGAAAAGCCATCGAAGCCGTTATGTTGTGTAACTCTGACGATGAGCCTGACCCTGACCATGACCATGTACGGGGTGGTGCTCTTCTTCCCACAAGGGGGCCCGGCGGTCGGAGGAAAATACAGACGAGGCCAGGAAAAGAAAACTCTCTAGGCACAGCCTCAGTATGGTCAGTACCTAGGGAACTCCGCGCCTTTTTGTTGCATATTCTCCCGGAGGAATCAATCCGTTACTCAAAGTTTTTGGTTAACCAACCCACCCAGTATGCATGATGTGATATGATGATATGACGACATGGAGATACGGTGATTTGATGATCCCTAAGCCCTTGTTCGCTCATCCGCGGCAAAGACACTTGTTGGTCAATTATCATACAGCACGTACCTGACCTGCAGTGGTTACACAGCAGCGCCGGCGGGGGACCGTTTGGTTTGTTTGTTTGCCCCGTGACAGAGGTGATAAGGTGACAAGGGTACATGGGAATAGTGCCGGTTTTTTTTTGTGGTGGTGGTTGTGGTTGTGATGACGGTTGTGACGGTGATGGTGGTGGTGTTTACTTCTGGCCGGTTTTTGCGGCTGCTTACTGCGTGCTGGTTTTGCTTGCATGCTTGTTTGTTGATCGGGCCGTTTCACAACCCCCAGGTTGGTTTTCTTTTTGTTGTACACGTTTCGAAATGCTGCACTCTGCCACGATCATGACGTTTTCTTCCTTATTCTTCTTCGTCATGCGAGACAGAAAGACTGTGTGTGGTGGTGGTGGTGGTAGTGGATCTTTAGGGATCAGTGACGACCTCATGCAAAGTTGTGAGAGTAAACTGTAGGTAGAGGAGTGTCTCGTTGGGCATCCCCGTGGCGAGTGCGTGGTATGCGTCCCATCATTCCGTGCTGTAGGATACCTAAGTAGTAGTGTACCTTATGTCGTGTATGTAACTTGAGGTCACGTATCATCCCATCTAAAGGCAAGTAGGACAACGGTATTCGTATGTATCTAGGCACCTAGGTAGGTAACTACACGTCTCAAGGTACTTTATCCTTCGTACTCCATACTCTGTAGATACTACTCCGTACGCGTAGGTACCCAATGTATACGTACGGTATGGTGTCAGTATGAGACCAGCTTGAAGGCGGTTGGCAACTATCTCCTACTCAAGATGGGTAACTATGGTCGTTTTTGCAGTCTCGATTTGGCTACGGTATCTCCTAGGTATTTAGTATTGGCAGGCTGGTCTTGGTAGATATTCAGAACAATACGTACGTACGTCTGGTGTGGTTAGAGTGTCCTCGACGGGTCCAATTACCAATTAGTGTGTCTTCAACGACCCTTCCACTCTCCATCATCACTACTGGCACTGGCACTGGCACGGGCGCCATCCCCCATCGTACCGTCAGCACCACCACCACCACCACCGACAGGGTCAACGCCCTCCGTCTGTCCACCAAAAGACGCCTCTACCTGTTCCTGCAGGTACGCATCGAATCGGCCCTCTCTCCTCTCCCTCATCGCTGCCCTCGCGCGGTTCTGCCATCCCTTTTCGTAAAAGCCGTCAGCGACGTGCTGTTTGAATTTCGGAACGGCCGCTTTGACGTGCTGGTCGCCGAGGACGAAGTCAGGCGTGATCGGGCACACGAGCGTGCCGGATGACGCGTCGATGTCGTGGACGCGCAGGCGAGGCGGGAGGGCGTCGATGAGCGCTCGTTTCTCGTCCTCGGTGTAGCTTGTCGACCAGTCGGACACGGCTCGGACGAGGAACGAGTGGATGTCTTTGTCTGTTATGGGAGAGCTTGAATTGAGGATCCGCGATGTCGACCACGGGCCGGATTTGGGGGCACCGGGAGGAATGGAAACTGTCGTGGACTTGGACTTTGATTTCTTTGATTTCGGGTTGGATTTCTTTGGTGGCATTGTTCTTCGCGAATACTGCAATGATGCGATGAAGTGATCAAGTGATCAAGTGACAAAGTCGTTTGCTTAGTCGTCGCACGCGATCTGGTATAGTCGTGTGAAAAGGCGAACGAAAGCGAACGAGGACGAGGTTATGTGAGCGATGGCGTCGTTGTCGTCGGTGGCAGCAAACTGTGAATTGTAGGGACAATAGGTGCCGGGTGAAGTGATTACTCCTTACTTCGTATTGTTCGTGGGTGCACAGAGTGTTGGTGGAAATGGCATGAGGACCTCTGTAGCGATTCTGCACTCTGTACACGAAAGGTAAACGAGGTGCATTGTGTCGGCGGGGGTAACCAGGCTCTGAGAGATGGCCTCATGAAATCATTCTTGCGATTCAGGCCGACTTGGTTTATGCAACCACAGACCCTCTCAGACGTTGGCTCGTGAATGAGGCTCTCACCCAATGTGAAGTAAGATCGAAAGTCGAGACCTGGATTTCCTACCTCGGCACTGCCCTCTCCATCCAATCATGGCCAGCATCACCACCGATGTCAATTGTCCTTCATTCGCCCTTTTCCAATCCCTCGAACATTTCATCATCAGCTTCATCCAGGTAGAGGCGACACATCTCAATTGCAAGGTCGTCGTGAACGACCGCCCTCCCTTTTAGGGTCTGTCTCACAACCATGGCGTCCTCCCCCTCCAAGAGTAAACTGCGGCAGTCGATGCACGCGACAATGGCCACCTTGACCAGCGCATCCGCCGAAGTCACGAAAGCCGCCATGAACCTCCCATCAACCTACCACAACTACGTCGCTCACAACGCCGCTGCAGTATCAAACATCGAAAGCTCCCTCCGCTCACTGACATACCTCCTCCCCGGCGCACGCTTTCACGACTCCGAACTCGCCTCGGAATCCGTCCACACCTTTGTCCAACTCCTATCAATCTACCATGACCACCTTCTCAAAAGACGCGCCGCCGTGCTCGCGCACTCTCCTACGATCCTCAAGGCTCGAACTGCAGCCTCTGCCGCAGCCGCGGTCCAACGGCCAAAGCCATCCCTGCACGCTCGCTACACTACCTTTTGGACGACGACGTCGTCACTGTACACCAAGATCGCGACGCTGCTGAAGATCGCACAATACACTGAACTGCTATGGGAGATGCTGGCGCGGAGGAAGGGAGGCGAGCAGACGCGGTGGCGCGTGGTTGTGCTGCTCGAGTCGTTCAAGGCAATTTGTCGACTCTTGCTCATGCGCTTGACCAACTCGCGGCCACTGGTCAGCCCACCCTTGCCGTTGCGCGAGGACTTTGCGCCGATTGAACCCGACGAGGAGGATGACGAGCTGCTGGTGGAAGGGGAGTTGATTCCCGGTGACGGCAATGCTGGCGCGTTCGATGTCAAGACCGCGCTGGGCGATGCGGGTGTGCCGACTCCACCGTTGTCGGATTCCGGGTTGAATGGTAAACCGACGTCGAGTCTGTCGATTTCGGAGCCCTACAACATGCCGCGCACTGGCTTCACGCTGCCCACGCTGCCGACGCCGGACAGTGTGTCGGCGTACTTGCTCAGCCATGTACTTACGGCGGACGACGTCAAGCCTGCGAAACAGCTGTTGCACCGCTTGACGACGTTACGTGGCCAGGGGGCCGAGGTCCTGTACATTCTACGCCCGGTGGTCTATGCTCTTATGATGCAGCGCGTCGCGGCCATGTATGGTTACGAAGGGACCAAGTGGAAGAAACACTGGACGCCGTGGCTCGTGGGGTTCGCGATGGAGTATCTTGCGCGACAGCTCGCCAAGAGAGACCTCACTTCTCGCGTGCCTGGAGGTGCGAAGAGTGGCTTGTCCGCGCTCGAGAGGGAAGAACTCAAGAAGCGAGGCTGGTGTTTGGCGTGGTGGGGGATGAGAGGCGCGTTTTACGAGAATGTTACCAAGCGATGGATCCACGGTACTGCACAGGGCTTGAAGGGTAAGCCGATTCTGGATCTTGTCGGTGGTGTGGTAGAGGACTATGAGTGGCTCTGGAGTGGGTATTACTTTTCGACTGCGACAATGTGATTGTGGAAACACGGAGAGTAATGAAAGGTAGTCTGGGGACCACCTCAATACAAATACTTTTGAGGTTCAATTGAGATGGGATACCGAGCTTGTGTTCCAGTGGGATACTGGAGGGAAGACTCAAGGAAGCGTGAAGAGGTGGGTGATACTAGTAGGGTGCTTGAACAAGGCTCCAAGCCCCGGGAATTCAGAGACAGAAGAGAGATAATTTCGGTCGAGGAAAAAACTACGGTATTCACGACATGTATGACAGGACAAGGACAATGTTTCATTGAGTTGAGTTGGGTGGGCACTCGAGTTCCCTAAACCTACCTACACCTACCTACACACACCTTCCCTGGTGTATTTTGGTGGGGTAGGTTGGTATCTGAGCTGAGGTATTTATTGTCGTGCTAGTGAGTGGCGTTGGGGAGTTTCATCGACGGTATAGACGTGTTCGTGGAATACCTGCCTTGGCCTCGTCTAGGTCCACCGAGGCCAATAAGAATATATTTCTAATATTTCGAGGTGTGGACTGGGCAAGAAACCATATCCATCGCTATTCCTACGGACACAAAAGGCTTTATTACGACGAACCGCCAGTGGGCTCTCGGGAGGTCTCGTAGAGGCACCGAGACCGCTGCCGCAGAGGGAGGAACGTAGAATGGGCGAAGGTGCAGACTCGAGTCTCGGTTGATCCGCAGTTGATAGCGAGATAGGTACTACCTACTAGTAAAAAGGGCATACCCAGTCCTGGTGGTACATGGATGACCGAGCACGATGGAGGTTGTCAACATTATTCCTAGCTCAGTATCTACCTACTGGTCCACAGCTTCCAAGGCTTTGGGGACCTAGGTCATGCATACTTGTTTCTGGACACAATCACAAGTTGGGAAGTTTCCTTTTTTTTTTTGAGCTGGTTTGACGACTGTAGTCATATCCTCTTCTGGTGTGACCAGACAGTAATGTCATGAGAATTGCCGGTTATGCGTGTGAGGCCCACGGCGAAGGGTGGGCTGATCAGTAACCCTTTCGAAAAATCGATCAACACCGACCCCACAATTTTCAGTGTCCTGTACCGTTTACGCCATTCGTGTTGCCATTGGCCGGAGCCAGCGGTATGGAAAGATAACCCCCAAACTCCTTTGCGAAGTCGACAGACACCCGGGCGTGGACTTTGCCTTGACGGTCGACGAAGCGACTGTGGTCGTCCAGCGGGACGACGGCGCCGTGCCAGATGTTGGGGTGAATGTAGAGACCCTTCCCGCCTTCGACCCTGAACGCAACGAACTTTTCCGGCGTGACGTCGTCGCCGGGCAGAGCCACAGGGACCATGAAGCTCTGCCCGTCCATGGGGAAGAACATCTGCCCTCCGTCTGGGTGGTAGTTGGCTCGCCAGATCAGCACTTTGTCGCGGGCGTTGGCGTCGCCCGAGCTCGAGGCTTCTTCCGGGAACTGGCTCCACGCGAACAGGTAGCTGTCGCCCACGGCGTTGTTGCGCGCATACAGCGTGTCACCTTTCCACCAAAACTCGAACAGCCCCTCGGTCGTCCCACCCTGGTCGCCCGAGTTCTGGTCAACGGGTCTCCAGCCCGGAGCCGGCCATCGGACGATCTCGATCGGGAAGTTGTCGGGTGACTCGACAATGTGCCCGTAGCCCTCGACGCTCTCGGGAGTGGCTTGCACCACGGGCACTCTGAATTCCTTGCGTACCCCCGTCGTGGGGACGTAGGCGATCTCGCTGGGATCGAAGTCCATCGCGTCGAACCCGTGACGAGAATGAAATATAGTCAAGTCAGTAAGCCAGTCGTGTTGGGACACCGGGGTTATGAGGACTTGTGGTTAGTCAGTAAATGCCCGCTAGGTTCAAAACACAGGGCTAATGTCAACGGACGCGGATGCGGACGTTTGCGGCTCTCGCTCTTGGGGGAAAGAAGCAACTCTTTGATATAAGCTGCAGAAACCTGCATATTCAACACCCTCGGTCGGCACGAAGCCCGTGATTCGACGCACGTGTGTAGATCATTAACCACGGAGGATCGTAAACACCCTTGACACACTCGAATCGTCAAGAAGCATCGCTGTTCATGCCGAATAGTTCTCAGAGCCCGTAGCGGATATGAAAGCTGGTCATGCGCGCTCTTCATGGAACAATTGGCTCTGGCCAGCTAACTCGCACAGGGTTCAAAAGGGCTTTGTGCCTCTTTTAGCTCTGACTCTGATAATCTTGCAACGGCCCATGAGATCATGATAATTATAGATATGTCGAAGTCCAAGTCAGAAGACAAAGGACTAGAAAAACAAGAGTAGAAGTCACGTAATCGAGGAGTGAAGAGATCATGATGTATGTGGTGATTTGATAGTTAAAGCCGGCTGGTCGGTGACAATGCGACTATTTTAAAGCAGCGAGGAGGGCGCGCCCAAAGAATCATTCCCGCGCCGCGGCATCTCTAATTCCATGGGACTCTACTCCGTACGCTCAAACTTCTCAAATCCGTCAACGGCATCGACATATACTCCTTAAAGAAGTGGAATCTTCAACGAGTACCGTGTCGACAGTCGATCGACCGTATCCCCCCCGCGTACAACGACAGCACCTTCTTTGAATTCCGCTTCCGACTACCCAACTCCGTTGTCCTCGCCCGCCTCAATCATGGCGAGTTCCCCTCCAGCACCATTTCCCACCAGCCTGCCCAACCCGAAGAAGCGACCATCAATGAGTTCCCAAGCTTCAGGCCAAGGGGGTTCATCCAAGCGACCGAAACTCCACCCTCTCAGACAAACGTCATTTCCGGCCCAGGATGCCCGACTCAACTCTGCCGTCACCAGCGCACGGTCGGAGACAGGCAGCATAGCCAACAGCGCCATCTCTGGTGTTAGCGGCAAGGTACCTGGCCGAGGACGTGGGCGTCCTAGAAAGTCTGCCCAACTCAACGCCGACGAGGTCCGGTCGTCGCACCAACCGCCCGCCGACTCGGCGTCACAGGTCGAAGGGGGCAGCGCCAGGAGCGCCGGCCGCGGCACAAAGTCAGTCGCTAGCGGCGCTGGCGGCGGAGCCGATGCCGACGCCGAGGAGGAAGACGAGGTCGAGATCGACGGCATGCTGGAGAACATGGACGAGCAGGAGCGCCGCCAGGCCGAAGAGGAGGAGATCAGGCAAGAACAGCGCCGCGAGCGACTCGCCGACACGCTCGACCCGGACCAGTACTCGCGGTACAACCAGTGGCGAGCGCTGTCTCTCAACAACGCGACCGTCAAGCGGCTGGTCAACTCGATTGTGTCGCAGTCGGTCACGTCCGCTCCGCTGCAGGCCGTCCGCATCTACGGCAAATGGTTCGTGGGCGAGATCGTGGAACGCGCGCGCGAGGTCCAGGAAGAATACGCAAAGGCGTACGACGTGACGCGGCAGGCCGAGAAGGAGCGCCGGCAAAAGGAGCTGGAAACTCTGGAGGAGAAGCAGAAGGAGAAGCAGGCGCAGATCCAAGCTAACAATAACGCCGGCCCCGGCGGCGGTCGCGCGACCCCGGACATGCAGTCTCGTATGCTCACTCGGGACATTGAGCGCTTGAGGCGAGAGATCAAGGAGTACATCCCGAATCCGCACCGCGGGGGCCTGTTGCCGGATCACCTGCGAGAGGCGCTGCGGAGATACAAGGCAGACGGCGAGGGCGGCGGCGTGGGTTTCCAGGGAATGAGCCACGGTCTCCTTGGTGTCCCCGGCTCGGTTGCCTGGAGAGTCGGAGACGGTGCTTCAGGAAGGCGGTTGTTTAGGTGAGGGAGAGGATATGCCCTTTTCTTTACCCTGGAAACGACCTACCTTCTACGAGCAGTCGTCAGCGTGAGGCCCCGTCGCCACTGCAAGCTCTCTGTATTACTATCTATCCTCATCGAAAACCGTGCGATACCATTGCCACGGGGTGTTTCAATAATGATACCAAAATATCCCTTGCGTTGAGTTTTCATTCACAATGGTCGCTAAATACTACATTTCTGAGTAATCCTCTTTCTCTCGCGGCTCAACGCATTGGTTGCTAATTGATTGGGGACCGTTATCACAATAAACAATATCTCACATATTCTCTTAAATACTCGAGCAGAGTCTCTGAGCAGCAATCTTACGCACGAAGCACTACTTAGCCTACCCTTCGACAGCCTCGTAACCCCTATTTCCTCCTCCAAGCACGCCGCCTTTGACTCCTCCGACCTTCTTCTTCGTCCTCGTCATCCTGGCCTTCCACCTCTTTCTCCACTTCCTGGCTGCTCGTCTGATCCGTCTGGTCGGGTAGTTGACCGGCGACTCTCCACCGACAAAGATGAAAGCATCATACAGGACGCCGCCTAGAATTGCTCCGGCCAAAGGACCCAGCCAGTTGACTTTGAACCAGTAACCATCGGCAAACAGAAACTCTGGGCTGTACCCGAGAACCCATAGAGCAACACGGGGGCCAAAGTCGCGCACCGGGTTCATGGCCAGGCCGGTGTTGTAGCCAAACGCCATGCCGAGCACGGCGACAAGCAGCCCGACGATGAAGGCATTCATGCCTGCTCCAGGGGGCGCGTTGGTGTTGTCTCCCAGCGCTAGAACAGAGATGACAAGTATTGTAGTACCGGTAAGCTCGGTCAGGAAGGCGTTGCCTGTGTCAACCCACGGTGTCCGTGGGAAGGTGATGAAATTAGACAGCACCACAGTTGGTGACAATGTCAATATCGATGATGGTGAGAGATCCTCGATCCTGCTTTGGAGGAACACGCCTTGGTCATGTATCAGCGCAATCAAGCCGGGTCTGAAAATCCAGAAAGCAATCAATGTCGCAAGGAAAGCTCCCAACATCTGTGCAGCCACGTAGCTGGGAACTTTGGCCAGGGGAAACCCGCGGAAAATGTAGAGCATGATTGAGATTGCCGGGTTGAGGTGAGCTCCAGAAATGCCGCCTGCGATGTAAATGGCCAGCATGGTGGCCAAGCCCCAAGCCCAAGACCCTGTGTCCCCGGCGCCCGCCGCGCCTCGAGAGACTGTGAGAGAGAGGTTCACGCCGAATCCGAGTGTATATTGTACCGTTATCTGACACAACGTGTTAGATCGGACGAGCACAGAAGCAATACGCCAGATGTACATACCGCGAGCAGTTCCGCAAGAGGTTCCCGAAATCTCAACCGAATAATCGACCAGTAGGTGTGAAGGTTGTGAACCTCATCGTCCTCGGCTTGATATGCGGGCAAAGGTACAGCATCTTGATAAGGGGATTTTGGCTCCTCGTGCTCCTCGTGTGCTTGGTGGACTGTCGCGATAGCTTCGCTTAATTGAGGAAACGCTTCCACATCTGGCAACGGCTCCTCTGGTATAGTTTGATGAGTACGGACGCGGGTAGCAGGTGTCTCGGTCCGCGCATCTGACGATCTTCTTCGCGCCCCAAGCGGTGACAGCGTTGGGGATTCAGAGAGGCGATGTTGATAGGCTCGGTAAAGTGATAGTTCTCTCTCGCGACGAATTGCATCAAGTTGAGAAGAAGCTTTGTCGAGACGAAGTGTCGGCTCGACTCTACCAGCCTCGATATCTGGAGGCGGCGGCTCCTCTCTCTCTTCAGCGGCTTCTTGTTCTAGTTCATCCCTTGCTGGGACCATGCCAGGTCTCAGCACTCGAGGCAAAGGTTTGGCCAAACTCCATACTGGCCGAACGTTAAGGGGTTGATCGTATGCGGGATTTAGTTGCGCATAGCCCGGGTCGACGTATGGTTGATTAGCTGCGTTGGTATCTATAGTTGCTGGTCCTGCCAGGGAGAATGTCTGTGATGCCGTATCTGGGTCACGGAAGGTAGACGGTGCGATGGCGACAGAAGCTCTGTTGTAATCACGAGGGGGGAGAAAGGATCGTGCTGGGCCTGGACTTCCAGCTGTGCTCGCAACTCGATGCCGCAAGCTGCCTGGACCGAAGCTGAACTCGGCATACCTTGGACGTGAGGGCGCAGGTGAAGTTGACTCAGGAACACTTTGGCCGGAATACGCTCGGGATGAACCCCGTGGTCGTTGCTCTTCGGCGTCGTTGGTGTGGGAATCGTTCTCCATTGTTCACAGTAAAGAGATGTAATCAAACAAGCAGGACGCAAGTTGGCTGCGCTGAGGCAATCGCCTATCGCTTCTCAATGGCACAGAAAGGACATTGCGAAGGGTATACGGCAGTGAGCTTCTTTCCAACTTGGTAGCTGGCGATGACAGGGTGAGGGTGCCTCTCTATGTTGTAGCCGTAGGCACCGTTGTTCGTTATGTAGCAATTCTTCTCGTGGACGTTGCAGACTTTCCCCCATTTTCAAGTTGAATAAACCATTCTTCCCAAGGTGTCAAAACGTCATTGTCCAAGATGGAGGCTGATGGTGTCGCCTGGTGACCACGTTCCATTTGGCAAACTCGGGATATGGAGCCGATTGGGCGATGATGTTTGAGAGGGTGTTGATGGTATCGAGGAAACTTCACCAGGTGCGCCACAGCATGTGATGGGAGCCCTGAAGAGCGGGCATAACTTAGGGCGCTTTAGTTAAGATTATAGGGTTCAATAGCGTCTAAACTAGAGGGCTCTAAGGGGCAATTAGGTGCTTTGCCTAAGATACTAACTAAATACCTACACATATTACACCCAGGCGCTGGGGCTAACTAACTTAGGTACCTACCTACCTAGTTATAGTGAGAGAACGAGCTTACCCCCTTTTAGCGGCGCCGGGAAGGGAGAAATCTTTCCTGAGATTCGGTATCAATTTACCTTCAGAAACGTGTACTTCAAATCCTCTCCTCGCAAGCTTGAATTCAGCCTGCTCAACGGAAACGACAACATTGCCCCTTGGTCACTGTCCACACAGAGGTTGCATTCTTTCTCATGTTTGGCCACTTCACCGCGGCAATACTCCGAATTCCAATCGCTTGTCTTCGGACCCCGGAGAGTCGACTCTTCCGTGATGGTTTTCAGCCGGGATCGTCGGGAGACAAGCTCGCCAGCACACCGTCACTCTGTGATTTGACAAAAGTAGGTGGCTCGGACGCCTGACGAGCCTCACGGCCTCCAGTCCAGGTAGACGTCGCCTACCTTGGATCACCGGTAAGTCGACTCTACGAAGACATTTGGTGTAGCTCGCCCGTTGTGCTTTGTGTAAATCGAACCTGAACAGATGTCGCCAACTCGACAGGATACTACACATGCGCGAGGCAGCTGGTATCGATCCGAGGCTGCTTCCTTTCTAGACCATTACAGCCCCGAGATAGTCCAGCGTCGCTTCACCACCTTCAGCCCTCGTTTTCATCGAACAAAAACCACCCTCCAAGAACTCACGCGGAGGTCTCGCCGAAAGCCACGGGCATGGCATCCTTTGTTCAAATACGTCGACGACCACTGGCATACCATTGGGCCGCTTCTCCCCATTACCTCTGCGTTGCTGGAAGTCATATTACTTCTTTATCTGTTTGTTTTTTACTATACCTTACCAGCAGACCCCAAGACTGGGGAGCGACCCCCGCGGATCGCTAATCTGTACAGTGTATTCCCTTTCATCAGTTGCATCGGGTCCAAAAAGCTGGCTGTGTATCAGGGACTGACTATGTGTGTCGTGCTGCTCAACTTCACGTCGGCATGCATAAGCCTTTACCGGGGACGCGACGAACTGGTAGGATGGGAAAGTCGACGGACGAGCTGGCTCGTCAGTGTAGTTTCTGGAGGTCTGGCAATTTGGGTGGTATTCGCAGCTGCGAATCCTGATAGGCATCTCCATCTGACTGTGACGGCGGCAAAAGCGCTGTCGGTCTTCTGCATCAAAGTATCTGGCTGGATTACAGACCATCTCCAGCGCCGAAAGTACTCTGATCTCTGGAATATAGGTTGTGTGAGATTGCTGTATTGGTGGAAAGTAGCTACCCTCGCAGTTGCCTTGCGTATGTCCAAGCGGTGTTGAGTGTCTCTTCTGCGCTAATATTGGCATTGCAGCCACGGCGACGATGATGGAGGTGGCTGTCTTCGGCTGCCACAGGGCGACAGCAAAGAACATTCAGACTCCAGGAACGAAATGCTACAGGATCACAGCAGCAGGGGCACCTGCTGAGTGGATCTATGCACTGACTACGGTCTCTTGGAGTCTGTCGCTGGCCTTCGATATCTATATCACGCCGATTATTGGGCAGGCAAAATCAAAACAAGACCTAGAAGAAGCAAATCTTCTAGCACCAGACGGATACAGTCCATATTCAGTGCTGTCTCCACACGACACCGATTTTGAAAAGGCAGACACAGAGGCGTCAGCAAACACTGACAGCTCAAGATTCCAAACGAAGGAACATGATATCTTCAAGCCGACCGCATGGGAAGCGCAGAGCGATGACTCCCATGAAGATGGTGAAGCGGAGCAAGACCTCGGTCTGATCGGAAAGCCACGAGACGTGGTATGACAGCAGGCCTTTCGAAGTAGAAGGGAATATTGCTGAACCAGCCACCCCGGTCCGCATCTCTCGGATAGCTTCAATGCTTATCCGGAGATGAGAATCAGGCGGCTCATAAAGACTCCAACACGACACACTCAATGTTCAGCCTTGTTGTGGCAGTGCGAGCCTCGTTCTCTCGAAGAGAGGGGTCGCAAGATCCAAAACGCATCCTCCAAATCATGATGCCACCTGACCAGTCTCTATATCCATCCTATCTCGAAAGTCTACCACAAGGGATACTCAATCCTATCAAAACGCTTTCTTGCGAAGGCTCGCAACGAGGTTGTGGGATTGACGTCATAATAAGACCCGTTCCTTGGGCGCAAAAATGGGGAGCATCATATATCACGATGGCCAATGGCTGACCAGGAAGAATTGATGTATTCCACAGATTGACGCTCGCTTCTTTCATCCGGCTTCCTCTCTCAGTTCATTTTTACTTTGTCCCCTGCTTTTGCACCGTTTCAACCAGTTCTCCATGCAGGGATCGTGCTGTTGAGCTCTCAGATTTATGCTTAACACGAGCAGATTAATGAGGGAGATGCCAGGTCAGGTCCGAGCTGAAGATGAATTTCTTACAGGGGTAGAATATCAGGGTACGCATCGCCCATAGCTTTTTGTCTTATGGGACTCACGCCCAATCTAGATCCATTAGGGACGCTCCCCCCTGAACTCGAAAGGCAGCGACGAAAGTTGGAGAATATATTCACAGTGGACACAGCTACACTGAAAAAAATCACAAAGAGGTTTGGCGAGGAATTACAGCAAGGTGTGTCCTTGTAACCCGATGATATACTGGAGATGTTCACGTGTGGTCTTCCACTGTCACATATGCTCTTCTTGCGACTGCTTGCCCAAGTACATGTATGCCCTCTTGTCTCATGCTGACTTTCACAAACACAAGGTCTTGATAAACACGGACAGAACATTGTATGCTTGACACTTTCCTTTTCTGAAAAGAACCCTTTTTAACTGTATGCAAGCCCATGAACATCACCTGGGTGACGTCTCTACCTACGGGCCAAGAAACTGGTACCTATTTAGCATTGGATCTGGGTGGTACGAATCTTCGTGTTTGCTCAATTACCCTGAAGGGAGACGGCAGTGGTGTAGATGTTATCCAAGAGAGATATAACGTAGCTTCGGAGATCAAAATCGGCACTTCCGAAGCGCTCTGGTCATTCATCGCGGACTCACTACAGCACTTCGTCCAACAGCATCGCATTGAAGCGCAGGAAGATGGCGCCTTACCTCTAGGTTTCACCTTTAGTTATCCGGCAATGCAAGACAGAATAGACCATGGTGCTCTACAGACCTGGACGAAAGGTTGGGATATCGATGGCGTGGAAGGAAAAGACGTGGTGGCCATGTTGAGAAATGCCATCGAGAAAAGGGTATACTCTGGTTTTGGACATTCACCACAATACCCATGATACTGATTGACCTGAACAGAATCTTCCAATAAAAGTGGTCGCGTTGATCAACGACACCACTGGGGCCTTGATCGCGTCAAAGTATAAGGATCCAGACACGATTATCGGAGCCATTTTCGGCACAGGTTGCAATGCCGCATATATTGAGAAGATTAAGAACATTCCCAAAATGAGATTGTATGGAGGGGACGGGTCGAGTAATGGCACAGGCGGAAATGATGGGGATGGCGTGATGGCGATCAACTGCGAATACGGCGCCTTTGACAATTCACATACTGTCCTACCTCGCACGATCTATGATGAGAAGATTGACGAAGAATCACCACGGCCAGGAGAACAGACGTTCGAGAAGATGTTTGCTGGGTTGTACCTCGGCGAGATATTCCGTCAAGTGATTGTGGACATGTGGCGACGAGGCATCCTTTTCAAGTCCACCTCAGAAGATACCTATGCAGCACGCGACACGAAGGGCGATGATTGGAAACAGAGGAAGAGCATTGAAGAACCGTACGTTATCGACACGGGAATTCTCTCACAAATCGAAAACGACGAGTCCAAGGGTCTGACGGAATCGAGGAAGCTTTTGATGGAACGGTATTACCTCCCTGGCGAGTCAGGGTCTGTATCTAGGCTTCTTTCCCCGACTTCAGAGGAGCTCCTGCTGATGCGACATCTCGCGCGACTCATCGCCATCCGCGGTGCGAGGCTCTGCGGGTGTGGTGCTGCTGCCATCTGTCAGAGGCTGGGTGTGAAGAGAGGGCATGTGGCTGCAGATGGGTCTGTGGCGATGAAAAGTCCTCATTTCCAGAAGCGATGGGAGATGGCCGTGGCCGAAATTCTGGGCCTGGAGAGGGGAATGATCAAGTTGACCAGAGCAGAGGATGGGAGTGGCATCGGAGCCGCCGTTATTACTGCCTTGACGATGTCGAAACAAGGGTAGATGAGTGTGATTCGAACCTAGGTAGTCGTTGGCGTCTTACATTAAAAGGGTGGCCGCAGTATCTGTATCGATCTGAGGGCAGTCTTAGAGCTTGACTTGACGAGGTACTTGGACAAGCACAGGTCTCTAACTTAGAGGTGTGAGTAGAGACTAAAGTTGTAAGAGGTAATACTCGGGATCAGCATGAAGCCGGGTGCCGCCTCGTCCCTAAGTTAGCCCGACGGAGCCGCCGTCTTTAAGTAATTAACTAACTAGTTAGTTAGTGCGGGGGGCATGGAGTACCCCAGGTCTTTCTCAAGGACGCTAACTACAGGTACCCAGGGTAACTAACTAGGCCGATATATTGGTGCACGAGCCAACCTTGGACACCTCGGACATGTGGTCACTAACTATAGGTACCTGCAGAGTCCGTCTGAATATCTACATACTCCGTACCATCTACCAAGTTACCAACTCACTCTTCACTCACGTCTCACAGTCCCGTCAATCGTCAGCGCCATCCATCCATCCATCCATCCCACCCTTCTCCACCAAATTGGATCTCGTCAATTTTTCTCCCTGATACCTTCGACACCTTCAACCAACATAGAAATATCATGCTTGTCTCGGTGTGATTACAGATCCGGTATCACCTCAGGTCTGGTACGGTCAGTTACCTTGGCTACCCACCTAGTCATCCGTCTCCCCTTTCCACTGACAGTACCTAACTAGTTGCGTTAACCTTGGCTGGGCACACAGCTGCAGGCCACCAGGCACTCGACATCCTCCCCGAAAACCGAAACCCAACTGGTGCTCGAGTGTCTTTTGTTTGCGGGCGCGACCACTCACCACTCAGAGAGTCCTTCATCGACAGCACCAAAATGTCGACGTCGACTCTTCAATCCCAATACTCGCAGGTCATGGACACGATCAGATCACGCCCGACGAACGCGGCGCTGACGTCGACCGCGGTGGCCGCCGTCGCGCTCTTCACGGCCTGGGTGGTGTCCGACTTCCACGCGTGGAAGTCGTTCGGGACAGGGGGCACGCCGCCGACGTGGTCCGGGTACTGGGGCATGACGAAGCTGCGCGTGGGGCGGATGCTGTCGGGCGACGACCTCAGCGACGCGTCGGGCCTCTCGTCGGCCGCGGGCCCGTCGTACCTCGACGCCGACGCGGTGCCCGTCCGCGCCGGCCCGCGGCCGCCCATCGTGTCCCGCACCATGCCGCAGCGCCAGGTGCCCTACGGGGCCGGCGTCGTGGCGCCCGGGGTCGCGGACCGCACGGCCACGCTCCCGGCGACCTTCGCGGCGCGGTACCCGGACATCCTGGACGTGAGGCCGAGCAGGACCGAAGGGTACAGCTCCGACGGCATCTACGCGCGCGAGTCCCTGCCCACCGTCAACGCCGAGTGCGGGCGGCAGAAGTTCATCGGGACCGAGGTCGCCCACGTCCACCCGGCCGACGGGAGTCTGCACGTCTGGCTGAGCGAGCCGGACGCCAAGACCGTCGTGGAGAAGGGCTGGGCCCAGAGGTTCCCCCTCGCCTTCATCCCGAAGGGCTGGGTCATGGTCTACGCCCCGAGGACCATGGAGGAAGTCGATGTCGTCGAGGGGATCATCAAGGCGGGCGTGGCGTGGGTCAGTGGTGTCACGACCGTTTTGACCTGAAAAAAAAACACATTACCCGATCATGTCATCTGGGAAGGTTTGCTTGCGAAGGCGAAACACCACACCATTCGTGTACCACTGTTTTTGCTCTCCTAGGGTTATTTGTGCGGTCCAGGGACAATTTCCTTCCAAGGGCGACGGGCTACCAAAACACAGATTGATCAACGGAGTGGAACTGAAATGAAATGCTGGGTAAGGTTACGGGATTTCAGGCACGGGAAACGGGAAATGGGTAATGGATAATGGGACGACATGGATGAACTTGTGGAACGATTCACTATCGACATCGGCACAGTACGTGGAAGTGGAATATGCAAATCAGTACGCAGTCGAACACCCGGAAAGCCAAAATACAGCGAAGTCATTCAAGCGTGTTTTCATTGGTCCCAGCACCAACTACTGCCTGTCCTGTTCGTCAATTTTATCGTAGTCATCGTACGAGGATGTTGGTGATAATCTGTCGTTACGTCCTAACTCAGGTAGAGGAAGGACGTGCATGGTAATGGGGAAACCCAAAACCAAAGTCACAGTCAAGTCAACTTTTGACCTTTTCTGAGTTCTCATAATTAAATCAATGGGTGACACACTTTGAGGGCCTTTTTCTCTGAGAGAACACGTCAAGAAGCGAGATTGGTGCCACTGCTATTGGTGCCGCCGCCAGCGTTTCCCATCTGCTTCGGTTCTCTCACTCAATCTCAACTCGTCCCCCAGAAGCGGATTCATCTCCTCTACCCCTTCTTCCTCTCGCTCAACTCGTTCACATAGAGCGGATTCATCTCAACTTCCCTAACCCACAACCTCCAAGGTTTATCCTGATACTGCTCACACATGAGACCACAGCCTTCCCCTTGCAACGGCGTGAGTCCCTCAAACCCGCCCTTTTCCACCTGGTCGCCGTAGACGCTCCTCGCGATCGTCATGGCCTTTGTCTGCGCCTCGGCGTTGATGCGCGTGTATATGGCCCGGTAGACGGCGGTGACCAGGTTGTCGGCGACGGTCGTGAAGCCGTGGCGTCTCATCAGCACGACGGTCTCTTCGGGCACCGGTGCCTGAGAGCCATCCGAACCCGCGCCGGAATCGCCAAAGACACTCGCGAGCGCAGCACCCGTGTGGGCCTGCCGGACCAGCATGTCCCGCTGGTCACCTTCGCGGTAGTGCGGGTCGATGTCGAACACCTTTACCGGCTTGGACCCCAGGAACCCGGCCATGTGGTAGACGGCGCGCAGCGACACTCCCGTGCTCACGACGTACGGCAGCACCTCTTCGGCGTGGCTGTGGATGACGCAGTTGACACTGGGAAAACGCCGGAAGACCTCGCCGTGGATGAACCGTTCAGAGTAGCCCTTTTTCGCGCTGGGGTCGACCGGCTCCGACGTCGACACGTGGTAGTGGATCAGGTCCGCCGGGGACGACACCATGGCTGGCGCCATATAGCCGCACATGATGTAGATTGAGGCATCAGTCGGGTGACGGATCGAGACGTGCCCGTAGGCGTCGACGACGCCGTGGTGGTGGAGGATGTGGTTGGCATAGATCAGGTCACGGAGCGAGGTGGTGAGGGTGTTGTCGTCGTCGTCGTTGGTAGACATTGTGATGAGTTTCCTTGCTTGGATAGTCGGAGCCTTGGGTCAATCGTGCGTGACCTTTTGATATCCGGGACGCTCTGGACGAAGTGAGAGTCAAGGCTGGTTAAGGTAGTCGAGATGAGGTGGCGGTGAGTAAAGGTACTCGTAAATGTTGCACGACAATCCTCGTGGCATTGGACATTTGGCACAATCGCACCGAGGGGTGCGCAGTCCGTCGGTCAGTCACTCACTCACGTACATCCGATAGAGCCCCGAGGGATACGTCCGACACTTTGTGAAGTAGCCTTGACTAGCTTACCAGTAGGAGGGGAGTGGGACTGTGTACGATCTGAGCCCTCAGAGTGATGATCACCTCAGGCGAGACGAGAAAAGGCGGGGGTCAAGGATGCAGGATGCAGGATGGTGAGGAGAGAGTCAGCTCGGAGGGGGCATCGGACTGGGCGGTAAAATAACAACCGGATCGACAGGTACATCGAGTGCTTAATACTATCAGTGCTCGTGGTGTCTACCGTGGAAGAAAGATTACACCGTAGATTCAATCCAACTCTGTTCTCTTCATGAGAAACAGCATCGACTCGAGCGTGTGTTCGACGAATCCATCACCCCTTCCCGCCGCAATGATGCTCGCCACGCTCTCTACGGCTTCGTCGGTGGTGTCCCAGCCCGAGAAATGCACACGGACCGCGTGTTCCTTGTGATCCTTGGGGATGTTCCACGCCGACACGGCGCCGTACCTCGCTCCGCCCAAGGTAGCCGTGCCCTCTGCGAACTCGTTGTCGACGGCCAGACGATGCACATGGCGAGCCAACACCGCCTTGAGCACCATCAGCACCGGGGCGTCCAGGGGGATCCGATGCTGTTCGATGTCCATGTAGTGCATCCAGTCGATGTCCATCTGGTCCTCGACCAGCTTCAAGATCTCGCCCTGCTGCGCCGACCCGTCGAACCCGCGCTGGTGTTGGTCCTTGGTCTCCCAGGCGCCGATGACGAACATGCTCGTGGCGTCGTCGATCTGCGTGTAGAACAGCGTGGTCAGCTTGCTGTACTCTTCGATCACGCGCTTGACTTCTTTGAGGTTCTGCTTGAGCGTCGCGTCCGTGGCCGTGACTCCATTTTTCAGGCTGATGCGGGCTAGTTCGATGATCGTCATTGTGGACGCGCCGAGTCCATCGACCGACTGCGGCGACTGGTAGTTGGAGGGGGGGGGGCCAAACTAATAAATATTGTCAAACAAGAGTTGGTGAGAGGGCAGCTTGAGATTAGGCAGGGCTGTGTTGGGTTTCAGTATCAGAGGGACGTGTAGTACGGAGGTCTTCGATCATCCTTTAGATAGATGGGCTTGTGATAAAGCTGAAATCCAGGAACAGTAACAGTAACACCTCAGTAGTCATCACCATGCAGCAATGGCCTGATCTGGGCAAATAAAGTACAGACTTCAATCCTCGCACATTCATCTGATTGACTCATTTTGTACTTTGTAGTTACCTACAGACTACACAAAACTATGTATTCGTAGGAATCGCGCTCGGGCCCCGATGCCTCGTGTTGTCTGTGTTGGCGGCGTCCAGGCTGCAGGTGGGCGGCATGTGTCACAACTCAAAACTCTGATGTTTTAGTTCGATCTTCACCGATGGACACTTGACAACACCTGTGTCTGCTTCTTTCGTCTGTTACTCGCCCCATCTGCGTCAACGCCTTGCTGCTCATTTCTTTCTTGTTGCTGTGCCTCGACTTCCCCGGACTTTGACCCCACGAACCCAAACTGGTAAACACCCCCTACCGCTTCTTGTGGGGGAGATACCCAATATTCCGGAACCAGCACCCAAAAATAGAACAACATGAGCAAACCTCTGAAAGTCATCGTCGTCGGCGCCGGTATGTTACCACCAACGCCCTTCTAACCAGCTATCCAGAACTAATGGTCCCGTCAAGGATTGTCTGGGTTGGCCATTGCTCAGGGCTTGAAGAAGGTCTCGGCCTGATCCACACTCAAGGCACCAGGCCAAGCTAACCATTTGTCAGAATGGAATCGATTACGTCGTGGTCGACAAGGAAAGCGAACCGCGAGACCGGAACTGGGGAGTGACAATAGCCTGGTCGCATCCGTTTCTTCAAGAACTCCTCCCACCAGAGCTGTTCGACCGCCTTGCGGAATGCCAGCCAGACACCAAGCTGAACTCGAAGGAAGCAGGATGCGAAAGTGTCATAATCAGGGATGGAGCCACAGGAGAAACCATTGTCGAACCGCCCTTTCCTGCTGTGCGGCGACTGAATATTCAGAAGACGCGAACTCTGTGGTCCAAGGACGTCAATGTCAAGGTGAATCAATGCTGCCCTTTCAGTCCTATTGACGTAAAGCATACTCACGAACCCCCCAGTTTGGCAAAACAGTCACGAACGTCGAGCTGACATCTGATGGGGTTATTGCTCACTTCCAAGACGGCACTTCTGAATCCGGCACAGTCATCGTCGGTGCAGACGGAGGGGGTTCATGGGTTCGACGATGGCTTTTGGGTGACGAAGCCGAGGCCCGGATTCTACCATATGTCTTTCTCAATTTCCCCTTCAGGTTCACAGCCGACAGAGCCTTGAAGATGGACAAGATGATGCATCCTATCGTGGATGTAGGCGTGCATCCAAAGTCCATGTACATTGGTATCTTCTTGCTGGATAAACCCGACCTCGACAGGCCGGAGACATGGATCTTCTACATTCTCGCGACGTGGCCGAAGGAGCAGACCAGTGAGGATCAATGCAAAGGCCAGAACATGGCAGACGAACTTCGGAAACGGGCAGATGGCTGGGCTGACCCTTTCAAGTCTGCTGTTGAGTGGATGCCAGAAGATGTCAAGGCAAAGGTGGTCCAGCTCAAGATCTGGAGTCCTACCTCTGACTGGGACAATCGGGATGGTCGAGTGACTTTGGCAGGAGACGCGGCGCACAGCATGACATTCCGTAAGTACAGCTCATATCACGCCACGAGGAAGCAAGGATGCATGGCAACCAGAGCAAGACATTGCTGACGTGATCCATTCCAGACCGTGGCCAAGGCGCCAACAACGCCGTCAAAGACAGCAAAATGTTTGTCGATGCAATGGTCAAGGTCAAGTCTGGAAAGCTGCCCCTAGTTGAGGCGCTTGCAGAATACGACCAAGACGTGATGACTCGCGGCAGGCAAGAAGTAGAGATCTCTCGGGTGCAGACTGAGGCCTTCCATGACCATGCACGGTTTCTGGACAGCCCCGTCGTGAAACATGGCATCAGGCCGAGTACAGAGTTCAGCAAGGGAGAGAAGTAGGACCAGAAAATCATACAAAGTCAAAAGGACCAACTCGACTCAACCCATGACTGACGGTAGCTCGTTTGTCCTGTGGTATGGCATCACACAGAGGGGGCGAGTATCTATTGCCGAGAAGATTCCGTAGTCAAGCGATAAATGCCTTTGTGTGCGATATCAGGCAGACCAGTATCAGGCTGCAGCGAATTTCGCACCAGACTTTTCGGGCCAAAATGAGGACAGTCAACGCAGCTGAAGCGGCACATATAGCACTAACTCAAATATCTTTCACACAATGTGCATTGGCTGGTACCTAATTCGCAAGTTGCGAACCCTTTCGGCAAAACATGCGTCTCAATCGGTGGCTTTGCGATAGAAGACGAGTAAGCCTTTACGGCTGTGACACTCTGTACAAACAGCCATATCGCAAACAACTATCCTCATGTGCATTGTCTTTGCGAATGCATTGTCGAGGGCCAACGGCCTGAACTCAAGTCGTAAACGACTATATATAATGAGAATGCGTGAAGCCAAACGCCGTCGTCAGGATGCCGCCCTGCAACAAGGTACGGAAGCAAGTATCAAGTGTCTAACAGTAGATCAAGCCGACGACACGACAAGCGAAACACGCTCCCAGTCGATCTCGATTGCACGCAATCGTCCAGCACAAGCATCTATCGATGTCTTTCGTATCTGTCGAAAATAGGGAACGCTCACCCCTCGCATACGGACATGCCACCGCCCAAGCCCACTATTATAGTAAGTGCCTGGATACGTCTCACAGGGCGGTAGAAGCACCGAGAGAGCTTCCAGTTCCATACAGTGTCCCAAGAACTAACCCTGCAAACAGGTGGTACCTGGCGCGTGGCATCAACCAGCACATTTCGAGCCCCTGGCGACCAGCTTGCGAGCAAAGGAGTACAAAGTCATCGTGGTGCGCTTACCGAGCCTTCACTACTCCAAGCTCAACCAGCCTGTTCCAAACGGAGTCGTAGAGGATGTCGAGGCAATCAAGTCCATCGCAACCCGCGAGCTGAACGACTACCCTGACTACGACATTCTCATACTGACCCATTCGTATAGCTCTGTCCTCGGTTCGGTGGCCTGCCAGGATCTCGACAAGCTCTCGCGTCGCGCAGCCGGGCACACGAATGGCATTGCGGGACTGATGACAATCGCGGGACTACTGCTTCCAGCAGGAATGTCGATACTGGACAGCACAGGTGGCCAAGTCCCGCCTTGCATACAAGTTTGGCAGTCGTCATACTCGGATGGACGTCAATACGAAGTCAGTATGCCGGCTAGTCCTCCTGGTGCGAACGAGCTCTTGTACCACGATTTACCAGTTACCGTGGCTGAACATTGGGCGTCGAATCTCAGACCGCATATCTACGAGGGACACCGCATCCCTATTCCATTTGCCGGACATCTGGTGCTTCCGACGTACTATCTGATGTGCGAGGATGACCGCATGTTGGCGGTGGAAGAGCAGAGGTTCATCGTGGAAGAGGCGAACAAACAGATGCCAGCTGGGAAAGAGGTCAAAGTAACCATGATTGACTCAGGACATAATCCGTTCTTAAGCCAAATTGAGGAGACGGTCAACTGGATCAGGCGCTGTGCCGGGGAAGTGCTATGAGCCAGTCGCAGGATAGTATACTCATCTCGAAGCTTGGTCTATTGTAGCTGCTTGAACTCGACGGAGAGGAGGGGGTATGAGACGTAGAAGAGAAACGGCTATAACCTATGTCGTCCTGGACAAGGAGTATTCCCGATGTAGTTTTCTTCCGAGGGAAAGACAAAAAGAGTGGGGGATTAAATATCGACGCTCAGTGACGAACATCCGAAGTCGCTTTCCCCCTACAACATTCTCGATTATCTTATTCTACTTTCCACTTGCCGGGACCTCATCTTTGACCCTGCCTCATCTCGCCTCCCTTTCGTCGCGCCGAATGAACATGGCAGTGCCAACATCTAGAAGCGTTGCTCGCGCTCTGCGGCAGATCAGAAAACCTTCAATCCCTCGGCCGCGACAGCCACAGTGCGCCCGAACGCTCTACGAACCCGTGCGCAGTTTCTCCAGCACGTCCAGGCGAAGGGAGGATACTTCAGAGCCACATCACAATGTCAAATATACCACAGACATGTACAACATCCAGCGCGACTCGAGGTTCGCCGAGATCACCCCGGACCATGTCCAGTTCTTCAAATCCGCCCTCGGCGATGAGGCAGCTGTGATCGACGGAGTGACGAAGGACGCTTCAGACGACCTCGAAGCATTCAACAGAGACTGGATGAAGAAATACAGAGGGCACACGAAGCTCGTGTTGAAGCCGAAGAGCACTGAGGAGGTGAGCAAGGTGCTGAAATACTGCAACGAGAACAAACTGGCCGTCGTGCCGCAAGGAGGAAACTCAGGCCTGGTGGGAGGAAGCGTGCCGGTGTTTGACGAGATTGTCATCTCGTTGGCGCGCATGAATCAGATCCGCAGCTTTGACGACGTGAGTGGCATCTTGGTCGTCGACGGAGGTGTCATACTGGAGGTGGCAGACAACTTCCTGGCACAGCACAACCACCTGTTCCCTCTAGACCTGGGAGCAAAGGGTTCATGCCAGATCGGTGGTAATGTGGCCACAAACGCTGGAGGCCTGAGACTATTACGGTACGGCTCGCTACACGGCAATGTACTGGGTCTCGAAGCTGTACTCCCCGATGGCACCATTGTCGATGACTTGTCCAAGCTACGGAAAAACAACACCGGCTACGATATGAAGCAATTGTTCATTGGTGGAGAGGGTACCATCGGTATCATCACTGGTGTCTCGGTGCAATGTCCGCAACGGTCAAAAGCTGTGAACGTCGCCTATTTTGGTCTCCCTTCCTTCGAACACGTGCAAAAGGCATTCAAGGAGGCCAAGATCCAGCTGGGCGAGATCCTGTCGGCTTTCGAATTGATGGATTCGCAAAGTCAAGGGTTCGTCCACAAAGTCACCGGCAACAAACGGCCGCTCGAGGGAGACCACCCTTTCTACTGCTTGATCGAAACCAGCGGGTCCAACGCCGAGCACGATAACGAAAAGTTGGAGCAGTTCTTGGAGTATGTCATGGGCGAGGAGATTGCCTCTGACGGCGTCCTGGCCCAAGACGAGACCCAGGTCCGCGCCCTGTGGGGATGGCGAGAGGGCATCACCGAAGCCATCGGACACTTCGGCGGCACGTATAAATACGACGTGTCAATACCGCTTGTCGAGCTTTACAAGTTGGTCGAAGACACAAGAGAACGACTCACGTCCAAGGGGTTGGTCGGTGACGACGATTCGTACCCGGCCATCGGTGTCGTCGGGTATGGGCACATGGGCGACTCAAACCTCCATCTCAACGTCCCCGTGAGGAGGTACACCAAAGAGGTCGAGGAGGCGATCGAACCCTGGGTGTACGAGTGGATCCAGAAGAGGAACGGCAGCATCAGCGCCGAGCACGGCCTTGGAATCGCGAAGAAGAAGTTCATCAGCTACAGTCGCAGTGAGACCATGCTGGGCCTGATGAAGCAGATCAAGAACCTGTATGATCCCAACGGCATCATGAATCCATACAAGTACATATAGAGCGGGGGCGACGCGGTCGGAAAAGAATGTGTTTATATATACCTACGCTGCTGAAGATTGAAGATGAGGAAATACCCATAGATATCTTTTTGTACACAATTTGCAGCGGCGACGTAAAAATCGCATTAGGCGGGTTAGTGTCCAGAAATTTGATAGTCACCCATACGGGCGGATACGATTATACAGAGGGTAGTATCACCCTTTTTGACGACGCACTAGAGCAGAAGTACCTGCATATACCTGCCGGGCCTTGAGGGAAAAGTCATGAGTGTCACCATCGTCCCTCTCTAGATTTTCCTTTATCCTTGTCACGGGGTTTACCGCGATCGCGATCCCGTCTCTTCTCGGTCTTGAGCTCTCGCTCCTTCTCGCGCGGATCAATCACGACGAGTTCCTCTTCGTTCTTCTTCTTCCACGTCAGGTCCTTGCCGAGTCTGTCCTTGGCGAAACTCAACGTGTGGCTGAGCCAGTCCGTGTCGTCGTCCGTGTCGGCGTCGGGGCCCTGCGCGCCCTGCTCGTCCCATCGCGAACAAGACTGGCAGTTTGCGATGAAGTGGAGATCGCACAACTGTGCTTCTTCGTCGTTATTGTTGTCGTCGTTGTCGTCATTGGTGGTGCCTTCTCCCGTCTGTGGAGCGCCGTGCGGTTTCTCGCCATTCGTCTTCTTCTGGGACGGTTTGGACGCCGATGACGATTCGAGGCGGGCTTTGAACGCGTTGAGGATCTTGAGCGCGTTGGCGTCCTCTTTGGCGTTTGATTCGCCCGGCCGAGGACGTTTACGACCCCGAGTGCTGGTGGGCGGGATCAAGGCTTCTAGCGCTGACTTTTTGTGCGACGTGTCTGTTGCCGTGGCCACTGTACGCCGCATCGAAGCTTTCAGAGCTGCTATCTCAGCCTGCAGGTTCGATGCCGAGGATTTGGACTTGGATGGTTCTTCGTCGGGTGTAGGTGAACGAGACGGGGACTCAGGGTCGCGTAGGGGGAGTTGTGTTGTTGGGTCGTGGAATGAGGGTTTTCGGCGTTGCACAGGCGAAGGGGACTTCGTGGATGGTTCGTGTCCTGGGCTTGCTTTTCGTTTCTGTGGAACTGTCGTCGGTGATGGTGAGCGCTTAGGCTTGGCTTTTGGTTTCGACACGGTGCCTGCCTGCTTTGACGTAGAGTCGATCTCTCCGCTGGCGTCGATCAAGGCTGGGTTGAACTTCGCTTTCTTCGGTCGGACGGCCATGTCGTCTGCGTTGTCTTCTCCTTCGTCGCCTCCGAAACTGAGCAGCGTCTTTCCGCCCTTCTTTTTGGGAGCCTTCTTCTTGGCCGGAGCCTCGACAACGCGTTCGGCAACTTTGACCCTCTTCCGCATTTTCTGCCAGGCTTCACCTTTGGGCAATTCGAGGATCTCGACCTTGAGGATCTTCTCCGGGTATAGGGGCCGTTCTGTTCCTTCGACGAGCTCGCCTTCTGCGATCTTGACTATGTTGTAGATACCCTCGCCTTCGACACGGCCAAACATCGTGCACTTGCCGTCCAGTTCTGCCCTGCAATCCCCCAGTGTGATGAAGAACTGGCTTCCATAACCTCCGCTCTCGCCGGTGCCTTTTGCCATACCCACCAGGCCTCTCCGATTGAATTTGAGTCTGCTGTGTATCTCATCTCCAAACTTGATCTTCTCGTCCTTTTCTCGGCCCATCACTCTTGCCCAGTCCTCATCGTAACGCTCAAACTCCCGGTCTTCGTAAATGCTCTGCCCGCCTTCGCCCGTCCCGGTAGGGTCGCCTGTTTGGATGACGAAACCTGGAACGAGGCGATGGAAAATGTTGTTGTTGTAATCCTCGTCCAGGACATGTTGCAGGAAGTTCCGGCATGTTAGAGGCGTCTGGTTCGCGAAGAGGGAGAGCGTTAGCGGGCCGGCGGTGGTATGGAGGAGTACGGACGCAGTAGGCGGAGGTTCCGTCGTGTAATGAGACGACATGTTTGTATGGGAGCGACACGGATCGCCCGTGTATGAGGGATACTTTAAGATGTACGCGCCATTGGCCGGGCTGCTCGAATTCCCAACTTCTGCATGAACATCTAAAGTGTTTCTTCCCTCGACGTCGATCTTGGAAATCCCAGCTCAGCCTGACACGTGATATGTCTTTTGGTGGGCTGGCTTGGCCGCAGCCTTGTAGCCGTCTATCTATCGGGCTTTCGGATGAGCCCTTACTACTTCAACTTCCGACTCAGGCCAGGGTTGCTCGACTTGAGGTATGCCCAACCCGTCACTACCGAGATCTACGACGCAAGACTCATCGCGTTGCATATTGAGCCCAGGTCAGAAAGACCGGTTGTTTCAAGTCGCATTGTTCAATCGCGTGGGACATCGTAAGACACGAAATTAACACAACCAAGCACACGAACATCAAGAGCGCGTCACAAAAACCTTAGGCCGACGTGCTGAGCATACCCGTCGCTGAATATTTACATACTCTCAATCCGTACTAATTGTGCTTGATCCACCACCCTCTAATTCACTCAGCACTCTTGTTCCCACCACATTGCTCTGTGTGTTCAGGAAGATCGAAGCTATTATGCTCAGCCCATTGTAAGGGCTGTATGAGTATTCCAGCTCCCGAACATTTTCGCCGTCGAAAACAGTGCTTCTCTCTTCTCCGGTGAAAGTCATATCATGCCAATATGACCCGACAATCTCGCTTCGGTAAACCGTCCCATCGTTGTGTAGATACTGATCGACTAGATTTCCTGCTTGATCCAGGATTCGGTTTTTGTGAGTATTTCCCTGGTAATCATTGACTGAAAACAGGATACCCTGGTCGAGATTGAATGAACGAGCAGATAAATCGTTGGAATCCGAGGCTGAGTCGTCTCCGAGACCTCCAACGGTATCGTTGACCAATGTGCCGACGTCCTGGCCCAGTGTCGCAATGATTGGGTTCAGATCGATGGAACTGAGTGTGTCGTTGATCATGAGTACCACGTTCTCGAGTCTCACCTCGAGTTCCACTTTGGCCGAAACATTTTGGATACTCAGAGCGACCCGATTGATGCTCAAGTCGACACCGGCGTTGAATTGCAGCAACGAAAGAACTTGAGCATCGAGATTGATTTTTGCTGTCAAGTTGGACACGGTGATGTCGATCTCCCCGACGAAGACACTTGCGTTCAGAAAGACATCCGGTGGTGTTATAGCAGTTCCATTCGAAGTGTCGGTATTTTCAGTTTCGTACACTGCTGACTCGCCGTCGCCGCTCACGCCTAGTGAATAGCCAGTGTAGCCATCTCCGGAGGATATGGTTTGCGGAGATGCAAAAGCCAGCAATGTGGACAATACACAGAAGATTAGGGACAACATCGCAGACGATGGAGCATGCGTACTATCCTGGCTGGATATCCGAGAAACGTCTGAAGAAAAGTAATCTTAAGTCCAAAAACCATTTCCTGTGACGGTTGCAAAATAATGAGCGCGGAACGTCGACATGATAGTTGCCAGTCATGAGCTAATCCAATTTCATGTCCGGCATTGATGAGACTTCGTCCCATGCAGAATACCTGCGGTTCTTGCATGCGAAGTGGGAGAAGTCGAGAAAAGCCTGGAAATCTCATATGGCAATGTTAGGGGTGAGACGCCGCTAATCTCGGTTGACAGGGATATGGCTCTCACCGTTGGTGAAGAGACTGGGGGATCTTCCACCAAAACCTGTTTTTCAGATGCTGCGAGGATCATTGCAGACAAGCCTGGAGACTTTTTTTTTCAGTCTGAAACACATGCGGCAAGAAATCCATTATGAACAATGAAATTTGTTCTCATGATCGACCTTGTCGCGAAATTGCATGGCGAAAATTGAGAAGTTGATGATGAACAAAGGGTAAATACAACATAACATACCTTGGATGAGAAAGAAGATCTTTCGATTCTGGTCTATTCTTTACTCCGACTCCCTACTCCAGCTCCTGCTTCAAATATGTTGTCCGGGTCGATATTCCGTGTCAGCTTGACCTTGTTGTCTGTGTTCTTCTACGGCCAAAGTGTTTTTGCGCAGACTACAACACCGTTCTCGAATTCAAGCACCACCAGGGCCCCTACCACCACATCAGTACCAGTATCGACTGGAACTGTGCCCGATGTCTATCTGAATGTACCGACGCTTTCCGTTGGGCGTATCGAGCTCGATGTCGATGATCTCCGGGCAGACATCAACTTGAACGCCCAGGTAGCGTCGCTAGTAACCCTGAACGCTGGCGTTGCGCTCTCAATCCAAAAAGTCAATCTCACCATTGCGGATGTCGACGCCAACCTGGAATTGATTGTCCGACTCGGGCATTTGGTGGACATTGTCAACAGAGTATTCGAGTCCCTTGATCTCAATCCACTGCTCATCTCTGCCATTAACAACGTCACTTCTCTGCTTGAGCCTATTGTGGGAGCCGTCGATGGACTGTTGGGGACAATCACTCAGGGCGGTACTAGTTTGTCGTTCCTGATCGACAATCTTGGAAACATTGTGCAGGAGGTCGGAGGTGTGTCTACCATTGTAGGCGATTATCTTACCAACATGACATACACTGGTCAAAGCAAGTCATTATCCGGCGGCCTTACTGAGAAGACGTATTCCTATACCCCACTCAATGCCTTGGTCGATATTGTCTTCAACACCGCTGGTCAAGTCGTACAGGCGCAAGTACAGAAGTCGAGTGGTGGAAGCACGAGTACAACTGCTTCGTCAACAAGCTCAGCTCCGACTTCGAGTGCAACGTCTTAGGGTCAAGGAACAGGCTGCTCACAGATAATGCGCGATATCTTACGGTTTTACAATATATGTCGTTGAAGTCTGATTTCCTGTCGTTTGCTCCTTTCGGTAACTGTCGTGAGACTCCTTACTGTGGCAGTTGATCTGGACGACGTCTTCTTCGCTTCTGATAGTCAAGTTGCCGCACCACAAAGCCTGCAAGATCTTTCTTGTTCTCTTGGCCCGATCAACATAAAGCCTGGTTCATGTATAGGGATGCAGCTCCATATTGCCCTGCCCGTGTGATCCTCCACTAGCGGTGAGAACCAGGCTTCAGAATCTGAGGCTGTGTGGTTGGCCACGTCGGCTTCTGAAGCGCCATTTTCAGCCTGACTACGCGCTCTTCCTCTCATTTCTCTGATTCGCGTCATCCATGATCAGTGAATATGCCAAAGGAAGAGAGCATTGAGTTACGCGCCATCGACGATGAGTTTCGGATTTTCTCTTGGTGATTTTATTGCGCTTGCAAAGTTGGTAGAAGCGACGAGGAAACGATTCAAAGGGGCGCCCGCTGAATATGCGGCGCTAGCTGATGAGTGCGGAATCTCTCCTCAGCCTTCAGACTCTCTGCTAACTCACCAAGAACACGCACTCTTCAGATCGTGGTCAATGACCTGAAAGTCCAGATTGAAGATGATGAGCTTGCAGATTCGGTCAAGGCGAACTTACAGAGTGCCGCAGCCAGCTGCGATTCCGTGTTGGCTGATTTGAATGCTGTCATTGACTCTCACACCGAGCTCGCTTCCATCAACTCAACACCCACAAAACCACACAGTCCCTTGTGGAAGCGTCTCAAATGGGACCCTGCCGAGGCGTCCAAGCTCAGATCACGACTAGTTTCGGCAGTGCAGCTTCTGAAAGCCGTGCTCGATAGGTGAGATGGTAATGGAAAGATCTCCGCCGGTTCACTTGTTGACCATCCCTAGTACGCAGCTCAACAACATAGCGCAAGGGGTGCAAACACTCGCAATCGCATCAGATGCTACCGAAGCTCGGCACATTGCCGACTGGCTTGCACCTTCAACCTACTCTGAATGGCAGAGTGACTATTTCACTAAAGTGCAGCCTGGTACCGGACAATGGATTCTGAGCAATGTTTCGTACCTCGACTGGAGGGACGGAAACCTGGCAAATCTATTCTTTGAGGGGCACCCCGGCGTTGGAAAGACTTTCCTCACGTCTGTGATTATAAATGATTTGCAGTCTTCCACCTCGCAAAGCGATACGGCTGTGGCATTTTTCTACAGCAGCTTCAGGAGGCGCGAAAAGCAATCATCCATTGATATCGTTAGCAGCATCATGAGGCAACTATTCCTGTACCGGCCTGGGAGATCTGATGCTGTCAAGGATCTTTTCAACAAGCACCAAGGACCGGAAAAGCGCCCAAGCTGGGATGATCTGGAACGTACCTTGGAAAGCGTGCTGCAAGGATTTTGCACCGTCTTCTTTGTGGTTGACGCACTAGATGAGTGTGAGAACGCGCATGAGGAAGGACGAAAACCATGGGGGCTTGTGTTCGGTCTCTTGTTTCGCTTGCAAGAAACTCTAAAGTCCCAGGTCAAAATTCGCATCCTAGCAACCTTTCGGCCGTTTGTGCTGATTGATGGGGTCCCCGAGAACCACAAACGCCATCGCATTGAGGCCAGTGACCATGATCTGGAAACATTCTGCCGAGCAATCGTCCCCAGTATCAGATGCATTGCTAAAAAGCCAGAACTACAGTTGAAGGTCATACAAGAGGTCCGTGAGAGCGCTCAAGGAATGTACGTATATCGAATGTGTCTCTGCGTGCTAATACTGAACAATTGCAGGTTTCTGCTTGCCAAATTGCACTGTGACACCCTGTCCGCGAAGACGAAGCCAAAAGACATATTGAGAGCACTGAGTGGATTCAGAGAAGGTGGTGATCCTCTCCCTAGAGCATACGAAGACAGTCTACGGCGGATACAGAGCCAACCAGAAGAACATCGAGATCTTGCACGGAAGGTCTTGACATGTGTTACTTTTAGTTTCGAGCCTTTGACTATGGATCAGGTTCGTCATGCTGTTGCGGTCGATGAAGAGACTCAGGATATCGACCCGGAATATGATCTTGACGATCCCGACCTCGTCATCTCGGTGTGTGCCGGCCTTGTGACGCTTGATTCACAAAGCCAGAATCTCAGAATGGTCCATTATACAACACAGTCCTTTCTCGAGTCTTTGGGCGACGGATTTCTTTCGAATCCGCACACCTTCTTGGCCTCTCGTTGCTTGAGCTACCTGCAGCTCAGCCCATTTTCGTCAGGTCATTTTTTATATGATGGTTTTCCACGCAAGCCGAGTGGGAGGCGATGGAGGGCACATCCGTTTTATCCCTATTCCGCAAGATTTTGGGTTAGACATTGGGAGTATGGAGGATTTGATCGATCATTGGAACAAACAGCATTCTCGTTCCTGGACAACTTTGGCTTCGTCGGCAGCGCATGGGAAGCATGGGAAGCATGGGGAGCAAACTTTCGTCCTGTGAGAGAGCTTCATTATCATGGGTTGTCTTCACTTCACCTGCTGGCAGCAATGGGTGCCAATGTAGTAGTGAAGACCTATCTTGACCGTGGTTTCCCATCCACACCAATGCAGAATGGTGACCTACTCTGCGAAGCATGCAAACGTTGCACATCATCACACATTGCTTTCCTCGAAACGAGACAGTGTCCCTGGCAAGAGGCAATCACAAGCCTGAAAGACGGATGGAGAAGGACTGCCATAGTATTTGCTTTCAAACCCGCCTCGGAAGCTCACCGATCAACAATGAGAACGCTCCACCATGCCAATGGAGTCCCCGCGTTTGAAAAGGATAGTACTGGCTTCAGTGTTCTAGAGCGCGCACTGTGGCATGGAATGGATTCACTTGCGCTCGAACTTCTTCAGAACCCTGGGGTTCTGCCATCTGTAGACAAGATCGACGTGGATCGTGTGAGTTACTTTGGCGGAGACGCTCTGACTCATGCCGTCATATGGGGGAGTCTGGAAATCGTGAAGTTACTGACGTACAAATTTGGCGCCAACGTGGACGTCTCGGATGGGAAAACGGGCTGGACACTTGTTATGCAGGCTGCATCACATCAACGCATGGAAATGGTGACCTTCCTTGCCCCCTTGGTTTCTGACATTAACAAGCGTGAGAATCATGGGAACACTGTGTTTCATTTTCTACTGCGATTGTTTCCATTTCAGGACCCCTCAAGTCAAATCTTGCAGGAGCTGAGGGCTTGCCTCTCATGCTTGGTCGACTGTGGCGCGGATATGCGGCTGAAAGACGAAGATGGCCTTTCGGCTTACGACATGGTATGCAGATTGGAGGCGGAGGCAGAAGCCATGCATTGGAAAGCAGAGCTGTTGGATACGGTAAGGCGGTTGAAGGAGATCGCGTTGCCTTCGCTCTCGCCTGAAGAGATACTTCAACCCACTCCTGGAACATTGTGAGTAACATGGAGGACAAAGTTGTCTCGTATAGAGGAGCAGGTGGTTCTTTTGCTTTGCCATGCATACTGGACAACTACCTGAATTTCAGAAGACCAGGCGACTCGGTCCTGAGCCAGGTACCCAAGAAAGGTTGGTCCAGCAAGTAGGTATATTTGAGTAGTTCCCACCTGAGATACCATTCCCGGGGAATTCGTTGCCTGGGGTTTTTATAAGCGCATTTCTGGCGAAGGGACACTCAGCAATCTTCATGCAGGACGAATGAGGGATATGGACACTCAAATCGGATCTCGTAATACCTGCCACCGCCTGGCGCCCCCTTGTCCATTTCATGGCGATTTGGCTCGGAATGAGGCGGCTTCAAAGTGCCTTGTTTTGCGGTAAAAGAGCGCGGAAGACGTCAAGGGCGCCAGAGATGGAGATACTGGGGTGTGTCTGACTAAATTTATAGGTCGCATGTTCGTTACCAATTACTGCAGCCCGCGTCACATCCGGACGTCTGACAATCGAATTTCAATAACCAGAGCGCTGAGCGCAAATTCCAAGAGCCGCAATCATCATCCTGGCCATCCACTTTTTCAAATATGCCACGAAGCACAATTTGAAATAGCAAATGAGCCCATCTATTACTCAAGCTCATTTGCTCTCGCGCTTCGCACGGCTCGCCAGCTCTGAGCCACAAGACTAGGAATTTCAGCGGACTAGTTTGGTCAGAGAGCCTACTATTCGTCCACGACGACGATGGGAGCGTATTCGTTCGCAGTTGATGTTCGATTTGGATCGCTGACAATTCGCGAGCCCGACTTGCCGACATACCAGGTAGGTAGCCAGGCCTTGCGGAGAGCTCGACAAAAGGTCATTATTCCTATAAAACGGACAGGTAAGAATGGTGCTTCCCAATGCTCATCGCTCCGTCGCCTCAACCTGATTTCCTTTTCTTGTCATAACATCAATTATGCCTCCATGTTGGCGCTCTGCCATCTTGACTGTCCTAGCACTGTCGGGCGTCATCACGGCTGCAAATATCACGTCAAGCACGACCTGTGGTGGAAAGTGTCAATCACTCAGCACGACCGCTTCATCATGGGAGTCGGACCAGCACGCCGACCCAGACTATTCGTTCTACACCATCCCTTCCAACTTTTCAGCAAAGCTCGCACCAGGTAGCTTGCTTCATGTGGAAGACGCAACCAACCTATCAGTATACAGTGTCCCAAGCGGTCTTTCCATGTCCCGAATCATCTACACCACCACCGACCAGAATGGAACGATACTGCCCGCTTCAGCATACGTCCTTTGGCCGTACACACCGCTGGCCGCTCCTGGTGTCAACAACACCCAGTACCCCTTGGTCGCCTGGGCTCACGGTACCTCTGGTGTTCTGAAGGCATGTGCACCCAGCAACTACCGTAACCTGCAGTATCATTTCATGGTCCCTTTCCTTCTTGCATTACAAGGCATGGCTGTTGTAGCCCCTGACTATGCCGGACTTGGTTTCGACTCGTTACCCTCTGGTAAAGCTATCGGACACCCTTGGCTAAATGGGCCTGCACAGGCTATGAACATGGCAGATGCGATCACTGCCGTCCGGAAAGCGTTCCCCACCGAGCTTCCGCCTACGGGCCCTTTTGTCGCCATGGGACATTCCCAGGGAGGAGGAGCTGCATGGTCATTTGCTGAGCGCTTGGTCAAGAAGCCAATTCCTGGATACAAGGGTACCGTGGCTTTCGCTCCTCCCACACGTACATTCGACCTACTGGCACAAGCGTTGTTGAACAGCACCCAGACTTGGGCACAGACTCTTCTGAGTCAGCAGCCTGCCCTCGTCCACGCCGTCACGGCTGTATTTCCTTCTTACAACGACTCGGGCATGACATCGCTGGCATACGACCGATTTCATAACGTGCTGGAACCACTTCAGGGTTGCCTACCTACATACAGCCAGGTCTTTGCAGATGTGCCACTAGACCAACTCACCCGCCCGGGCTGGAACAACAATAGCTCTGTGGAGAGGTATGCGCAGTTGTCTGAGACTGGACGCAAGCAGTTCAAGGGCCCCCTTCTGATTCTTCAGGGTGAAGATGATGTGGTCGTGCCTTTGTTTACGGTCGAGTCAGCAGTGAACGACACTTGTGAAATGCTCTCGCAACAGAAATGGGGCGAGTCCCTGGAACTGGTCACGTATTCTGCCATGAATCATTTCCCCGTCATGCAGGCCAGTGAGATGAAATGGTTGACATGGGTGAAGGATCGATTTGCTGGCAAGCAGATTGCGTCGACTGGGTGTGTGAGGAACTCGGTCAAGGGTCTCAAGACTGATTCCACCTATGAATCCCTTGGTCCTAATTTCCTGGAACTGTGGGCAAGTCCGAATGAGGCGTGGAAACTTGCCTTGTGAGAGACGCCGTATCAGAGGCTTGTAAGATATTGTGGATCGTTTACTCGTAGGCGAAGTAGTGGTGATGTTTTGCGCACATGGACCCTCTATCGAGATCTACCGAGCTGAGATGTATCCGACCACTGACACTTCATCGGCGGGGAGTTGATGGTTCGGGCGCCTCCAGGGTTCCACTGCCCTCGTGCTTCGCCGTGGAGAAAAACGTGCCTGTCGCTCGCTCATCGATCAACTCATCAGTCAAGTTTCCTTTTCATTGCCATCGGGAGAAAGTCCGATAAATACTCCGTATTGCAACTCTTTTTAACCTATTAGGATAAATAATACTCGAACTCAATCCGAGTCGCCCTTCTACCACCAACAAAGTCTCTCGAGGACAAGTACCAAGAATCTCCCTGACCCATCCGTTGAAGCATCCGTACTGCGTTCCAGGGAGTTGATCCAATCGTGTATACTTGCAGAGCACGCCCAGCCGAACACTCTCACACACCATACCCTGCCCTTAGACACATCTTCAGCATTCGGACCTCGAGTCAGCAACGCATTCATGGCTCTTGGACACAGCAGGTAGCGAGCATCTGGGGACATCACCGTCTTATTCAGCCCACTTTGATCGACTGAAGATCCCAAAAATGGCCACCTCACAGACCATGACGATATCGTCCATGCACGACACCCCAGAACCACCATCAGACCCCGAAACCTTTGAACTCAGCTTCAAATCTCCAGGACGGTCACTACGGGAAATATCTCGTCGAGTCGTCAACGGCACATCGTCGTCTCGTGCACAAGAATCCACGTCTGACGAAGAAGACAATATTCGCACTGATGCCGATCCGCCTCCGTCCGCACAGGCCGTGACTCAGCGATGGAACAGACCTCGAGGGAACATCCCACGTCTGGGATTCGCGTTCTGGTCATTCATCATTGCAGGCATGAATGATGGTGCTGTCGGTGTAAGTGTTACGATTTTCCATAGCCCTCCAACCTCATCCTCATCCTCACACTGTCCGTTCCCTTGCTACGGCCCGAACGAATCACTGAAAGTCCGCACTGGCTAACACTTGCTTCCTGACCAGGCTTTGATTCCATATGTACGTTTTCGGTTTTTGATCTCCCAGCTGCTCCCACGTCTGGACTCACTGTGGCGACGGGATAACGGCGAAGCAATCTCTCATCTCTAACCTCCACATCAACAGCTCGAATCATACTACTCCCTGAGCTACACCATCGTCTCCCTCATCTTCTTGACCCCGTTCGCAGGCTACTCCCTCGCCGCCTTCACCAATGCCAGCATCCACAGCAAACTCGGCCAGCGCGGCATCGCAGTCATGGCTCCGATATGCCACATCGCCACCTACGCCATCCTCGCCGCACACCCTCCGTTCCCCGTTCTCGTGGTGGCCAACGCCATCTCCGGGTTCGGGAATGGCCTGACCGACGCTTGTTTCTGCGCGTGGATCGGCGTCATGGACAACGCCAACGCCGTCCAGGGCTGCCTGCACAGCTTTTATTCGGTCGGGGCTCTTCTCGCTCCCTTGATCGCTACGAGCATGGTCGTCAAGGCTGGTATGCCGTGGTGGAATTTCTATTATGTCATGGTACGTCCATTGACGGACAGATTGGCCCTCTTGATACTTCTCACACACACACACACACACACACACACACACACACACAGCCTGCCCTTTCTGCTCTCTTCGGCCCATTGGACCACTACCACTGCCCCTTGTACGTACTTTCGTACTGACTGGTGACCTCCTTCTCCAGGTCGGGGCATCTGTTCTCGAACTGTTAGGTCTTTCCACCACCTTCTGGCGCAAAACCGGAGAATTGTACCGACGCGAACACCCTCGCGAAACAGACTCGCCGGCAGGAGCATCAGGCGGTGGTGGTCGGACACGCGAAGCCCTCAAATCGAAAATCACATGGCTCTGCGCCGCTTTCTTTTTCATCTACATGGGTATAGAAGGTATGTAAACCGTCGGCGCTCCCTGCCACCGTGGACGGATCCCGCTGCTATTCGGGGTCCTCTCTCGGTCTCTCTCGTCCCCTTCGCATCAGTCCTCTCTTCGTCTTTGTCTTCCCTCGTCCCTAGTCGCGCCGTCCACTCTTCTCAAACGTCTTTTAACTGATGTGCTGCCGTCAAGTCGGACTGGGAGGCTGGATCGTCACATTCATGCTCCGGGTCCGCTCCGCCTCGCCGTCGGCGTCAGGGTACTCGGGCTCGGGGTTCTGGGCGGGGCAGGCACTAGGCCGGGCGAGCCTGGGGTTCGTGACGGAACGGTTCGGCGAACGCACCTGCGTCATGGTCTACCTCGCGCTCTGCTTCGTGCTGGAGCTCATCTTCTGGCTCGTGCCGCAGTTCATCGTGTCCGCCGTGGCCGTGGCGTTCCTGGGGTTCTTCCTCGGGCCCATGTTCCCCGGCGGCGTCATGATGGCCGCCAAGCTGCTCCCGAAACACATCCACGTCAGCAGCATCGGCTTCGCCATGGCCATGGGCGGCACCGGCGGAACCGTGTTCCCATTCGCCATAGGCGCCATCGCCGCCAGCAAGGGCGTCAAGGTCCTCCAGCCCGTCATACTCAGTTTGATCGTTGTCCTGATGGGGATTTGGCTCAGTTTCCCAAAGGTCAAGAAGAGGGAGTGAAAAACAAAAAAACAAAAAAAACAAAAACGAAGAGTGACATTTGGACGACGAAACAAAAGAGGGGGGGGGGGAGGGGGGGTTTAGAGAATTGACTTTGACGAGTGACGAGATAAGAGGGTGAGGTGCTTTGCTGGAAGCAAGCAGGGCAGGGCGTTGCTTTGCACGGCACATATGCACGCACACGAACGGGACGGATGAACGAACGAACGAACGCACAACGTTTTAAATTGGCATGGAACACTCCCACTCACTCGTACATACATTCACGTCGAGCGAATGCAATCTTGACGCGAACCAGAACAGGTTCTCAGGAGCGAGAACCGGAACGAGAACCAGGAGCGAGGACGAGATACGACATACGTTATATTTTAAGTACTCGGTGCCAGTACCAGCATCAGCACTCAGGTAACGCAGTTATGTACATACCTTTCCCATTGGATGTACAGCGCGGATACACTGTCTGATGGACACGCCCTTACCTTTGAAGTATTTTTGATATCAAGCCAACGTGAGGTATCTCCTGGGTACACAGGTACTCGTGTAATCATCACCTCTCCATCCATGTTCATTCACCAAGACGGAAGAAGACGTCCATGACCGTCGGCTGACGGTGGCATCAATCATATGGCTTTGGGGAAAGTCAAAATGCAACCGTCATGAATCAAAGGCAAGTAAAAATAGGTAGTACCTATGTACCTCGGGCATCTAGGAAGTTTTTCTTCATCAACTACTTGCAGTACCTAGTAGTAGTTGCTGATACAATTCCTCTTCTTCTGTCTTTTATTAGAGTACCGTGTTTTGCCACCGCATATGCTCATTTTCTTTCTTCATCTCTCATCAAGAAATTCATCACAACAAAAAACTTTGAACTCAGTTCGATAACTGAGTTAACCCTGTGACAACATTGAGTTTGCCTGCCTCTCCTTTACTAGGTTGTTGTCAATCGACTGGTTGGCGTTAACCACTTCTTGAAACCGTGACTGTCCTTCAAGAACGTTGTCTTTTGGTGGGCAAGCCATTCTCGGTGCCTGTGCCAACCCCAGAACCGACACCTCGACTGTTGCTGCCGCGAGTAGCAGGTCCATCATCCCCAGCAGACTTGGGAGTCGTGACTGTACTGCTCGGCATACTCTCAACACGCCCACCGCCATCCTGCTCGTAATCACTGCTGGTCTCATACTTGACTGGTTCGTACTGATGGCCTCCTTCCGCATCTGCAGCGCCATCGAACCCAAGGTTGTATTTGCCGCCCCCAATGTCGCTAGGTCCAGCTGGGTCGTTCAGGTCACCAAAGAGCACATCATCATCCTTGTAATCAAAGTTGAGGCTGTCATTGTGTCCAGTCGGATCGAGCCCTGTGTTTCCAAAGTCATAGTTCCCATTGCTCTCACTGCCACCATAGTCGCCGAAGTATTCAACTTGGTGAAGGAAATCGTCAATGTCTAGTGGCGGTGGAGGTAGATTTTGGCCGTCACCGATGCCAGGAATGGAGCCGGTAGGGCTGAGCGGTTGTAACAGATTGGTCAAGTTCTGCACGCTCTTATCTTGCTCGGCTTGGAGTTTGGCGAGATGATCAAGATCGGCACCCGTGCTTGCCAGACGACGACGAAAATTGGCTGGGCCTGGTGGTGGAGTTGAGTTGATCAGCGCATTGTCGCTGCCCGATGGCTGCTGGGCTGAATCATTGATCATCTTCAACATGTCTGCACGCTGGGAGTTGCTCAACCGTCCTGCCCCTGTAGATGCCTCGAGGTCATTGAGAACGTTGGAAAAGTCCTGCGCGGGAGTAGTCGGGCTACCTGAAGTATTGCGGGCATTGGCATTCTGGATCATCGACATCATGTCACGTTGAGGAACATTTGGGCCTTGATTGGCTGGTTGAGGTGGTATCGCAGTATCGGGGCTGTTGACACCTGGATCAAAGACCTCCTCAACGTTAGGGGCCAAGCTGGTCGGTTGAGTGGCGCGAACGCCCTGCGTTCTTTGAGGATAGGGGCTACTGGCAGCGCTTGCCCGAGGGGATATGGTGTTTGCCCGACCATTCGTCAAGAGGAGAGGCTGTCTCTTAAACGGCTTTCCTAATCCCGGACTGCTGTTGTCGAAGTTGATGTTGTTGATGGGGAAATCGCCTACGTCCACAACATTCGCTTGACTCTCAGGCATGGCGTTGTTACCGAAAAGTGCCGCCATGTTTGGAAGACCATCATGGCCACCTTGGAGGCTACGGTTGTACACAGTGGCAAGAAAAGTAAGGATGGCGTTGATTGAATTCTCGTGTCGATTATGCTGGTCTTGGAATGTCGCTGCCTGACCGTACAACTGTTCGTGCTCGCGCTTGATCTGCTGCATCATGCGACCGATCTGAGCTTGCTGATGCCTAATCGCTGCCAGTTCGCGTTGCACACTCTTGAATTGTTCTTGGGTTAGGGCAGTCTGGGTGTTTCCGAGGGTGAGTTGACCGGGATGCGGCCGGGCACGAGTGTCGGCAATAGGTACTCCCTCGTCAGCGTACTCTTCCGCTTCCTCTTCATTGGCATCGTTGTCCGTTTTCTTTCTCTTCGAAGATGGTCCAGAAGCGTTCTTAGGCTTTTGGATCAACCACAACAGGTCGGGATGGCCACGACGGAAGTAAGGATTGGAATATTCACTTGGACTCTTGTTCTTTCTTTCACTCGCCCGCATCGAGTTATCGGAAAGACCGACTTTCTTGTGGAAACCGTACATATTCAGCTGACGAACGAACGAGGCATAATTGTTGTGCTTGAACAACTCAGGAATGAGAGTCTTCGCGAATTCATCCTCGTCGAGGACAATAAACGAGTTACCATCATCTGACCAGCGGATGAGATCAGTGTTTCTGCCATCTTCGAGAAAGCTGTATAGAGTCAGCACTGTCGCGAGATATCACTTGTAGTGGGAGACTCACCTATTCAATTTCTGGACAAAGGGAGGAATCTGTTTTCTCTTCGCTTGAGCCTCTCTCTTCGCAACTTGTGCCCGAGCCTCGAGTACGGCTATGTCGTCCGCCCATTCAGCGTCTTGACCATGAGGCGTATTTGCGTTGTCCATCCAAGCGCTCGCGTCTTGATCGATCCGAGGGTGAGCAGGCGCTGCGAGTTGAGTCATCGGTCTTCGAGTAAGTTGAGTAGAGGTTTGCGGCTGAGGGGCGGCTTGAGGAAAGGTGTTCGCATTCATAGCATAATTGCTGTCGTTGTAAGGTACAGCCGGTTGACCAGTCTGACCCCACTGGAAGAACTCATCATTTGAGAGATCATGTCCTCCGATGCCTTCGGTGTATGCGGGTGTAGGATTCTGCATCTGAGGAGGAAATGGATCCGCGCCAGGCGCAGGACGCTTCCTCGAAAAACCCTGGGAAGCCATCCAGGCGATAACGATAGGTAGTCACAACGAGACTCGAGATATGTTCCTGAGACGGAGATTTGTAATTTTGAGATTCAACAATTGTTGTTTTAATTTTGCAGGAGACTTTGTGCAAATGCCAGCCAAGCCAAAGCGAAGACCCCGGCCAATGAAGCGCAAGGCGACGACTAAGCGGATGGATGTCTGCAACACGCAAGGCCGAATTGAGATCTGATGTATACGTGGGTGGAAGGAGAGAGTCTGAGAAAGGCGGGAGGAGGAACGGTCGGGTGCGTGACGGATATCAGACTGTGCGAAGTCTTCGCAGGAGATGAGACAAAGGTTATAGGATAAAGGAGCCGTCAGTGTTCAGGTCATGTAGGCGACGTATAGTGAGAAGTCTGGTAGAGGGAAAGAATATGCAAATTTTGGTATTTGGTAGAAGCTGCGACTCAGGCTGGGGATTGTTGTATTGTTAGTCTCTGAGGAGCCTATGACATCGGGTCCCCAGTTCCGGTCATTCGACTACTTAATAAGGCACTAAGTTAACTAGAATGAAGAACCTTACAAAATAATCCCACCGACTGCCAAAGTCAACGTTGCTCCACCGTTGTTGCAAGGTGCCTCCGCCAGAGCCGTCGGAACAATGACCCGGCTTAGTCTGCAGTGCTTCAAGCAGCGGAGACGGAGTGCGAGGACGGAATCATGCTTCGCAGTACGGTCGAGACATGTGAAAAGGCGCAGTTGTAGTCAATCTTTTTGCAATTGCCATTGCACTATCTCTGTATCAACGCTTTGACTGACCGATCAGAATGCGGAAGCGAGAGACCGCACTCTCCCAATGTTGCGGATGCTTCTCCGCGAACGTCTTCACCTTGTCTATTGCCTCCCAGTCTTCCCGCATGTGGCTCACGCTCGTGGTCCCGTTGAGAATCGTAATATTCCCCAGCCCGAGCACCAGACAGTACAGTGCCGACTGAGTGCTAATACCCACCTGACTGGCAAGGGAACCGACCTCTGCTGACCATACAAGATCCGGATTGGCACTCAGAGTCCAAAAACTCTCGTAGATGATGTTTTTCTCTTGACAGAATTTGCGTACGCCGATATCGAATTTGGTAGATGGATAAAAGCGATTCTGCACCACACTTGGTTTGATGGATGACCGCTCATACAAGTCCATCAGCGTGAAAAGGTTGCAGTTGGAGATACCCAAGTTGCGGATCTCATTAGGCACATATTGCTCGAGGGTGCGCCATACCTCCAAAGTCTCGTCGAACGTCTTCATGGGAGAATGCAGAACAAGGGTGTCAATGTAAGGGCCTCTCACATCGCCTTCCTTGACCACATTGGCAAAATTGAAGTTCTGTAGGGAGCTTATGATGGAAGCATTCACCTGGTCCGTAAGGGGAGTGTTCTTGTCGTAAGGCATGTTGTCGGGATCTTGTCCGTGTATACTTGTGAACTTGGTCTGTAAGTAGATGTCTGATCGCCTGACCTTTGCCTCATTGATAGCTTTGGCAATTCCTGCCGCGACAAGCTCTTCCCTGTAATGCTTTGGTTGGGCAGCTGTGTCAACAGCCGTAAAGCCATTGCAAAGAGCCTTGTAGACAAGATCTGTGGTGGCCTCTTTTTTCCAGGCCGTTCCATAAATGAAGGCAGGGACCAATTGCTTGCTGGAGATATGCGGTGCATGTAGCACCAGCTTCTCGAAAATTGCTGAACTTGTCATGTTTGCTTCGTGTGGCTGGTGATACACAGCAGACGGTTTCACTCAAGCAGCATCACCGAGCCACCGCTGACTAGGCATTCGCCTTTGTACGCGTACGAGGACAGTCCCTGGCTCTGGGATTGACGATTGCCGACATGCGTAATCACAGACTCTAGGCTGAAGGCTGAAGAGCCACAAAAAAATACCAATTGACGTCTGGTGTCTACTCCGGACGAGGCACCTTGCTTGATGAGCGAGCACTCGATTGGCAACCGCAAATTGAAAGCTAAGAATTAATGGATCGTGTGTCCACTTTGTGACTTCGACATCCCACGGACGACAGGGATCACGAAATAGGGGCCCGGCGCGCGTTGATGGTCTGGCTTGCTGCAGAATATCCTGAAGATGATGGGCTGATAAGATCCGGCTTGTGCTTCATGCATCGCCATTAAAAGGATACGTGTCTCAATGCGATGGAAATCAGTTGCAGGTGTCACGATTGAGTGTGGCGTGCCGCAGCCGCTTGTGACACTGCCTAGTGAGCATCGCCACGAGGAAGTCCAGCCGGCAGATACTTGTACCTGGGATCCTGGAGTTCCCAAGGTCAACGAGGTCTGCTGACCTCTAGCCTCTAAGGCTTTGAGTTGAACCATTCAATGAGTTCCTAGGGGCGGTGGTGGCTTTTGAGTCGCAAGCTTTTGGCTGGGACAAAATCCGCGCCTCGCGGAGTACGGAGTACTGTGGCTTTCTTTTCTGGTCTGCTTTGATAAGTCGACCGCCAGCGTACGTAACTTTTCAGTACAAACCAAGGGAGCAGCCGACGAAGTATGAACCTAAATTGCTATCGAAGGTACCGAGCACTCCGTATGGAGCACGGGTATGATGTATCTGATGCCTTTAGAAGTACAGTGAATACTCCGAACGCTGGAGCTCGCAACAAAAATAGAACTGTTAAGGGTCCCTCCTTGAGAACTCGGCGCCGACGCGATTGCCACCACAATCTCGTTTTCAGTGATCACGGCTCTAGAGCGTCTCGGTTTGGTAGATGAGAACCTGTGGCGGGTTCAGTCAGATTGTACTAAACGCAGACTTTCGGAGTAGTTCGTGGTGAGAACAACAGATGACTCCACGCGACCGGGCATGCAGGTATTGATTTTCCATACTCCTATCGCTAAACAGTTGGAATGTAAGTCATCACCGGGGAGTCAAGACTCGGGATCACGAGCGAGAGTGATGATATGCCTGGTGCTAACAGCTTAGGGCATGGACGAGGGCCGAATAAAGGGGTGGAAAGGAGCCCAAGTGGGAACGAGGCTCCGACGGCATGGCTTTTGGCAGAAACGTTCTCCTGGTGCCCGTGGATCGACGTTGCCCTGTCCTCGTAGAGGAGACACCTACATGAAACCCGGGCACCAGATCTTCACGGTTAGTCCTGACTCCTGGGTAATTTGTGCCCGTGAGTGGCGGCCGACGAGGACTGGCTGCGAGAAGGGGAGACGGGGAATGGACGAGTTTGATTGCATCTGCACTCGGCTCTCGAAGGAGGGTGGACTCGGAAGATGGTGCGATGGGGAAATTTGGTAGCCCTTTCACTAGGAAGCATGGGCGGCCAGCGACGTCCAGGCTGTTGTTTCTTTTCTTTTCTTTTGGACTCGTGCAGCGCGTCTAGAGGAGAGATGGAGAGGTGGGAGCCATTGAGCAGGGAGCGTTGCATTCTCTTCTGTTGCTCCGGGGGATCGCCAGGCAGAGGCTTTGTTTTGGGGGGAGGCGTCTGTGTGGTGGCTCAGATAATAGTGCCATCAATCAAGGCTTGGAGGTCAACACAGGCACAGTAGAGCCTGCGGAGGGACTGGTAGGCTGGTCGCTGCGCTGTTATTATAATTGGATGTGGAGGGTCGAGGGGGGGAAGCACTCATCAGACTCTTGGACAGCTAGACTCTCTCAGGCTGGTGCGCTTTTTCCTTCCGGCTGTCAATGGGCACTTTAATCTTCGCCTCGACTCAGTTGAAAAAAGACCCTCCCTGAGCGTGAGAGGCAGACGAGTCCTGGGACCAACAGCCCTTGCTAGTCCATCCACCGACCTGCTCGCTTCTCCTAATTTCTTGTACCCGTCCCAAAACACATCCCGTCCAAACGCCTCATTATTCTTCGACTTTCATCTCTCTCTCCTCATATCACTCAACATTGTATCTGTTTGCCTGCCTCCTTCGCTTGCAACCACCGCCGTCCTTCCTGTCCCTCCACGTCGTCCTATCGACCTTGTCTATCCTTGATCATGTTTCCCTGAACGACCTCACACGCAGCTATTCAAAATTTCCCACGCCTGTCCCTGCTTCTCCCAGTCGACTCGACTCGTTGATCTTTTCACGGCGGCCTCACCGCGGCGCACCTCTGCTCGCAACGCTCGAATGACACATCTAGCCCTTTGAATCACCATTCAGAACCAGCTTTTATGATCGTATTTGACCTCTGAGTCCCTTTGCGACAACCTAGCTCCTAATTCATTCGGATCTCTCGCCACTGTTTCCATCATCACGGATTCTCACAAGGTGCCTACGAACAAAAGAAAAGACGATACGATACCATCTTCTGAAGGAGGAGAAACACTACTTCATTACGCCTTGGGCCATAAGATACGCCCCTAAGAACGATCACGCTTCGTTTTAGTCACCAGAAAGTAACAATATAGAAAAATTTCCACGGACACGATGGCGACGTTTTCGAATGCTTCCGAGCCATTCTACGATGGACTGACAGATTCTTCTCCGCGAGCCTTTCGCAATCCTCCGTTGAACCGACAGATGGGAAGAAATGAAGGATATGGAGGTGCCAATCAGCCAATGTTTGGCAACGAAGGTCCCCTCCCGTCCATGCGCTTTGATAACATGAGAGACAATTTTGGCGCGCCGATGCCAAATCCAGGTGCTGGAAATGTGCATTTCCCCTACGATCCAGGCGCGGCGCAGACTTGGAATTCTACTGCCCCTTCCAACATGCAGTCTTTTGGCAACGGTATGGGCACAATGCCTCAAAACCCCACCTATGGGCCATCTCGAGGCATAAAGCCAAGTCGCGGCCGTGCCGCCATCTCCAATGTAAGTCATCTCACACGTCCACTTGGAAACATCAAACTGAGTTGTTTCCCAAGCTATGGTTCCAAGACCAACCCGGTCCACTTCAACAGCCCCAGCAACACCCTTCTCTTGTTGGCCCTCGAGCTGGAGCTCAAGGCCGTAATGATCCTAACGAAGACGACGATGAATTGATCCCGACAGCCATAGTAATCAAAAACATCCCCTTTGCTGTCAAGAAGGAGCAGCTCGTTCAGCTTATGGTTGACATGAATTTGCCATTGCCCTACGCGTTCAACTACCATTTTGATAATGGCGTGTTCCGAGGATTGGCCTTTGCGAACTTTACCTCGCCACAGGAGACTGAACAGGTCATCCAAGCGCTGAACCATATGGACCTGAGTGGACGCAAGTTGCGAGTCGAGTACAAAAAGATGCTTCCCTTGGCAGAGCGTGAACGCATCGAAAGAGAGAAGCGTGAGCGTCGTGGTCAATTGGAAGAACAACACCGGCCAGTGCCCCAGTCGCAGCTTCACAATCAACTCTCGCTGTCATCCATCCCAAGAAACACACCTTCACCCTTGTCGCATCGCGGCGGCGGCAAGCCTGGTACGTCTGCAATACCTGGATCGCCAGGAAATGGCCTAACCTATACAACAGATATCGACATGAACGATCCCAAAACCCTGGAATTCTACACCGAAATGACTCTCTTCAAGAGAGATGTGAGCCGCGAGGTGCTCATCTTCCCTCCTACCCTGGACCCTGCCTCTCGCCGAATCGTCCATACGCTTGCACACCATATGGGGCTGATGCACACTTCTCGTGGGAGTGGCGATCAGCGCCAAGTGCATATCCATCGAGCCGCGCCAGGGACCAATGTCAGCCCGCCCCTTCCTGGTCCTTTCGGCAGCAATGATGGTTTGAGGCAAACTCTTGGTCGCTCTTCCACTGCCGATTTCGCCGAGAGCAGGCAGTATGAGGGCCCCGTCTTCAACACCTTGCGCGGCCAGTCGTCTGTCGGCCTCTTGGATGTCGACTCAAATGCTTTCAATAGAGTCGCTGATAATAACCTTCGCAATGCAAAGTCGTTCGCGGACCTGCGCTCCTGGAGCCCGTCACCAGTTCCTTCCTCTGCCAGCTTTCCAGCTGCTCTGCAGACCAACGGGGCACGTCTTCAGGGCTTGAACGACACCGCCGGCTCTAATACACCCACATTGCCACCGAACAGCTCCAGCCAAGGTGCCAACAGAGACGAACCTTTTTTGATCTCCGCCTTCAACAACATGTCAGTTAACAGTGGAGGAAACCAGACCAGTCCTAGACGTCAACGAAGCTTTTTCGGCAACGGGTCCGAATGGAACGACAACCCGAATTATCAAGGCGCTGGCCCTATTGGCAGCAAACGAACAGTCAGCATCGGACCCGAGTCAACTTCGCAAACTTCCAACCCGATGCGCCAGTCACGAGGACCCAGTGCCAACAACACTATCGGATTTCGCCGCCAAAATGGACGTGGCAGTGACGAATTGAGGGCGGCCGCTTCAGCGATCGCCGAATGAACGAGACATAACACCCAATATACCCCCTATGATGATGCTCGGCAACCGAGCAAATGACGAGTCAATGATCCACGAATGACACGACCATCCTCCGACCCAAAACAAAAGTTAGACGCATAGGGCAGCCTTGCACGACTGCATGATTGGACTACAGAAAAAGATTGTTGTAACGACTTGACAGGCTTCATGGTGCGGCAATACAGCATTTTATTTCATGAGAACGCCGAGAAGACTGATTGATTGATTTGTATACTTTTCCATTTGTGGAATTCTGAGGTGGTCGGGCGGTGCATGTCTAGGCGTTGATTATCGAGGATCACTCGAAGCAAGAGACGACACGGGCTAGCCTGTTGTATGTCGGGTTAGATACGACGGAGCTAGTCTCCCATATCTGGCTCGATGGGTGTGTTGCTGGAACTGATGTATAAGTTACACTCGTTTAATAAGCTTAGCAGAAGCTCGAGGGCTACTGCACGTAATACTGAAATTCTCCGTTATAAAATCATGTCCTGCATTTCTTGGAGATGCTCTACTCTGACTGGACTCGTGCTGACGGCATCTCTAGATATAAAATATTACCTACGTCCTGGTAATGCTTGTCGTTGGATATGCCGTCGGCCACGTAACGCGCTGTACCTTCCGCTGTACATCAGTCCCTTGATTACATCAGGCAAATGCCAAGACTTGGAGAATGCTGAAGCTGCTCGCTTTTCACCTCACCTCAACCCCTTATCATGATCAATATCCAAGCATTGTTGTCAGGTGTTCAGGACTGCAAGTCTTCCTGTATCGTATTGTTGTGATGTCTGGCCTTTGCATTCTGCTCGTGCAACTCTGCGGTCTGCGCCCAGAGGAAGATGCACGGACAGGTAGAGCCGTGACTCGCTGAGCTGAGCTCCCTCTCCCTCTCAAGGATCCTCTCTTGGTACCGTTTTTTTCCTTACTGGCGCATGTACCTCGTGAAGATTTCTGCTCAAGAGAAGCTGTACTCAGTCAACAGATCCCCAGAGGCTACCAACGCCATCAACCAGCACGATATCCTCGCGGAGGACGCAGGCGTCGCACAACCAGATGCCAAGTGATAACTAACCGTTTCGGGACTAGCGCATCCATTGTTATTCCGAGCCGTCTGCGCCTGCTCATTACTACTGACCTGCCACCCAGTTTTGCTTTTACCTCGTGCCATTCTTTATCAACACCACACCAGACGCGTCGTCAATACTCCATCCATCGCATCCCACCACAACTTTTGGCGCGTATTCAATCAGACACCCAAAACTCATTCATCGACAGCTTTCGCAATGGCAGGAGGCAAGGGCAAGAGCATCGGCGGAAAAGCCACAGGCGCGAAAGACTCCTCCGTCAAGAGTCAGAAATCACACAGCGCAAAGGCTGGCTTGCAGGTGGGCATCTTCACATGTTTTTCTCTGCCCGTTCGAGAGGCGCGCTTTGTTGCCGATTCAATACGGACACTGTCCCTCCCGCAGCGAGTGGACGCCTTCCGATCAGGCGATTTTCGGTGTTGATTAGGCAGCACCGCCCTCTCGAATTTTCTCCATCCAGGTTTCGCTTCCTATGGCGGCGCGCGTTATTTGCGGATTGATTGAGAAGTACTAACGCGTCATTCACCAGTTCCCGTGTGGGCGAGTCAAGCGTTTCCTAAAGAACAACACTCAGAACAAGATGCGCGTCGGCGCGAAAGGTATGGCTTCCCTGCGCGCAAAGGTCTATGGATTCACGCTAACTCTCTACACAGCTGCCGTCTACGTCACAGCCGTTCTGGAGTACCTCACTGCTGAAGTTTTGGAGCTAGCAGGCAATGCTGCTAAGGATCTCAAGGTCAAACGTATCACCCCTCGACATCTCCAACTCGCAATCCGTGGCGATGAGGAACTGGATACATTGATCCGCGCGACTATCGCCTTCGGTGGTGTTCTCCCCCATATCAACAGAGCCCTCCTCCTCAAGGTCGAACAAAAGAAGAAGAGCAAGGCCGAGTAGAGTATATGCAACAATAGACACGCAATCAAAGTCGAACCGTCGGCTTCTCTGGGGCATTCTTCGATCATGCGGATATGAGGGCGTTGCTAGGCTACGGGGGGCGAAATCATTGAATTGATTACGCGATGATGGTACATGTGTTTTTCTGCGAACAATCAAAGAGAAAATGGATCTTGAATTCCAGGAGGTTATCGTTGCATGTGTGTGTTGTTACTGCTTTCCGGTATTGGAAGAGGAACCGGTTTGCGACTTGGCTGCGAGGCTGGTTCGCTCAAACAGAATACCCTCTGCTAGTTTTTTCGTATGGAATTATTCTGATCTATCACAGGGATCTCGTGCGTGTAGGCGTCATTTAGTTATCCCGTCTGCCTCCATGTTATCAGGCACCAGCGTGCTTGGATCCTATGCCGTTTGCAGATGAGCTATTTTTCCGGGGCAATTGCATGAATTTGAGGTGCCATGATTTATCTCATTGCACATCGACCACTGGAGCATTTTCAAACCTCAATCAGATGGCCATGCTGTTGATATGAGTGACGAAAGAGCTGTGCCGAGTGTGGTATCACCAGTATCTACCCAGCCTCGAAACGCCATCAGAAGTTTCACCCCCCAGCGCCTCGATTGAACTTGCATGTGCAGAACGACTTCTGTGGTCTCTGTACTGCTTATACTGCGCCCTCCGGGTATTCTGGTGGTCACCGCTGAGCCTGACTCGTGAGCGACAGCCTGCGGCAAGTCGGGGATTTGTACGCCTGGGGGTGGGACTGTGGAAGCAGGAGGATTTGTGATTGGATCCAACGAGGGTATGTATCACCTCGACTTGATACGTGTTGAGAGTGGCACCGGGCGGTGGAACCGCCGAAGATGTACCTGTCCAAAGAACTCGAAGGCTGAGACCCGCTAACGAGAGATGAGGCGTGTGAAAGAAAGCATTGCTTGATGTGTGAGCGTGTCTGGTGAAGGCTGGTAAGTAAGTTGTCTGACTGACTGCTCTGGGACAGAAGGCGACCGACATTGCGGATTCGTCTTTCGCCGGCTCTCTTCAAGGTACACCTTTTACCACACCCTGGATGGTGCTTCTGCTTTCATGCGATAATGGATGGAGAGCCCATGTGCGTCAATATACTCTCCTTTGCGCACTACTTATGAGTGATGGGAGTCGAGGAATATCAACTGATACAAAACTTGTCATCAGTGGGTTGAGCAAAGCGATCCGCTACAGGCCGGGCTCGTGAATGCCTCGTCCAGAGAAACACAGGGCCAAATCGCTCCTCAGTGCCGCGTCGGGCGCTGGAAACAGAAATTCTGTGTGACAAGCATTTCACTCACTTGTCTTTACGTTCTGAGTTTGATTGCTTGAACCGTCCAAATTGGCCCGGTGACACGGTGAGGCTCATTTGCCCATGATAGTTTACAGTCCTTCTTCGGGCATGATATAGAAAGGCGCCTCGCATGCTCCTTTGCCATGTTTACTGGCTGGGCGCCTACGTTTTCTTCTCCTTCTTCTTCTTCTTCGAGGACACTTGTACTCGGATCACGTTTGCGATCCGAGCTCGTCAAGTACAGTTTGTTTTACAACCACTCTTTCAGTCCTAACTTCCTATCTTTTTATTTTGTCTTGGGAGATCGAGAGCCACCCGGCAGGGCAGCAAGCCACATATCACAAGGGTCGCACCTTTGTTCCTGCTCGAGACGCGGCAACGGAAAGCGAGAGATGCCATCGACATCCAACGCGGACTCTGACATTGATAGCACCGAATACCAACGTGTCTACCCGGCACGGCCTGACTCGAAACCAAACGTCAAGGGCCATACAGTCCGCTTCCTGGGAAGATTGAGAGGAAAGAAAGGACGATCACCGATATTGTCTACTCATCACGCCGGTGTAGAAAGAGGGAGGAGTCGGAATAGAGCTACAGAGAGAAGGTCAGTCAGCCAGTCAAATATCATTCGAAAGTCAACCCCGATTCCCCTCTTCTTTGTTGTTGGATGTCTGCCCTTCTTCTTCTTTCCTTGGCTGCATTGGGTGTGGGTGACAGCGTTTACAAATGAGCTCGGCAAATATGGGACATTTGGATCAAGTACACACACAAGTCACTCTCGAAGCAAACGTGCCACTTATCCCACGAGGGAAAACTAAATGAGGCGTGGCTAACATGACTATTTTGAGGTATACAGAGATCGAAGCCGACGCCGAAGCCGCAGCCGAAACCGAGGCAGAAGCCAAAGCCAAAGCAGTAGCAGAAGCAAAAGCAGAGATACAGGGAAGATGGATCGTTTCGGCCGCAGAATTCACGACCTCGAAGACGGCCCGCAATGCATAAATCTCCTGTCAGGGCATGATCGAGGGGGACAACCCGTGTACCGTGACCTTGCCGACCCTCGAGGCCGAAGAAGAATACGCATGTGTAGACACGGCGAATACCCCCAGGCTTGCGGACAGTGTGAGTGGGAAAAGATAGACGACGAGAGGAGGAGATGGAGGAGGGGCCCCGGGGCCGGAAGGCGGAATGATGATGATGATGGCGACGACGATGACGAAGAGGCCGAGTATGTTTATCGTGACAACGACAGAGATCAATGTCGAGGACGAAGTCGAAGTCGAAGCTGTCGAAATTGGAGTCGAGGTCGATCTCGTGTTCGAGGAAGACGGGGACGAGAAAGAAGGGGAAGACGATCACGCGCGTGGAGCCTGTCGTCCAACGGTTCAAGCGCATGGACTACACATGAAGACTTTTATGACGAGTGGACATTATGGCCAGCATTGCGGCGACATCGTGACCGCGGTCGCTCGCGCGGGTGGAGGGCTTGGTGGCCACGAGACCACGCGAGAGAAAGAGAGCGAGAACGAGAGCGGGGCGGCAGAAGAGCACGACACCAACACCGACACCAACACTCGGACACTCCGGCTGGGATGATTCAGATTCGCAAAAAGGAAATCGAATACGGTGATGATGGAGCGTCAGAGATTCGCGTCTACACTGTACGAGACGGCGGTGAGAAGAGTCGGGCCCGGCATGGGCATGGGCATGGGCATGGGCCCGGGCACAGTCGCGGTCTCAGGTATCATCATGATCACGGTCACGGTCACGGTCATGGTCATCAAGGCTTTCGTCGTAATGGTCCTTACTGCTCCATTCTTCGCGGATATGATCACCACGGATACGGCGGCGGTAACGACAGAGACTTGGGGAGAGAGAGGGAGAGTGGGCAGGCACAGGACTACATGAACGATATGAAGGAGGCCGCCAGGCTCCAGAGACGGGCGGCCGCGAATGCAGAGTGGTTGAATAGGCATTACGGAAGTTGAGAAAGTTGGACACATTCGAGACGAGACCCGTACCTAGCCAAGCTTTGAGGTACCTACTTGATCGTCAAACTGTACCTACCTACCTCAACTTGGTGTTCTCATGTGGGAAGAAAAAGAGCAGGACGAAGGGGCACGTCAGGTCAGGAGAGGTAGAAGGAGCAGGACCTGGGACTATGTGAGTGAGTGACATCTCTTCATCCAGCGTACGAGCAGAGTAGGGAGGTAGTGTCAAAGAGCTACGACGAAAACCATCCAGAGGCGAGATCGATACTCGGCATACCTCAGGTACCTATTTGAGATCACGCTCTGCTTGCATCTTGCATCTTTATCCAGATGCTAGATTCCCTGAAAGTACTAGCATCCATTAGAGATCAAGTTAGTTGTAACAACTTCCATCCGGGGCGTACAAGAAAGGCTCCGGGAAGCATCGTACAATCTTCACCTGTGGTGACCTAGCCCCGTCCATTGATTGTATCTTGGAAGAAGCATGATGGGAAGTCCCTCCGGGTAGTTAGAACTCTCCTCATCGAGGTAGAGAGTAATAAGTAATTCCATCAGCGAAGTCGACCGCGAAATAGCAGTACAAACATAGATCGTTCGCAACAACCATCGGTACCTCGCACCTCTTCATCACCTTTCTCTCCTCGCTTCAAATCGTCTTCCTGGCCTTCTTGTGAGCCTTGTAATTTCCCTCTTCTCGTCGCCTCTTTGGTCCTTGACCTGGGTTTCCGGCGACGGGTGAACGAGAATTCCATCCACCTCCGCCAGGAGATCCCCGATGCACCTGCCCTTGTCCCGACATATTGCGATGCTTTGCCTCAATGGCTCTCCGAACTTGTTTCATTTCTTCGTCGGAATCATCGCCCTTCGACTCTGCCTTTTTCCGATTCCTCGTCGGCGTGCGATGATTTGAATGATCATGCTCCTCTCCCTCTTCTCCGTCTGACTCGTCCGACGGGGAGTCGGCACCGTTGCCCACATCTCTGGCTGCCTGCGATCTGGATCCGCGTTTCGTCTTGAACGAGCCGTAGGTTTGGCGTCCAGGAGGTCCGTTGTTCCAGATATCATCCTCCTCGGAATCGGAATCTCCATCAGTGATTTGTGAGAGTTGGTTGAATCGCGTTCCGTTGACTCTGTCACCGTCCTTCCTTGAACCGTGTGCGGTCTGACTCGGGTTGGGAAACGTCATCTTCAGATCGAGAACCCATTCTGTGTCTGCGCCTTCTCCGCGGTCGAACGTACTTATGCCTCCTCTTGATTGCCCAAATGTGGATATTTGTGGTTCGGTGGTAGGTGTCTGGGGCGTTCCTGGTGTCGACGAAGGAGACGATGTCTCGTAATCAATGCGACGTCTTTTTGAAGGTTGATGTACTACTCCCGGCGACGAAGACGATTGTGTCGCTGCGGCTGGTGAGGTAGCAGTGGAGGCTGCTGCACGTTGCATAAACTGTCCATCCAATAACCTGAATCAGTGACCGATCTCCGTAGGACTGACGCGGCGGACGATGTTCAAAAACTCACTTTCATATTCAAGAGACGCGAAGACATGGACTTCGGTTGCGCCTGTGCGCCTTGGGTGCTGAGTCCTGCCATCTCGGTTCTCTTTCTTTGTCACACCTCTGCAAAAATAAAATAACTGTAGATGCTAGGCTAACATGGGTGTGAATCGTAGTTAGTAGTTGCAATCAAGGCCACTTGCACGACAGTGTTGTCTCGTGTAGTCTCTCTCAGACCGTAGACAAGCGCAGGTTGGTCGACGACAACATCAATCGTGACGAATCCTGCTCAACGACACACGAGTCTGCCAGTCTCTAGTACTGTGAAGCCGCTGTGTGAAATTATGCCCGTAAAAGGATCGATTGAGCAATGCTCATAAACATTAGGCGCGGGAAAAATGTTTAAAGCACGGAGAAGCGATGCATTGTCCAAAGGCCCCGGAAAAACCGACAATCGTACTTGGACGGGGAGGCTAGAGAGGCCAAGCGGCGGGAGGATAAACATTTTACCGGGCAGCCACAGCCACACACTTTTAATCTCTCAGTCGGCAAGGCTGGAGCTCAAGATTGTCACCTTTTCCTGTCAAATGCCATTCAGGCAAGGATGGAGTCGCCGATAAAGAAGAGGCGGAGGCTACTCCGTGGAAGCATGGTATTGCGCAATTGCACATGAAAAAAAAATCCAATTAAACAGGTAAATAACAAATATGTACTGATCAGCGACGGGCACCACCACAAGGTGACATGATTCTTTCCTCCCCTTATCTCTTGGACACACCGTCATCGTCACATCACATCACGACATCCTCATATCCCACCCATCAGTGATAAGAAGCATGGACACTCCCTTGTCCGGGGATGGCCCTCAGGCAATGGAGACATCAAAAGAGCTGCCCCTTGACAGTCTACCTTGGACGACGAGGTTGCGATTACGGTTCGTGAACGATGTCGACACGGCATGGGCAGACACGATTCTGCTCGCGTGTTTTTTCACGACCGGAATGGTCGATTCTATAGCTTTCAACACCTGGGACTGCTTCGTCGGAATGCAGACTGGTATGTCGCGACAGTTCCCCACGTTTCGCTCGGTCCTCGACTAAACTCTCATGGCTAGGAAACACCATATTTGCGGGTCTCGGGGTCAGCGACTTGCCCAGCACCATCCCAAAGTACACCTGGACGAAATCGCTGGTCGCCATCCTGTCGTTTTGTCTCGGCGCATTGTTCTTCTCGAGATATCATCGATACCTGGGACCGCTGAAACGATGGGTCATCACCTCCTCATTCCTCATCCAGACCCTGTTCATGATCATCACCGCGTCGTTGATTTCTGGCAATCTAGTTGCGGAAACAGACCTCTCAGAGACAGCCGATGGTCGAGGCAGGTTCCCGTGGCACGAGCTTTGTCCGATTGCTCTCCTGGCGTTCCAGAGTGCGGGACAGATCGTCGCGAGTCGTGTGCTCAAGTACAATGCCTTGCCGACCGTGGTCTTGACGAGCTTGTTCTGCGACTTGATGAGCGATCCGGACCTGTTCACAGCGGGTCTAGTCCAGGATCCGGATCGAAACAGGCGAGCACTGGGAGCGGTTTTGTTATTCTGCGGCGCAACTGTGTCTGGGGCTTTGATCAAGACATCGATCGGCTACTCTGGGGCTCTATGGATTGCTACCGGAGTCAAGGGGTGCATGGTGTTGGCATGGCTGGTCTGGAGCAGCAAAAAGTCACAAGTGAAGAAATAGATACAACCGACCCTATAGATTGTTGTGTATATATCCTTCGAGAGCGATTCGCATTTCTCATCGCTTCTCTCCTTGAATCGTCGCAACCACTTTTCTCGTGTGTTTCGATGCCCGGAATTCTAGATACCAAATCCCCTGCCACGTGCCGATGTTCAATGTACCATTAGTGATGGGGATGGTCACACTTGCTCCGATCAACGCTGATTTTATATGTGCCTAACAAACCGTTCATTAGCTCACCAAGACATTGAACGCATCTCTCTCTCTCTCTCTCTCTCTCCCTCTCTGAGAATCTGGGTATACGCACTGGCATGTCATCCAACCCTTCAGCAGAGTGTCTGTAAAGGTTGCCTTTCCGGTCTTCGGGAGCGATTCTGTCCAGAGCATCACTCATGTCTTCCCTCACGTCGGAATCCCAGTTTTCATTCAAGGACAACGCACACGAGGTGTGTTGAACGAACAGGTTCAGAATCCCGACTTTGTAGTCCTTGATCTCCGGCAGAGACGACTCAACATGGTCGGTGATCAAGTATGAGCCTCTGGACTTGGAGGGCAGAGTGAAGGTTTTCTGGAACCAGGAAGACGACATGTCGACAGAATCCAGAGGCGCACAGCCGGTTGGACAGGTGACGATGTTGGACGGCGATGAAAATTGACGGGTTGAAAAGGCTAGTTTCAGGGCGCAAAGCGGCAGTCCGAGGAGAAACTGTGGCAGACCGGGAAACAGGCCGAGTATGAGGATAAGGACACAGGTGACGGTGAAGTATTTCGAGTCCACGAGGCTGGTCGTAGGCATATCGAGAAGAAGGTTGATGTGGTTTATTCTCACAGACAGACAAACTACGTCAGATGCACTAACTTACCTAGTTGAATCCCCCACCAAGCAAGTCGGTCCGTCGCCGCTTCTCGTGGGGATTGTTCCTCTCAACACAAACACGTTAGTTTTCAGGGACGTTGAATATCACCATCGTCGCTTCATACTCTATCAACCCCAAGTGACTAAGTGTGTTCCTCTGTCGCCTCCCTCCCCAAGCCAACTATTGTTCTGCGACCACTTCAATCTCCACCAACGCATCTTCCTTCGCCAGGGACGTCACCTAGAGAGTAAAGTCAGTATACATCTCACATCCCTGTGAAGTGTCGTAGAATCACAGACCCCAATCAGCGTCGATACAGGATACGGTTCCTCGAAATACCTAGTTTTTCCAATCAGCCATCAAAACAAAACTTCGCTTGCGAGCGAGTGAACACACTTGTCCCACACTTCGAGGACCTTCCTGTAGTCTTGCATGGGAATGATGTAGATTCGTCTCGAGACGATATTGTCAAAAGTCAACCCGCAAGCCTCAAGACACGCCTTTATGTTCAGAATAACTCGTTCCTAGCCCGGCGAAAGTTAATCATCTTGCTTGTTTCGGAATGCAATACATCGGAGGTGAATTTTTTGGGACGGGATCAACACCTACCGTCTGCGCTTCGATGCCTCCTTGCACAATTTTCCCCGTTTCCGGATCATCGCCCATCCATCCGGCTAGGTACACCATTCCACTTTTCGCTTTGACGACATGACTGTATTTGCCGTTCGGCTTTGGAGCATTGGGAGCCCAGACAGCTTGCCGAGTGTAAGACATGTTTGTGGGCAATGTGTGATATTGGTGAAAGCGCTGGATCTCGGATTCTCGTGACTCTCGACGTACACTTGCCTCGAGGTGGTGAAGTGAGAGTGTCGAGCCGTGCCTCTACCTGTTCCTCTGTATGTCGCATCCTCTTGACGGAGGACGCCGGCCTTTGGCGGACTTGAGCGAATACGTCTAGCGCTCTGTACTATACGTTAGTGGGCGGATATGACATCTAGCGGGTGACGGTCTGAATCAAGGCTATAACGTCACGAAAGCCCGCGCCAGCACTGACCTCGAGAAACATTGAAGGTTCGACGCCTCTCTAGTCTGGGCCCCTGGGGGACCAGCATGATTGCCCGGTACCAGGGACCCCAGGACCTTTAACTAGGACTAAAAAGCCCCGCAAGCTCGACGCTTTATTTCGGATCTATCATATATGATATATCACATTTTGATATATCAATCGTCCGGGCTCGCCGGGCCTGTCAACTACCTCGTACCTGCAAGACCCTTGAAGCAGAGGCTGAGCTAGCCATGCACACGAGCATGGGTGTCCCGGCTTCCAGCAGGGTCGGGTCCCCCGATGCGAGATGATGCTGCGATTGGTCTTTCCCCAGAAGCACACATTTCTCGACCAAGTACCTCTCGATATATTCTTGGTTACTATCTAGTACTTTGCCTGCAAAAGACGAGGTGCCAAGGGTCGAGAACCGGGACGAGCTTGGGAATCCCAACCTCTGGATTCAACTCAGTATCAATCGCATGTGCGGATTATCGAGCAAAGGGGGGTGGAAAGCAATACCAAGGGTGGAAACTGACTTTACCCCTTCGGATTAGGCACAAACCAAGGGGCTACTTTTGTCGAAGTGTACAACGTCACTTTACACTAGCGATCGAATTCAATCTGAGATCTCACTCGGTTTACGAACATCATCGATCGAAACTGAGTCGAACAGATCCGCCGCAGTTCAATCTCGACACAGACATACAAGGCTCGTGACGCGACTCCATTGGGGACCTGAAGCACATGCTTACATGACTTCTACAGGATCAGGATTCCTCATCTTTGGTGGAGACTGAAGATTTGTCGAGGATGGAGGAGGGCATCAAGCCTAAGCCTAAAGTTAAAACTGTACTGGATCAACAGTTCATTGTGGTAGGTGATGACTCGAAAGATCATGTCGATACTCTTCAACGCAATTTTGTGCGTGATAACTCGCTTTGTCTATTCATTTGAACCTGTTCGACAATAAAGAAGATCAAATTGTGACATGATGAAAGAGTATCTACATGATGTTGCAGTTGAAAGGTTCTTATTAGACTGACATTAATGAATCCAGACCAGAAAACACTGGCCTTCCGATCTTGAGAACCTACTTGAATGGCATGCGAGGAATGAAACGGATCTTGAAGCACTCAAGCTGAGGAGGAAGATTTTGAGTAAAGGAGATTGGCCGGAGTTGATAGAGGACATCATGAACTGTTTTGAAGAGATGGAGTGGTCGCCAGAGCTCAAAAACAAGCTCTATCTAAAAATTCAATCGAAGCTGTTGGCGGTGTGTAATCGACTGGGGAGAGGCAGGCAAGGTACGCAATCAAAGGTCGAACCCAGCTCGGAGAGGAAGGGGCCCAGGGACATGGGTAATGGAGAGCGGACAACGGAATACGAGGAATGATGAAGGGCGACAGATATCTCTGCCAAGTTTGAAGGACAGTTTCGACCCTCTGTGGCTCTTGGAGCCGGTAGTGACGATGGAACCCAGGATTGGAATCGACAATGCACGAGCCGATGCCCCCTGGGTGCGAGACACAAGACGAGGCTGAAGGAGCCATTCCGTCCTGCCATGTAACCTTAGACAAAAGCAGAAAGAGAAAGGAAGGAAGTGGATGACAAGGACCTGTTTTCTGTTACTTTGAGCCCGCCAACTTGCACAGAGAGCGTTAAAACGTGCCTCAAACGGTCAGTGTTGCTTTCTGAATCTCGGGGCGACATGCCGCCGTGTGGGTGTACAAGTCGGATTGAAGAAGTATCACCATCAAGGCACCCTGCCATCGTACAACTCCTGTCTTGATTGAAGGCTTATTTTTGTGATATGTACAATCTCCGCCCATCAAAAATCATCTCTGTTCAAAGGCAGTTTCACCCAAAGACTCAGCCAGATGCTCTCCTCTTATTTGAGGATATTGTCCCTGGATCTCTCCCTTTTGACTAGGTGTGGCCGGCATTTGTACTTCCATAGGGTCGCCGGTTGGTGCTAGTGGGTAAGTTGTGCTCGGTAGTGACTCGAGATATTTCTTGTGTTCCTTTTTGGCCTGTTCCTTGTCAGCGGGATACTCTAGAAATCAAGATCTCAGGTCATCCTCACATATGGCAAGCCGCAGTAAGTACACCAACAGATTTGTGGCTTGTCCACGTTGATATAGATCTTTGGGTGGCCCAAGGGACCACCACCGCCGTCACATGCGACCCGTTTATCGTCAACCCATCGGACGGGTTGTTTGTGGATGAGCTCGATTGCGGCATACGGGGCAGGCTATAACACAGTTCTTAGTACATCTTCCGGTCTCTTGAAGCGTGGCGCAAGGCATACCTGCGCTTCGATGATCGTCTGTTCAAATCTCGGTCCTGTCATTGCGAGCTCTCTGGGCATTTGGCTCCGAGACCATGGTTTTGCTCTATTAGGTGCTTGTAATTGTCGAGCTCTCTCGCCATCGGGGACCAATTCTTGTAGTGGTGCATCTGAAGCGCCCATGGAGTCAACGGGGGTTTCGTCGGTCTTAGACACGTTGGGAGTGAGTTTCCGTGATGTTGGGTCGTTGGCCTGTTGGAAGTTCTCTCCTGTTCCGGGACCCTGGCGCAGGAGGCGGGCTGAGGCAGAGATGGGACGACATGATGTTCGTGATAGGATTCGAGGGACTGCCGCCCGCAGCGAGGGGACTAAGGACGACATGGTGGCAGGAGTGTAGAGCCCTGTATGGTTGTATGTGTTGCTCGTTTGAATCTGGAGGTCATTGAGCTTGAGAGGGTGCAACCAATCAGAGGAGTTGCATATCGGGATTCTTGGCGGGTGGAGTACATTGCCCTACGGTGAAGCATACAAGTACTTATCCAACTATGGCAACACCTCTTCTCATATCACCCAACAACACCATCTCAGACCTATGCGTAAGGGAGGGAAGATTGTACCACAGCCGCGCTCGGTATTTACTTCGAAACGCACTGCTGCATGTTCGCCGAAACTTACAGCATATCGAACGTCGCGAGACAGAATAATTCGGGACGGGGCTCTTGCAAAACAACAGCAATATTAAGGCCACCCACTTACCGCCCCATGTTTGACCATGCCATTTTGCCCAGGTTTCACAATCCTGGTTCCTCAGAGAGTACCACACGAGGCTAGCACCTTGAAATGCAAGGCAAGTTGACGAGAGAGTGTCCCACATCACCAGGCGTTCTCGCCCCAATTTGAAAAGATATGCGGGATGCCTGAGTGATAAGCCACCCCTAGATTCCTGCTCCACGGTTGTAACTGTTTTTGAATGTTTAGACTACCTAGTCACGCCCGATTTGGTCTTTCCAAGCGCTGTAACTCGTGATGGGACCCTTTCCTTCTACAGCGTCTTTGCACATTTTCGACTCCTCAAGATTTCCGCTCATGGAAAAGTCACAAATACTTCGGCTCCCATGAGTTTCTAACATCCAGGCTCCAAGTCTCTAGAGTAATGCGGTCAGAAGCTGAGTATCATGAATTAGCAAACAGTGGGCAGGAGACATTGCAGACCCCGAGCGATGTGACCTACGAGAAGGGTTCGGGCACGAGGCAAGCCTGCCTGATTGGCCTGGGCTTCAGCATCTTGGTTGGAATCACTTTCTTCGTCCTGGGTTGCGTCGTACCGCACAAATTCAATGGCGAAGATGATGCCATAGCATTCTCGCCAGTAGTTTTGGAGCTGCTCACCCTCGGCATCGACTTTGCGGTGCTCATTATAACGGAGATCAATGGCTATGTAAGTAATGCGTGTTCCCCTTCTGTCCTTGATGGCCGCTCTGTTGGAACAATCTGTTTAGCTCCGAGCAGGGCCATTGCCTGCTGGAGATAATACCCGAACAGCTTGGTCCCAAAGCGCTTGCTAACTCATTATCTTGCGGACAGATACACAGTCTTTCACTGCGGTGGGCACTCTCCCGCGAAGGCAGACTCGACTTCAACAGCAGTCTCCGTCTGCTCACAGTGTCCCAAAAGACGCCTGCAAATGGACTTCTGGCCAATATTGCTTATTTCATTACGCTGTCATTCAGCTACGGAGCTTCATCTGTCATTGTCGTTCGCAACACCTATGTGATCCAAGCGGAAGATCTGGGATCGTCCGCAGAAGAATGGAAAAAACACAGCCACGATGCAAACTTCAGCCGTGTTGGACCTTTAAGCTTGGGTATCGCGATACTTGTGCAATGTGCTCTTTCAATATGGTGTCTTCAAAGTCAAACGTTCGCCAGTTGGGACTCGAGTCCACTTACAACTCTAGCAGCGACTCGGTCGCGCAGCGATAGTCTACTTACGCAACCTGAGATATCCGAGTCCAGATCTTCTCCGACCAACGGAAGACGGTCTCCCTACGCTTCACGCCCGAGGATTCGTCTTGTCCTTGTCCTCGTGACGATTGTGTTTCTCGCATTCGTTGTTTGGACGGCTCTGCTCATTCCGTACGGTATCCGCAATCAACCAAATGGTAATTGGGCATTCTTCCCTACCTCGACCAATGGCAACGAAGTGGATGATCCGAATACAATGACCATCTTTCTCAAATTCTTCAAGGTTCACAACGAGGTGTATGAAAACCGCCATGGCGGATTGGGCCCCGACTACGTTTCCGAAGCTAATCTCTTCGGGATATTATTACTGTACGTTGTTCTCCAGTCGTTCATCACCATTGGTCTCCACAGCGCCGAGCTTCAAATCCTTATGCTGCGTGATGAGTCTTTGTGGCAGAAGTCAGCGTCGGGATACATGAGTCGGTCTTTTAGTTCGGTCACGGCACCGCTCCAATCCCCGCCAAATGCCGCCTTGCTGCTGTTCAAACCTATCCTCCATTGGCTCTTCGCAGTAAGTCTGAGCGTGGATTATGCTCAAGGCATGGCAATGCGAGCACCACAGACGGCATACCTCACCGCTGCGTGGGCAGTCTTTGTCCTTTTCACCTACGGACTCAGCTTCTACAGACCAAACGGCGCGCTACCCCAGACATATGGACGGTTGGATACAATGCGAGACAAGGAGCTAGAACGGCTGGATAGTGGTCCAACCTGAGATGGGGACGGGCGATATCGCTAACGTAGTTTCTCTATAGAATTTATCGACTAGTCGCGTATACACTGCGACCCACTCGTTTACTCACGGCCTCACTCCTCGCGCTGCGTCGATCCTTTCTTGCGTGATCACGTACTCTCTCGGCACACCACCCTTGCCTTGCTCGGCGAGCTCCACCCCGTGGGCCTGCAGAGCCTTCCAGTCCTCGCCCTTCAAGCTCTTCAGCGCCAACTGCGCAACGTGTCTACCACACAGTCCAGCATTCGTCATGCCATGGCCACTATAGCCCGCTGCGACAAACAGACCATCGCGTCCCGGCACACCTCCAACCCAAGGATGGCCGTCTGCCGAGCTCCCAATGATGCCGGTCCACGAGGCCGCGATGTCCAGCAGTCCGCTCTTGCTCGTGCCCGTGCCAGTGGTTGTCTGTGGTGCCCCACCAGCCTCCTCCTCAGCCTCCAAGTTCAGGTGTTCAGGTAGACTCCTCAAGTACGCCTCGGCGTCAGGGTCGACATAGTCGTCGTCGCTCACGCCGACGCCGTTCCCTCGGGCCTGCGCTCGGCCGCCGCCAAACATGAGATGTCCACCGCGGCCAACGACTCCTCCCGCATCCTCGTCCAAGATCGGGTTTTGGACAAGGTAATCGCTCATGACCCTATCCTGGCCCTCGACGCCCATCATCCCGTAGCTCATGGGTATCAGGCGCTCCCGGAACGGCGAGCCCTGCGGCGGCAACAGCGCCGACATCTGAGCCTGTACGGGCGAGATCAAAGCCTCGAACTCCGGCATCAGATGCGAGGTGTAGGCGTTCGTCGCGAGAATGACTTGTTTCGCGTGCACTTCGCCCCTGCTCGTCTTGACCGTCCAGCCGTGGCCCCCCTGTACCTCTTGGATGCTCGCAACGGGCGTCTCGGTCTGTAGATTCAAGGTTACCTTGGAAGTTTCGCCTCCCCATTCGCCGCCTCCTCTCCATTGTCCTCCGCCTCCGCCTCCGCCTCCCCATCTCCCTCCTCCTCCTTCGCCATCGTCCCATTCTCCTCCTCCCCCGAATCCTCCTCCGCCTTCCCAACTTCCTCCTCCACCTCCTCGTCCCCCGCGCCACTCACCTCCTCCTCGCCAGTCTCCTCCCCCTCCCCACCCCCCTCGTCCTCCTCGCCCTCCCTGCCATTCTCCACCTCCTCCCCATCCTCCTCCTCCTTCCCACCGTCCTCCGCCGCCTTCGCTCCTCTCGTACTCCTTGATCATTTCCCCCCAAAGCCAAATCATGAGCTTGTACGGGCTCAAACTCGCCGCGACAGTCTGCACGATGGCGCCGACGACGCCCCCCGTCAGTCTCAGGTTCTGTAGCTCCTCGGGCGCCTCGACGACCTCGACAAGCTTTCTGTGCTCCGCCGTCACGAGAGAGCCCTGCAGCGCGGCCTTGGCCTCGTCGAAGTACGTCTTGTTCCAGAAACCCAGCACGCCGGGGATCTGGCGAAAGTCGCACGGCACGTCGTGCAGCTTGACCAGGTCGCGGATGTGCGCGTAGTTGCGCATCTCAAAGTCGATGATGGCAGGCCGCTCCGCGTGCACGAGAGGTTGACAGTGTCCGCCGTTGCGGCCCGTCGCGGCCGAACACGTCGTGCGGGCTTCGAGGACCACGACGTTCAGAGCTTGCCCGGCGGCGGCGGCGGCGGTGGTCAGGATCTCATGCGTTGCAAATGTCCCCGAGATGCCGGTGCCGATGACCACGATGTCTGCCGTCGCCGGGAGACCGGGTGTCGAGCGGTGCTTCGCCACCGGGTTCGGGTGTGATGTCTGCCAGAAGGCCTTGGTCGGGTTGGCAGATGGGAGGCCAGCCGGGCCTGTCAACAGCGTAGGTGAACAAGGGCCAGCGTCGCCCATCTTGATTCGATGTTGGAATTCCCGTCGTTTAGCGATGATCAAGATAAGAAAATGTATTGTTGATTACACTGTCCAGAAATCAATACCTGTCTTGGGCATCAACAAGACAAATGATGGTAATGAACAAGTTCGAGCGCCGTTACGGAGTAACGGGATCGGTTGTATCAGGTGAAATAAAAGGTCGAGTGGATATCGACAACGTGGTCATTGATAACATCAAGCCTCTCAAGCCTAGCCCTCGGATCGTTGCCGAGACACGCATCTATTTAAGTTCTCATACCGGGACAGCCTTCGATAGTCTTGACTGCTAGAAATTACGGTAGAATGTCATGCTCCAACAAACGTGCGCGTTAAACCAGTAGAATGCTCGATGAGAGTCTCAGGCTACGCCTTCGCGGCCGGGAAACGCCGCTGCGCGTCGGCCAATAACAACGTCACCACGTCCTTTACGACAGACTCTCGCCCAAGGTAACCACAGTATGGACTACTCCGTGAGTTTAGGCCCGATGTCTACCTATCTCGATGTGAACTGACAAGGCGTGACCGGATCAAGCTATGGAATGAGGGCAAGCTCTTATTCAATTCGAAACATCATAATGTCATTGCACTCATATTGATACTGCTTGCTATTACATAGTGTTGAGCACGCTCAGGTCAACTTACAAGCGTCCACTATTCCGTAATACTCAATATGATAGACTTACGGGGTCTTGATACTCGTTTCGCAGAAGAGTTCTGTCCAAACCTCTCCTACTCTGTCAACACCCACTTCTTTTCTGCCTCCTTCGTGCCTTGTCTCGTGGCAATGCACTCGAGAGTGTTTTTGATGGCATCTTTGGCACATTTGGGAAATTGCTGTTTCAGCACTTCGACTAAGCCGATCTTGGTGAGAGTACTTCCTGATACAGCATTTTTGAAAGCTGGTAATAGGTTTGTATCAATCAATTTGACCGGCTTGACGGATTTGGCTTTGGCCTGTGTTGATTTCTTTCCAGCCTGCTCGTGCATGTCATCCGATTGAACTGATGTTAGAGTCAGACTTCCACTGTTGGGATCAACTGTCATCAGGGGCAACCTCGGAGGCTGCATTGGCGTTTGTGTGTTCGTTGTCTGAGTCTTTTCACGCTTGGCAGGTGATGGCCTGCCTGTATCAGACCAGTGCTTCGTCGAGAACGGATCAATGGGAAATGTGGTTGAATCGTGCAAGACGTCGATTCGATAGACCGAAAGGTCGAATCCTTCTTGGGGCGATGTGTTTGTGCCTTCCCAGCACAATCCACTCGATTTGGGCTCCAATTCAGACACGGTCTGTCGCTTCAGCATGTCATTTTCGTCGTCAAGAAAATCGTCCATTTCCTCGTCAGCGTCTTCATCTTCTGACTTCTCATCTTCGTCCATCAGATCAACATCGCCTTCTTCAGGCTCCTGCCATTCAGCCTCGCTGTCGTAGTCATAATCTGTGTTTGGCAAACCCCGATGAGCCGGGTTGACGGCAATCTTGCGACTGGTCCGAGGCGAGACAACTCTTGTGTAAGTACCCTGGTATGCCGGTCGAACATCCTGATGGAAGTAGAGGTACTTGGTTGGGATCGTTGCGAACGGGTCTCTATAGCCGGAAAGAGCCGAACCTGTGTCTGTCGAATCATTCATTTCCTCCAAGACCTCCAAGATCGCTTTGACAGGCTTAATCCGAGCCGTCCGTCTACGTTTTCGAAATTGTGTATTGAGCTTTTCTGGTTTGATGCCCTGATTGAGCGGTAAAGTTGCCTCGGTTGTTGACTTGTGGAAGCGATTGAACGGAGCCAACTCCATGTTTTCGCTGACAAAGAACGGTAGAATCCATTTGTTGAACTCGGGATTTGCTGGTTCACGGGCCTTGGTCTCAATCAGTGGTGGTGCCATATCGAGAGAGGCAATTGATGATCGACGACTGCGTGTCCCCATTGATACATCATCTGCGCTATCAGGAGGCGTAGATGCTGCAACAGGACGGCCGAAGAAAGCGCCAATCCGCATTTGTGACTGGGAAAAGCATTAGCATTTGTCCTAGAAGAACTCAAAAAGCAGCATACTCTCTCTTTCTTCAAGGCCTCAGCAGCTTTTCGTCCCTTTTCTGCTTCCTTCTCGGCCTTGATGGCGTCTTTCTGTCGCTGTTTTTCCTCCTTGACAGCATCCTTGGCCTTCTTCTCCTCTTCTTTTCGCTTCTTGTCCTCTTCTTTGCGTTTCTTTTCTACCTCTTTCTGCTTCCTTTCTTCTTCTTTCTTGGCCTTTGACTCGGCTTTCTGTCGTTCTTTTTCTTCCTTTTCCTGCCTCTTTAAGGCCTTTTCGACTTCTCGCTCGGCAAACGTGAGCTTGCGTTTCTTGGAGTCGGAGGGTGCCATCTCGGGTTTTGAGGGACTCATCACAGGGGTGGACCCTAACTCGGTCAAAGGCGTGCTCGCGGTGCTGAGAGCAGGGGAAGCAGAACGTGACCGAGTCACAGGAGTGCTTTGGAAATCAAGTGGCGGTGTTATAGAGGAAGGATCGTGTACGAACTCGCCGACATAGTTGCGTTTCTTGGAAGGGGTGAGTTGCTGAGGTGGGTGGGAAGGAACGCATGACATGGCAGAGGTTTGAGGTTCCATAGTGCCGTACAACAAAGTGATATAAAGACAGAAAGTACAAGAGTCGGTGCATGCAGTCTCCGACAAAGGGAGGCAGTAAACGTAGATGGTTAAGGAGCGGCCTGCATAGCAACCTGGTGAATGCTGGGAATTGTAGAGACGCGAACACGCGTTCTACGTCGATGCGCGCGTTTCCACGCCAAGACCGGGATCTCCTGACCGGCCTCCAGACCGCAGATCCAGTACGAGTACGGAGTACGGAGCACATACGGTAGCTATCCCATGCACTGGAACTGAATCTCTATGGATTCCATAAACACCGAGCTCATTTCTGACCAGGTACTTGTTCCTCAAGAACAGCGCGCTTTGGCGTCCGGATTACACACACTACTCTGCGCTCAGCACAGCCAGTCTGTCATGTTTCGACCATCACTGCCCATGCTTTGCGTGACGCCCGCTAACCAACCGAAACGGACGGAAAGGATTGTTACAAGGGCATAACTAATCCCCAGTACACCTGCATGAACTCACGTATGGCTCGAATGACTGTCGATTCGTGCCAAAATGAGCTCAGTGCAATTGGGCACGACGGAGGTAGGCGCTATCAGCATTTCCTCTCACATCAAGATGAACGGATACATCCGGTGATAAACACCCCTGCCTTCAAATAACGTGCTGCTATGCTTGATCTGCTCAGTCTGAAGATAAGTCAAAGGCACTGAACTTCCCTCGCTGAATAATTGCGAGTGTCAAACCTTTTTCATCTATCGCCCCAATAGAGCCAGCATGTTGAGTTCAACCACACTGCTTTGTGTGCTAGGCCTCGTGGCTCTGGCTTTCTATAAGGTGATCCTGGAGCCATTGACATTGTCACCATTGTCGAAGATTTCAGGACCTAAGCTGTGGGCTCTGACGTCTATTCGCCTCTCCCTTGAGGACTGGAAAGGCACAAGGACAGTCACGATCGGCAAATTACACGAGAAGTACGGCACGGTGGTCAGGATTGGGCCGCGGGAGGTGTCGTTCAACAGCACGTCCGCCGTGCGTTCAATATACGGTGCTGGCTCGGGGTTCGAAAGGCCTCCTTTCTACTATGGCATCTTTGATGTCTATGGAACCGCAAATCTCTTTAGTTTCAGGGGTGTCAGACCCCATTCTGAGAGAAAGCGGCTGCTAGCTCAGGCCTTTTCCAAGGGCGCTATACTCAAAGGACATGCCGCTGAGATGATCGAAAGGAACGTGACTAACTACTTGCGATTGATAGAGAGCCACGGGGGACACAGCGTCGAGACATTTACAACTCTACACTATTTCTCTCTGGACACTATCAGCCACTTCATCTTTGGCTCCGATTTTGGGGGCACCAGCTGTCTGACGGGAAACAAGGAACATCAAGGATTGCTGGACGACATATTTGATCCTGCTCGTCGAAGGTTGATCTGGTGTGCTATGAATTTTCCCAAGGTCACCACATGGCTCTACAGTAGGACCAAAACTACGGAGCGCCTGCTAGCCCCTTTCCTGCCCATGAAGAAGCCCTCAACATTTACTGGCGTCCGGGTGTACGCTTTCAATTCCTGGAAAAGATTCCACGCAGCTTCGGCGGAATCAAAGCTCTCCCCGACCACGACAAGGTCGATAATGGGGCTTCTGTGGAAGCGGCACGAGAGTGTCAAAGGGTCAGATGGACTCTCAGACATGGACATTGCGTCAGAATGTGCCGACGAGTTTCTTGCAGGAGTCGACACCACAAGTGACAGCGCCATGTTTCTGATTTGGGCATTGTCCAAGCCGGAGAACAAGAGGTTTCAAGAGAGGCTGGCGCAAGAAGTACTTTCGATTCCACCAGAGGCACTCGATCATGACGGCGTGCCAAGGGTTGAAGTGGTTGATAAGCTCCCATTCCTCGATGCGGTCATCAAAGAGACATTGAGAATGTACGCGCCAATACCAGCATCCGAGCCGCGAACAAGTCCAGTCGACACCGTTATAGACGGCTACAAGATCCCTGCTGGTACTATAGTCGGAGTCGCGCCATACTACCTTCACTATCGATCCGATATATTTCCCGATCCGCGGAAATTCAACCCTGAGCGTTGGCTGCTCGAGAACGACAAGGTTTCTGACGACCAAATGGCGGAGATGAAAAGAGCATACTGGCCCTTCGCAAGCGGCGCAAGAATGTGTATAGGTATGCATCTGGCCCTGGCCGAGATCACGACATTAGTCGCCGCCGTCTACCGAGAATACGCAACAACGATTCCAACACAGTTCTTGGACGCCACTCCTGGGATCACGAGTCGATTCGAGCTGTTTCATGACGAACTCCAATCTCGTGTCCTGGAGCATACTTCCTACATTGACTTTACCAAGCGGAGGTAACGGCGATATAAGGTCGATAGACCCATGTATGTATTGTAGACGACACCAGACAGACGTTCACATGCGTAGCTGTAACCGGGTACGTCTTCCTAGGTAGCCTTGAAAGAGGACTCGTGTCTCGGCGCGGACGCATATCGATATATTTTGTACGAGGTACCACCAAGTCGATTTCGTAGCTTTCGTCTCTTGTAGATTGTCACGAAGTAAATCATGCGACTGGTTACCCAGGTAAGGTAGGTAGGTACCTAGGTGTATGGGTGCAGCCTTGTTGTGTGAAAGTGTCATGTATGCTTCCTCAGAAGATCACACGTACGGGTCTGTACGTTCAAGAATACAGCATTCCCCTCTTGGGTGTCTTCACGTACTCAGGCGGAGCGATTGCAAGAGACGCGGCCCTTTCCGATCTCGGATTATATGAAAAGTCGTTGACGAAATCGTTCCGAAAAGGCTGCAGCTGCTGCTGGTGCTGCCGGTGCCGGTGACGGCGGCGATGCTGATGGTGGTGTTGGCTGCTTTCCCCGGCTTGTAATATGTCGTCGTGTGGGTGCGGACTGCTGCCGCCGCTGTTGTCGTGGTTGTAGTTGTCGTCATCGGGCGGCGGCGACGGCACGACAACCTCGCCCATCTTCAGCCGCAAGTCACCGAGCAGCCTCGTGCGCGCCGCGCCGTCGAGGGTGGAGCCGCCGCGCGCAAAGGCAAAGTGCCTGCTGTCGCGGGTGAGGGTGGAGCAGTAGCCCAGCACGTCGGGGACGGTGGTGTCGAAGGCGCAGTAGATGCCGACGAGGGCGGCGACGAGCATGACGGCGGTGCTGGCGCAGTAGGCGGCCAGCCACGGGCGCGAGACCACGTACACCTCGGCGGCGTCGGTGTAGACGACGGTGGCGGTGCGGCGGTCGAGCCCGTAGAAGGCCATGGTGTCGGCCGACACCTGGCCGCCGAGCACCCACGTGTTCATGAGCTGGGCGAGGCGGTGCGAGAAGTCACCGTCGCTGACGTCGCTGTAGTCGGCGTAGGTGCGCCCGTTGCCGCTGAGGATGAAGCTCGCCGACGTGTTTTGCAGGTAGTACTCGCTCAGGCTCGAGTAGGCCGAGCTGAGCAGCGGGTCGGTCGCCATGATCCAGTACGACGCCATCGAGTCGAACGTCGTCGGGAAGCTGAATGTCGTGACTGTGGAGGGAGAGTGTCGACGGGTTGACTTACGTTGGGCGAGCACCGCGCAGCTGGGGAGAAGCGTGTTGCCGCCCTCGCCACCAACGTCAACGAGCCCTGATGACGACCTCGCGGCCACCGTCGTCCGGCAGGATACGTTGCTCTCGACGTACTCCTGGTTGATCTTGCACCGCGATACCCACGGCCCGCGCGTCTGGAAGAGGAACGTCGCCTGCGGAAGGTCGTTGTCCGTCACGTTGACCAGCAGCTCAGGGTAGCCGTAGAAGTAGAGGTTGTTGTTGACGAATTGGTTCATCGCCACGCGCCAGAAAGGGTAGATGACATTGGCCGTCTCGAGGCGCGTCGCGTTGGCCCCGAGGAACGTGCCGTTGCCGGCGGTCACGTTGTAGTTGATGTCGACTAGTTCGGCGGGCTGGGACAGTTTGCAGTCCAGGGTCATGTAAGTCGTCTCGATGCTGAATGACGAGTTGCGGTTTGCTAAAGATGAGACGGGCAGGCCGACGAGAGAAGAGTACATACCCTCTGGTATGTCGGTGTTGGAAAGATCGGTCCAGCCGTCTTGATCTTGCGGGAGCGTTTCGTCGAGCCAGGGGATTTTCACGTTGCCCCAGAGATCCATTGTGCCTGACTTTGTGGCATTCGATGCCAACATGGAGCTGATGTACGTGGGTTTAAGCGCTGTCATGAGCGAATCAACGCCGGATACGCCGTCGAAGACCTGGTTAGTTATGGTGTCTGGATAGCTGACTAGACCGCTACTCGTGCTCAGCTCGATGCCAGTCGAGAATAGGCGCAGTGAAGCCTGGGAGCCCAAGGGGGAGCATGTCCAGCACACCAGCAGCACAAGGGACATGGCATTGATATTGCGCAGGGACAGTTGGGCCGTAAGAGCCGAGAACACAGTTCTGCTTTGCATTATTTGCTCGAGCAGACCAAGCCGAATCCCTCTTTCCAGTCGCCATGTTGCGAAGCGTTTGAGTGTCGAGCCTAGGACGGCGGCGAAGAGAATTGTGAACAGAGTAGAAATCTAACAAAAAAACCCATCAGTCAGTCGATCGAACCCGTACTCGTCCAAGTTTGTGATGAGATGCGTACCGTGCTCGTGGCCTGTCGGATGTAATTCGTCTTGTGCTCCGTGACTGGGTCATGGTCGTACCTTGAGACCACCACTGCAAGCCAAATGAATGGAACCGAAGCACCCACGGCAAGTGTGCAGAGGATGACCTCCAGGATCAAATCCACTCCAAACTTGCCAACCCTGCCCGGTCCAAGATTGGTAGATGCCGGTGGGAGGCTGTTTACACCCGGCCTCAATCGCCGGCGGTCATATTCATCTTGGGGGGTGAGAATAGGATCGTATGTGACAGATGAACCTTTTCGGCCCAAGCGGAATGACCTAGTTGGCGACTGATGACCGCTCTCAGAACCAAAACCAGAACCAAAAAGATATGGGTTTGAGCTATAAGGACTGGAGAGTTCGACAATGTCCGGGTGCGACATGGGCAGGTCGCCGTCGAGCGCTAGACCGGAGAAGAAATCTCAATCAGGAGATGCAACTTTTGAGCATGGCTCAAGAATTGAAGCTGATTGTCGTCGATATCGTTTCAAGATCGATAACTGCCGATAAAGAAGAAGGGATACTTCATCAGACTCCTTGACGGCTGCTCGCTCACTGGATCCTTCTGTACCATCAATTTGAGACATGGTGGTTGACAGTTGTACAGCGACAGCTGAGCACGAATTGTTCTTCGGCGAGCGGGCCAACACTAAGTTAGGCGCGACTTCTTGACAGCGAGATTGGCCTTGATGGAGGAGTTGATGGACCCAGGTCCGGGCAAGAAAAGTTAGAGTATGGCCCATCGTTGCTGTGGCCCTGAAACACCAGTGCCGGGCCTGTCTATGTCGTACGAATGCAGTGCAGAAACTCTTTTGTACTCCAATATTCATCCACCTCGACAATCCGTTCGGAAGTGTTCGATACCAACTGGGGCAGCAGGTCGAAGGATGACTTCATGGCGAGCCATCATCAAGCCCCAGATGACCCGGCGATCCGTGTCCATCTCTTTACCGGATGGGTATGTATTAGTACGTTCATTCAGCCTGAGACAAAACATTGCACCGGTTGGGATAAAGGGATTGCGCCTTTGTCTCATTTCCTCATGAGTAACACGGAATTCCATGTATTTGCCGACTGTCTCATCTTCCTCTGTTGTTCTAACTCATTTCGACATTCGCTTGATCATTACTACTATACTCCGGAGTAGATACAATAGCAGTTGCACCGACAAAATCAATCCTTGCCCAAATATCGGCGTATCACCAGCCACCCAGCACTTCCAGGCTCAGTATAAAGGGCCACACTCATACAGGAAGGGTTTTTTGGTTTGTTTCCTTTGGAGATCATCAATCGATACAGATTGTTGAGCCCATATCCTATTCTAATATTTGCATGCCACTACGAACTTTCTGTTCGGGGCTGTTTCGACGTCCGTTCTCCTTGTAGTCATGTCATTTCCGTTCAAATCTGGCGTTGTCGAACCCCCATAGCATCACTAGCTCGCTGCATCCCAACCTCCAAAGCCTTGACCAGATCCATACCAGCCTCAGAGCGACCTCATGTGTTTGTGTTTGTTCGTGCGGACTCCTCGATTATTGCTTCACTTCCTGCTGCCTTCTTCCCACCTTGGACTCTCCCCTAAATAGTCCCGTAGCCTTGGGTGCCACCGCTCTGGACGCGGTCAGAATAGACGCCTGGCGCTGGACGACCAGTGAGCTGTCCATGTCTCGCGCGGTCCCGACGGTCGAAGTAGACGTATTCAACGTAGAATGCGTGGATGTGGCCAGGGATATAACCGAGAAGGGTAAGACAGATGTTGACAAAGAGATCAAATCCGCATCCAGCCACCATAGCGACACCGACTGGCGGGAGAAGAATGGTGATGAGGATGATCAGGAGGGCGGGAGCTGCGTCCGACATTGTAATGGTTCGAGGTCTGTTGTTTGCTCAGTTGATAGTAAGATAACCGATCGAACTGTGGCGCTGAGTGTTTCTCAATAGTCGGTTGAGGTGTAAGAGTAGACGCGATGTCCAATGCAGGAAGAAGTGGGATGGATGAACGGCACGATCTCAACGATCTTTATTTTTATGCCTGGGAGGAAGCGCGAGATGAAACTGGGTAGAAACGACCTCTGGTCGGGTGACGTAGATGTGGCGCAGGAGAAGACTTGTGGCTGATCATCTGTGGCTGTGCAAGTCGCACATAGAGTACCTTTCCTCACTATCGCATACGAGACACCCAATTACCGACGGCTGTTGGCTAACTACCTTATTGCGAGCAGCTCCTGGCGTTCTCTCACATTATCAGAAGATCATAAATCGTTATACCCTTACATGGACTCTTTTCCTCGTTATAATGAAACAAGCAGAAACACCCAAAGGAGAAAACGAGAATCAAGCCAACAACTCACTTACGCCCACCCGAGGACTACGATCGAGGAGTGTTAACAGGTCTGGATCCTTTGACTTGAAGGCGATGTCTCTGATGCCCAAATTGGTCCGATTATCTCTGAGCGTTGAATCTGCTCCTGCCTCGAGCAGTATCTTCACCGTCTTGCACCTCCGGCTGTCTCTCCCTTTCCGTTCCACTTCGTCAATGACATCGTCCAGCGTAAGCGCGTGCATCAGTGCCGTCTTGCCGAATGTATCCCGGGCATTGAGATCGGGATGAAAATCGATCAGCATTTCCACCAACTTTGGGTCGCACCGCCGAGCTGCATCGTGAAGCAGAGTATTCCCATGCCAATGCGGGAACTCCGTCGGAAGGGGAAATGCGAGCAGCTGTTTGACAATAGCATAATGGCCACGTCTGCATGCGACCATGAGTGGTGTGAAGCCTTCCGCGTTGCGTACTTCCGTCTTGATACCTTTACAAGAAATTAACAGAGAGGTGATGGTCGAGTAGCCCCGGTCGGTGGCCGCCTGGAGCGCAGTAAAGGCGTTCTTGGGGTTGGACTCGGTGTAGCCAGCTTGATAAGCGACGGCGTTGACATTGACTCCGTGTTGAATCAGCAAGTGGACCTCTTCTGCATGCTCCTTCTTTAGTTCGCAGAAGAAATGCAAGGGTGCGTAGCCGCGACCAGTCCGGGCCAGGCCCTGCCCGCTACCCCGGCGAATGTTCTTCTCCAGTTCCATTTTCCGGATCACCATGACGTTGGAGTGGTAAGTGTCTAGAAATTGAAGAGCAACTTTGGTAGCGCGATCGAGGTTCTTTTCGGCACACAACTGCGAAATGGCCAGGAATGTTGACTCGATCGTCCGGCTCGATCGCTCGATGATGCCTGTTGAAGGAGTGTTGACGGAGTCATCGTCGTAGATCGACATGCTTCGGTCGTGAGTCGACGCGTCCGAAGGGGAACCGAAACTCCTCAAGCAGTCATTACGAGGCTGCTCAGTATCGATATCCTGCGGATTGTTGTTGAGTGTTGTAGACCTCGATATCGATAGCCTTTGCAGGTCTCCGGCTGTGGAAAACTGAGTGTACGAAGCCTGAGGTGACCGCCCGAAGTGTCGAAGGCGCTGCGCAAGACTGGATAGACTATTACGGTGGATGGGCTGAGGTTGCACGGGGGCGGCTTTGCTCTCAAATGCCATCATCCTTTGGTTCAATAGAGGTTCCTCTAAAGAGGAGGTTGACGGCTCGCGAGACACACTTTTCGGTGACGTCTCCGTAGGTAGAAGAAACACCTCATATCCTTCGGCTTCCTCCTTATCGCCCTGGGCTCGGTAAATGTCAATGACCAATTGTACCGACTCCAAAGTCTTTGCATCTTGTGGGCCGAGCTCTTTTCTTCGTTCCATAAATGCTTTTAGTGCGTGATCTTCAGCTGATTCGTAGTCTGACTTCAGCTTGAAGACTTGGCCCAGCATATGGTTTGCCGCCAGCGCCTGTAGCTTGTCGACCTGTTGATAAGGGGGCAACTGTGGTTTGGTCATAGTCTCTATCACCTCCCGAGCAACCGGAAATATATCCTCTCTCATGGCAGCTACGGGTTTCAGCAGATTGATAGCCTCCTCAAGCTTTTCCTGTTTAACGCAGGCATCGGCCAGCATCAGAACAACGTCTGCAGGATGCAACGATATCCTCCCGTCAAAGTCGTGTTTTTCCATCAGGGCAATGGCTTTTCGCAAGTGCGTCTCAGCCTCGGCGTTGTTTCCTTTTTCCACTCGCTCTTGTCCAAGGTTGAGATGCCGCTTCGTTCTCATAAAGTGGATCTCTGTATCATCTTCAGCATCGACAGCGTGACCTGATATAGAAACACTTTGCATCTTGTTGGAGTGTTGACTACGGCTTTACCAATCGCGATACTCGGCTCGGGAATCCACTGTGTTAGCCTTTCTCTTTCGGTCAAAGGCTGTGGAAGTTCGGGTGTGTATAGCTTTCTTCGATTAAGAAGAACATCTGGTTCCATTCCTGGGGAAACTGTGCTGAGAGAAGATCTTGTACTGGCAGCAGCAGAGGCAGTCGCCAGGAACTTCTTTGCAAAAGTGATGTATGTATCTATATCGTCCTCTGGCCTCAGCACTTCTGGGTCTGTGGCGACAATGGTGGCGCTGGAGAGAGATTGGGAGTGCGAGCGAGACTCAAGACTTCGGACAAGTTCCTTCACAGAATTCTCTAAACCCGTCAGCTTTGCATCTAGTGAGGCTTGATGATCACTCGTAAGATCTCTTTGCTCAAGCTGCAGCATGACGCAAACCATTTGTATAGGCAGCGAAAGAGTAGTATTGAAAACCTGGATACGTTGGCGAAGTCGCGAGAGTTCGCCAGAAGACAGCGATTCTTGCAGGTGTGCTCTGAATTTCCTTCCAAAGCCGGATGTCCGAACGATGTTGTCAAGGATATCGTTGACACGCTGTATCGTACGCCTGGAATCGTCAAGGGTTTCTTTGATCTGTCGCCAGAGGTGAGAGCCATCTGAAGTTTTGCTAGCCACGCGAGCAGCCTCTGCCACCAGAGGCGACGACAAGCTTCGTTCAAGGCCTTCGTATGTGGTTTGGAGGGCAGCCACCTCGTCGCAGAAGCTCGAGATTCGAGCATCCACTGTCCTAACATCTCCCACCCATTTGATTATCGTTATCGTGACCTGTGCGCATGCGCCGGCAATCTGTAATGCCCCTGATGTTATCGAGAAAGGATCCATGGCAGCAAAGCTTCCCAGGCCATACGTCCCGGCATAGAAATCAGATAGGTGATTCAATGCAGGATATTGAGAGCTGGAAGGGTTGAAACTGCCTCGAATATGAGAATTGGTCCAGGGCTGGTGCGGCTCAGCTTTTCGCCTCCTACCCCGGACAGAGAGTGATGACAACGGTTTGCCTCTCTTTGAGTGCAGACAACAATGAGGAGGGGGCACGAGGTCCTAGACTCCTAGTACTCGGCGGAGCAACCTCACTTTGACTTAGGTGGGGGGCAGTGCAGGCAGGGGGATGGGGTATTCGCCAGGGCGCAACCATGGCGAAATTGACGAGTCTACCTCCCCTGCAGAAGCCTCTGGGGCCCCAGCACAGCAAGAATGGAGATGTGGTGGTATCGTTGCGCAAGCTGTCGATGGCCATGCCTTGGCTGATTGGCCCACGTGGGGATTGAGATGCGGCTGAGTTGGCAAACGGGCGCCGATGGGACCAGACCAAGGCTCTTGATATAACCACGATTCACTACCATGACTGCAGCAATTGGTCTCCGGTTGCCTGACTCGCTAGTCTAGACAGCAACAAGCTATATCGGAAAATAGCGTGAATGAGTCGCGGCGGAGTATTGATATGGGTACTCAGCAGGACGAATATGATGGTTCGGCGGTCCATGCAATGTGCCTTGGTAGCTTCGCAAAAGTGAAGGCACGCTGGTGATGCCCTTCTCAAACTAAAGATTTGACGAGCCGTTTCGTGCACTCTCACTCGGTATGAACAGTACTTTCATGTGGAGCAGTGGATTAACACGTATGCAACGTTTTCTAGAACTCTCCGGTAGACAGGGTGCATAGTCTGAATTTGACACCGAACGTGATTAGGTTATCCCATTTGTGTTCGAGTCGTTATTAATACCGATGCGTTGATCCAAAAATGTTATGATAGTTCCTTAATCAGGGTAGGAAGCCCTTGATTGCGGCTCTCCCGTCAGTGACACTTTCGTGGCGCGATGAGGTGATGGACAGCAGGTCCAGCAAAAGAAATTTGGTCTGTCAATAAACAAATCAGGCATCGCTCAGGAAAGGAACCAGCCGATCTGCCTGTTGTGACATATGGCAGATGCAAGAGGCACCCGTTCGGGTATAGATGATCTAGCCTCGACTGAGGACACTGAATTAGATCACTTGCACCCAGCTCCATTCATTCCGCCCTCCAAGTCGATATGGCCAGTGATCGGTAGTCGAATGGTCGTTGGACATGGTAGGCGTTCAAAGGGAAGGTTCTTCTCCAGGGTTGATCCGCATAAATGCAGCAATATCCTGCTAACGTATTCATCGGGCCCATTTGTGACTCTCTGGCCAGAGAGATGCCTCTCATTCTGCATTACCGTTTTCTGGTGAGAATGGCCAGGCAAACCCCTGGGTTCAAGGCACCCTGAGTCTCTGCAGAGTTACACTGCTCTGTACCATCAGGTATGCCAGGGGGGCATCCTTCCGACAACAAAAGTCCGAAGCCCAGGGATACCAAGGCAGAAGCAGCACACCTTGTCTGCGTATGGATAGATAATGATCAGGGTCCTCCGACCGCATGAACAGCCCGTCCACACAACAAGTCGTATACACAGGGACAACAAGAGGAATCGGAGCATGGCCATGTACTTGCGACTTGCAATTGCAGGCTCACCGTTTCCGCTTTTCATTCGAAGCCACCACAGCGAGCTGAGAGGGGATAGTTGATCGTAGTCCTGCACCTCGAATTCACCCTTCTGCTCGTTGACACCTCGACAAGTGTCCAGAAGATGAAGACTTGGGAAGTTTGGTATGAGGTTGTGATTGAGTAATTGTATCATTGGTTTCAAAGGCACCACATTTCGTGGGGTGTATGTGAGGCCTCAGTCAAATTCTATGACCAAGTGGGACGGCGCAGCAGTCGCCCACCATCGTGACCTTGCAAACAGAGCAGACATCGAGATGATAAGATGCGAAAGATGTGGAAGCTGAGAACATTGCTGAGTAAGTTGCGTCCATCAAAGGAGGCCTTTTCTTGCCAATTCTATCTTTCGCACAGCTTCGCCAGGTTTGAACCCTCCCTTGCTGGCGCAAACAGCGATGCCGTCACTCAATTCGACCTTTTCCTCCACGTCTGGAAATGGGCACGGACAGTGGTGTGGGAAATGTACACATGCCAGGGTGTCCGGACATAGATAATTCGAGCACGTTGCTGAAGGTGGCAATGATCAGCCGATGTTCTCTTTACACAGAGAAGCGAAGAGGTGTTTCTGCCACCCAGTAAGATAAGGAATTTCTACTCACCACCCTCCCAATTCTGTCGATACCAGCTCGAGTCGCTTGCAACGTTTTGTTTCTCTTGGTGTCCTTGAGGTTGCTGTCCTCCCTGAAAGAATTGCTCGAAGAATTGAAATTGAGCGGTGGCCAGACCGATGAGAAGGAACAGAGGACTGAGAATGATCTTCATCTTTTCGAAACCAATTGCAACTGTGTTATCGAAACAAACGAGATAGCGATTATTTACCGTGCAATGAAGATATTATATCTAGTATCTTTTTGTTGCAAGTAACAAGAAAGCGGACAGTTGGTCTCTTGCCCTGATAAAACCCCCGTCGCCGAAAACGGTTAGCGTGGATTTTCGACGATCACCACTCGATTTCCGACTGCGTCGCAAAGAAATCAAGCTTGTTCAGGCAGGACTGCACGACGACGACCAGCCAGCACCTACGACCATCGCCATGCTGCAGCCTCGATTATCCAGATGTGTAGTGCCTGCGGATACATCCCTCACAGCTCTTACATCGTCGCTGAACTCCCTGAGTTTGTGTTCCAGACACCAAATCCTCGCGCCCCGGAAGTGTACAAATTTCGTCCGACATGCTTCACACGCAGCCCAAGGTCGTGCCAATGGCCCAACCGACTCTGCAGGACGGCGTCTGGGTGCTAAAAAGTCTGCGTCGGAGTACGTAGCTCCAGGGAACATCATATTCAAACAAAGAGGTGAGATTTTGACCGCACCGCCGATCAGAAGACTCCGCCGAACGATCCCAGCACTAGAATACCGATGATACTGACATGGACCTTCCCGTTACGCAGGTACGAAGTGGCATCCAGGCGAGAATGTCGGCGTCGGCAAGGACCACACCATCTACGCACTCGAGTACGGCTACGTTCGATACTACCGCGACCCTCTCAAGCACCCCAAGAGACGATACATTGGCGTCGCGCTCGAGAAGGAAGGCCCAGGCTCACAACTTCCATTGCCTCGCAATGCTCCCACGCGAAGACGGCTGGGCATGTACGCCACGCCCATCAGACACCCCGACTCCGACAAGGACTTTATGGAAGCTCACCTGAGCGCGAACAGCCACGTAGCGTTTAAGAACGGCGGAGCCACGCCTACGCCGCCCCCACCGACCATCATGCGCGAAGGAACCTACAGAGAAGCAAATGTCTCGATTGGCCGGGCCGCAGAGAGGAAGGGCATCAGTGTCCCGAGATACGATCGATCGGACAGGTGGATGGCTTGGAGAAAGCGAGCCGCTCGGATCAAGGCTACCATGGAATCCAAGGCGGCCAAAGGCACCAAGAAGTCCAAGGGCAAGAAGTCAAACAAAGGCGCCAAGATCGGTGGAAAGAAGAGATAATCGACCAACCAGGCAAATCTCTTGCTCGCTTTCTAAATATAAACAATGTATAAATACCTACAAGAAGCCAGTCATCACCACCGTCACACGTCGCGTGATGCCGCGGAGCCAGCGTTTTCAACAGTATTTGATTAACCTTCTTCTCATGCGCTAGTCTATACATGAACTTCGAGGACTGTGCAATTATATATCCATCCACGTGGACTAAAGACCATTTTCCGTCTTGAACTTGTCCCAAGCCTCGTTCAAGGCACTAAATACCGCACCCGCGATCATTCGCTGCTCTGTTGTTGCATCCGTGGGGATCTGGTAGGACAATCAGAATTAGCCCGAGGTGATTTCGATAGGTTTTGAGTCTTGACAGCATGCTGAAGGAGACTTACCTTGTCAGGATGCACCTTCGCAATGCCTTTCATGTATTGAATTTTGACTTTCCCAGGCAACACCAGATCAGCCATGCTGATCTTCTTCCATCCTGAACCCTCCCAGAGCACATTGTCCAGACTACCCAACAACGCACGTAAATTGTCCGCCTTCCCCCCTTTCCACGCTTGAATGCGTGCGTCGACAGAGTCCGACAGGCGGAATTTCTCATCGTCGGCCTTTTCAGCTGCTAGATTTGCTGCGCGTAGCCGATTCACCGCTGCTGCGGGAGGTGCAGACGCGGCCTTTGCGGGCATCGGACTGGGTCTGGACATGGCTTTAGGCTTCGGCGGTGCTTTCGGAGGCTGAGGGCGGGCCGCCTTCTCCGCACGCATGCGACCTTGTATACTCGTTGCACCACCGTGGCCGCCTTCGACAGCTTCGCGCCATACGAGAGCCGCGTCGCTCCATTTCTCCATTTGTTCCAGCGCTTCAGCCTTGCGCATAAGCGCCTTGCCGTAATAATCGCGCATGGGCTTGTTATCTTGGCCGTTTCCTGTGGCCATGTTGATGGTCTCGTTCTCCCCCTTGGAGTTTCCTATCACAGTCATGGCACGATCGGCATCAGAAATAGCGGTTTTGGGCTCGCCTATCTTGAGCGCGGTTAGAGCGCGGTTGGTTAGAAGCACAATAAGGAGTGGGTGAGAGTCAGGGAGATGGGATATAGATGTGGTGTAGGAAGTGTGCGCAGACGAATAGTCTCCACGCTTGAAGTGTTCGTTACCCTTTTCGCGGTGGGAGTGGCTCGCCTGGAGGCTAATAGCTGAGACCGCCGGTATGGTGCGACTTGGTGGAGGTGGCCGAACTGCCATACCCGTCTGTCGGTGAGGCTGTGGCTGAGAGCGTGCGGGAGGCGAAGCCCTTGCTGCAGTTCTTGGGGCTGGTTGCGGCTCGGAAGTAGCTTTGAAGTTCCCATCGAGAAGATCGGGTTCAGAAGCAGGATCTACTGGTTGCTCGCTCGCTGGAGCTCTGCGTCTTCGCGCAGAACTGACATAAGCTTGGGCGGCTTGTTCGTCTGCGGTTGCTCTGTTCAATGCGGCCCTTGACGTTGCCGCAGGTGACGGAGTCTGCTGGCGTAAGAAGGCAGGCTGCTTCTGGGGGAGTGATTCTCTTAAACGATGTGGAATGGCTGGAGAGTGGTCTCTAGAAGAGTCTGCACTGGGATCGAGCCAACGGTCCGTCCTGGATGAAACTGTAGGGCGCGGTGGTGGAGCCGGTCGATCAGATTCAAGCATCAGGGCCTCGTCTGTTACATCTGAAGGTTTCTGACCGTCGGGGACCCGCCTACTGGGGTCTGTCATGCCCGAACCAACATAACGTGGATGTTGTTGATGATCAATCCGGTGTGGTCGCTCTGCTTCTCGCATCCAGCGTGGCTGACTGGAAGATTCGCCGTCGGCATTGAAATCCTGAACAGCCTGCTGGACACGTTTCGTGCTTTGTTTCCAGAGTGACCCAGCTGTCTTCAGAAAGTTGGTGCCAAATTCCGCTGCCATCTGCTCGAAATCTTTGTCTGAAGCACCTGGTCGTCCATGTGGCCGACTCCGAGACCCGCTCCCATCGTCGCGTCTTGTTCGGCGTTGAGACGATTCTTGATCTGCCTGGCCATTCTTGAGTCTGCCTTCCCTGTCATGGTCAGGCTGGTGCGAATCACGGCCTAGGGATTTTTGCCTTGCTTCAGCATGTGCCTGGTTCAGCAGATATCCCACAGCAGCCTGTACATCCGTTCCCGTTTCTGTGGTTTCGAGAGCAAGCCGTGCTTTGTCTGCGGGGAATCCCATGTCTACAAGTTCAGCTATGGCCTTTTCTTGAGGATGTATATCTTCAGCATGACTATCTTCCTCGCGAGGCAGTCGATCGGCTTTTAGGTGAACCGAGGCAGGCTCTCCAAGCAAACCAAGGACATCATCATCGTCTGCAGAGGTAGCAGTTGTGGCCGTATCGGTCCTCCGAGAAGCAGAATTCAATAGTTCGAAGGGATCGTCTTCCTCATTATTCTTCACATTGTCGTTGGAACTCGTTGCAAGGGGCTGATTCTGCCGTGGAGCTGGCTTATTGAAGGCGGCAAATAGATCATCTTCTTCATCGTTGTTGTCATTTCGTGTATTGTTTGGCAAGTTTCTAGAGGCAACGTTTGGACCATCCACGACAGGGGTACCTCTCCCACTCCCAAGGTTGTTCCAAAACTGATCATCTCCGCCAGCATATTGATCATGTATACTTTGAGTTGTCTTCTGCTGCTGCTCAAGTCTTGTCTCTGCCTGTCTCTTTTGTTGCTCTACGAGCGATAGGTTCTTGTTTGCGCCCGGCCCGAATGACACTAGGTTGGCAAAGCTATCGCTCACTGGAGTGGTGGATTTCGCTCTAGGTTGGGTAGCAGAAGATGCGTCGAGAGGTGTTGCTCGTCCAGAGTTGGGCGGCGTAGGTTTGAACGTAGAAAACGCATTGTAATTAGATGTCGTGCGTGGTTGGCCGTTTGCCGGGGTTGAAGTCCATTTCAACCCCGCGATGTCATCCATATTAGCAGGAAACAGGGAATCATAAACAGCTAGGACAGCAAGCTAGAGCAGCTGGTCGCGGAACAAGAAAATAGAACAGCCATAGAATCGTGCTTTGGCGAGATCTGCGCAACTTGTTTCTCGATGCACGAATAACAATGGGGTCAAAGATGTTGCGTGCCCCTGCGCCACAGTGACAGTTGTGGCGCCACAGAGATACGGCGTGCAGGGCGTCAATTCAAGCACCTACATCGACCACTTCTCACTTTATGGGCAATGAGACCGCTGCTATCATGTCATTTGCTAGGGGTCTTGAGACCTTTGAGGAGCGCCTTGAGGGGCATTTTTCCTCCGAAATAATGGTCGAAGCTTATATTCATCCATATGGCTTCACCTGGCCATCATACCGTTCTGAAGTATCCGATTCTAGAAGATGGAACGGCGACCCAAGTCATTGTTACTACGTAGTACTTCCGCTTCGGAAGATCGTCTGTAATGGGCCTCTCTCTGAGTGGCATGAAGTCTGCCTTGACAGTCTGCAGTCCCTCCCAGGTGGATTCTTCGACTGTGCCCATCCACATGAGTACAACATCTTCTTCGACAAGGGGGAATTTCCAGGTTTTGGCTCGCTCAATTACCGCCTGAAGCTGTGGCTTCTTCACAATGGCAATCTCGAATTCGATCTTGAGTTCTCTGAGCCCTTTGATCTGGCATACCTGACCTCCCCAAGTCGACAAAGTACTGATTCGCGGTGTGATATAGTCCACACCGGGATCTGGTGGCTCAGCCAGCATCTGTTGACACGAGGTTCTCGACTCTCTCCAGGGACAAATCCCAAGCCGGTCATTGCTCATTGGGGGGCTCTCCCAAGACCACCAATCAAAATGGCGGATGGTGAGGTGCAAGCATGTAGTTTTGAAGTTGAACGCATGACAACCGAAGATATTTGTCAGGCTCTCGAGGTACATCTGCTGCGCGAAGATATGGACCGTCTGGACAGCTTGCCTTTGGTCGGTGTTCATTTTGTGAAAGTACTCGTCCCATCGCACAGGATGTCTCTCTCGCCGACCAACTGATGCCCCAGGACCATTGAATAGCCAGAAGACATGCTCATTGACGGCGATGGGCAGAAGACGAGCCTCTTCATAAATGCGCTTACAAGTTAGTAGCAAAGCCTGGTTGATCTTCGTATGATAGTGATACCCTGGCCTGTAGAAGAACCGGTCGGGTCTGTATGGCTTCGACGTATCGACTTCGGCTTTCAAAGCCAATGAAAAGATCTCAACACGAGTCTCAGCTGGCAACTTTGTAAACAGAGGACTACCGTCCTGGGCGTCCGCTCCAACCGTGAGCGAATACATGTCATCGCTTGCAGGTTGTGTCATGGCCTGCTAGCCTTGTGGACCTCGGGATGCCACCCGAGTGATGGCTCGTGGTTTCAAAATAACGGTCGGTGTCGGGTGTTTCAACCAAGATTAGGGATTGGCCACGAGGAGATCAGAGATCTTAGATCCCTCATAGAAATGTCTGTTGATGCTGCGTAGCTTCTTGGGATGTCGTTGTTGCAAGTCGGCGAGAGAATCGTCGTGCTCAAATATACCTGTTGTTTCCTGGCTGCCTTGCCCCGAGTCCCATTTCGAAACGCGTCTGCCTCATCAACCGAGAGCATCGCGTCTGTCTTAGGCAGCCTCGACTTTGCGCTTGGTCCATCGCAGACGGACAGGTGCCCAAGCTGTGGGGACGACGAATTGCTTACATCCTAGCGAAAACACCCCTGATCAGAGCGTTGGCGTGACCTGCAGCCCACGAGAACCGTTTTTGTTGGCAATGCAACGCCAACCCGATGTCCAATGCGGTAAGCGACAAGCCCTGCATACGGGTTCTGGAGGGCTCTGAGGTCAGTGGTCGCCAGGTTGGTTGAGAAGCACTGCCAAATACAGTCGCTATCTCCCGAAAGCACAAACTGATGCAAAGACAGAATGCGACGGCCTATGCCGCAACAAGGATATCTACCTCCGGCATGTGAGCTTTAGGCTCGAGACTAAACTGCCAGGGCTAAACAGTAGCCCGATCGAGTGGGAATTAGCGGCGCTTGTAGGGGTGCGCTTTGAATGGGCAACCGAGCCTAGAGCCTACAGGTCAGGCAGACTGTGCTGTTTGGTTCACGCGGCATCGTGAGGGTTTTCTCCTGGACTCTGCATGCGAAGAGCGTCCCAACTTCCAACCAGAGCTCGAAGTCATTAGTAGGTTATGGGGCCTCGCTAGTCCTGGCTCTTGAAAGGGACGTCCTTGGGCTGAGATGCTCCTGGGCATGGTGTGAAGACAATGCTTGATATACGTGACTGCACACCTGCTTTGCAAGTTGCGCTGCCTCGTTCGTTCATTCCTTCCTCTGTGTGCGCAGCTCAACGCAAGTCATTAGGAGCCAGGGAAATAACCCTCAACACCTTCATTTCAGATTCACTCACTCAACTTCTCCCGACATCTTGTCGCTCGTTCACTTCGATCCTCTCGCTTCCGTGACCTTCAACATCCGAAAGAGATGCCAATTTCACTGGGGACGACGAGTGTTGACTGATTCTGGTATTTGCAGTTGCAAAGGACCCAAGGAGCAATCCGACGGGACTCAAGCACGCCGCAAACTCGCCCGCGAACCGCGTGCCCATCCCTGCTAGCGAATGGCCGAGCTCCCGGGCCCGCGCACAGGTACCTGGCCTATCATACAGTGATCATTTGGTGGCGCCCAACGACTGGCAGCATTCCAAGCTCGCCCGAGACAAGCGGCGTCCACCGCTGCCTCGACAAACCTTCCCCGGCCATGAAGAGCATCTTCAGAAGAAAGGATCCCCGGTCGAGTCAACATGATCCTAGATCAGACAGAGCACATCTGACTCCTGCTGTCGGCCCTGAGCGCATACAAGACTACTCTCACAAGTCACCAAAGTTGATTAGCGATAAATTCACTTCTTCTGCATTGGGCCACAACATGCCCGACGTCTCGATCCCTGACCCTCCAGATCCGAAATCGCATCCGGCCGCTTATCTTCGGAGCATACATGCTGTAAGGCAACGAACACGCCTGGTACTCGACGAGGCCAAAAGCAATGCTCTCAACCATTTTGATGTTGATATATCCAAGTTCAAGGATACGGCAGATTACGTAGTTGCAATCATCAAGGCAGGTTCAACGAAGCTGAAGTCAGGATCACACTAACGGCTAAGATAGCGAGACTTCCAGGGAGACTATGCCTCTATTCCTCCTCATGGGCGTTGGCAGCATTTCGAAGTTGGAGGACGGCCAAGAGTTACGCAGCTGCTTCAGTCATGGCCAAATTCGATCGATAATCAAGAACGGACTCGACGACTTATCGACCTTTTCCTCGTTTCGGTGCTTCTGGACGCCGGAGCTGGCACCAAATGGTCCTACAAGTCCAAGGAATCGGGTAAGGTATATGCTCGAAGCGAGGGTCTGGCCGTGGCGAGTCTAGAGATGTTCAAAACTGGCGCGTTTAGCAGTGACCCTAATCAACCCCACCAAGTTGATGCTGCTGGGCTGCAAAAAGTCACCACCGACACTTTAGCGAAAGGAATGCAAGTAACAGAGGCAAATGCCATGTCAGGTCTCGAAGGCAGGGCCGGACTCCTCATTAGACTTGGACAAGCTCTTCACAACGCTGAGATCTTCGGTCATGACGGGCGACCTGGAAATATGATAGGTTGGTGTATGATGCCTGGTGACTTGAGATTTGCTAAGTTGAGTAGATTATTTGTTGTCCCATCATACTACACAGGCTGCGTCAGTGCCTATCATCTTGATGCCAACTTTATGGAGCGTCCTAATGGACGGCCTCTCGAGCATTTGGCCCGCGACCCGAACGAATATAGCGGGAATTCCCTTGGGAGATGCCTGGCCTTGTCAAGCTATGCCTAAATCACCACCAGCTCAACCCTGGGAGACGATTGTACCTTTCCACAAGCTGACACAATGGTTGTGTTATTCTCTCATGGTCCCGATGACGAAGCTGCTTAATGTTCATTTTGCTGGCGAGGAATTAATGACAGGCCTGCCCGAATATCGAAATGGAGGTTTGTTGGTCGACACCGGCCTCTTGACGCTCAAAGAGGAGGACAGGCAGAGAGGTCTCAAGAATTACCACCAAATGGTTGGAAACGGAAATGCAGTTGAGGTTGTCCCGACTTTTGAGCCAGGCGACGATGTCATAGTCGAATGGAGAGCTGTCACTGTGGGATTCCTTGACGATCTACTTGCTGCTGTGAACAGAGGTCTCGAGCTGGGCGCTTCTGAGCAGCTGACTCTCGCCCAGATGCTTGAAGCCGGCACCTGGAAGGTGAGCAATCAACGAGGACTGCTTGAGGCGCGCTAACTCTTCAATAGGGAGGACGAGAAATTGCAAAAGTTTCCCGGCCAATTACTGGGGGACCACCTATCGGCATCATATCAGATGGTACAGTCTTCTAAGAATGGTTTGAATGTTTATCAGTACGCTGGTAGGGGATTATTCAGATGGAGGATCAAAGAGACAGATTCATGAAATTACGCAGCTCTCGGCTACCAGTACATCGCTTCCACGACCATAAATTCCACATCCAACGTGCTTTCAGAGAGTTGCAAGAATCAAACCGCAGCTGTTGAATCTCGATTCTGATCGTGACCCCGCTTCGTCGGTCAACTGCCGTTGTTGAACTAAGAAACGTCGAGCTATTCTGGACCAGCTTTGACGGCCGTGATTTAGGATTCAGTCTCTTGCTGTCGAATGATACTCTTGCCCTGTGCCGTGATTGTCTTCGTCTGACTCACGGAGCAAGCGTCTCTCTTCAGCCTGGAACTGGTGTCTACTCGAAGACACCAAGATAGGGTACGTTGACTGAGTCCCGTTGCCCAATATTTGCTTTGCTGTGGATCAGAAACTAATGCACCCGTTGCGCGGATGGTCTTGACTTACTAGGAAGACCCAGTTCAAGGCTCCTGCAAACACGGTCAATACAGCAACCAGCGTTTCTTGTCTTGTCCAAGGCTCTAAGCATCTTCTTGTATATCCTTGTGTTCGTTCGCAAGCTCGAGCATCAACATCATGGCTTGGAAATGGCCATGCACGATCATGCAGGGAGTTGTAACCACAGCAGCGGAGGGCGTTCTGTATGGCACGGACACCTACTTCGTCCTTGCTCTGGAACATTCGTTTCCATCGATTTTCCATGTTGCATTGTATCATATCAGATGGCGAGGCGTATACTGCCGCTATCACCAGGGCAATCAGTGGGAGCAAGGTTGTGAAGTACCAAGCGTATGGGTATAGAAGGTCACGGACACCCCTTCCAGCCCGGCCTTTCATTCTTGCCATAAAAGGCACTAAGAAGGGGAGTACCAATGGCAAGGCGATGTTGAGAACCGGAAGAGCAGACGGGAAAGGCAGAGAGTATCGGATGACTAGCACCCAGGAAACACTGTCATGGTCAGAGATTCGGTTGCTTGTCGGAGCGTGAGAGACATACACTGAAAGAACGACAGCAGCAGTTGCAAACTAGGTACGCAAGACAGCATGTTAGTGACCCTCTTGCGGATTGGAGAGACGCGACCACGACTGACAATGCCACCTGCAATCAGGACGTTCTTTGAAGGACCCATCATTTTGAACACTTCTTTCAATCTTGCCTTTCTACTTCGAGATGTCCTTGTGCTGAGTTATTCCTGTGGAATCAATGACCTTTGAGCAGATGGCGAACAAGAGTGGTAAGTCGAAGAGATGGTTGACTGCGGCATGGTTTGCTTGCCCAAGAGGCTCTCGAGTCAAAGCAGCAGAAATTCTGCGCAAAGAGAGGGGTAATGCAGGTGGAAGCCTGGCTGACGACCTCTGTCTCACAAGATTGGCCATGAAGGCCATGCACGAGACAAAGAAGAGATTCCCAGACTCCTGCTAGTTCGACAGCGAATTGATGCTACTCGTACAGTCACGGCTGCGTTGGCGGGGAGTCAGATCCCTTTTGTCACTCGTTTCTGGCTGGCCTGGAACTCTCACTTCCAGCCAGCCTGCATCATCCAGCCGCTGGTGCCCGACACAAAGCAGAGGGGGAGCAAATATGCTTACTGCCTCCTCAGCCTGATGGGCAGTGCCTACAGGATCCTAGGAATGTCCGCCTGTCATTGACTTCTCCTCCACTGAGGTTTCAGCCTCCGATCACTCTAATGTTTGTTATCGTCACGTCTTTGTTGCATGTCTACCGCTTCCTCTCATATCAACCCATCTCCATCAGACGTGCACTCTTTACTTCTTTCTTGCAGATTACATTTTGATACGACGTTGCAATATGTCTTCTGGCCGCGGCAGAGGGCTTCGCGGCGGCGGAAGAGGTGGCCGTGGCGGTAAGGCTGCTCAGTCTACTCAGCCCAATCAATCTCTCGCCCTGAGGTATTCCGACCCCAGATCATGTTGTAAATATGCTAATCAACCTACAGACTGGCATCCGCTAAGCCGGTACAAGATATGCGTGTCAAAGAGGTGGAAGACCAAATTCAAGAATCTATCAAATCAGCCAAAACCACCGATCTCTCCACTCTTCCACTACGTCCTGGATACGGCACAAAAGGAATGCAGATACTCTTATGGACGAATCATTTCGAACTGACGGGATTGGGTGACCTTGCTGTGTACCGTTACGCAGTCGACGTGGCACCGGACCGGAATGGACGTGCTCCAGGCAGAAAGAGACAACGACGAATTGTCCAGCTCATGATAGAGGATCATTTCGCCGACCAGAAGCTCAACATCACAACGGATTTTTCCTCTAATATGATCAGCAACATCTCTCTGAAACTACAGAACCCTTATCAAGTACAGTACCGGGAGGAAGGTGACGATGTGCAAGCCAATGCCGTAGTGTACCAGGTGTCGGTACAGCCAACAGGAGTCATGCAACTGTCGGATCTGCTGGGTTATGTCACGTCTACCTCAGGTACAGCTGCTCTTGATTCCAAAGAAGAACTCCTCCACATCCTCAATATCATCATTGGCCACTATCCCAAAGCAGTGCCTGAGATCACCTTGGTGGGAGCGAACAAGTACTACAGCATAGAACAACAATCGACAGCGTTTGCGGGGACACCCTTGGGTGCCGGCCTCAATGCCATGCGAGGTCTGTTTACTAGTGCTCGAGCCGCCACTGCTCGGATCCTGATCAACGCACAAATCAAACACTGCGCATTCTACGAGGCTGGGCCCTTGGACATGTTGATTACCAACTATCAGAATGCCAATGGTCCCAACAAAGCAAAGTTGGAGGCATTCTTGAAGAAGCTCACAGTCAACACAACTCATCTCAAGAGACGAAACCGAGCAGGTCAAGAAGTGTTCCGCATGAGACAGATTCAAGCACTCGCTTCACCTCGTGATGGCGAAGGACAAGCTCATCGACCGCTGGTGTCAGAACATGGGGCAGGTCCGATGAATGTCAAATTCTGGTTAGAGGACGAGAACACCTATATCTCTGTGTTTGACTTCTTCAAAAAAGGTTAGTCACTGCGAAGCCCGTTTGGGTGAGAGAGCACTCTCCTAATACTACGCATTAGCATACAACATCGTCATCAAGAACACGAAAATGCCTGTCCTCAATGTTGGAAATAAACAGAAGCCGGTTTACATCCCAGCTCAAGTTTGCCAGGTGCCCGAGGGACAGCACGCTTCCACCAAATTGAGTCCAAGGCAGACCTCAGCCATGATCGGCTTCGCCGTGAGACCTCCCACAGAGAATAAAGATTGGATAGCCCACTCTGGCGCGAGCCTCGTCGGTCTCGTACCCGCAAATCAGACCCTGGTACGTTCCGTGCACACTGGCGTTTTTGAGAAGATATTTACTAACCATGAGCCGTGGGCAGAACGCATTTGGTCTCAAGGTTAGTCCGGAGTTGCTTGCAGTTCCAGCACGCATACTCGATGGTCCCAAAGTTATGTATTCTGGGAATAAGCAGATCATCCCTTCCTTCGGAAGTTGGAATCTCAGACAGGTGCGTTTTTCTGGCTCGGCCCAATTGACCAATTGGACATACCTGAGCATTCACATGGGCGGTCGGCCGCTTCCATGGGCAAACCAAGACAAGCTCAAACAGGCCGTTGGCAAGTTCGAGGCGAAGATGAGAGAGGTAGGTATGAGAGTGAGTCCGGCAGCGGGGGGGCTATCAATATCCGTGACGCCAGCCACTGCAGAAAGCGAAATCAATCGTGCCATCAACATCTTCACGGGGACCAATAATCGACCGCCGCCGCAGTTGATCCTGGTGTTTCTGCCAAACAAAGACACGGCCATCTACAACCAGGTCAAATACACTTGCGACGTCAAGGCGGGCTTGCTGAATGTCTGCGTCACCGAGAAATTCTTTAATGACAACAACGACCAGTATTTTGCGTGAGTGCTCTCACCTGACCATTTCTCCCCTGGCCATCACAAACACCTTACCGTACATCTTTACTAAAAAACTCCTTCCCCACAGCAATGTGTGCCTCAAGGTCAACCTGAAGCTCGGCGGGCGAAACCACAGCCTCGAAAGTCACAAACTCGGCATCATTGCAGAGGGAAAAACCATGGTTGTCGGACTCGACGTTACCCATCCATCGCCCGGGTCAGCGCCGAACGCTCCAAGCGTGGCAGCCGTCGTCGCGTCGGTCGATCGAATGCTCGGGCAGTTCCCCGCGGAACTGCTCATCCTCCCACGACGGAAAGAGATGATCACGGGCCTGAAGGAGATGATCAAGACGCGGCTGGTGCTGTGGCAGAAGCACAACGGAAGCCTCCCGGACAACATCCTGGTGTACCGCGACGGGGTCTCGGAGGGCGAATACGCCAAGGTTCTCGGGCAGGAGGTGCCCCTGTTTCGCGAAGCCGGCAAGGACCTGTACCCTGCCGACCGGACCAAGGCGGGCTTCCCTCGCATCACCGTCATCGTCGTCGGCAAGCGCCACCACACCCGCTTCTACCCTACCAGACCCGACGACGGCGACCGCAACATGAACCCCAAGAACGGCACCGTCGTCGACCGCGGCGTCACCGAGGCCCGCAACTGGGACTTTTTCCTCCTGGCCCACACCGCCGTCAAGGGCACCGCCCGTCCCGCACACTACTACATCGTGCTCGACGAGATCTTTCGCAGAGCAGCTGCCCCTGGAGGCGGAGCCGGAGCCGGAGCCGGAAGAGGGAGAGGAAGAGGAAGAGGAACTGGAGGTACGGCCGGTGGTGCGGTCGGCAGCACGACGAGACAACAGCAGGCCCAACCCCAGAACGTCGCCGACGTCGTCGAAGACCTCACCCACAGTCTCTGCTACACCTTCGGTCGCGCCACCAAGGCCGTCAGTATTTGCCCGCCCGCCTACTACGCCGACCTTGCCTGTGAGCGAGCGAGGTGCTACCTGAGCCAGTTCTTCGACCCCGATTCCGTCGAGAGGAGTTCGACAACCTCGACCACCGGCACCGGTGCCGAACCGGACAAGACGCCGCTGGGTGTTCACGAGAATGTCAAGAATGCCATGTTCTACATCTGAGAAAGTGGTGAAACAAAATCTGTCTGGCGGTGGAGTGAAGAAACAAAGGGATTTCGTCGTTTGGACTGTTGAACCGTGGACAGTGGACTGTGAACTTGTCGTCATTGGATTCAGCGGGGCAATTGTGATGACGCAAAGCAATGCAAAATATCGATAACGAGTAAGTTGGGAGGTACCAGTGTATCGGGTCAGCCCACCCAAAAAGTCAAAAAGAAATTTGGGTTTGGAACGGACTCTATTATCTGCTCATACAGCCACACCGATGACTACCTTTTGGGATGGATGGGGCGGACTGCTCAGGGCTGTTTTTCTGTCAATATCGAATTCCGGATTCGGACTAGGGATTGGCATTACGATTGGGATTTGTGTTTGTGCTTTATGCCCATTAGACAATTGACTTTGCATACTGGATACTTGGGTTTCTTGGAACTCTTTTTTGCAGTTCGAGACCCACGTCGCTTGGCCGTCGCACACTCTTATTTCCTATTCCCCCAAACGCCTAGAAGGGCCCCGAACCACTCGCTGCCGTGCAATTGACGAATCCAGTGCACTGAAAGTCCAATCAACATGCGACAGCCCACTACCGTGGGAGGCCACCTCCACCTTTCGGGTACCCTTCAATTACTTCGGGTCTTGGAGGAGAGCACAGCATGCCCCTCGACAGCATACCGAATATCGGACTGCGCTGTGGCCCCCTAAGACCTCATGGAATCTCGTCTTTCGGGCCGTTCGCCTCCAGCAAACACGAACGAAGCCGTTTGTCCCTTGCTGTGCCTAGAACTGTCAGCTAGTAGGCGCTTCGAGCAAAGTCTAATCTTAAAATTACGTCGCGAACAGTGCATGGTTTTGGCGAGAAGATGCGGCGACGACTATAGTCCAATGACCCCAATTCCCATAGCACTGTTCTCGTCGCGTGGACATACGTGGATTCCATGGTGAGTGGGCGCTTGGAATGACTTTGGCTGATTGGTCTGTGCTTGCATTTGCCTTTTTGGCTTTCTCCCAGGGCATCTGTACCTGCTAGTCGCATTCTCCTTCAAATTCCCTCTTGATGTGATGCACGTTGAATGGTGGTGTCGTCCCGTACAAAGATTGACAAGTACGTAAGCGAGCTCTGTTAGCGTTCTGCGTGTGGCTTCCGGATGAGATGGTACGTCAGACACGTCGGGAGGTGACGGGGGACCGGGATTCCCCTGGAGTACGTCGAGTGCCTAAAGCCGCTCGATATAAACACGTTTACCGCTTGGGTGGTGGCGAAGGTGATGACAAGCATGAGTTAGATGGTCCTCTTGGCTCTTCGGTACCCTGAATGGGTATGTCACGCCATCAATTTCATGGCTTCATTGTATTTTCAAGCCTCAAGAGGCTCATTCGTCCAATCACCACAGCCCACACCGCGAGCACATTCTGCGATAGCAAAGAAATAACTTTTACGGACCTTAGCTGATGCATTTGGCCAGTCACTTGCACCCATCATTCATGCAAGGCGGTCTGTAGCCCCCACCCCCTCGAGTGAACGGGTCGCTTGGTTTTGACGGCGTTCGATCAGTTGACATTAACGGAACTCTAGGTAGAAGGAAGGGCAACTGGTCGGGCAGTAGTCCCTGCTTTGAGCCTTGGACTTGGACTGGCCGAGTTTCTATGCTCCCAACATTAACATCAAGGCTCCTTGATCGTCAGACCACTGCACTGATGGGCCATACAGCAATCCCTGATAGTACCGAAGTCGACGTCTTATGCAAACTGGTGATCGGGGATGCTTGTTCGACTACGCAAAATGAGGCGTCGGCTGAAGACCTCGAGATGGACAACGGCCATTGGGTGGATGCTGGATCGGTAATGGATGGCTCTGCAGGCAGGCTGAGAATGTTGCTCGCAGTTGGAGCTATGATGGAGCAACTTGAGACATGTAGACTTTGTAAGAGCTCCAGGGCTCGTCATATGAACGTTATCCGAGCTAGAGCAGCTATACGACAGATTGATGCGAGTGCATTGTTTGCTTGTTGTCACCATGTTGGAAAACATATCCAGATTAGCATCTTACGGGGGATCCTAACTTGCTGGAGGCGAGCCTGAGCCTGATCTCAGAGGCCTCGATGTCATCGAGCAGACGTCTGCTGTGCAGTGTTGCTGGGCAGGTCAGCTGAGGGCTTGCAATGGCACCGATCGTGGATTTTGTGTTACGTGGCATGGAGATCGGACGAGATCACTGCATGGCCATGAGGCGGTTTGTGATTGTTGGCGGCGTATGCACAGTACCATTGACCTATCATCATTGCATTGTCCTCAGTCGGCTGATCGAGCTGCATCCTTGCGTTGGCCTACATACGCACTTCTTCCGCCTCCCAGAAGCGACGGGTGTGGTGTTGATCCTTCGAGATAGACGAGAAGAAGTGAGGCTCTTCCTGGGCCGGCCGGGATTGCTCATGCAGGTATGGTCGAGGTGAAGTCGAGGATGGTGAATGAGGCGGACGATCAGGCTGGCAGATCGGCTCTCGCGGATGCTGCCTTGACTACTTGTCATGTATCACTGCGACTCGTATTTGCATCCTGAGACACAAAGGAGGTCGGGGCGGCGGTCAATCTGTCAGTAAATCTGAATGCCGCATGATGGGCCTCGTGCAAGGCTAATGCCTGAAAAGAAGCCATTGACATCGGCGAGGTGAGGGATCAGGAAAGGTGTCGTGTGGGTGGCTTGATCCCCTGTCTGTTCCGTGCACCTGGCCAGCATTCACTCTGTTATGACAGGAGCTACGCAGAGAGTGCCCGTGTCCGCATCAATGAAACGAGAGAAAGGAAAGCGTCGACGCCAGGTGTTGCCTCTGGCTCAACAACTGGTAACGTTTATCTGGCGTCGTAGGAGCTTCTCACATTTTTGTCAAACACCTCCACCGTTTCTTTGCCGCCTCGGACTGCATACTCCATTCGTCGTATTTGAACCTAGTTGGCGACTGCTCGCGAAGTGGATTTTTACGAACCTGCGTCCGTCAATCGCGGTTCCGCATGGCCCTGCCCGATGGCTGTGTCTCTAGCCCCATAGCTTGCTGCTGCCCCTGCGACAAATCTTCCCTCGCCAGTTCTTCGTGGTCTAGCCACAGCTTCTCGGTGTCTGCTGGAGCGCACCATCGGACCCACCAGGCGCATCTTGAATCTGGTGGCGAGTACGCAATCATACCTCAAGCGTATGCCGTCGTATGCTTGTCAGAACGGATCGATCAATGTCGGTGATCAGATCCCGGAGCAATGGTTCAGTGAGATGGTGAGCCCAGATCTGTGTTCTGTCAAGCAACCAGCTCCGTGCCGCTGAACAGGAGACCGACAGCCCAACCCTGACACCATATTATAGTGCAGATACCACAATCTTAGATGGTGCATGCAGCTCTGGTGACCATGGCCCCGGGGACATCCCATGGCGATGCTACAATATCCAGCCATCTTCGTCATCTTAGGAACCCGAGATCTTGGTATACAGCATGACACCCGGGGGCCAGGGACGAGCCTGAGCTGGCGTCAACTCTACTGCGGAACCATCCACCTACAGCCGAGATGCGAGACTCATTGCTCTTGCAGGACCCCGTTTTTCCGCCAGAGGTGTGGGCTCAGCTTCCTCGACGAGCAGTAGGTGGCTCACTTTTCTATCAATACAGTGGCCAGCTGTCACCGCCTGTTTTTCCTCTGTGGCCTTCTTTTGGCTGATAGTCCTTATTGTTTTTGACTCCCGCATCTATCAATATTCATCTGGTTATGCAAGTGGCGTCTGCTGTTCCTGTCCAGAGTGATGCATCCTAGTATTCAACCTGGCGCTAATTCTTGTGCAAACGGGCATCTTCCCCTGTCTCAACTCTATGGACGCGGTCCAACCCTTTCAAGCCGAATATGATGTCTTCGATTGGCTCTTTGCTTGCACCCTGATGAATGCCAGAGTCGGACGTCGCCAGTACCATTTGACTTCAGTTTCTTGTATGCCTGGAAAGGCCGCTACCAGTGGAGACCTTGCCCAACAATAGAAAAAGACCCAGGAAGGGAATACAAAGTCCTTCGAATACGAGTCCTCTTTCCACACCTTCTCCTCGATACCACAAACAATATCACATAGACACCCCGACACGAGTTACGAGTGTCCAAGCGATTCCTGCAGGAATACAATGCACCGTATTTCAGCCTCAAAGGACTAAAAGTCCCTGAAATCACCAATACTTGCTGCAGATACGACAACTCGTCATTTCCGCACACTCCTACCACCTCCTACACAAACACCTCGCAAGATCTTGAGCTCTCTTGAGAGGAGACCCGCACAGGTGGGTTCACAGCGAGATGATGTTGAAGGCTGCTAAATCACACTCAGATATCAAACCAAGATAATCCTGGACCCATAGGAGTGCTTTGCTCTCCCAGGACCCTTCTCGACGGCCCCGATCGCCAGTTAGACTGCTTCATGGAGCTCGCAGTTGGACCACCCTCCAGGATTGCGGCTGGACTGGCGCTTCAATCACCCATCGTTGTGACATTCTCGCCTACCAAGCCGAACGAGAGTAAGGCGGAGGACCAGAGTGACAACGGCGGCGAAATCATGGAAACAATGATGAGCGCCGACTTCAATGGAGTCTGGGCGCTGCTGTCTCTTACGACACCTCAGATGGACCAGAGCTTGGCGCCGCCACGAACAGATCTGCTCCGTGGTAGAACGGCGGATTCTATCCATCCTGTCAGTCAAGAGCAGGAAGGAGATAGTCCTACACTCGCATACGCAACCTTTTCAGACATTACCATAACCCAACCGGGACAATACAGACTCAAGGTGTCCATCATCGACATGAATAGGTAAGGTGCATTGGATGACTATTTCGGGAAGTGCTGACCAAAGCACAAAGTACTCTCATGCAGCAGTCTAAGGGCACATCCACGGTACTGCCTTGCCTGTATTCGGATGTGTTCGATGTGGTGGAAGAGAGTGAGCATGGCACTTGTGGTAAGTTCGTGAGGACTTGTAAGGAGACAGTCAAGCTGAAGTTCACAGATGTTAAAACACTAGAAAAGGTGGAACACCTGAGATCAATTGGAGTGAAGTGCTAGAAGACAGAGAGCCACACTCTGTGATGAGATATTTTCCACATTTCGGCAGGTCATTATTGAAACCGCACAACATGCCCTCACTAAAGAGCCTTTCATCAGAAAGGGGGATCATGTGTCATAGGAATGATACGATTAGTACGCAGGTAACCAAGCTATATGGAGCCAATAGGAGTTAGACTTGAATCTTTCGCCAACAAATCGCAAGGGTGTTTACAATTGCAATGTCCTTCAGGTCACTCACTTGAACGCCATTGGAAGTCTCTCTCTCACTGTCGGTAAAGGTTGGAGCCTCACCAACGAATAGACACATGTAGCAGCACACCTACAACCAGCCACAGACTTGACCATTAGAAGAGATGCAATACCTTGCTGGGGACATGAGACAAGGTTGTCAGCCTCACCGGGCCGGGTCAGGTGCGGTTGAGGGCTCCAACTTCGCAAACTCCCACCATCAAAGACGTAAGAGGGGCTGTTGAAAACAGGTGCAAGAGGATGATCCATGACGAGGAGATGATGATGATGATGATGATCTTTATGAGAAATAGAGTGTCATGTTGCGTCTGGCCTAAACCAGCTTGGTGCAGGGCCCTTGACGTCTGGGGAGTCTGTACTCGTACCTGTCTAATAATAATAATAATACATGTGCGGATACGGAGTACATGACGCAGTAATGTCGAATTGCCCTATCGGCCGACTTGCCCTTCGTAGGTGACAATCGGTACATAAGCGAGCTAGTCGTTAGGTAGAAGGGTTAGTCAACTACGAGTACCTTACAGTAGGTACTCACGGGCAGTCAGTTAAGTTAGTGGTCGCTGATCTGCCATTTCCGGGCGCTAACTCGGGGTCCAGCCGCCTGAACCACACAGGATCAGGCTCGCTCTCACGCCGTCTCAGGCACTCGGGCGCCCCCACCCCTCTGGCCAGACTTCAAACTTAGCCCCTCAAAACGCCTTATGGCACTCCTTACTCGATGGGTGCAGGCGGGCAACTGAAGAGAAAGTGTGCCCTGTCTTTTTGTAACCCTTCGCAACAAATGTGTTTTATGATTCACCACTCCGTCCATGTCTACAGACACGACAGCACTGGCCGAATTATTGATACTGTCTGTCCAAATTATGATTGTTCGCGACACCACTTCGTCTCTCCTATGCGCCCGCTAATGAAGCCGACACTACGCTCAGGGCACCGCTTGTCGTCTCACCTTCTCCCTCCTCACGCATCATGACAGATCCGCGGGTCGCGTCACAGAAACACCCTCGCTCCCAACCTCGATCTCAAGATGCGCATGATGGCCTGGGCGAGTTCCGTTTTCCTCGAAACCAAACACAAGAGTCGGAGGCATGGGCTGAAGATCGCTTTCTTTTGACACCACCGGCACACACCTCCCACGTCGATCCTATACAGCAGGCCATCTCCCACACCAATAACCGCGCTTTTCAGGCGAATCAACATGCCTCGTTTCCGGGCGCACAGTTGTCAGCCTCCCCAGACCGCTATCAAGCTATTCCACAGGAGACAGCGCTTCTGCTCGGCGGGCTGCACATCAGGACAGATGGCAATGTCATGAAACGGTCGAATTCAGGTCGATCGGTGGATTCAGACTCGCTCTTGAGGTCGAGCTCTTCTGCCTCAAGTCTTCCTCCCCGTCATCCGAGTATTCGAACGCAGCTCCATTCGTCGGCGGGCTCTGTTTCCCCTGGTGCGACCATTTCCTCTCCGCAGATCGCTGCCATGTTGGATATCACACCTCTGCCTTCTCCAACCATTGGCACATTCGAGTCGTTGCGAGCGCTGTCGAAAACCCGATCTCGGGGCTCCTCTATCTCTTCTTTAAAGTCTACCAAGGGAGACTCTTCAGCTTTGCCCGGTGCGACAGCGGCGGTGGGTACCCTGTCGCCTACTTCTCCTCGCCGTAAAGGATACGGCGTGCTTAGATCTCCCCCAAAGTCGAACCTTTCTGATGAGCAGGGTGTTTCGAGTGATGAGCCGCACCCTAGAAGTGTAAGTGAGTACGTTCCCGAGGCCCTAGCGGTTCCAAGACCGCGAAATGTTGCGGTCTCAACCACTGGACCGCACCCTGCACTGACGGACACGCCGATGCATCGTGAGGAATTCATCGGTCCCGACAGGAGAGCCGCCAAAACGTATGAGAGACCGGCAACTCCGCCCCCCGCCGCCCCTGCGACTAAGCCTGTCGATGAGGATGAACCGGCGGCCAAACGTCCGAGACTTCAGGTTTTCCACGCCAAAAGCATCACCACTGGGGAATCGAGGTTATATGAAGCAATCCGTGTCCTTGGGGTGGGAACGTTTAGCAAGGTATACCTGGCGGTGCGGCTGATCCACCACGATCGACAGGACAGCGTTGATTACCGGCAAGAGAGCATGAACATGGCCGGAGTGAAAGCACGATCTCGAAGACTGGTTGCTGTGAAGGTTGTTGAACATGGGCCTGCGGGTGGTGCAGATGCCAACCGAATCGAAATTGGGCTGAAGCGTGAAGTAGACATTCTCAAATCCATTCAGCATCCGTCTTTGGTTCACCTGAAAGCCTTTGGAACCGATGGGGGTGCCCGGGCGCTGCTGGTCATGAATTACTGTCCTGGTGGAGATCTCTTTGAGGTTGCTACCAAGTACCGAGAAGTTCTGGTCCCGACACTCGTCCGAAGAATATTTTCCGAGCTTGTTTCTGCTGCACGATATCTTCATCAAAAGTTCATTGTGCACCGAGACATCAAGTTGGAAAGTATGTTGTCCACTTCCTACATGGGCTGTATGTGCTAACTGTGATAGATGTGCTTCTGAATATCCCGGTACGAGTGCACCCCGATGTCGAAGACTGGCAGACGCTCGATCGAGCTGTTGTCACTTTGACCGATATGGGTTTGTCACGGCGTATACCGGAACCACCAGAAAGTCCACTGCTCAGCACCCGATGCGGGAGTGAAGATTATGCGGCTCCAGAAATTTTGATGGGTCAGCCCTACGACGGCCGCCAAACGGACGCATGGGCTTTGGGTGTTCTTCTGTATGCTCTGATGGAGGGACGCTTGCCATTCGATCCCCTGCCTGGTGCAAGAGGAGATCCGGCCACTTTAAGAGCGCGCACTCCTCACCGAATCGCACGATGCGAATGGGCGTGGGTCAAATATGGAGACGAGGATGGGAACTGGGATCCCGAAAAAGGACGGGAATTCGCTGGGGCCGACCTATGTGTGGACGGGCTCCTGAAACGAAATACACGACGAAAACCGCTGGCCGAACTCCGAGAGATGCCCTGGGTCAAGGAGGGAATTCAAGTCGACGGAGGTCTTAGATGGGTCGAAGAAGAGACGCTGTAACAACAAACTACTGATGAAAAATGTCTTTTGTGGTATGAGCCTGTATTATGTCTTGATATATGAGATAGACGGGCCTGGGATTGGGGACTCAGCGACGGGCTTATGGTGGATTACAACATTGGTTAGATTCTGATTGATGAGCTTGCCCGGGAAGCGCTCTCTGAGGTTCTTGAGGCGTCTCCATTGCGAGAAGTCTTTCTTCTGTACTCTGAACAACAATTTACGTGAACAGCGAGAGATTGCATGATTCGCTGCCTGCTGAATATACGTCTGGTTGATCCTAGGATCATCTATCGATGCGCTGTAGCCTGTATGGAGCCAGGGGCAGGAATCAGGCGTTCTCCGGCCCCTGGACTATCACGCCGGAGTTGATTGAGGCTCCCCGACCGGGCTCGAATTAGGCATACGCCGATTGGTCCGACTGTGACCCCGGTTCTTTCGATTCTTCGAATTTTTGGATTTGGGGAAACTCGCCTGCGCCCACTGTGAGATTCGCTTTCAAGAGCACTGGGAGTGTCGGTCAAGCTTCAGAGCTGACTTGCCGCTGTAGATCAGACGGCTGGGGTTGGTTCTGACTCATTTAATCCTCTCGTGGAAGGTTGAAAGACATTGAACAGCAGGGTGTCGACTCTCTGCAAAGCGACGCATCTCCTCCTCTCCTCTCTCAGTGTCATTCATCATGAAGGCTTCTGCATCTTTACGAAGTCTGCGCCTGCGCCAGGCAAAAGGCCGCCTTTTCTTTCCAACTGTGTATGTTACTCCTGTCCTGTCTGCGCAGGTCAAGCCGGAACACGGGATACTAACGGCGCACACTACAGCCGCAGCTTCACATCCTCACGGCGCTCCTCGTCGGAATCCAATGGCAATGACACCGGCCTCAACCGCGTCTCCCGCACCATCACCCAACCAAAGTCCCAAGGGGCTTCACAGGCCATGCTGTACGCCACTGGCCTGTCCGAAACCGACATGAACAAGCCACAAGTCGGTATCTCCTCGGTGTGGTACACGGGCAACCCATGCAATATGCACCTGATGGACCTCTCGAACATCGTGCGCAAGGGTGTCTCAGACTCAGGACTGGCCCCGATGCAGTTCAACACAATTGGTGTATCAGATGGTATTTCGATGGGCACATCCGGCATGCGATATTCGCTGCAGTCACGAGAAATTATTGCCGACTCGATCGAAACAGTCATGAATGGCCAATGGTATGACGCCAACATTTCCCTGCCTGGGTGTGACAAGAATATGCCCGGTGTGATTATGGCCATGGGCCGCGTCAACAGACCATCCATTATGGTCTATGGTGGATCAATTGCCGCTGGGTGTGCGGCGACGCAGAACAATGCACCCATTGATATCGTGTCTGCTTTCCAGGCGTACGGACAGTTCATTACGGGTGAAATCGACGAGACGCAACGATTCGACATTATCCGCCACGCGTGTCCTGGCAGCGGCGCCTGCGGTGGCATGTACACGGCAAACACCATGGCCAGTGCGATCGAGACTCTAGGCATGTCGTTGCCCGGCAGCTCCAGTAATCCAGCGGTGTCCAAGGAGAAGCAACTCGAGTGTCTTGCTGCGGGTGGGGCGATCAAGAACTTGCTCAAACTCGACATGCGTCCTCGTGACATCATGACGCGCGCGGCTTTCGAGGACGCAATGGTCCTCGTTATGATCACGGGTGGAAGTACAAATGCCGTGCTCCATCTGATCGCCATGGCAGATGCGGTCGGGGTGAAATTGACGATTGACGACTTCCAGGCCGTCAGCGACCGGACGCCGTTCCTGTCGGATCTGAAACCGAGCGGCAAATACGTCTTCAACGATCTACACCACATCGGCGGCATTCCGACGCTACTCAAGTTCCTGATCAAAGAGGGTGTCGTCAAGGGGGACGGCATGACCGTCACGGGACAGACGCTCAAGAAGAACGTCGAGAATGCACCCGACTTCCCTACCGACCAAACCATCATCAAGCCCTTTAGCGACCCTATCAAGCCGACGGGCCACATCCAGATCCTCCGGGGCAGTCTGGCACCTGGCGGCAGCGTAGGCAAGATCACGGGCAAAGAAGGACTGAGGTTCACCGGCAAGGCCAAGGTCTACGACGCAGAGGATCTGTTCATTGAGGCTCTCGAGCGCGGCGAGATCAAGAAGGGCGAGAAGACGGTGGTTGTGATCCGGTATGAAGGGCCAAAGGGCGGGCCCGGTATGCCGGAGATGTTGAAGCCCAGCTCGGCCATCATGGGGGCAGGATTGGGCAAGGACGTGGCGCTCATCACCGACGGCAGATTCAGCGGAGGATCGCATGGGTTCTTGATCGGACACATTGTGCCCGAGGCCATGGAAGGTGGGCCGATCGGCTTGGTCAGGGACGGCGACGAGATTGTCATTGACGCCGAGACGAGGACTCTGGACCTCAGCGTGAGTGAGAGTGAATTGGCGAAACGGAGGGAGGAATGGTCCAAGAACAAGCCGGTGCCGAGGTACAAGAGGGGCGTGTTGGCGAAGTACGCGAAACTCGTCAGTGATGCCAGTCACGGTTGTATTACTGATAAAGAGGATGTCTTGGATCTTCATGCTTAGGATGTCAAACTGGAATCGAAACCATTTTCGGCAACGAAAAAACCTGGTATACCAATATCTACATAGGCAGGTACAACGGGACAAGTCTAAATGTGTTTAGGTATCTAGATACCTACCAACTAGTGTATATTTGTTGAATCAAGAACCAAGTATAAGAACAACCAAAACAAGGATTCTTTTTTTTCCCCCGTGAACACCTTGACCCACGCCTCTCACCACCTATGTAGACCTTGAGTGACTGCCAACGGTACACGTAGTTAGGGACACGTAGGTAGGAGGAGGAGGAGGAGGAGGAGGAGGAGGAGGAGGAGGTAGCTGTAGCGTAGATAGGGGAGGCACATGGAGGACGAGATCAAGGAGCAGACAGAGTACCTGCCTGCCTTAGGTCCGGTAGAGTACCTCAAGGTAGTCGTGTATCGTACACGGAGTGAATCACCGAGAGCCATCAGGCTGAGGTAGAAGCCTACCTACCCACCCCCCTACCTATCTACAGTATCTAGGTACCTATCTAGGTACCTTACCTTCCTAGGTAGGTAACGAGTAAGTAAAAGTCCCTGGGTAAGGCAAACCTTTGCAGTCCGGAGGTCCGGAGGTCCTAAGTCCGAAGTATTTTTTACAGTATCTTGGGTCATCGACGACAGCGGGTATGCGCATTGCTGACACCTCCTAGCTTAAAACGAAGGGGAAGGCTCTTCAGATCCCTTTCGACCTTCCCGTAGGTCTAGGTCGGGTATCCACAGCCTGCTGTACCTACCTGGTATCTACCTACGGTACCGTGAACAACGTAATTTGTGCGACGAGTACGGTTCGGGGCTAGGTTCTACACAAACATCCAACCAAAAGGGGAGGGGGGGGGGGAATAACAACGAGTGCAAAGAATAGTCACCGAGCACGTTCGAATCCGGTTCTTCAAAGTTGGTTTTCAGGTTTTTGACATCCGTAACTTGTTCTAGATATCTATCTCTGTCTATTGGACATTCCGGTCATATTGCGCCCTTTTCCTCGAGGGGTGCAACTATAATGAACATGGTGGTATTAATGGTATATGAAGAGCCGGGGAGAGAGAGCCCCCAGTGTGGAGAGAAAACACCGTGACCGAGTGAGTGAGTGACTGATGAGAGGAGTCCACTGCTGCAGATGAAAACAAACGCCAAAAATGCAAACAAGAGAGAGAATAAGGAAAACAGAATCGTAAAACCAAGCTTGGTTCGTCACAAAAGTTTGTTGAGAATACCCCGACTCAAGCGGTAATTTGGTCTCCTTCGACAATGGACAGTAACGAAAATGGTCGTAAACAGGTGATTATGATGACACACACGCCCCCCCCCCCCCCCCCCCCCCGATCCCACCCGTCTTTAGGCGCCTGCGTCCAACTTGACCTTGCCCTTGATACTCTCCCACCTTGGGGCGAAAGAGAGAAGGAATGTGACGCATGCACATGCAATGGCAATGGCAAATGGCACACGCAGACCCTCCATGTAAGCAGACAGAATACCCGGCAGTTGTGCTGCATCAAACACCTTCCTCAACTCAGTGGCGCCGGTCGCGACCACCAGACCTGAATCGACCCCTGGGGCTCTCTTGGGAATTTCCTCGAGCATTTTGTTGGTGAAGCCCGACTGGCCGGCGGAAATGAAGATGGCACCGCCGACGGTCTGGAAGAACAGGATGATTGCCGACACAGAACTGAGGTCCGACGGGGTGACGACGGCTTGGCCGACAATCACCGGGATCTGGAAGATCAGTCCCAGACCGATACCGACGAGGGCCTGATAGCCGATCCATTTGCCGCTGCCAGAGTCGATCTCGAGGGTATAGAGCAGGCCAGAGCCAACAGAAGCAAGGATAGAGCCGACCGCCATGAGGGGGATGTATTCACCCCAGACCGTCAGAAGACCGCCAGACATGACGGTGAAGATAGAGGCACCCAGAACAAGAGGGAGATTATCGATGCCGGACTTGGCGGCTGAAACATTGCGAGTGGCTTGGAAGTAGATGGGCAGGTAGTATAGGAGGATGAAAAAGGTACCCGCTGTGAAGAAGATGAATGCACACATGGCACCAATGGTGCGGTCCTTCAGGAGACGACCCTGCAAGAGCGCTCGATCACCCTGGAAGTATTCGACGGCCAGGAAGGCAAGAACCAGGACGCCGAACAGGACGAGAGTGGCGACGACGGACCCGTCGGACCAGGACTTGGTAGTGCCTCCCCATTGCATGGCGAGCAGGTAGCAGACGATGGCTGCCATGATGGTGAATGTGCCGGGAAAGTCCATCTGGAGAAGCTTCTCTTTCAGTGTGGCGCTTTGTGGACGTGCAGCTTTGGGCGTCCGGAAGAAGAGCAGGATGATGAATCCGGCGGCGCCTCCAATCGGGAGATTGATGTAGAAACACCAACGCCATGTGAGGTTGTCTGTGAAGACACCACCCAGGAGAGGGCCAATGACCGAGGCGACGCCAAAGGTGGCTCCCATCACACCCGTGAAAGCGGGTCGCTGTTTGGGAGGAGCAGAGAAGGCAATGATGGTGTAAGATCCTGAGGCAATACCGGCTCCGCCCATACCTGCGATGGCTCTGCCAACGATCAACGTGGTGGAGTCGTTGGCGACGGCGCAGATGAGAGAGCCAATTTCGAAGATGAAGATGCTGGCCAAGTATGAGATCTTCAAAGGGAAGTATTTGTAGAGTTTTCCCCATGTTGCTTGGAACGAGCCGATGGTCAAGAAGAAGGCAGATCCATACCAGCCGACCTGGTCAAGACTGTGGAACTGATCGGTGATACGTGGGATGGCTGTAGCGACAATGGTCATATCCAAGGCCACCAGGAAAATGCTGCACGCCAAAGCCACGACGATCATGGCCAGGGGGAAGGCAGAAGGATAATCGGAAGTGTCGATGCGTGATAGCTCACGTCCCAGGGTCTCATCTTTCTCGATGGTCACAGAGTTGTCGGATGCGGAGATTTGGCGACTCAGGCTGACCTCTTGCTCTTGCTTCTTCTCGTTGTCCCCCTCGACAATAGGTTGAGGAGGCTTCGAGATATCTGTGAGGGAGGTGGTAGCGGATGCATCTGCAGAGGTTGGTAGTCCTGCCATGTTGATACGTGGTGCAGGGCAGAAAAGGGGGGGAAACGAACAATGGCACTTGGTATTTGCTCGAAGAGAAGAAGGGGATAAAGACCCTACCTACCACCTAGATATATACTGTTGAAATCTCGGAGAGTTTGATAAGGGCGATATCAGTGTCCTGTAGTGGACTTAATGGACATAACGTTGGAATTGCGCATTGACGCCATCACAGAGCATGGCTTATGGACGAATTTGTCCGTCCAGCCCTGGCGCGACACAGAATAGGAGTCAACGTGGAGCATCGTGGTATCGTATCCAAAGTTAACGTTACGTGCCATACGAGGGTACGTCGTCGAAGCGATTGTGGATATAAGGCTGATCAAACGCCCCCTTTGTATGGCTGAGCTAAATCGGTTGAGGCTCCTTTCCGATATCCGGGCCTTTTGGCGTCGGGTACCACTCAATCTGTGACTCAGGGAGCCAATCGGTCGGACAAATGTCTGGCCGTATCAAAGGCTCGAGGAACAGCAGTTCAAGCGCCGACTTTCCTCTCGGCCGGCTCCCAATTTCTGGGAGCACCGGACTGAAGATTGTTGAATTCGACAGAATGATGACATCCAGGCTTTGCGTAGTCCAAAAGCAATACCGAGTACTGACCAGCGAGCACATGCATCGGGCGAAGAATCAGGCATCCATGATCAACAAAACGTCTACTCGTTTCGCAAAAAGCACAGGTCGATGAATCACGCCCTAAGCCACTCCGGGTCTGTCTCCATGCGAAACAATCAGGCCCTTCTACGGTTCTCAGGGTTAAAATGGGCGACATGGCTGACCTTCCTATCTGGCTCCAATGGGCCTGGAACGATGATATTCCGGTTCCCGAGTCTGGGCGCCGCCATAAGACATTTAGTCTGACAAAATCTGTGGCGAGCACCCGCAGGTGCAAAACCCCGTTAATCGCCATCGTCTGACGACAAAATATTTGGTCCGTGGGCGCGTGAAATGAGGCTCAGATCCGGCTTTGGCTTATGGAAGCAACTTGACCAAACTCCAGTCGAGCTGCCCTGTCTCTTGTCGTCCTCTGATAATTTCTACCACTCTCCAGAAAAGGCACACCACAGCGGCAAAAGTCCCACCCGGGGTGGCCTTGTTCTCCTGTCTGCCCTTTCTTATTGGATTTTTGTCAGCCAAGCACGGACAAGGTTTTGACACACCCACGGACGAACGGACGGACGAAGAGCGGACGACAGATTGAGGTACTAGAGAAAAGTCCCCTTCAGTACGGAGTACTGTGCGTCCTCTTGTCAGCAAGTGACTCAAGCGCCTCCGCCGGAGTCACTCTCCCATCGGGGCACTCCATCGAGAAGCCCTTCTTGCATGTGCGTCAACCGACTGGGGCCTTCCTGACTATCCTGAACTATCTGGCATGCGACACGAAGTGCACCCTTGAAGCGTCCGTCCAGAACGTGAATAGGTACAGTCGATACGAGTCCTCGTTCTCGTTCCTGTCACAATACCGAATCTTGTCCTGATAGGACAAAGACCGACATTTACCCACTCTGAATCTTGCCTCCTCACAATACCAATCAGGCGAACTGCGCGGCGCATCTGTCAGCATCGCATTCCAAGATTCATGGGCGCCTTCGGTATGACTTTTGCTGAATCAGCCTACTGAACGAGTGTTATCCCTCGCGTATTCGGAGTTGGCACACCATCATTCATACCGCCGCACCGTCCTTCTTGATAGTCTTTACGTCCTCGACCGAAACCCCGGTCATCATACCAACGGCCCCGGCTTCGGTCTAATCGCAATGAGCAATTCCACCTCCCCATACAATGATGCTCATACCATGGGCTCTGACCACACTCAGGGCCCACCGCGGAAGAAGATGCGCAAGGGAACAAAGAGTTGTTTAGAATGCAGGCGCAGAAAGATAAAGTGCAATTTCGAACCTGGAAGACCGGCGGTATGCAATGAATGCTATGCACGTGGCTCTACTTGCATCGATCAGGAACACGGAGATATACACTCATACTCGCAGCCGAATGTCGAGCAGTCGAATTATAGTCTGCGCGAAAGAGTATCTCAGCTCGAAGATCTGGTCAAACAGGTACTGAATCGCCTGCCCGAGAAGGGAGAACATCACTCTGCGTCGCAGTCCCATTCAGACGCAGACAAGAGCCATGTTGATGCCCAGGCTGCCGAAGTATTGAAAAGCCTCAAGGGTTCACTCCGCCAAGTCGATAGCGACCTCGAAGAGTCGATTCTTATGCCTGGTGGTGTCCGAGATGGGGCTCCTGCGCTGAGTTTGTTCGACAATGCCGTTCTTGAAAGAAAGGACAGCGAGCCTGTCGTCTCGAGAGAAAAGTATAACAAGAATAAGGCTCTGCTTGCTGCGTTTCACAAGTTACTGCCTTCACCTGATGATCTGGAGATCATCCTCGAATCTTCACATGAATGGTGGACAATATGGCGTAAAATGTTCCCCGAGATCAGCGACAGTCGTTGCGAAACGGTCAAGGAGTCCGTCTCGCATTCTCTACGATCGGACCAACCGGCCGAGTTGGCCAAGATCATGCTGTGCATCGCCATCGGAATTCATCAATTGCCAGTCTCCTTCGATTGGTCTAGGTTGAAACTAAAGGAAGACCCTGCGGCTCTGATGGAACGGTACATCGCCACTGTCAATAAGCTCATCACGTCTGATGATGAAATCGCAGCTACAATTGACGGGATTGAATGTATGATACTGGAGGCCAAGTATCAAGTCAACATGGGCCGTCCAAGACGTGCCTGGCTGCTATTCCATCGAGCAATTGCATTTGCCCAGTTGCTCGGCCTACACAAGTTGCCCGCTCGCGCGGATAAAACGTCTCGCGACTACCTGCGGTCTTACGGCATTTGGTCCCATTTGGTTCTCGGAGACAGATTTATGTCGCTGTTCCTTGGGCTGCCGTACTCTGTTGCAGAACAGTTTGTCACCCCTTTCATACCTGGCAATGGGCCATGGCCTGGAACTGCAAATCCTGGCGAAGTTTACGTGGGGAGGATGCTGCCTGTCATTACTAAGATCAATGATCGAAATCAAAGCGTTGTTCCGATGGGGTACTCTGCCACATTAAGACTCGACCAAGAATTGGAAGAGTTGTATAATGCACAGGATGCTTCCTGGTGGTCGCTTGACATGATTCCCGGCGACGCGATCGATGATCATTTCGGCCGATTACAAGCACACTTTTATCACCATCAGGCGCGGTTGCTTCTTCACATGCCATTCATGCTTCGATCCTCGTCCGACAAGAGATATCGGTATTCGCATAATGCTGCCCTTGAAGCGGCTCGAGAGATGATTCGGATCTACGAGGCATTGCGTGACAATCCAGCTGTAGGCCCTTTCATCTGCAAACTGGTGGACTTCCAGGCTTTTACAGCCGCAATGCTTCTATTGCTCAACCTCTGCGGCTACTCACAGCAGCACCGCGGCAGCAATCCTCAACCACCGGATCTTGAGCAAGACCAGAAAGACTCGGGGCTGATTGACCAGACCATAAGCCTGCTCAAGGATGCAGCCAAGGAAGGTGGAGGAGTTGTTGCTGCTCAAAGTGCCCAAGCCCTAGAGATGCTCGCCCACGCTCGACATTGCCCAGAAACAGACATCAAGGACCGTCCTGCTGGCGCAACGTGTCAAGTTTCCATTCCCTATTTTGGAACAATATCAATCGGCATGGGCAAGCAATTCATTCCCATCAAGCCTGGAACGTATATCCAACGGAACTCTGGTTCGACTATGAATGTTCCAATGAGGGGAGTCTCCAACACAGGGCTACCCACACCTCCGTCCGTCACCTCGAGCAGCACCCAACCATCTCCGGTCACCACTACAATCGACAATCCTCAGCTTCAACCCCCTCAAACACACAGATTGCCAATATACGAGTCCACGAATTACATAGCTCCTGGGCTTGATCAGGGTTGGCCTCAAGGCGACGACCCGCTGGTCACCTTCGATAGCTTCATGTCTTTCGCTCCTCAGAATATGCAGGACTATCCGTCTGCCGGCGGCACTACAACCAGCAGTTCAGGATATACTCCACAACAGCAGACTCAGAGTCCATATACCGATGCTGTCAATGATTTTAATAGTGGTATACCCACAGGCGGCCTTGCAGGTATAGCTGCTCAGCAGGGCTTTCCTTTCGCCAATTTCCCCTTTGGCCAGAGCGGTCCTGACCTTGATCAAGGCTGGAATTGGTTCGGCGTTGATGCGCCACTTATGCAGTGAGACCCCTACACCCTGGGGAAACTTGTCACAGTCTCTTCAGTGACGTGGCCGCAATCAGCACGGGGAAATGCCCTGGCATGGGCGTTGATGTTTGTGTGATGCTTGCGTCCCCTGGCAATCAAGCAATATCGGCACAGTGATGAGCCACGGTCGTCCGGACTTAGCGGAGATTCTCCGAGCCTGGTTTCGCCAGTGGAAAGTTTTCAACCTTTGGTGCCTGCAGAACCGTTCTCCGGAATCACCAATAACCGACATCCGAACCAGCAATCGACCTGTCGGATGGAGGAGTCTGTCCTCTCACTCGCTGCGGACTAATCTAGGCTTTTCGGACGAAGGCTCGATCCCCTTATTCGGTGCCGGGCGTCTATTTGCTATGTCTGTTTTGTCAGCTGTGCATGCACCTGTGAAGACGAATACTTCGCATACGTTTCGACCAGGATCATATAACATGCCCTTGGTTCTCACCCCCCTATGTCGATGTTGGAAGGGTACGAGACTGCCTCTGTCAGAATAGTCGAATGTTCTTCTCTACTCGTGTAAAATGCAGGCCGTGGACGAACAAAACGGTTCAAATTGAAAGAATGAACTCGTGTATAGGTAATTTATGCTGTATGTCGTGATGAAGGATAGATCTAGACTGGCGTTCAGGGATCACAAAAGTAATATTTTGCCTACTTAATCGATGCTTTGGTAATGACTCAATCTCCCCTTTTCGGGCTGGAACATGAATCCTCGGATCTGTCCATCAGTTTGCAAGTATCTTATACTCCGATAACCACCTACGGTCTCTTCCCCACCATCATTCACTGGTATCGCTGTGACATGAACGGAAGGTGGGAAAAGTAGATGCTTCAGGTTCCGATGGAATGGTATCGTATCAGGTAGTACGGCGCAATGAGCAGTGTAATCATTGTCATCTACAGGTACAGATATTACCGTTCTCGCTCTCGCTCTCGCTCTCGCCCTCGTTTTGGTGTCCGTTTTCATGTATTCATTGACTAGTATGGAGTACACATTTCATTCTCCACGACAAGATATGCGCGCGTGGTGTGCGATGTGTGTGTGTATAGCGTGCGCACATTCTAATAGGATTTTCTCATGTTTCATGTTCATAATGTGTGGGTGTCCATATGTGGTATACTCTATGCTGTATGTGTAGGCATGTATGTTCATACTCATACTCTCATGTTCGTTATCTTGTCATCTCATCAACACCATTGGGCGGGGCCTGGGGGTTATCGATGGTATTATTCCCTCTTTTTTCTCCCTGTTTTGCCGTTTTCCGATTTCCCGTTTCCCTGTTTTCCTTTTCTCTCTCCCCTATTTCCCATTCCGGAGCCATTATAGTAACATGTAAGTAAAAAGTTGATCAGAAACATCCTTCCCTTCCCTGGGGTTGGTCGTAAGAGCCCATCCACATCTGTCTATTGAATCAAAACTCCCTGCGCCATGGTGTACTGTAGTATTCCCGGTGAATACTTGTCGTGTCGAGAAGGGGGTATTTCGTTAAATTGGTCGCTTTGGTGAAAGGAATGCCATAAAGGTCGAAGAGATGGTGGTGATGGTGATGGATGTGAAGAAAAGAAAAAGAAAGCCGCGAACGGAGGGCACAGTCTGTCAGTCAAGTCAATATCAGTGACCCTTAGTGACCCCAGCCACCGCTCCAGTCGCCTCCTCCTCCACCGCTGCCGCCCCATCTGCCACCGCCGCTTCCGCCACGGTTTCCGCCCCCGCTGTTACCTCCCCAACTCCAACCACCGCCGTTGTTGTTATTGTCCGACGATGGTGCAGGTGTAGGTGCAGCTGTCGTGACGATTTCGGTGGTGTATACCGTTGTAGCCCCTGATGGTGGTGGTACTGCTGTCGTAGGTACGCTGGTGGGTTGTTGTTGTGTGGTTTCGACCGGTGCCGAGGTCAAGGTGTATGTGGTTGGTGGGAGGGTGTATGTGGTTACGCCACCAGAAGTTACAGTGACGAATGTGGTCGTGGCGGGGAAGGTGTAGCTCGGGCTAGAAGTACCTGTGGGTTGTTGAGTAGAGACGGATAGAGAAGACGAAGCTGGAGGTTGGGATGGACTGGCACCGTTGTCGCTGTACACTTTCAGGCTGTTGATGAGCCAGTACGTGTCTTGGAAGGCGGATGGGTTGTTCTGAACAAAGGCCTGGCATGTAGAGGCCTGGGAGCTGCATGTAGCGTCGGTGCTCCAGACACTGCCGGCCCAGTCGCCGCAGAATGTGACATCAAAGACGATTTGTTGATTTTGCACTTTTTCATCAATGTCACAGGCTCCCTGGAATTGGCCTTGCGGCAGGCCCCAGCCGGAGGGATCGGGTGAGCCGCTGCTGATATCTGAGGGGATGGCTCCCCGGGGAAAGAACCAGATACTGATGGCTTCACTGGTCCATTCTGTGGCAAAGACACCCCCACCGACGGAGTTGAAGCCGGCGCCAAAGCTTTGATCGTCGTTGCTTCGGATTGAGCAGCCCGCGTTTGTGGCTTGGTCGGCTGCGCCTACGTAGCAGTTGTCTGTCTCTAGAGTGCCAGAGAATCCTCCAGTATTGGAGATGGTACAGCCATCGCTGGTATGCACGGCCATGTTGTTGGCAGTTTGGGCACTGACACCTTCGATGATGTCGATTTCTCCGTTGTTGGGCCAGTCGGCGCCCAGCATCCAGAAGGCAGGCCATGTCCCACAAGCTCCGGCAGGCATGTGTGCCAGGTCTAGGATGACTAGGCCGTGCTGGTATGTGTTCTTGCTCGCTATTCGTACGCTGTTTCTCCCGCGTCCGGAGGCGGTGTTGGTCGAATCAACTCCCATGTACACTTGCCCGTTTTGTACCTTGTATAGACCTGAACTTGAGGCGGTGTTGTAGTCGACATAGTTGACATAGCCGTGTGTGGGATCGTCGTCTGTGAAGAAGTCGAACATACCAGCGAAAGAATCTGAATTGTAGTCATCTTCAATCACGTACGATGCTGTGGCGGCGGATACAAATAAAGTAAAAGTGGTAAGTGAGATGTGCATATTGCCGATTGATAATTGCACTGGATTTGTGTGGGAATCGTATATACAAACCACGGAGCGTATGAATGAACCGGACTAACCAACATCTCGAAGGCCGGTACAAACTGTACATATATAGCGCGACTTTCATCTTTGTGACCGCGTATACAATGAGGCTGGAAGCCAAAGAGTGCACGCGGCCAGGAAAATTCGGGTGGTAAGAAAAGCGGCTGTTGACGCTCGGACTCCCAGTTCGGGATCAACCGCAGAAAGGTCAAAGCATGTTGGCATGGTAGCCAAGGGCAGACTCGAACGAGTATAGAAGTGGAGCTGGCAGGTCAATGCAGCGGCGGCGGCTGGTTGTGGTCAGACTGTATCGGGTTCCGAGCGTTGAGCTCGGCCCATGAGGCTGGCATGCCGCTGAGCCTCATCGTACACTTCGACGGGAGGCCGGTTTTGAGCGCGAGGATCTCATGATGAACCATAGCTTCGTCTTGACGGTGCTGGGCCTTGGTATGTCGTCAGCTGAAGCAACTCAAGCAGTATTGCCACGCCGGTCGTGGTGGTTGGTATAATGGGAACCTGTTGATGGGCCTATTCCAATCTGAACAAATCCATGATCCATGGGCTTGGAAGGTCACGTCGAGAGCCACGAGTACAGTCATCTGACAAACTCGCCGTCTAGGTATCTGTAGAGAGCTGTGGAAGATGTCAGTAGCTTAAGCTCACCGTAGGTTTCGCTAGAACGCGCCTCTGTGGACAGTCTATTGTACATTGCCGGCGGTTAGTCGGGGGAGAAGAGGGCTCCGACTCGTTCAAACCATCCAGCTAAGGAAGGTTCAGCCAGCAACGCGCGCTTGTGTCGCCGGCACTTCAACGCCTTTCTCAATTTTCTCGCCGGAGCATGCTGTTGAGGGCGTTAGTTGTGCGGTGGCTTGGGTGAGTGACAGCTTGTTTACATCGCGACACAGACACACTTGAGGTTGAGTTCATGCCACTAGCTTCCCGCTAATCCAGGAGAGGAAAGATAAGCGCGACTTTTCACTTAGTCATCCACCGTGGCTTGGGCTTAAAGCAGCTTGAGTTTCCTCCATTTGTCGAGGCAACAAAAAAGTGACAGTCTCTTATCAATTGCCAACATGGCCTGCGACAAGTTCGTCTGCTCGTCGACCTGGATTTGCAACCATGAGAGCTCGACGGCGACTGCCGAGAATGACACTGCTTTTCTAAGCTTCCAGCCTTTTTGCGGGACGCTTATCGGCGCGACCCTGAGGCACTGATAGCTGTTGCCTCTAACGCCAGCCACGGCGTGCCATAGAGTGATCTATGCTCAGTGCTGAGCCATCCACAACTGCCACCATACGTGCCACCTCTTTTACTACATTGCAATGGATGACGATCGCTCATTCGGCGTAGTTGGTACAGCGCATGACATGGCAAGCAGAAACGATCACGTTCGTCTGCAAAGGCATCGATCTCAATACGTTCCCACGCAACACGTGCGTTCTGTATTGAAATTGACACAGGTTGACTGCTGGTTCACGCTGACACCGAAGCGCATATCACTGTATGCTGGTGAAGAAGACTCAACGAGGCTGTCGTCTTAGATCACAGCCTTCCGTGGGAAACACATAGATCTGTTTGATTGGCTGGTGATGGTGACAACTGCTGGACGAATGGCGAAAGCATTTCGATTCAGGGCCGGAGTATATAGAGACCACGCCAAAGACAACCGTATTCGCTTCCTCTGAACTCTCGTTCAACATTCCTTTGGATATTCTCGTTTGATCTACCCGTTTGTATTCTCATCAATTACACTTCTACAAAGCTGAAGTTAACATTTTATCGTCAGACTCCAGCCCTCCTTGTGGACTCTGGCAGCGACCATGAACAAAGCTCCCAACAGTGTCGCCAATCCCAGCCCCAACTGCGCGGCCAGGTAACCACCTCTGCCGCCACCGTTCGTTGTGAGCAAGGCACCTCCGATAGGTGGCCCTGCCAGGCCCGCGAAGCTGAATATCGAAAACGCCATGCCTAGTCTAGTTCCATTCTTGCTCACATCATTATTCAAGCTCGTCACCGTCGTCGGAAAAAGACATTGAAACGCCCCAGCAGAGAAGCCATAAAACACTGAAAACACGTACAATCCTGACACTGAGCGAACGGCGATCCAGGAAAGACCGAACAGCCCATTGATGAAGAGAAGCAGCACCATTGCGTTCAGCGGACCCGAGACCCGATCGGCAACCCACCCGGTCAGCAATCGCACGGGTACTCCGGTGGCGTTGAAGATGATGAGCAGATTGACCGAGTCAGGGTAGCTCATGCCGAAGATATCGCGTCCGTACGAGCCAAGGTAGTAGTATGAGAAAAACAGGCCGCCAAAGACAAGCGACATGCCGATCAGCATACTGGTATATGGTACCTCGTAGAACGCCCTCCACTCGATGATTGGCCCTGCTTTTCGAGGTGGTAGCCGCGGCCTCATGAACGCCAGCGCGGTGCCGAGCAGAGCTAGGTTCACGAAACCCAGCACACGTACCGTCCAGGCGTAACCTATCTTAGGAAGCAATTGACGGATAATGACCGGGTATACAGCACCACCGACGGAGTTGCCTGTGGTCACAATAGCTACGGCAATGCCGCGTCTGTCCTTGAAGTAAGTCGTGACCAAGCCCAAGGTAGGGCAGAAAATGATGCCACTCCCCAACCCCGTGCAGACCCCCTGTGCCAGTAACAGCTGCCAAAAGTCATTACACAGACTCGTCATGAAGATACCGAGCAGTTGGATCGTCGACCCAATGATCAAGGCCGGGACAAACAGTCCGGCGTCGAGAGCTCGGCCTGAAAATGCCGATGAAAAGAACACTGTCCACAGTTGCAGCGACCCTACCCAGGAGATGGTCGACTGCGATTCACCCAGCGTGTCGGTATAGTATGTTTGGAATGTGCCGAAGGAATTGATGAAACCCCTAGCCATACACAAATTGAGATTCTGGTTAGCGGGAGATCATGACGGAACAAAAGGGTGCACTAAAAGTTAGCCCACTCCTAAGGCTTGGAGTAGGGGAGGTGAACAGGTACTGACGTCCGGCGTCGGACTTGAACGATCCATGCACTCTTCAGAGAGCCTTCCCAACCCTATCTCGGAAGGCGAACGAGGTACACATACCAGGTACAAACACATACCAGCCAACCCATGGCAACTTGAACCCATGCCTTTAGGCCACCGTCGGGTGGAGGCCCAGGGTCAACGATATCTCGTGTCGTTAGACGAGATGCGACTCTCCCCAGAGTATTGCTGGCGACTCTCTTCAACTCGGACCCTCGGCTGGCTTGTTTCGTCAGCTCGATGTAAGGAGCGCCGACCCCGTGCTCAAGAGAAGTATGACGTTGAATCCCATCTTTCTCGCTCTCCGACGTATCTCGGCTGGACATACTGGCCATCCCTAGGTGAGGTCATTTGTGAGAACCGATGTGTGCGTGAAGGAGAGAGGTAAAGATACAACGTCCTGTAACGAGTGAAAGCCAAAGGAAGAAAGCAGAGCGAGAGGCTGCTCCTCTCTCTCCCAAGGCGCGTGGGTAATAGATACTGTACGCGGGACAAAAGTGTAGAAATCAACAGGCACGGCCATAGGGCGTGCTTGGTTACTACCTATCCGGCATCGATCAAGCTTTCTCCAACGCCAGGGCTGTGGCTGCGACATGCCGTTGTGCTTGTCCACTACCTACCTATCAATTGTCGACTGTCCACTGAAACTGTGCGTATTTTGGGCCTTGTTCGCCATTATCTGTGCCGCACAGCCGATATTCCGGGCTTCGCGAGGGGACGACGAAGTCCTGACAGCGCGCCCTAACAATTGTTTGGAGTACGGAGTACCACGATACGGTAATGACAGGTACTGACTACCCCTGGCGCCCTGCAAAACAGTCCCAAAATTGCTGTAATAGCTTTGTAATGATTGTAACAATCTCGCACATCCAGCCGGTCTTGGCAAGTTCACCCGCTGAAAGAAGTCCGATGAAGGCGATCCGACCCTCGAATATGGAGTACAGAGTGCCCTCACTTACTAAGGGCGTCCTTACACCACATCAATGCGTGCTCCAAAGCGAAGCGAACAGCAAAACAACGACGGTGTGACCGCCGAACCACCAATGAGCAGCGCGCCATTTGCATCACGAGCGTGCTCAAAAGTGTCGAACTGCGGCGGCAGATCCAGCAGAATGGTCGACGGAGACGACGCCATCGATAGCGGAGTATGCTCGTACAGACATCAGATATAAATTCTTTTTGGTCATCGTCACACCTGTCCTTGTATCATCATCTTGGTTCATTAATGCACCGGAAGCCCTCGTGAGGAACTAACGCAATTACGATGACCAACCCCTCGACATCTGGACTGCTTTCTCCCAGCGTCCAAACATTTCCTTGCTCTTTGCTTCTTCCATTTGCGGCTTGAACACGGTTCTGCCTTCGACATTGATGTCCTTCAACTCCTCTATGTTGTCCCACACTCCCACTGCCAAACCAGCGGCGATTGCAGCTCCCAACGCTGTCGTCTCACGCATCTTAGGGCGGATCACTGGGATCTGGATAAGGTCTGATTGTGTCTGTAGCAGTGTCAGCTCCTGATCCAGATGTCGAGTCTGGGGTAAGTAAGTATTACCTGCATGCATAAGTCCGAGTTGCTCATGCCGCCATCGACGGCGAGCTCTGCAAGTTTGTGGCCAGAATCCTTCTCCATGGCACTGAGGATCGCTTGCGTCTGGAAGCATGTTGCTTCGAGTGTAGCACGGGCGATGTGACCACGCTGTGTATAGGCAGTGATCCCGTCTGAGTAGATGGTGTTAGCAACGCCTGTGTGGAATGGATACAGTTGCCTCGGTGAGACTTACAAATAGTTCCTCGTGCGTCGTCAATCCAATATGGGGCGAAAAGCCCACTGAACGCAGTCACAAATACACAACCTCCATTGTCTTCGACGGTCGATGCCAGTTCGCTAATCCTGCTGGAGGACTCCACGAAACCCAAGTTGTCCACCAAGAACTTCACGCTCGACCCCGCAACGGCAATGCTGCCTTCAAGAGCGTACATTCGCTTACCCTCGCCGAAGTCGTACGCCACCGTACCGAGTAAGCCGTGGGTGGAGAAGACAGGTTTGTCGCCGACGTTGTATAAGAGGAAACATCCTGTGCCATAGGTATTCTTTGCCAGACCTGGGGCGAACCCTTTTTGCCCTACCAGAGCGGCCGATTGATCACCCAGGCATCCAGTGATGGGCACACCCTTCAGGACCCCCGTCTCGAGCTTTCCATACACATCCGGATGGGAAGATTGGACGATCTTTGGCAGGCGGAGTTTGCTGGAATCAAGCCGGAAGAAATCGATGAGCTGATCATCATAGTCCAGCGTCTTTAAGTTCATGAAACAGGTGCGAGAGGCATTGGTTGGATCTGACACGAAGACATTCTTCTTGGTGGCGCCGTTCAGACGATAGACCAGCCAAGCATCAATCGTCCCAAAGGCCAAGTTGCCCTTTTCGTAGGCCTCTTTAACTTTGGGCACGTTCTCAAGGAGCCATAACAACTTGCCGACGGAGGGGTATGTCGACAAGGGCAGACCACATAATTCTTGAAGCCGATCGGCGCCGAGCCGGAGCTTGATTTTGCGAATCAATGCTTGTGTGCGAGTATCAGTCCAGACAATGGCATTGTACAACGGTTCGCCCGTCTCATAATCCCAGACGACCTTGATACGGAACAATGTCAGCCGAGAATTCGAGCTTGATTGGCTCGCGGTATCAACAGCTCTTCGCCAATGGATACAGAGAGAGGGGAAAGAGTCATCTTACAGTGGTCTCGCGCTGATTCGTGATCCCCACGGCTTTGATCTTTGCACTAGAATGCCCTTGAGTTTCAAAGTCTTTGACAGCGCCTTCAATGCATTGTTCTACCGACGATATGATCTCAAGTGGATCGTGTTCGTGCCAACTGGAGATTCATTCAGCGCCAAAAGAGATGAGATGGGGAAGTCAAGAAAATAGTCAGAGTAGACTCATACCCTGGCTGTGGATAGATTTGCTTGAATTCGATCTGATGCGAAGCAATAGGCTCTCCATCTCGGTTGAAAATCAAGAAGCGAGTTGAGGTGGTTCCCTGATCAATGGAACCCACGAATACATCGTGAGAGGCTTTCGTAGTATCACCCATCTTGTTCCGAATAGCGGCCAACATCCAGTAGACCTGGCCCTAAATGGTGTTTTCCAATCGAGCTCAATATAACGGCAAAGTTGGAAGCCGATGAAAAGTTGAGCTTCTTGGGATATTCTCCAACAAGCTGCGACTCTCGACACTGAAGTGAAGGTATGGGTTATCCTTGGGGCTTTCCTTCTCCCCAAAGTCGAGGAGGGCGTCGGGCGCTGGTTACCGAGGTGCAGCAAAGACTGACAACTCCGGGGTTCGTGGAGATAGCTTCAAGCCACGTGAAATAGGTTGGGAGCCGATTTGCAATCGATAGCCAGTTCGAGGAGTATCTCCTTGTCCTAGTGTGACGTTGAGCGACCAAGAATCTATCCCCCTGGGAGCAACTGCCGATCAGACTTTACGAGGCGCAGGCCGAACAGTCTAGTCCTAAGCTAGGTCCGGATAGGAGGTGAACAAGGACAAGACAGAGGAGATTGATTCACAGCTCATGCAGCCACTTCCGCCGGAAGGGTCTGACGGTACATTTGTGGTGGTCAGGCCTTCCGGAGCCGGCTGGTGGTGGTTGGAAGGGAAATATGAAAATGAGGGGCTGATGCGAAGCCCAGAAACTGACTGCAACATCAGCATAATTTAGCGCATGTGGACTTCTCCAGCCGAAACCAAGCTGTCATGAGACGACAGAAAAGGTCCAAGTGTCCGTGGCACGGTGGCACTGATTCCGCTGTGATCCGTACGAGGACTCGAGAAGGGTGCATTCGAGAGCGATACTGACTTTACCCCGAGAATCCTTCAGGCGGGGTACAGACAAGTGTTGTGACAGTCTGGAGGTGGCCATGCTTTCCTGTCAGTCTTCTCGGGAACAAGTGTCCGTGATAGCTCTCAAGAACGAGGCCACTGTCGTTGCGGTGAGTTGCCAGCAGAGAAAGCCCCGGTCCTGTACTACCGATAATGAACAGATCGAATGCAAGAGCGACGAGAAGACTGGCCCATGTTCTATCCGAGACTGTATGCGTTGCCAAGCTTGCATATATGATATAGGTACATCCAACGATCAGCCTTTGTCCATGGTGCTGGTGGTAGTCTCTCCTGATCTATGCCGTCGAAGCGTTGATTAATCACAGGGCATCCCGTGATGTCTTCCACTCGTCACACATATCTCAAGGTTTCACATCGTCATGGCTGGGATGGCACGTCAGCCTCGGTCAGCATTACCGTGATTCCGAATTGGTCGAGTCATTGTTCAACGAGGCACAGTTCCACAAATAGCCTTTAGATCGCTCACGAAATTGTTGCCACAGGGCTCGTCGACCTGGGATTGGTTGATTCCAAGCATTGCAGTTCCGTAGGAGGCCTTCGGTCTGGCTACCCCGAGGTTGGTGGCCAGCAGAGCTTTCCATTTGTGCAGCTCCACCTCGTAGCACGCCTCCTAGTCGCGTGCATATCCCCGGTCTCTCACTCATCTTTGTAGCGTAGGATGACTGGCACAAATGCATCCCTTTCCCCGACCATCAACAGCAGCCTCCGCAGCGGCAAAGTTGCGTTCGTGGAGGCTCCACTACTGAAATAGTCTTAAGACTCAACACCTCTCTCGCTGCCTGGATAAAAGCTGACAGCATGGCTAGTGAACATATCCGCCCAGTTCACCCTACTCAGAACCCGAGCAGAGACCCTAAGACCATGGCTCAAGAGAAAGAGTCAACATCGTCCACGCCTCCAGCTACTCACAATGAGATCTTCAATCACCATCATCACCATCCCCACGATTACCGACACACTACCGTAGACGGGCAGCCAGCATTCGCTGAGCGTAAGTGAATAATCCTATCTTGTGCCGAAGCATGACTCTTGCCATAGCTTGTCTGTGTGGTCTATTCGACTGAAACTGACTGGAGGTAGATGGCGCGCTCGTCGATCACAAAGTCCCCCAGGAGGACCTCGTCCAGGCAGAACCTGATCTCCTGTGGAGCAGGGTCCGTCATTTCTGCCGCGAGCCATTCTCGGAGTTCTTTGGTGTCTTCATCCTGATATTGTTTGGCGATGGAGTGGTTGCTCAGGTCGTCCTCAGCGGTGGTACCAAGGGTGACTATCAATCCATCTCGTGGGGCTGGGGGTACGTTCAACGAGTTTCCTTACACCACCAACATGTAAAGCACTACTCACTCTTTCTCCCTACCTCATCCTTGTCACGGCAATTGCGGCTGTGCAGCTGCTCAAACCATCACCCCCGACGTGGATCCCAATGTCTCGTCTCGCTTTTGTTGAACACCCCTCGAAGATATTTCTTTCTTGCTGACTTATCAGTAGACTTGGAGTCATGCTCGGCGTGTATACAAGCGGCATATCAGGTGCACATATCAATCCGGCGGTGACTTTTGCCAATTGCGTTTTCCGGAAGTTCCCATGGCGTAAATTCCCTATATATGCGCTTGCACAAATCCTCGGGGCCATGTGTGCTTCGGGGGTGGTATATGCGAACTACAAATCGGCTATCGACGTCTTCGAGGGCGGTCCGAACATCAGAACAGTTCCTGGATACTCTGAAACAGCATCAGCAGGGATATTTTGCACTTACCCAGCCGAGTTCATGACGAAGACCGGACAATTCTTCTCCGAATTCATTGCCAGCACAATCTTGATGTTCCTGATCTATGCTCTTAAGGATGATGCCAATCTGGGGGCTGGTAACCTTGTTCCACTAGGGCTGTTCTTCGTCATCTTTGGCATCGGTGCTTGCTTCGGTTGGGAGGTCAGTGCGGGAGATACTGTTAGGCAAGTAAGCGTGCTAATAGACTATACAGACCGGCTATGCCATAAACCTCGCTCGAGATTTCGGACCCAGACTGATGTCGTATATGCTGGGGTATGGCATGAATGTGTGGCGTGCTGGAGACTATTATTTCTGGGGTAAGTTGGTTTGTTGCGGGATAGCTTCTTGACTGCTTACTCGCTGAAAGTTCCCATGGTGGCGCCGTTCTTTGGATGTACATTCGGAGGCTTCCTATACGACGTCTTCCTCTTCACTGGCGAATCGCCGATCAACACTGAAGCTCTCGGTTTAGCAAGGCTGCTACCTCAGCGATGGAACCGGAAGACGTGGTCGAACACCTATGATTCTTCCGTCTAGAACATGAGGGGCGGTTTGGGAAGAACTCACAAGTGATGGGGATTGTGTTTAGTGAAATCAAAAGATGTGAAACTCGGTTCTGGTCTTTACTACCACCATCCAAGTATATTCCAACTCGTCGGAAACTCCCGGCTCACCTTTTGAACCACAAGAGATTTGACGGGTGTATGATCTTTCCTCAAGGTTCTTGTGGAAGCGGAACGCAGGGCTGGATAAACGAGACAAAGTTGATATTTCCCGGTATATCTAGCAGACCGTTGGAGTTTGAGTGTGAGCAATGTTTGAACATGAAATGCCGTGTCGTGATGGCTTTGATGTTCTTTATCGGATTATGTTCCGGGTAACCTTTCAAATTGATGATTACCAAATAGTCACTGATATCAGCAATGTACAGTATCGAAGCGCGAGATATGTGTCTGGGGATGTCGAAGAGAAGATGGCATGTGGACGGCAATACAAGTTATATACAGCGAAGACCATTTTATCCTCGCAATCGACCACAGCATCAGGACTACAGGGCTTCCCGTTCGCTCAGCCGTACTTAAGCCTGTTGGCGATGGATTAGTAGTTGGGTTCGTGAGAACCAGCGAATCCCCATTGTTGATTGTTTTTTTGTTATTAGAAAAAAATCTCTTCAGACAAGGAGAATCGGCTTGCAGGTGGGTGCCCAACGGAAGAGATACTGCGCTTCGTGGTCGTAAGAATTCGCCCTAGTAATCGGGTCCGACTGAAGTTACGGCCGACACACCACCCTGACTGCTCAATTTCGCTGCATCTCGATGAGCACCTGTAGCAACAACAAAAATGTTAAAATCCACGAGGCCAACACATTAGTCGCCCTCGGGTGCGTGCGCTCCTGGACTCCGCATCTCGGACGAGCATCGGCTCAGACATTCCCTTCGGCTGGTGAAAAATGCCCCTGCATCTCTTGAACGCAAGGGCAAGTCCTGCAATACGAGTCTCTAGCCCAGGCATTCAGGCATAGGTATATGAGAACATGTCTGAACATTCGTATCCTCGACAATCGCCCTACAGGCCAATCCGTGCTGCCACTACAGTGGTGGAACGTGAAGCAAGCCGAGCAACTCAACAAAGCTTCTCCGCCCCGAGAGGGACAAAAAGGATTGCATGTGTGACATGTAGGCAAGCAAAGGTACACGATAAAGCAACATATCAAGGTCAGTCTAACTAGATGTCAGCTCAGATGTGAAGGACTAGAGCGAGGCCCGGCATGCACGCGATGTATGAGCAAACACTTGGAGTGCGAGGTGGACTCAGAGTACAAACGGGTCAACAAGCGACTGTAAGCCACTGTGACTGCATCCCTGTCGTTTCTTGGTCAGTTCAGCCCGATTAATTGACCAACTGCAGTAAAATTGAGGATTTATCGGCACAAGTGCGGCACCTTCAATCTATAGTTTCCAGGACGCATCCAGTCGGCAGCATGCCTCCAACAGAGATGATCACCTCGGGCCCAGATACAGCCGGCTCCGAACCTGATGCTGCTGGAATAAGCTTCGGGCCACGGATCGCAGATATTGCTACAGACACAATCGAGTCCATAAGTCGAGAACATCGCCTCTCAAGTCAGGGGCTGGACGTCGAATCCCCAGACTATCCGACTAACCAGAGTACTGGGTTCTCTCATCTTACGACCGTGTCAGGACGACAACTCGAGGGCGTCCATTTGAACTCAGGACAAATTGGCAACCTTTTTCGCTTGTAAGGGACTCTAGTGCATGCGTAGTGGTCTTCTACTTATTTTGACAGGTTCTTTGAATCCTTTCATCCCCATTTTCCAATACTCAGCGAGACGCTCTCGATCGATGAATATTATCATCGATCATCTCTGCTATTTTGGACAATCATCGCAATAGCAGCAAGAGCTTCTCGGGAGGAAGCGGGGCTTTGTTCCAGTCTCGTTACAGCTCTCTTGAAGTTATTATGGTCCAAGATATCGACCATGCCTCACTCCCATCTAACAACACAGTCGATCATTCTTCTATGCATATGGCCATTCTCAACACCGTCAATGATTACGGACCCGACGCTGATGCTGATCTCTATTGCTAAGACAGGGTGTATGCATCTGGGATTACATAGACCGGAGACAATGCAATCCTTCAATCGTGTCAGATTTCAGGTGCAGCCAGAGCAACTAGAGGAGGCTGTCAAACTTTGGACCGGTTGTTTCATTGCGGCAGAGACGTCAGTATCCTCCACTTCTAAAAGAATCGTCAGATGCTCGTATTGACCTTTCCAAGAGTAACATCCAGCGATGGCCAGGAGCCATTGTTTGCCTCAACCGATTGCACTCTTCGTCTCGCCTCGAAAGAAGGAAACTACTACAACCTACCTCGACGGCTTCTATACATCTTACGCATACAGTTGTATATTAACAAGGTCAACACTACTATGAGTTCTGTCTTGAATGCTCATGGACACCAACCCTCTGAAGAAGCAGAAACAATGCTGGCTTCTTTAGAGGATGACTTTCACATGGTTGAACAGACGATTGAACGAGATTTCTCGGATACAAATCCGGATTCATCAAACCCAGATGCTCCTGGCTACAATGTAAGTATGGAGCTAATCTGGGCATCCTCTGCAAGACTTCAGCTACAGACCTATCACTTTCTCCAGCCCATCAAATCGATCACACGAAAGCAGGGACTTTTGCGGCTATACCACACTGCAATGACAGTCGTTAGCCAAATGAAGGCTGCAACTGCAAGTGTCGATTTTCGCCACTGTGCACCTCGATATTTTGGACAGATGCTAAAGCATGCTGCTCTCGTTCTCATGAAAATACTTCACTCAAGCTACGCTCGATTGGTGGATGTCGATACGGGAAGACACGCTTTCAATCTTGCAATATCAATGCATCGAGATATGACTGTAGAGACCAATGACTTCCACGACCGTGCACATACAATTCTCGATCACCTTTGGAGTTTGCATCGAGATTCCCGATCCAATCTTCAAGCAGATCCGACATTGAAGCTTAATACTCGGCTGAGCGGCAGCCTTCTACGTAAGTCTACTAAGCCATGAACACTGCTGCAACATATCCTTGGCCTAACGGACTTCCTCTTTTGGGTTGCTGAAGTCCAATGCTGATGATTTGTAGACGACGCCTTGTGGATGTGGCGTGATCGTTATTCGGCTGATGAGTTGGAGACTCGGCGACTCGGAAGACCGCCACGAGCACTTCCATCTATTATACAACACTCCCCTTCCGTGACAACATCTTCCCGGGAAGACACCAGAAAGTTGATACAAATGGAGTCTGACCTGGGAACTACTGGTGGTTCTGCAGCTCTTCGATCAAATCCAGACAATGCTGCGATGAATGACCAAATATCCATGGTTGACGCACAGATGGGTATGCCCATATCACTGGATTCCTTCGACATGATGAACACGTATCTGGCTCCAGACATGGAAGCAAGTGGGCTCTTCTACCCTGATTGGATGTGGGATGACAACTTCACCGGAGCGCCATAAGATGTTGGTTGTCCAGCCACACCAGCAGGGAGAACTAATTCTACAGCACGCGAACGATGACGCAGCTTGAGGGTCAATGACGAGCGCTTTTCTCAAATTCAGACTGAGTGCATCACGTCTACCGCTGAGCCTGGAAGTCATTCTACATAGTGGCCTGCTTGCCTACTCTACCACGGCGTGTGATTCGACGTTGCCGAGACGGCCCGCGATCGGGATTTGGACCAAACTACCAATCACCTCAGCTTGTCCCGACGATCGCCTCACGATCACCTCACCAGCCCACCCACAAGCATTCAAAACAGAGTATGCAAGTCTTCCGTGGTCAACACTGTCTCGCATTTTCAGGGTCATCGGGCGCGCACTTTGCTGTCTTCATACTGAAATCTCTTCTGCAAAGACTTTCGGAGGACCGTAGGGAGAGGTATTTTCTTTCCGAATCACGGATCAACAACCCCCGACATCGCTGTGCCCAGCTTATATAACTGTGACTGGGGAGAGACTATTGTCGACTCTAAGGAATCTTTTCAACCCATTATTCGCTCTAGAATCGAAATTTACCTACTCTAATTTGTTGAGATTCCGGTAATGGGTTCTCTAGGCACAAGCTTCTACAAGTCCAACGGGCCCAGCGACCCGACCGGTCCAACGGGCAAGTTGTCAAACTGGATACATGATGTATCTTTGGACGCCATCCCTCAGTATATTCGAGATCGTGCTAAGTACCTCTTACTCGATGGATTGGCATGTCTGCTTGTTGGCGCTCAGCTCCCGGGGTCACAGCTCGCTGTTCGTGCAATACTCGGGATGGAGCCTCCTGGGCATTGCACGATCTCAGGCTGGGCTGACAAGAAAATCAGTCCTCTCCAAGCTGCGTTACTGAATTCTACCTTTATCCAAGCCTTTGAACTGGACGACTGGCATTCCGAAGCACCTCTCCACAGCAACAGTTTGGTGATTCCTGCAATCCTTGCGGCCGCCGAGCATAGCACGTACACTAACGGCTCCGACTATGATCACAGGCCCATTACAGGCAGCGACATGCTACTGGCTAGTATCGTTGGTTATGAAGTCGGACCTCGGGTTGGCCTTGGCATGTATGGAGCACACATGCTAACAATGGGTTGGCATTCAGGTTCAGTTTTCGGACCTTCACCGGCCGCAGCGGCCAGTGCAAAAATATTGCGTTTAAGACCGGGTCAAATCGAGGACGCACTCGGCATCGCTTGCACCCAAGCAGGGGGCCTCATGTCAGCACAGTATGAAAGTGACGTCAAACGCATGCAGCATGGCTTTGCAACGCGCAATGGCCTCATGGGCACCCTGCTCGCCCGGACAGGATACAAGGGCATCAAGAGGGTATACGAGCAGGAATACGGCGGTTTCCTGACCTGCTTCACGAGGGGTAATGGCATGAAACCAAATGCCCGCCCTGAAGAAGTTTCCAAAGAGCTAGGCGAGGTGTGGAAAGTCGCCGGGGTGAATGTCAAGGCTTATGCTGCCATGGCCGGAACGCATTGCACGATTGATTGCATGCGGGAGTTGCAGAATAAGTACCCTTCACAGATGAAGGACTTGACGCGTATCGAACACATCATCATCGAAATGGGAGAGGCGTCGTACCATCATGGAGGTTGGCAAGCCAATCGACCCCTGGCTGCAATTGGGGCCCAGATGAACAATGCCTATGTCGGCGCTACGCAGCTTGTCGATGGAGTGGTCCTCCCGCCACAGTTTGCCGACGACATGTTGGACAGAAACGAAGTTTGGGACTTGGTCGCCAAGACGGAATGTCGAGAAAGTCACGACTTTAAGCAAAAGTTTGCTCAGCGTGTCACCATCACTTTCGTGGAAGACGAAGCGGGCCAAGGCCAAGAGCATCTTGTCGTAGAGCTGCCCGGACCCAAAGGCGTCGTGCCCGAACTTTCCAACCAGGAAATCGTGGAGAAGTGGAGAGCTTTGGCTGCCACGGTTATTGACAATGCACGAAGGGAGAAGATTGAAGACTTGGTGCTGAATCTCGAGTCGTGTTCGGACATCAATAATCTGATCGAGCTATTGGCGCCACTGACCAGGAACCCTCTAGCCACGGAGGAAAAGGAGACGTGATGGCGGAATCTCACCGCCCACGGGGCAGTAGCATACCGGCCGATTGCCATGCCAAGGAAGTAAACGGGGTACTAGAGACGAGATAGATTCTCAATGGCGATTTTGAAATACTCCTATGGCGACTGACCCAACCCCCGTCATCCCCGCGGAACGAATGTGCTCTTAGACTCCGTCTGGGCGGCGTGTTCCAGTAAGCACTCCACGCGAACCATACATACATTTTAACGCACCGACTTCAACAATCCACCATCCCTCGAGTGGACTATATCACGGCCGAAAGTGATCTCAGAACTCGACGGTGCTCTGAAAGACGACGAGTACCATTGGCTCGCCATGGCCGGTCGCCGGTCTCGCCCTGGGCATATCATGACCAGCCAATGACAGCAGGGAGAGGTGCTACGGCCGAACCAATGGGCTTACAAGCCGACAGCGGCCCGTCCAGTGGGCCGATCAACCTCTTTGTCTAAACCTGGGGGGCCACGATGTCTGCGGAGTCAAACCCCTGGCGACCTCCAAAGACGGGGTACAGAGTATCGGTCTGCGTGGGGAATGGCCACGGCGTATAAGTATCCTGATATCTCAGGGTTGCTGGGCTTCTCCTTCGCGCGACCTTCATATTTTTCTTTTCTGCATGTCGGGACAACTGAGTGCGAAGTCGCAAGAGGACCTTAGAGTTGATCTCCATCGGGAAGACCCAAGTACTGCAATACCTCCAGGACACTCTGGCAGGCCCAAGACAAACGAACCAGTCAACATGGACAAACCTGACATCACGCCAGAGAAAACGGAGATCGACCTCCACCATGTCGAGAACGAGGAAATGTCAGTCAACGTCGCCGGGAAGAAGCCAACGTATGCCGAGGAGGCATTCATGGGAGAAGAAGATGGAAGAGTCAAGAAGTCGGCCCTGGAGAGGAGACTGGTGTGGAAGCTGGATCTCATCATCGTCCCCATCGCGGGCCTGATGTATTTTACGGCATACATGGTACGTACTTAGCTGGACACTGTATCACAGCACAGGCAAAGTGCTGCTATGTGTCCAGGCTGTGTGACTGACGTGGGCTTTTCTCACCATAGGACCGAAACAGCATAGGTCTCGCCAATGTGCAGGGCCTCTCCAAGGATCTCAAACTGACGCCGAATCAATACTATAACTGCTTGATGATGTTCTGTGCGTTCGATCGACCCGCATCTTTCGCTTCCACCCGTTGCAAACCCAGTGCTCTGACATGTCTCAATGTTTAGATGTTGGATACACAGCCTTCGCGTGGCCCGGGAACATTGGCCTCAAGTATGCTCGGCCCAGCTGGGTCTTTGGGTGCTGCGTTTTGCTCTTCGGCGCCTTCCTGGTTGGAATGGCCGGATCCCATAGCTACGCGACGCCTCTCGCTATGAGAATCTTGATTGGAGCTGCCCAGGCGTTCATGCAGGGTGTTGGCTTGTACGTCACCCAGTGGTACAAGAGAGACGAAGTGGCCACGAGATCAGGTATGCATACAGAGTGCCCCTGAGCCGCTTTTTGCTGTTCCCTTCTCGTCTTCATTACAGGACAGATTGATGTACTGACGTGGAGAGGATTTCTTGCCGCAAAAAGCCATCTACTACGGCTGCGCAACTCTTTCAGGCTCGTTCAGCGGCCTCATTGCCTACGGCATCCAAAAGAACCTGACTCTGGAAGCCACGGGCAAGGAGCCGTGGAGATGGCTTTTTATCATCGAGGGCTCTCTGGCAATGTTTGTCGGTGCTCTTGCGCTCTTGTTGTTGCCCAACTTTCCCGAGCAAATGAGAGGGAAGAAGCATTGGTTGTACCGCCAGGATGAAATCGAGGTTGCCATCAACCGCCTCAGATGTAAGTGCAGCCTTTTCGTGTGCCCGGAGGCTCTGGACCTGGACTGGAGCGATCCACGAGAAAGAGAAGCTTTCATTTCAACGAACCATCTGACTGACTGGCCACTCGAACCTCCCTGCTTACCTGTAATAGCTTACAACACGGTCGGAGCCAAGGTCAACCTCAGACAAATGTGGACAGCAGCGAAGGACCCCAAGTGCTGGCTTTTTGCGAGCGCAAACTCTGGCATTGCTCTTGGAATTGCATCAGTCGGTCTCTTCCTGCCCACATTCATCAAAGAGTTTGGCTATTCAAAAGGTACGTAATAGTACTGTGCCGCGGGCGAAAAGGGAAAAACCGGGGGCACATGGCCGAACATTTAGCTGACACGCAGACAGAGAGAACGCTTTTGTTCACCGTCATCCCCTACGCATGTGCACTGGTGGCGACCTTGGCCATCTGCTACATCTCCGACCGCTATAACACGAAGGGCCCGTTTCTCATCTTCTGCCTCAGCTGCACTAGCGTCGGCTACATCATTCTGATGAGCGTGACGAACAACAGCGGGAGGATGTTTGCCGCGTGCCTGATCACCGCCTTCTTCTACCCGGCCGTCATCCTTCTCCTATCCTGGCTGGGCGTGAACATTGGCGGCTTCACCAAGCGCGGCACCACATGGGGCGGGGCAGAGATCTTCGGCCAGTGCTTCTCCATCATGGGGACGCACATCTACGACCAGCCGCCCAGATTTCTCAAGGGTCATGCCATCCTCCTTGGTTTCCAGGTCTACACCATCTTCTGCGCCGCTATGTTGATGTGGATCATGTCGCGGGAGAACAAGAAGAGGAACGCCACCGAACAGGAGTACCGGGTGCGCGGCGAGGTCCATCCAGATACGTACAAGTCCCTGGAGGAGTTGCAAGACCTTCACGTCTCTTTCAGATATGTTATATAGAACAGAGAGTGAGAGCCCGGGGTAGCCGTGTCGCTCACTGCCATCCGATCGGCACTTGATTCTTTATATTGCATCTGGATACGGATGAAGCCGATGGAAAGAAAGGGGGTATTGGCACAGCATGATATGACATGTCGCATGTCGAAGCGGTTCCTGGTATAGTGAAAGGAACCTGGTCAGGGCGGAAAAACACATTGACACAAAAATAAGGCGGAAAGACCTAAAATCCTCAATCTCCAATCTCAATAATCTAATCTTTTCCGAAGAGGTTGATGTCTAATTCGCTTCGTGGTTGTCCTCGGAAGCGGGCCTTCATGTCTCATATAGCCTGTAGGAGGCGAAATGGCGACGCCAACCACTGTGGGGCGTATCGATCTGGATGTGCTCGAGAATTCTGAGGCCCAGTATCAAGGGGAATGGTTTAGTGGTTGTAACTGAAGAAAGCACGGAGATTTGACACGGAAAGGGCAGTCGTATTCGGGATATACGCCAGAAGAGACCAAAAGATAGGGATTGAGTCCGCTGTCGCATACACGGTTGGAGACCTCACCGGATGGTCATTCATCACCATACCGTATTCCTGGAGTGTCATGAGTGATAAATCAGCGCAAGCGAAAGCGACATAACTTGAGACTGGAAAAAACAAAACAAGCGTGGACGTCGCGAAATAAAGCATCGGTTGGGATCGAATTTTATTGAACTTTGTTCGTTTTCGACTGTCGAATAGAATGTAGTCGTACAGCCAAACAACCACATTAGTAAAAGGGTCTAGTGAGAAATTGGTCGTCAATCTCAATCAAGTCTATTGTACATCCAGCAGAAGGCTCGTGGTTCGCCTTTTTGGCGCGGAAAGAAATTTGTTCCTGTGTGGCTGGTACCAAGAGTCTCGTCTTCAATTTTGAGGGGCTAAAGCAGCTCGTGGGATTCCCCCCTCTCACTTGCCAGAATATTTGGCCTTGCCAAAAGAAAATGGGACGTATCGGTATTTGATCATATGCTGAATTTGTCGTCTCACTAGAAGGGCTCGTCAGCCAGCGGGTCAAAAGTACAGGGGCATCAACCGCTGAGAGTACGCACTCGTCAATAAAAACAGGATTAGCCAGTACATGACCAACACGGGCCAAAAGACCGGCAGGTTGAAAATTTCGAACCAGCTGCAGAGGAAAGAGATTGTCACGGCTCTTGTGGCGGCGTGCCAGAACTTGAACTCGGGCAGTCTTCTGATGAATGGTCGGAACTCATCGTCTTGCTTGGTGGGAAGCCCGGAGCCCTCGCCGTCCTCCAATCCTTCATCCTGGGACAGACTGGGGTCGAATTTAGGTTGCAGGAATGCGAGGAACAAGTTCAGCAGGTAAATGCCCAGGCAGTAGGCGACAATGTACCAGCCCTGGGCGATGATGATGCGCAGGAAGAACAGGACAAGGAGCGCGCCGGTTGCAGACCATCGGTAGGTCACGTATGGGGTCGACTTGTCGAGGTAGGTTTGGTATTGCTACGGGGGGTAACTTATCAGTATTTGTCGCGCAGCGCGGACAAGGAACAACGGAACATACTCTCTGCAGCTTGTTACTCTGTACCGTGATAGCGTCAAAGGGTGTTGTGTCGGGCTCAGGCACGTCCATTCTAGCGGCAGTGGTAGGTAGGCAGAGAGTACTGGAAATGTAGGGTCTTCGCATGCGCTGGACGACGTACAGACACTCGACGGCGGCGACGTGATCACACTCTAACGCACCTGTCCTCGTCGCAAAGAGTGTTTCAATGTTCAGAGAAAAGACTGGACACTTGGCAGATAGAGGAAACCAAAGCGAGAGACAAACTGAGTGATGGGATCTGTTGAGAACGCGAACACGAATAGAAGCCACCTCGCCTGGTCTTTTTTCCACAGTTCGCAATTCGAGATTCACAAAAGGGAGCGCCACAATCCCTGTGGCTGGTGAGGCAGTGGCGGTGCGATCAGGTATAGTGCACGTGACCTGAAAGGAGAATCGTCGGATTTTGGCCTCCGAGAGATGAACCGAGGATAAGCGGGTTCTCACGCTAAGGCCATGACCTTCGCTGTATACTCGGTGTTTTGTAGCTCCAGACAGCACGTAATAATATGTAGAGCTCGCTGTCGAGGAAGGAAATCAGCTTCCTCTATCTATCTGCCGTTGCATTTGGCTCTCAACATGACCCCTTTCAGGCTTGTCGCCCGACCACTTGCTCCCGCCATCTCGTCTGCTCCCCGGACGCTGCCCCGGCTGGTTCGTTTCCAATCCACCTCCGCCAACTATGAGAATATCCTAGTCTCATCCCCACGCCCTGGAGTCGGATTGAGTACGCGTGCTTCCCATGGCCATCTGCGGCCTCTGTCTGAACCAAAAGAACCATGCTGATCCCCTTGCGCAGTCACGTTGAACCGACCCAGGGCTCTCAATGCGCTTTCGAGTGCGCTTTTCGTCGAACTCAACGATGCCTTGAAGAAATACGAAGAAGATAAAGAGATTGGTGCCATCGTTCTCACGGGCAGTGACAAAGCCTTTGCAGGTATGAAAAGCCATCTGGGCAATAATGGCCAGCGCTAAGTCCCCAACAGCCGGTGCGGACATCAAGGAAATGGCACCTCTGACCTTCTCGGACGCCTATGTGAATAACTTTATTGCTCCTTGGTCGTACATGACCACTTTGCGCAAACCAGTGATCGCTGCGGTGTCAGGCCATGCTCTGGGAGGTGGCTGTGAGCTCGCCATGATGTGCGATATACTCTACTGCACGAAAACTGCGAACTTCGGCCAGCCGGAAATCAAACTCGGCACGATCCCAGGGGCTGGAGGCTCACAGAGACTCACCGCCGCATTCGGTAAGAGCAAGGCAATGGAATTGATTCTGACGGGAAACAACTTCAGTGGTGAGGAAGCCGAAAAACATGGTCTGGCAGCAAGGGCATTCGACGGTGGGAACAAAGAAGTCCTTGAGGGTGCCCTGGATACTGCGGCCAAGATTGCCAGCTACTCGAGGGTGGCCACCATTGCTGCCAAAGAGGTGGTGAACAAGAGTCAAGATCTGGGAGTGCGCGAGGGTGTCGAGTACGAACGTCGTATCTTCCACTCCTTGTTTGGCAGCCAAGACCAGAAGATTGGAATGAAGGCGTTCGCGGAGAAGAAGAAAGCCGAATGGAGCAACTCTTGAGCACATCTTGGAGGGCAGCCGAAAAGGGGAAATTGAACGAATATAGACTACATGATACCTTCGGGAGGCTGGCCCGCTGTACAAAATCCATATCATGGCGCCATTTGATTGGCACGCGACGAGACTGATTCCTGAATCAATCTGCACTGACTCTATCGCTAAATGACCCCTTCGTCCTTTCTTATCTCCGAATCCGTCAGCCGGTGACTTTCTTGAACCTCTGGTCTGCCCGGGGAGACGCCGAAACTGGAAGAGCCCCCTGAAGTCCCTGTATAGACTGGGCGGTGGGAGTGAGGATACCCACATCGCGATTGCTGACGTGAGTAACGTCAAACTGGCACAACATGCAACCCTGCAGGAATCGACTCTTCTGGCCGCGACATGGAAACCCAAATCCAAATGGCCATTGTGACACAAGGGAGGCGGCGAGCACAAAGTCCAGTCTTGGTCGAAGACATACCTGAGCTTCTCCGCGTCCTGGATACGACGCACAATACGGGGACCTTGAGGACGGAGGCAATTTCAGCTGCCAAGGGCCCAGCAGATGTATCATTTGTCCTTCGTGCGGAACAGCTCGATACTCTTCACCTCCTCGGGTGAGATGACGATACGTAATACGGTCCCTCCACAGAAGCACTGCTACAACACCCCGCCATGCTGACTGAATGGAGCTCCTCCTCAGAGATTAGTACACCCTCGAGAGATAGTCCGATCTCATGACTCCACCTGGTACGAGCCCCGGGTCTTCGCAACGTTCGTCTCAAGTCGAGGAGAACTCAATGAGCCGAAGCTGGAGCTGAAGATGAGGCTTACAAGTGACAGCTACTGTGAGGCTACCGGTCAATCATGCGGAAGGGCCACCGAGTTCCCGTGAATCGCGAGCCACAATTGTCAAGAGGAGCCGGGTATGCTGAGTAAATTATGCCAACGGAAGTATACTTTCTTGCTCTGGGGAATCTTGAGGCGCTCGGCCTTCAGCAGTTAAGGCTCGCCGCCGACTCGACCACCGGCCATTGTGCGTGCTGATCCTGTGCTGTGGGTCTCCTCCTTGCGACTAACGACTTGCAAGAGTCAAAAGTCTAAATCAAAATCCAACTGTGCACGTCCCCACAACAACGACCTACTGCATATAGGTGTGACGCCTGAAGCGGTGGTGCTGTGGTCCGCTTCGCTGCATACGAACATCTCGAGGGACCCTGGCAAGCGCATTCGACGGTCAGATACTCGGTTTTCATTTCCGCTCGGAAGGCGGCTGTGTCATGTACAGTGCTGATTTTCTGGGAACAGCGTTACTAAACGATGTTGCGTCCAGATTCCTGACTAGGGGTGCGTGTCGCCTCCTAAAGACCGGGGAAGACATATCGTCTGTGGGATACGAGTAATCTGCACGTGTTATTTGTCGAATGGCTCATCCGGGACCCATCAAACGAACACACCGTGGCTCCTCATGCTATCCATCCCAGAAGGGTGCTCAGCTTTCTGCGGCTGTCATCCATGCTGACAACAACTCCAGCAGGCGTCGCCCGGGCAGGTGTCGACACATATAAGGCCTGATAGTCGTCCCTTCCCTCGGGTTCACAGTCTGGCTTCCTGCAATCTCAGAAGACCTATATCTCACGCAGAACATCTGCTTCACTCTTGACCCTTTGAACCATTCTGCCTGCCGTCTCTGACCTGCCAAAATGGCCGGATTCAAACCAGACCACATTGAGAATCGCCTGTTCATCAACGGCGAATTTGTCCCTTCGATATCGGGCAAGAAATTTGACATTGTAAACCCCAGCACGGAAAAGCTCGCGGCATCAGTGTACGAAGCCGGCGCTGAGGATGTCGATGCTGCAGTCAAAGCTGCCAAAGAGGCATTCCCTTCTTGGTCTGCCCTCTCCGCCTCTGATCGACAGGGCTATCTACTTAAGCTGGCCGATGCTTTGGCCAAAAACGTTACAGAACTCAGCTATCTTGAGGCAATAACGATGGGCAAACCGTATGTCGGTGACTGTACGATATTTTGCACATGTCAATAACGGTCTCAGGCTGACCATAATCTAGTCCTAAATATGTTCGGGATCGAGATCTTGAGGTATCTTGCGAGCAAAGCTCTAGATATCAACGGCGATTCATCCCTGAATACAGCCGGCCATGTCAACATCACTTTGCGTCAACCTTTCGGTGTCTGTGGCGCCATCATTCCATGGAACGTTCCTCTTCTCATGTTCATCAACAAGGCTGGACCTGCCCTGGCCGCCGGTAACACTCTCGTCCTCAAGACGTCCGAAAAGTCACCGCTTTCTTGTTTGAAAGTCGCCCAGCTTTGTCAAGAGATCGGCCTGCCGAAGGGTGTGCTCAACATCTTATCCGGGTTCGGAAGACCTTGTGGCGAAGCAATTGCCAAACACATGGATATCCGTAAGATTTCCTTTACAGGATCAGCTGTGGCCGGACGAGCTGTGAAGAAGGCAGCTGCCGAATCCAACCTGAAGAACGTCACCCTTGAACTCGGAGGAAAGAGTCCCACAGTCATTTTTGAGGATGCGGATCTGGCCAAAGCCATTCCAGCCAGTGCCATGTCTGTCCTCATGAACTCTGGGCAGGCCTGCATCGCTAGCTCAAGGGTCTATGTCCACGCATCGATTGCCGACAAATTCATTGAGGGTATGAAGACAGCTATGATCCAAATGGGCAAATCTGGCGACCCTCTTGCGGAGGGCACCGTACGAGGCCCGCAAGCAGACAAACTCCAATTCGACCGAGTAATGTCCTACTTGAACTATGCCAAGGACAACAAGATCGACATGCCAATTGGTGGCGGTAGAGAAGGGAACACTGGCTACTTCATCGAGCCCACCATTATTGCCAATGCGCCAGAGGATTCCAAGGTCATGAAGGAAGAGATATTTGGCCCCGTTGTCTGCATCAACACTTTCACCGACGAAGATGAGGTATTGAAACGTGCCAACGATACTGAGTACGGGCTTTATGCTAGTGTTTTCACAAAAGATGTTTCGCGAGCGTTGCGTGTCGCCAAAGCACTCGAAGCCGGATCGGTTGGTGTCAACTGCACGAGTCCTACTATGGCTCTCGACCTTCCATTTGGGGGTTGGAAGCAAAGTGGTGATGGCAGAGAACTCAGCAAGTATGCCACTGATTACTGGACTGAGTTGAAGAGTGTATTTATTGCTTTGTAAGACAGAGTATCACACACCTTGGCCATGCCATCGTGAATAGCACTTGGCCCCCTATTCTGGTGTGGTCTTCCAGATGGTGGCATCGTAGTTTCTGCCTGGTCCGAGAAATGACACTCGATTAATACAGATAGTGCTGGTTAGTGCTGTAGGTGTACTTTTCGTCTCTCCTCTAGGCCTTAAAACATATAGGTGTTTGTGCAGGTGTACGTGTTAGATGTAGCGGCGCCACTCAAAGTCAGTCAGGCTCGTATGATAGCCAAACAAACAGGACAGACCACCGCTTGATACCTATCAAACGATGCGGGCCCGACGCAGTCGATGCTCGAGTCTGCGGCGCCCTCACTCTCACCCTCACAACTCGTCCCTCACGTGCTTCTCCTCGTCCTCCTCTTTCTCTTCGGCGTCGTACAGCTTAACGCACCAACCCTTCCTGTTGCCGTCCTCCTCGTCCTTCACGCACCCGGCGGGACACGCGCCGTCCTTGAACTGCCAGACGAACAACCCCTCGGTTTCATTGAGCAGGACCTCCGGCACGATTCTCGTCCGCACAGGCCGGCCAAGGGACTTGCTGAAGATGTCCTTGGAAGGGAGGTCGATCTGCGGCCATCCGTGCGCGAGCAAGCCGTGGTCTCCGTGGATCGGGGTCGAGTAGATGTATTCCCTGAAATTACCGTACAGGATAGCGCTGGAGCACTGTCGACGGGGGTGTTAGTACACAGAGACCATGCCGACGTACCAACCAACAACACACGACGGTGTTCATTCCACGCACGCGCGCATGCACGCATTGAAATGTATTCAATGCGACCATGGACTCATGTGTGGGCGGGCCCGTCCGTCAAAGTGCGTCTTTTTGTGGGATTCATGACAAGTCACGTACCATGGGACAAGGTTCAGCGGTCGTGTACAAGCTGAGATCAGAGAGCGCTTTCAACGCGTCTGCTGCTGATAATCTGTATTTGCCCTCCGGATCCGTGAGTATCTCGGTACAGTTGTTTATCGCGGCGACTTCTCCTGGTTTTTTTGTTTGCCGCATCCGATTGGAAAGAAAACGTTAGTCCAGAGTCCCCAACTGTTTACGATTGTATTGCCCGTGTCTTCCTTCCTTGATCTTGCAAAATGAATATGCACGCCGACGATGGGCACCGCGGCGAGGAAAGATTTTCGATAGGTAGGAAGGTAGGACCATACAACTCGACAACGTGGGGAGTGGTGTGGTGTAACGTGGTAAGAAGCAGAACGTACCATGCAATGTTGGATTTCCAAATGCTTGGACACCATTCGCTCCAATACATACTTCTTCACCTATCGAGTCGCTCCTGTTGTTCCACACAGCGGAGGTAGGTCCAGAGGTCAGCTATCTTCTTCTTCTTCTTCTTCTTCTTCTTCTTCTTCTTCTTCTTCTTCTTCTTCTTCTTCTTCTTCTTCTTCTTCTTCCTCGTCTCTTTCCGTTAATTATACACCCACTGGCCCATCGTAACAACCATTCACCCTTACTCTGTGAAGGAACAGAACAGGGCGTCTTGGTTCGTTCAAACTCGGATACCAAGCACAGTCAAACAGTGGAAAAGATAAACTTACTCGTCGCCCGCAACCGTGTGGTTGACAATGACGGCCCCGAATGCCGCAAAGGGACACGGCGACCCACCGACTTCCTCCAACGAAGCAATGGCGCGGCGCATCCAGTACGTCCTCGTCTCAGCGGGGACGGGATCGGGCGTCGAGTTGACGTCCACGTCCGGGTCCACGTCCGCGGTGACGGAGGGGTGGACGGGACTGTCTTGGTTGCTGTGTGCTTGACACAGTCCCACACCTATGCTGAGAACCGCCGCCGAGAAAGTGATCAGATGCATCGTCGTCGAGTTGGTTTGTGTTTTTTCTGCTCTGGTTCTCCAAATAGTCGACGCTGAGGTCGATGCGCAGCTCGTATTATCGTACGGTATGTTGGTTATGTATGAGTCCACCGCTCAACGACTCGCAGCACTCAAACAAAGTCGTAGTCAGATGACAGGGGCCCTCGTCTCGTAGTCTTTTCTTGTTCATACAGGAGAACGAATGGTTCCACGAAAAGGGCGCTGCGATATTACTTATGTTCTCTCTTACATCTGTTTGCCGTACGACAATGTGGTCCCTCATAAAGGTCGATAAGACGATGTCGTACCAGCGTCGGATATCAACGCCTACGCGTAGCTTTGAGATAAGCCTCGCTAGTTAGCCTCGCTATACATAACAAGAGAGGGCCATTAAAAACTCAGGTGCGTAGTACGCTGTCGTACAAGATGTACAATGAATGTAGATGGCAGGGCACCAGTCCACATCACCTAGCAGAAAAGGACAGCTAGTTTTGAATTGTACTCGTAGGTGTGGCTCTCATACATCTCGTCCACCATAGCATCAATGTCAATTCCGATGTCATCGTCACCGTCAATCATGGGTACGAAAACTTTCCATTAATATGCCTTTCCCATCGGTTCGTCGTTAAGAGTCGTCACCATCCCAACTGCCGACAGTGGCCCTCAGTTGTTTCTTTCAAATACCATGATATACCAAGATATACCATGATATTGCCCTGTCAATCAACATCGTCATTGAGCAAGACGTTGACAGGCTCTTCGTGGATCTTCCACTCCAACGCACTCGCCGGTTTCATGCTCAACCCTAGCCCCTGAGAAACTTTACCCATACCACTGTTGACATTCCATCGCGGCAACACGGTGAGAAGCAAGTCTCGATAGTCAAGGTCGGGCTCAGCCTGAGGTGCACCCACAGAGAAAGCTCGGTATGCAAGTAATTTCTGAACCTTCTTCCTGCGAAGGGCTTGGTCGAGCTTCATCGCCATTTCATGCGGCATGCGTGCGCTATCAAAGATGCTCGGCCACGTAACCGATTTGAAATTGAACCTTTGAAACTCAGACGCAACATAACCAGGAGAAACCAAAACAATCTTCTGCCAGGCAAAAGGGTGATCGGCGTATTGCTCCAGCATCCGAACGAAGCCGTTGTCGGTGCATGCTGCGACGAAAACCGCGTGACAGTTTGGAGTGGACAAGAAAAGGTGGAAATTCTCTGCAAGAGTGAATAGAGGTTAGCTTGCTGCATTCTCTGATCCTCGGTTGTCGTTTCGGGATACCTCTTATCTTGTCATCTGCCCTTTCTTTGCCCCGACCCGAGTCGAAAAAGTCAAACAATGGTAGTCTTTCCGTGAACTGGACGGCGAAATCTCGTAAGCCAACAGCAGTATTCCTAGTCTTCTGTCGTCTAATCATTCGACTTTCCGTCGATCCGAAATTACAAAACACCCGCACGATGATCTTGGCCGTGACTGGGATGTTTGAATTTTGTTCCATGATATACTTTGTGACCTCATTTTTGATGCGCGTTGCCGCAAGACCACCTGGTTCAACCGGCGCACCTCCTATGATATGATTGTCCTGTTGAAAAATATCGCTCGACCACTACAGCATAGCGTCAGTAGGCTATGACTGAGATCTCTCGTTATCAACTTACTCTGTAAGCATCTCCATCGATCAGGACAACGACAAATGGTTGCGCTGGGACTGGAGACTCGGTGCTTTGAACGGTCGGCGAGCGCTGCAACCGTTCAGCATCCGCGACACACTGTAGATATTCGAGGTCAAACTGGAGTTCGGCATATCGCTTCTCGAGTGCCTGGGCATGTCTTGTCATGGCCTCCAATGAAGCAGCGTCACTATTCATTCTCGCTTGCATTTGACTCATTAACACTCTTTGTCTTTTCAACTCCTGCTTCTCTCCATTTAGCTGGGATTTGAGCACATGACTGTTATTGCGCTCGTGAGTAAGCAATTCCTTTAGAATCGCATTCGACGCTCTTTCAGTGGCCAGGTTCAATTTGAGATCTGATATGTCGACACGATATTTCTGGAATTGTAAATTTGCTTGTTCGCACAAGTCTTGACTGTATGCTAATTCGCATTGAAGCGTTTCGACCTTTTCAGCAATAGTCTCGAAATCCAGACTGTCATCGGTCGACGGTCGTGCTGCTACTTGATCACAGGGCGCATCCTCCTCGGTTAAAGCGGGCTCTGAGCTTTTGCTAGTGGGAAAGAACCAGGATGAGAGAGACATGGCTAAGCACCGGGGACGGCCGGATGAAGTAAACTCGCAGTAATCGTGCGACTTTGATCTAGGTTTTGGCTGCCTCGAAGCCTTCGGTCCGGCAAAGATACTGTTGAACTCAGAGACTGGTCAAATAATTTCGAGGTGGTCCACGCAGATTTGGCAAATGAGTCCCGAAAATTGATGAGCAAGTTGAGCGTGAGAGATGTTTTGCCCATCTGGAGAGATGCGTGGATGTAACAACTCAGCAGAGCGTGAAAGGCAATGCCCCCAACACCTTGAACACCTGATGCAGGAAACGAAAGGAGGACTTATTACGACGAATACGAGAAAAACGAAGAGGCACCAGGCCGTACAATAAATCCCACGATGAAGTCTCTGAGCATTGGAGTCCAAAATAAGTGTGAAGTTGTTGATGTGGAAACGCCCGCAGGACTTGGTGGCCGGCGCACGTGACATGAAACCCCTCGAGGCAGTCAGTCGAGTCCAAGGTGCTCTCAGTCTTGTCTTGCCCATTACAAATCGGAAAGAAGAACAATCTAGAGTTGGATCATGTTTCTTGCATACAACTGTCTGCATGTAGATCCGATCCTATGACTACAAGAATGGCCCATTGCCAAGGTGAATCCCAACTGTGGGATGTGAAGCATTCCATCGCAGTCACAAGTGACACCGACAAAATCAGAAGCCTCTTCCGCTGGCGGCCATTCTCTCAAGGCTAGGTACGGCATTGAAATTACAGACTCCCATGCCTCCCGCCATGGCTCCCATTGCTCCAGCATGTATCGTTCGGTTGCCCATACTCGGTTGCTCCTCCAGGTCCTCATACCTGAGGGTATAAATCCGTCGGACCTTCTTCCATAGCTTTGTGTCCCACCAGATGTAGTAGCCTTGCTCGCTGATCTTATCTTCTAGCAGGACTGGACTTGGAGACGCCTCGTCACGAGTCAGCCATTGTTTTTCCCTCATGTGGTACCGCCATTTTCGAGCCACTAATTCCTGAGCCACTAGCATCTGGGTGTAATCTCGAGGCATCGTGTAGAAGATGAAGAACAGAGTCTCATCCATGAGCCCATTAATCCGACTAGATAGAGGGGCGATCTTTTTGACCGTGTAGCAGTCTGGAATTGTATATCCGGAATCGAGTGGTCGGAGGGGCTGTGCGTTGTGATCAGCCCATGGGCCCGGGTATGATGGTAACAGGGATCCTTCAGAGCTCATGTTTATTCCAAGTGTCGACAAATCCACTCCTCGCATTAGGCTTCGGGATGCTGGAGTGGCATTGTCCTGTTCAGCAATGTAGCCTTTCATACCGAACTTGTCTCTATCACTCATGCCAGCGAATATCGACTCCCCAGACTGCTCTGGTCGAGTCCCTGGTTCTCGATCACCAAACATACTTCCGGCTTGCAGTCCCAGCGACTGCGAGGGCGATTCCTGAAAGTCTTTGCCTTGTGATCTGGTGTCCTGCCCAAGAAATCGGTCTTGACCTATCACAGAGCTTAGTCCTTGCGACATGGGTGAACGTGCTAGTCAGGTCAGCCAGAGTCATAAGAAGATGCTCGGTCCTTCGTGGACAACATACATATCTGTGCCTGGCCGGAAGGCGATGTCACTCTGCTAGGATCGCTAGATGAAGCGTCATTCTGCTGATTTGGCCGTTGTACGAGACCCGGTGGACCAGGAGGTGCTTGGACTGTCCGTCTCGCTGGTTGGGAGGCCTGTTCCGTGGAATACTCCATAGGGGCATTCCGCGAGTAGGTATCCGTGGGATAAAACCCTTCGCGTGCACCGGTTGGCTGTTGCTGTTGCTGCCGTGAGGATATCTGATTTCGAGAGGAATTGTGCTGTCTCTGGCCTTGTTCATTTTGCGGCGGGCCAGTCTGCCACGCGCTCGAGCCAACAGTATGACTCTGAGATTGAAGCCCGCTGTTGTTGAGACTAGGAAATCTGAAGCAGTATAAGCAGCCGGAATACGAGAGTAAGTCTAGACTAGCAGCACTCACGATGAAGCAGAGAGATCGAGGGGGCCATTTGTCCTGGAGCCCATTGCTTGGGCCCAATTCTCTGGAGCAACGGCCTCTCGTGAAGGTTGAGAAGTACCTGGCGCGTTTGGGAGGCCTTGCTGAGCCCATGCACCTAGGAAGATTAGGTCCTGTTCCTCGCGCAAACTCGTACACAACATACCAGGCTTGCTGGCAACCATCCTCGGGTTGGTCGCGCTTCTTTGTTGTTGATTCATACTGTTGGTAGCTGATGGCGGTCGGGCTTGTCCTACGGGGACTGAATCAGTTTTTGCACATATAGAGAATCAATCAACACGTTTAGTGAGTTGTAGGAGTACGGTTTCCAAGCAGGCAGCTGGCGATCTGAAAGGCCCAGATCACTCGCAATTCGATGGTCGATTAAGGGTTGAAGTGAATCGCCATATTTTCACTGCCAAATTGAAGGTCAAAAGAGCAGATATCCGCGACTGACTCCCTAAGGAGTAGCGTCCCTTTTGAGATGATCCTTATCACAGCAGGAGGCCGCTCCTTTTCAAAGTGACATCTTCAATGTGGTAGTGATCCATTCACTGCAGCCCGATCGATATGAATGCTTCCGTCTCGATTACATCGGCGGGAAATAACAGTGAGCGAGAGCGAGGTCCAAGTGTCTGAGTATATTCTGAGAGGTTGTCCGAGAGTTCAATCATCATTGTTGAAGTCTTGTTCCGTCCCAGCATGTGCTCGAGAAAACAGGTCGGTTCCACCTCTTGGAATGTCCCGCAAATTCATAATCGCATTATAGCGGCGCTGAGGGTCGTTCCGTGTTTGCGTTGTCCTTCCGATCGCTTGCTTCGCAATGCGCATGCAGGGAGCAGTCATCGAAGGTCGAGGTGATAGAAGTGTGTTGAAGAGAGATGGAGGTGGGAGAGCAAACCTACCTTGTCGATTCATGTCGTACCAGTGACTCTCCGGGCGAGTCCTTGCCTGAGTACGGCTTCTCTTGACAGTCAGGAGTCGGTAGCTGTCAACGAACTGGATGTGATGAACTGCAACGTCCCAGTTGTTGAACTGCGCATCGGGTTGACTGCGGCTTCACTTCAGGTCCCGGATGCGCAGGTGGAGCGAAGCTTGGCGCTGGGAGAAAGCGCAGGCATTGCCTCCAACCGCTAAACTTAGTGACACGCCTCACCTTACAGTAGCTCGTCTCTAGACACACCAGAGGCTCACTGGGCCCTGCGGAGGTACCTGGTTTGCGGATATTGCAGCAGCATCTTTCCGGAGATCTCACTAGCCTCGCGAGCCTAAGAGGCAATCCTGGTGGATGATTGTGGTGCCCATCGATACAACGCAGGTACCTAACGGTCTCAAGGTCAACGCAAGACAAATACCACCTGCGTTCTATAGCATTTACGGTTGCATTAAAAGCTTGGTAGATCTTCCGTACATGAGTTTTTCTAAGATAATACCAGAGCATAGCTTTCCTCAGCCAGGAGTGGTCGTTTTTAATCGTTAACGTCCACATCAGCTAACCAATTCCTTGTACATGCAAGATGCATGCACAGCCTGCGGATGCGCCATTGTTGTCAAGCTCTGTTTCTTGCGCCAAATGCATCTTGGAAAGGTTGCAACAGAGTTGCCATGCTACACGTAGTCCTCTTGCAAGCCCACTGAAGGTCATATGAGGAGTCCAATTGCCAATTCTACGTTGCCGTCCACTTGTCTCAGGGCAGCGATCGCTTCCTCTCGCGTGAATCCCAGCTCTGTCACCTTCGCGATGGACTCTGGAGTTATCGGTTGCGACTGGCCAAAATTACCAGTTGCCGCGCCAGATTGTGACGAGGACGGTTGTGCCGAAGTGCCACTCGGTCCAGCAGTCGGCTCGCTGCTGGTTGAGGATTCAGTGTGTGGCTCGACTGTACCAGTCGTGGCCCCGATCGTTGACCCATCTGGACCTGCCACTTTTGGTTCATTCTCGAGGATTTCCTCCATCATTTTGGGTATGTCGCTCTCGGGTAGGAATGGAATTTCGTCTTCCTGTACCCGGAGGCAGTTTTTCTTGAGGTCAATGCACATTTGATGGCGCTTGAGCATATCAAGTCCCAGCAGTAAATCCACGTCCTTGCCCTCCATGACAGTGAAACTGCTGGCGAGGTTATACTGCCCGATCTGGATATCGGCGGAATGTACACGTCCAAGAATTGTCGCCGTACCAACTCCTCTTGCTATTCCGCCATATCGCTTGTCGATTAGTCGAAGGATTCCACACCGCTCTGCAGCCGATGGAGACATGATAGTCGTCTGAGCACCGGAATCGACGAATGCCTTGATGGGAACATTGTTTACCGTGACATCGATGTACAGCATTGTGACCCTGCCAAACGCTACAACCAGATCAGCCTTGAAGCCAATAAATTTAGAACAGTCTTACACTCTGGGTTCTCCTCCATGGCTTTTTGTAGATTCTCGGCGACACGCTCCTGTCGTATCATTTCTTCAATCTTCTGCTGAGCTTCAACGTTGAACGGATCGGCTTGTAGTAATGCAATCTGCTCCTCTTTCTGCCGCTGAGCCTCCTCATTCTGCCTCTGTCTTAAACTCCAAAGATCGTGGAACTTTTGTCGGTCTGAGCATGCAGCTGCCAGTTCAGGATCTTGTCTCTGACATTCTGCCAGCAGGTGTGAGTCGCCCAAGATACGCAATCTCAGCTGCTCGGGGTCATTGCCACTTCGAACTCTCTGAGCTGGCTGACCCGTAGTATTCTCGTTGGCCGTTCTTCTTCTTTGTCTCGTCTGAACTGCCAGCGCCACTACATCCCCTTCGCGTACATTCATCTGTGCCAGAGTGATTGACGTGTCTGTGACAGGGCGACCTTCGTGAAGGAAGTGTTGTGCTGTGGGAGGAATGTTGATCTCGGCCTCGACGAAAGCCTTGATGTCATTGAGGCTCATGTCCGGACTCACATCCAAATTGAGAAAATCGGATTGTAGGTCAACATCGGAGGTGATAATGGATATGGAGATACGCCTGATATCCTGTCAGTGATGTCTACATTGGCCATTTGCACACCATCATACATTGTGTTCTATTCCCGGTCCTCAAGCCGCAGGTGCGTTGGCTGTGTCAGTGTTGTAAGGTGAATGAGTAACGGGACTTTTGAAAGCTTGTAGGGGATGGAAAGATCTGAGAATGGAATAGTAAGATGTAATTGTAGTTTAGACTGTCGTGGATGTTCCCTTAAGCAGAAAACAAAACACTGATTTCTCATCAGGACAGTGAATGGATAGCGGTGGAAACGCGATGTTCAGGCATGGCGACAATGACGCCAACTCTCGCCTCAACATCCCCCGGCCCTGATTACCTAAGGCAGGTGCTCCATACCAGGATTGAGCGACTGGCTGTCCCTGCTATGTACCACAGTGACCACTTGTAAGCGGTTAAATATAGAGAGCATTAGGGACTCGTGTGTGAGGTCAACTGTACAACCTACGAGTAGCTGACCTTGAGCGGCCGGGAGAGTTGACTACGCCGCATTGTCACGGGGCAATGGATCTAACTCTGGCCACAGAAGGACGAAGATTTGGATCTCTGCAAACGACTTGCAGTCCTCTGCTTTGCTGATCCACTGACCATGCAATAAGAACGCCTTTTCTCTTCTCAGTTGCACACCAGCGTCCGATGCAGTGCTTTAATGCAGCACTTTGTATGTTGGAAAAGCTGAAAGTTGATTTTGAATCTGATTAGGCGAACCTTCAAGCGCTGCCCGTAGTCTTTAACCCCCAATGACAGTACCCGGGGAGCCCTAATTATCAGTTACTCCAGGTACTACAGGTACCTAACAGTAGCCCGAGCAGGCGACCCTGCCCGACTCCCAATGCTCCAACACGCTGATTGCCTCGTCTATCTAAAAATCTCTGGCTGTTATGTCGCGTGCTCTGCGCCATCACCCCAGTTACAAAGCTCAAGCATTACATTTTGCAATTTTGAACGAACCAACACAGCATCAAGTTTTGCCCTGCTGGTCGCCTACCACAGTTCCGTTGAATAGGTCTTGGATCTCTTCTTTCGGCGACAAAACCCGGTTCCTGCTGGAAGCTGGCTGCTACTGAAATTTTCACATACCGTTATTTCGCCTCACACCCTTTTCCTCGGGCCCTAGAATCTCGAAATACGAGGATCGGGCGTAGACCAGGCGTACTTGACAAGAGCCAATCCTCTTTCACTGCAACCACTCTCGCTCGCGCGACCCTGCAGACCGCACCGCACACAAGGCGCCAGTTCACCACCACTACCAGTCGAGAAGTGCACGGATTGCACCAATCAGAAACCTCGAATCGTCCCGAGAACCCTGCCAAGATGGATCTCCAAAAAGATCAATCTGTGCAAGAAGAAGATGGCTTTATCGACATTCAGCACGCCGACGTCGATATGCCAGATAGTGAGGCGGATGATGCCACACACTCATCAACTGCGCCCCATGAACTTCAGCGATTCTCAAACAACTTAGATCCAGAGGACGCCGTTGACGACCACGAAGACGATTCTGAGGATGACCACGATGCCATGGCAAATCATCCTCTGCTAAGTATGCTGACCGGCCGCTTGGGTGCACGCCGTCGTGGCTCTTCTCACGAATGGGACCATCTCCATCCTGAAAACCAAGCATTGTCAGTTGCCAATGCTGATGAATGCTTTTCTGTCGAAGAGTCGGTGTTTCCACCCGAGGAGAGGGCGAGCCGCGAAAAGGTGAGTTTCGTAACACCACCACGGTTCCTTTCGGGCCCGGTGTCATTTTCCGTCCGCCGGAAAATCACGATTATCAGACTGACTTGGCTATCTTAGTTTCATTATCGGCTCACACGTTGTCCAGAGTTGAGTCTCGGCTTGTTCACTCAGCCCACCAAAGCTGAAGCGGAAGGTTCCTCCACTCCTGCAAAGAGGAGGTTGATGGCTCATGTTGTCTCGACCCGAAGTCCGGCGCCGTGCGTGACCGAGGCGTCTATGAAGGTCCCTTCAAACTGGAGAAACAGACGATCTTCGCTACCATCAAGCACTGAAGTGGAACTTGAGGGTCATCAGGAAACTGGGGGCACGATTTGCTTGCACTCTTTAGCAGTGGCTCCCGAGTTTCAGAAGATGGGCCTCGGGACAGTATTGATGAAGTCGTATATCCAACGCATGAAAGACTCTCGATGTGCGGAAAGAATTGCCTTACTGGCCCATGACCATCTCATTCCATTCTACGCCAGCCTGGGATTTGAAAACATGGGCCCTAGCACAGTGACATCGTGCGGTACGGGGTGGAATAACTTGGTAAGGGGTGCTACTCCATGGTGCTTTTCTAGCCATCACTGACCCAGATAGATTCTCGAGTTTTCTCACGACGAGGACGACTAGCCACAGCTGATGGAGCAGAATCGCAGAGATGAAATGCGGTGTTAGAAATACACAAGGAAGTTTTCGAGGACAAGACCCAGCTGGGAGTGACGAGGTTCTGATGATGATGATGATGATGACGATGGATTGTGGTGCCGTGGTACGGATATGGGAGGAGGGCTCTCGGTCAGAGCAGATTGCATTACTCGCATGAACATGGCATCATGCACAATCGCCGTAGGCATAGCGAAACACGCAGAACCGTTTCGAGAACCGAGGCCTGAGCAGCCAGACCAAACAAAAACATTCTACAGGTGCCGTTATCCATCGTTGGCCTTTGATGCCTCGCTTCATCGCATAGGTAACAAGAGTGACTCCCAGTACGACACCACCCTCCAAGATAGATTACCCAGGCATTGATTGGCTGGTTCGGCTGAGGCGCGAACGTGGGCCTGCGGGCTCAGATGTATGTGCGGGCTAGTGAGGCTGCGCTCATGTCAGCCAACCTCTTGCGCTCGGTTCAAAACGCCCGGTTTCTTCCATGGCCCGGCAGGCAGTGACGAAGTATGGAAACCGACTCCCCTCCAACGATATGAGCTCTATTGTAATTTCAGCAACCTTCTCTTAAATGTGCAACTCATCGATCACGACAACGGCGGCATACTCACTTCCTACCCACCACGCCACAACACTTCCGGAGACCCTCACTACCCTTCCTGTCATCCGAAATCCGTCCATCTCGCGATCTTCAGGTCACATCTCGCCTATCAGTCCTCCTGCATGTCGCTGATCAAGCAGACCGCCGCAATTCCCACGGACTTCTAGTGGCTGATTGATTCCCCTGAACTCACCAACTCATTGAGGACCACGCATGCCATTTCTGCGGGGAGACACACGATAGGGTAATAGGTGGAGGACGCACGGAAGAGAGCGGCTTCGTCCCCTCTAAAGTGCCCAGTAGTCCTAAGAGTACAGGATCGCGCTGGGCCAAGTCATTGAGGCTTGTGTCTTCGAAACGTCCTCAAAATACCGTCACGTTCGCGCTTCGATCGATCCGGCGCTCCCATTCTTCGCCTCCAGACGACTGAGTGCAACACGATGCCTACAAACAGACCCTTCTTCGCAAACTTCTTTTCTGCATTCCGTGCCAGAACCAATCCCACCTTTCAAGCAAAATCCAGTTCAACATATGATGCAGTATTGCAAGGCACGCTGGTGGCAACACCACATGTTTCGACCACGAATGCGACAGTAACTGCATCGAATACTAGAACCATCACAACGAAAACAGCGTCCGACACATCGGCTCTCCCTCAACAACCATCGCAAGCCAAAGCAACCTCTACCTCTCCGCTACCATTCTCATCGAACCCGAGCTCGCATCGATATGCCCCTCCTCTGTCCAGATCTCCTGGGCCGGGCTCACCCGCCGGACCCCATTCACATTCTCATACTAATGCGAACCTTTCCATTTCACCGCCGGGTACATCGACCCCCATGACACGAGGGAGGCAAAGACGGGGAAGTGACAGCTCAAATTCCTCCGGGGGGTTTATTGACGCCTTGGGGCCTGACAAATGGTACATTGGTGGTCGGAGCGCAGGTGGCGAAGAAACGTTTTATAAGTTGGGCTTGGTGACTGGGGGTACTGGGAAACGAGTGCGGAGTCTTGATCGCCTGAGCCTTTGAACGCGATGGAGGACTGGTCAACGACCAAAGAGACATGAGATATATATTACGACTTTTGCCTGGGCCATTTGATGTGTACATTTGTTTAGTGCATGGGGCTACGCGGGCTCTCCTACGAAGCCTTTGCCGAAAAGGAATATCGTGTGGTTACTGCAGGATAAACACAATCAGCAGAAGTACTGCGCCATGCTACGTCGAACGACAGACGATATTTGTATCCAAGCTGTAGTTTCAAGCTGCTGTACAATGTCATCCATTCTGCGCAGATACAGGAGAGAGTCTTCCGAAACGACTCTGGACTTGTCTTTGCCGTAGTAGAGCAGAGACCACCAGATCTGTTCGGCATGGGAAACTCCCTCAGAGAGTCCCCTTCCCTGTGTAATCGGATTGTCCGGGAGAACAATGTTACCGATCTATCAACCACCGACTGAATCGATTGAGCGAAGATGCACTATTGAGCAGACTTGAGCAGACTTTCACAGATGGTTTTGGTCCTTCGAGCACCAATGGATTCTGGCCGCAAAGCAGCAAAGTCTTTAGTTTAGTAGAGAAAACAACGGAGGGCGTCTTGGTATTTACGACACAGGCAACAACTGCCGGGGACTGTGGGCACCGCAGGCGAGAGCCTGACCATGGGATTCGGTGGTTGATGGTGATGGAGGCGATGAGAGTGTCCTGTTTGTCGGGTGAACACTTCCTGCCTACAGCATGAATCAGTTGCTGGGCTGCAGAGTACGAAAACTTGCAGCTTGGAGATTTGCTCCTCTCCAGAGACTCATGCGTGAGGCCGAAAAGAGTTGGCCGAATCAAGCAAAGTTCGACAAGCGATGTGCGCAGTAGCGCAGTAGCGCAGGTGTGCATGAGGACGAGGTACTCGTACAGCCCAAGGCACCGGGTAGATTATCCTACAGCAGTCTCATCTTGAGCGAACGAGACTCGTCCCCCAACAACTCATCCAGCCATTCTGACCAACGCGGACAGTGATAAGGTGCAGCTTGCTTTGTATCTGCACTCTGATCCATTGGCCCCGCCGTTTCGACTGCAATCCAAACAAACGTCATTCATTGTTTTATCGTTTTCTCTGCGCCGAGAACAGCCAATCTGTGCACCCAACAATTGTCCTCTTCCTGTTGGCTTCATTGCGCTTTGCGCACGGCTATCGAGAGCGAACTCCCTATCTGAAGGTTTTGACTTCGCAAGCCCATCTCACCTGTTGTAGATACTTTAGTAGTGCCGAGACTCTGGACCGTTTGAGGAGTGTCTCCAACCCACGTTTGATCGACGATCGTCCAGGCAGCTCCCGCACCATCTTGTCGCTAATGGCCACTTCGCGTTGACAGCTCGAGAGTGTGTCATTGGTCCAGTCTTTTCCAACCAAGAGAATTTTGCATGCGAGCGATGTCCGAGGATGGTTTATCCGGGCGTTGTACAGGAGTCCTCTGGCCCTTTTCGCTCTGTCAATATTGTTACAACGGATCAGAGAGCGCGCCTGGCTGTCCAGAAACCTGGCTTCTCTCCCCCCGTGCGAGGACGGTCTGCGGTCACACAACCGAGCAATTGAATCGTACTCTGCGGATCCCTACAGTCGCCGTTCCAATCTGCTTCATCCTAAGCCCAGATCCATGATCGGCCAGATTGACTATCTCTGCGCCAGGGGCCCTCTGTGATACGTTTCTGCCACCCACATTGAGTCGGATTTGAAAGTTGCAACCGCGCTTGTCTGGACTACGCAATTCCCACCGCCTCATCCCATTCCAGGGTCATACACTGTCGCACAGCACTTTTCCTGACCGCCGATAGTCCCTGGTTTGGCTTTATGCATGCAGTAAACTATGAGGCACATTCGGCACTACTGGTAGCCAATACCCCGGGCATGGGTGGCTCGAGCCATTGACCTTTGATGGGTGAGTCGTCCTACATAGATACCTTGCACACCTCCCAGTCTGCATTTGGCTTTGTCGCATGTTCAATCTTCTTTTCTTCTGGAGTTGTTTACTGTTGTCGTTTTTGATGCTAACCACGATGCATTCTAGAAAGCGCATAGCTCTCGATCAACTCGAGGACGCCAGACCTTCTCCCAGTGGCAAGGCTTTCTACCCAGCCTCGTGCCTGAAGCCTGTCGCAAAGGACACCAATCTGAGTCCACCCCCGAGCCCGACATCGCCACGCAACTTCAAGACTCCTGTCGGGATGGAGCGAATATTTGCACTTTCGCCAAAACCGACTGTAGTACTAGACAGAGATCTACTCGTCGTTGTGGCCTCCGCCGCATGTCTGAGACTATTTAGCCTCGACTTGGTGATCGGCAGACGTTTCCTCGACATAATTGACAAAGTTCTTGCTCCTACTGATTTTGCCGTCACAGCAAGACTGCTACAAGATGCTATCCAGACCCGCGAGCCACAAAGGACCGAACCTCTGCTGGGCAGCATGCTCCCGGGCTATTGGCGAATCGAAATTGCGCCAATATACGACGGCGATGAGCTGCTGTATCTCGTTGTAGAAGCGCAAGATGCCAGCGAAGATGTGCAACGGCAGTTGCAACATTACGCCCAATTGTCGGCCGCCGAGACTTATAAGATCCTCGTCAGCACATTAAGGGATTATGCCATTTTCATGCTCGACCCCTCAGGCTGCATAGCAACATGGAATACTGGGGCTATGCTTCTGAAACAATACACGCAGGAGGAAATCATTGGCAGACATTTCTCGACTTTTTACAGCGAAGAGGATCGTAGGGCCAGAAAACCTGAGAGAGAGCTGGAAATAGCTCTCCGAGATGGTAAGGTGGAAGATGAGGGTTGGCGCGTTAGGAAGGATGGCTCGCGGTTTTGGGCGAACGTCATTATTACACCAGTGTATCGTGATGGAGAACTACGAGGCTACAGCAAAGTGACTAGGGACTTGACAGAACGAAAGGGGGCTGAAGCACGCTTAATTGCTGCCTATGAGGAAGCATCCAAAATGAAGTCGGATTTCCTGGCCAACATGAGCCACGAAATTCGAACCCCTATGCATGGCATGCTGTCTGCGCTGGGACTTCTCAATGAGACCGACTTGACCAGGGAGCAAAGGGAACTGACGGAGATCATCGACGAGTCGGGCGCCATACTTTTGCAAGTCATCAACGACATACTCGACTATTCAAAGTTAAGCTCTGGGGCATTCACGATCAGCAAGGACGTTATGAACATGGCCGAAATAGTTGCAGCTGTCCGGCGGAGTGTCAACATCGGGTCAAAGAAAGACCTCCAGTGTGAGGTTGAGCTGGATCATCACCTGCCAACTTTTGTCCAAGGCGACCCTTTACGGTACCGGCAGCTCGTCCAGAATCTAGTGTCCAACGCAATCAAATTCACAGAACGTGGCTATGTACGTGTCAAGGTTGTAGTAGCCGACGAAGATGACATGTCATATGAGATAAGGACTGAAGTGGTTGATACTGGGATAGGAGTCTCTCAAGAGGCTGAGAATGTACTTTTTACGCCATTTGCGCAACTGGACAACTCATCTACGAAGAGGTACAAGGGCACTGGGTTGGGTCTTTCGATTTGCAAGAGCTTGACGGAGTTGATGGGCGGCACTATCGGATTCGCACGAAATCCGGACCAGCAAGGAAGCATATTTCATTTTACCTTGAACCTTAACAAGGTCGATGTTGCTGTACCCCCCACCACGCGAGACGTCACGCTTCCCGATCTCAGCTTAAAGGACTTGTCGGGCCACAAGCAGTTGCTTTTGGTGGAAGACAACGCCATCAACCAGACAATCATGGTCCGACAATTGCGAGCTTTCGGGTTCGAAAAGGTGGATGTGGCCAGTGACGGCGCAGAAGCAGTCCGTTTGATACAGGCGAAGCCACTGACCTACAGCTTAATACTGATGGATATTAGCATGCCGGTCATGGATGGGGTCACAGCAACGAAGAAGATTCGGTCTCTCGGACATACTGTGCCAATAATCGCCATGACAGCGAACGCACTCAAGGGCGACGAAGACACGTATCTTGCAGAAGGTATGAATGACTATGTGGCTAAACCTATCGACAAACGGCTACTCACGAATGCATTGTTGCGTTGGTTACGATGAGGAGGAGGAGCAGGAGGACTTGGTGGTGGTGGTAGACGACGACGACGACGATGACCGTGACGATGTTCGGACGAACAGTACAGTAACATCGTTTGTTCCTGGTCATACGGATCGGGTTGCAGACTCTGCAGCGCGGCTTCGCATCCTCTGTTGGAGAGCCAGCAGATACGCCATCGATCGGCAGCTCCCTCTCATCCAGAGATTGCAGGCCTATTTCGAGTCACGTGTTCACAGTAACGGTGTCAATCTTGCAAACCACGACCATCAAAGAATTGATGTAATGTCTCGTGGACCCAAAAGATGATGGTGTTGGGGATGATGGTACCAAACGGATGGGGGATTTCGAGAGCATCCGCGTCGATCCGACACATTGTATATCATGACTGGGGCAGTACACATCAGCAATCTTCACGAAAGTGTATCGCTAGATGAAACCGGTGTTGCAGGCCAAAAACCTATCATGGAGCAACCGACTCTTTCGGCTTGTTTGTGATTTACCTAGGAAAGATGGTCAGTCCTAGGTTACTACTATGTTTGACTTGGTAAAAGGAGGGAAATGAGAAATGAGAAATGAGATTACAAGGGAGAGAAAGGTCTAATAATTGTACAGTCATGACCTTTCCTACTGGGTGCCTTTCGAATACAGGTATTATCTTGACTTTATATGTCCCGAGTATCTGTTCGAGTACCTACCGTTCGAGATGACCCTTTGATACGCCTTCTTACGAAGTATGAGTGAGAGACAGAAAGTAAGAACGAATGAACGGTATGAACGGTATGATCACCTTAGCGATTTTTAGTTTTCTGTTTCCCCTTTATCGTTTCCAACGACTCAGGTAGGACCGAATCCGCAGACTAGTTAGACTGTTTGATCGACACTTTTCTGTGACCCTGAACTGCTCTGGCCGTAGCTCAGCCAGCATCACTTACTCGCTCTCCATCCTCTCCCACCACCACCACTACCTCCTCCATTTCGTCACCTTCGTGGTCGTCTTCGTCGGTCTTCCTAGCTTTCCAGAAACCTTTGCCGTAACTCACCACGATTTCCTCACCTTTGGCAATACCTCGGGCGCGTTTACTGCTTCTACTGCTACTGCTGCTGCTGCTGCCGCTGATACTACCGGTACTTTTGCTTTGACTTTTGCTTCTACCGGAGCCTGGTGCTGTCGGTGCTGGCGCTGGTGCGGCCCCTTTTCCGGGACTCAGCACAAAGACGCCGATTCTCCGTTCGTAGTGCGTTTTCTGGGTGCTGCCTGGGCGGCCGAGTCTGACCTGGACGAGACAGTCGCGGAACTCGGCGTTGGGCCCGTCGGGTCGTACGCCGCGGTAGTCGTTGATGAAGCGGGCTTCGTTGCCGCGGTGCGTGGCGTCGATGGACAGGTCGAGGTCCCGGTCGAGGCTGAGGTCGTAGTTCGAGTCCGGGTCCGTGGTGGACGACGGGTGGAGCGTGCCCAGATAGAAGAGGATGAACGTCGACGGCGGCAGTGCGCGCGTCGCAAAGAGACCGCGTTGTGTGTAAGCCGGGTGTGTCGGTGTGGTGATGGGCGTGATGCGGACGTTGGGGTTTGGGGTTGCTGGCAAGGGCGTGATCAGTGGGAGTCTCGACGACCTGGATTGATCATCGCTGCCGCCGCCGCCGTCGTAATCATCTACAGATATTGATGCTGGTGTCAGGGGAGGCGGGATGTGGAGAGTCGTGAGAAAGGTGACGTCCCTGGGCCAGTTCTTGGGTAGAGGGGTAGATTGCCGTTGAGGCATTGACACATTGTACGTAAAAGCACAGAAGTACTGCTAAGCAGTACGAGATCTCATTGTACCTGATGAGGTGTTTCAAGGCAAGGCAAGGCCCATGGGATGAAGCTTTGTGTGTGTGTGTATGTGTGTGTGTGTATGTGTGTGTGTATGTGTGTGTGTGTATGTGTGTGTGTG